CCCCGCCCCGCCCCGCCCGCACACACCACACCACCACAGCGTAGAAAAACTTACGGTAGCGCCCACTGTGCTGCTCATGGAGGGGGACCCCGCCCTCTGCCGCATCCAGAACACCTGACAGCCCACTAATCTGTACTGTGCTGCATCACCAAAACGGCACTGGGGCTTGCTGCTGAGGGGAAGCGGGGACCTGTCTGTCACTGACCTCACTGCCGCCCGCCTCCAAAAACACAGCGTTAAGCGCCGCTGCAGCACACATGCACAGTGCATCACACGCACCCTCGACAAGTACCAGCGTCTCCTCTTCTGGCTTCGTTCGCTTTCCCTCCTACAACCACAGCTCTTACGCACCGTCTCGTTTCATATCACCACTGCCCAAACCCATCATCACCGTTCCGTAAACCGCCATCGCCTGCAGCTCCCAGCCTCGTCGTCGCGATCAACGTCCACCATCTCTCATTTGCCCTTTGGTTTGCTTGAGAAAACCAAAAGGCATCGCCCAGCCGTTGATCCATCTTCGCATTTCCCCACGTTTTGCTCCGCCATCTAGCACCGTCGTTGAGCCTTTGTCTAGTTTTGTAGACAAGGGCCGACGATAGCATCAACTCTTCCCCAGCATGGCTTCCGGCGGCGACGAGGCAGCTGCAGCCTCTAAAAGACCCTGGTCGTTTCTCGATCTACCCATCGAGACGCAGCACGACATCTTCTCTCACGTATGCATCATCCCCCATCTTCCGTGCTTCCATACTTGCGCTTGGTAGAAGCCTCCAGCTAACATTCTGCTTCTGCTAGTGCTCCCAAAGCGATCTCGTCTGCCTTGCCGTTGTCTCCAAGCATTTCCACGAAGTCGCCGCCAGCAAGCTCTATCGCAACTTTCATATCGTTTTCCCGGACGATGACGAGGTCGATTTCGACTCCCCCATAGATGGCCTCGCTGGTGGCCTCGATACTTTTACAACCAGCGAGTACAACTACGCCAAGCACCTTCGCGACCTATCCATGGACACGCTTAGTCCTGGCCGCAAAGGCGAGCAATCATACCAGCCGTATCTATACAGCGCCACGTGCGGAAAGTTCTTCAACACTCTCCTCTACTTGACGCTGAAGAAGGCTCGTGCGCTCGAAGTATTCACGTAATGCTACCCCCAAACAGTTATCCTTGTACATAGCGTTCCACTAACACGAATGGTTGACAGTTGGAATGTCCGAATCGAACTCACCCGCCCAGTCTATCGCGAGCTACACAATATCCCTACCATCAAAAGGGTCCATATTCGCTTACAAGCAGGCGAGTCGTACTACGCTCCGCTTCCACCACTTCCCATCAGCATGAGCCCGCACCCTGCACCGCCTGTGATGAGTGGACATTGGCACGCGCACTCTGATGGTTCGCCGTCTCACTATGGTCACGGGCCTCTGTACTCGCTCTACCATTCGTCTACCTCTGCCCATCCTCCATCAAAGCCGTTCAGCAGAAGCAAGAGTCTTAAAAAGGCAGTGCCACTTGGCCCGGCGACGTTTTCCGGCTTCAAGAATCTGCAGAGCTTGACCGTACTGGATATCGATACACTCGATCTGGTCTCGGAGCTTCAGACTTGCGTCCAAAAGTCGTATTCTACGTTGACAGAGCTCCAACTGTCTTTCTCCGATGCTCTAGCAACAAAGTCCCGTAGACCATTGATGGACTCAGACTCTGAAGAGTCCGACTTGGATGAATTCCCACATAACAATTCGCACAACTACGAGTCCACCAGACCCGCCAAGGTGTATCGAGCAAACGAAGAAAAGAAGCTACAGGATGTATTCTTGGCCCGAGTATTTGATGTTGACCCTGGTCTGGTAAAGAAGCCTCAAATACAGCCGCACCCTGTTGCGCAGCCAGAACAATCGAACAATGGTGAAGAATCCCAGCAAAAGCCTGATGATACTGAGGCCCAACAATTCATCGACTCATGGAAAGCAGCCACTGAAAGAATGATGACAACTGTTAACGGTTGTCGTGATTTTTCTGCTCAACAGCGCGCTACGCTAGACATCATCGAACAGGCTGCGCGCAAATACGTTGGTGTTGGGGCCCAACCCAGCAGTGACGACGAGGAAGCACTTCCTCCATGGCGTTCTCAGCGTTCTCTCGCCGGTAGCAGCCAAGAGGAGGTTACACTGAAAAACACCGTGTATACCCCTAGGTTTGATTGGGCCACGATGCCTCGATCAGTCGCGCCACTGCCACATCGACCTGCCCAGCCGGTGCACGACGAGGGTGAACCGACCAAATTCTGTGACATGTCAAACTCACCAGACGAAGCGTCTGAGGAAGAGGTGGGCGACATGAAGCAGCAAGTAGACGATTACATCCGGACGACGCGGGGTATATCCCTAGAGGTCCTATCGCTTCATCTTGTTCCTGTTCGACCTGCCGTACTGTCCAGAGCAATCAACCTAAACGCATTAAGAAGCCTCACGCTCTTGAATGTCGGGCCTCAAAGCCCAATCTGGAATCTCCTTAGCAAGGAAAATGAGGTACAACCTCTGGCCTTGCGGAGCGTTTTCACGGACAATGCCTCGTTTGCCTTTTTGTCTTGCATGTCGCAGCTAGAGGAGCTTCATGATTTGTTTATGCTACAGCGAAGCGTCGATCATAAGCCCGAGAGTTTTGCCACTAGAGCAGCAACAAGCATCGATCAAATCCGACGACTTGTCCTGAAGAAGCATATCAAGACGTTGAAACGCCTGATGATTAAAGACGAATCCAAAGAGGCAAACTGGGACGCCAATGAGAAGACCATGATATTGCTGTGCAATCAAGGTATGATGCTGGAGGAGCTCGCTCTTAGCATGAATATTCATGCAGTTGTAAGTTTTGTTCCCGTTGTACAGAAGAAGTGATCCCCCCTCTAATTTTCTCTACAGCATGCATTTATGCAGTATTTTGCCGGACTAGTGAATCTAAGAGCCATCAACATCTTGCACTTCAAGAACAGCAACACTTGTCCATGGGTGGTGCGGGAGATGCTTCAATTTATTGTTGACAATCTATCCCACCAACCCGAGATGAAACTTGAATGGATTGCAATGGAAGATGACAGAGTCAACCGCGTCATCCGCCCGTCTGAAGCTAACGACACAGAGGGCTCTGAGGCGGGTAGCCGACCGAAATCGGCCCAGTCTGCCGGCAAGGCACGAGCAATCGATGTGCCTCAGAAGACATATCCTGACGCGCCCTTGGACCAGGATCGATACGGGAGTGAAACCGAAGATGAGGATGATGTCTTGGATGGCGGACGCCGACTCCGCTTCCAGACTGAAGGACCCCTCCAGTTCTACGACGTGTGGGGGGTGAAGATTTTCGAAAAGGAAATCCGCAGTGGGCGACTATAGAGCAGCATGAGTAACATCGTGCTTAAAGGTTCTTGGTGTTTGTCGACTAAAACAGTCAGCAGGCTCTGACTGCATTGGCTTGTTTATTTGGCTATGGTTTGGATGGTGTTGGTGTTTTTGCTGGTGCAAGGTGAGCCGGCATTGGTGCTATTCTAGGGAAATTTTCAATTTGCGTCTTTTTGTTTTCTGTCCGTCATTTTGAATTTGGAAATATGTATTAGTGTGTAGCGAATATGATAACGATAGCCAAACAAAACAAAACAAGCACAGTTTCGATATTTAACAATTCAATTCACCTGTAAAGGAAATTAGCCGCCGGAGTGCGACTCTACAGCGCTGAAGAAGAGCCGCCGCCCGTTATTTGATCCACTATAAATCAGCCAACCACAACGCTAGAACCCCACTATCAGCCAGCGCCTCGTCACATCTCCCCACAGATCTGCTCTGCGCCGGTCGGCTCAACCAACCAACAACCTCCTTCGCTTGGACATCCAGCTAACCAACCAACAACACAATCCAGGATAGCGAACGAGCGTTACCAAATTATCCTGGGACATGCCCCGTCAGTTATGCAGCTTTGAATACTGCCACGGCAAAGCTATTGATACACAATGAGCGCCATCGCTTTGGATATGTTCCACCCAGAGGCAGGCTGGGACGACTTCTATCCCCTCAACTCCCGCTTCCTCTCCAGCAGCCCTCCTTACGCTTCGCATCGAAGCCATCACCGCGAGGATTCAGAGGATGACGCAAGGCTAAAGCCCTCTCGCACAGTCCCCCGCCGCCGCCGCCGCAAGCCCTCTCGTCGTCATCGAACGCCCAAGCGAGCCGGATTCAACGATCTGCCAGGCGATGTGCTACACATCCTAGCCCGCTATCTCGATACTCCCTCTCGCCTGTGCCTTTCTCTTGTCAATAGAGAATGTTACTACTTCTTCTTCGCAAACGGTGTGGGGTGCACCTTGCCACATCAGCGAGAAAGGCTGCTCATCATGCACGAGCGTGATCGCCATGCAAAGCAGCACTACTATTGCTTCCCATGTTCCAAGCTGCATCCCCTCACGTCAGAGTGCGCCCCGTCGCCGAAACTCGCGGACAATAAGGTCCTTAAATGCGATGGTGATGACTACTTCTGTCCCATGCGAAACCAATACCCTCTCTCGTGGACACACGCTCGACTCGTCATGAACGCCCATATTTACGGCCCAAACTTTGGCCTACCCTTGTCGAGTATTTGCCAACCGTATACCGTTGCATGCGGTCCTTCCACATTGCTCTGCGAAACCGAAGCTAAGATACGCGATCTGCGCTTATTGCTGCGACGAACATATACCTTTACAGTCCCTTACGAGCGGATGGAGCAGTTCCAGGAGGCGCTGGTTCGAAACAAGTTCCGTCTGTGCTCTCATACAAAGCTCATCACGCCACCGCCAGAGCGCCAGTCAAACCATCGCCATGAAGAATCAGTTACTCTGCACAAGCGAGAGCCCTCGTGGTATCACTTTCGCGCGATGATTTACAACGAACAAGTCGAGGGGTCGTGCGAAATGTGTGCCACGGACTACACTTGCCGGGCAATACCTTGCACGGATGCGCAGGGCCGAGCAGCGTGGAAGATCATCGCCTATGTTTACCACATGCTTGGGTCCTGCCGCTCGCCAGATGCATGGAAGTGGTCGCGCTTTGCAGAGCGTCCTAGCCGTGGTACCCGCGAGAGCCGCCTGATTAGGAAATCGACGTCCATGAAGAACGGCGATGTATTGGATGAATGGTTCGCTGATGAGCCTGGAGGTGACAAATACAAACCGGTTACGAAGGAAACGACGGATGAAAAGCCGCAGAAAAAGTCGAAACGCCACTCAAGAAGCAGGCATCGCAAGAGAATGACGGAAGAGAAAGACGACAGCAAGGATAATGCGGAATACTTGAGGGGCATGGATAACATCCCACTGCGCGAGCGTCCGCGCAGGCGATACAAGTACGAAAAGTTTGCAGAGTCGGACTGGAAACCGTCAGATCCCAATGTGCAGTGCTTCTTGTTCCTCTGCGTCATCGCCTTGTATATATTGATCATCCATCACATCTACATGTTCTTTGGGTTCCATAGCGACGGGATGAATGAGGTTGTTCATCCGCACAACGAGACATTCTGGATGGAACACGTGTTGCAGCACCCAAGGGAGGAACTCTAGTTGGTTTCTTTTTCTTGTATTTTTTCTTTTCTTGTTATCTCTTTTTTATCATATGCTTTGTGCGAGATGTGGCATGGAAGCAGGCATGTCAAGTACGCTGTGGCGTTTTGGTTTGTCTTGCAAGAGAACGTGCAGCGTGGCTCCTTCATTCTGGGACAAGTATTGCTTTTATAGGCCTACCCGTTGGGCACACTATGTATCTCTTAAGGATTCACGTATATACATCAAATAGGAAAGCACATATTCAGTCAAGGAAAAAAAAAGTCGGTGTTATATTTCAAAGGCCGCGTTATGCTAATGCCTCTAAATAGAATAACAGCTCCAGCGCTGTTGCCAGCGAAAGCAAGACGCTGCAATCCGATATGCTACCATGGTGCAGCCCTCTCGTCGTCACTCCATTTTCAATCATCTAGTCGTACACTGCGAACGCGTCGGCGTCGGTGCTAGCAACGTTAATCGGTTTGGTGATTGGGGTAGCTTTCTTTCTCTTTCTCTCTCGGCCATGCGTCTTCTATTCTTTGCTATTCTTTTTTTATCGGTAGTGTATGTGTTCCCTCGCACCAGAGGATGCGTGAGAAGGTATTCGTCTTCTTTTGGGTCGGTTGTCGTGATTGCTCGACGGATGATGTAAGGGATGTAGTTTGTATGCTGAGAAATCCGCGAGTGCTGAGAATAGAAGAAAGGGAAGAAAGAGGCAGCCGCAAGACGTAAAAAAAACAGTAAATCAAAGTCTTGAACAAAACATAGGGAAATGTGTTACAAGGGGATATCTATTTACAGCTTCTGGATGATGGCGTTGGCGTACTCGGCAGTCTTGGCCTTGCCGCCGAGATCACCAGTGAGAGCCTTACCCTCGGCGAGGGTGTCGAAGATGGCCTTCTCGACGCGAGCGGCCTCCTGGGTGAGACCCATGTGGCGCAACATCATCATGGAGCTGAGAAGAAGGGCGGTAGGGTTAGCGAGACCCATGCCAGCAATGTCGGGGGCAGAACCGTGGACAGCCTCGAAGATGGAGCACTCGTCACCAATGTTACCAGAGGGGGTGAGGCCGAGACCACCGATGAGACCGGCGCACATGTCGGAGAGAATGTCACCGTAGAGGTTAGGCATGACAAGGACCTTATCGTTGTAGGGGTTGGGGTCGGTAACCATCTTCAAGCAGGTGTTGTCCAAGAGCTCAGCGTCGAACTCGATGTGGGGGTAGTCCTTGGCGACCTCACGGCCGACGTTGAGGAAGAGACCGTCGGACATCTTCATGATGGTGGCCTTGTGGACAACGCGGACCTTGGTGCGGCCAATGGCCTCAGCCTGCTGGAAGGCGAAGCGGAGAACACGCTCAGAGGCCTCGCGGGTGATGAGCTTGATGCTCTGGACAACACCATCGACAACAACGTGCTCAATGCCGGAGTATTCACCCTCGGTGTTCTCACGGATGAGGACAGTGTCGACGTTGTCGTAGGGGGTCTTGAAGCCGGCAACAGAGCGGCAAGGACGCAAGTTGGCGAAGAGGTTGAAGGTACGGCGGAGAGTCAGGTTGAGAGAGACGTGGCCCTTGCCGACGGGGGTAGCGAGAGGACCCTTGAGGGCAACCTTGTTCTTTCGGATGTTCTCAATGGCAGCGTCGGGGATAGCAGTCTTGCCATCCTTGATGATGGGGGTGACGTCGACAGACTCCCAGGCAATGGGGATCTTGGCGGCGCTGAAGATGTCCTTGACGGATTCGGAGATTTCGGGGCCAATGCCGTCACCCTCGATCAAGCTGACAAGGTAGTTGCCCTGTAGACTGTGTGTTAGTCGGATGTTGACAGACTTGTAGCTCCATCGCGCGATATTCTTCATGGTTACATCAGGGCACGGCTAGCCCGACGGGCCATGCAAGACGATCGGAGGAGCTGTATTTTTTTTGCAATCGTCAACGTACCTGGGCGTCCTTGGTGCCGTTGTACTTGGCAACACGCTCACCAGAGGCAGAGTAGAAGCGCTGGTTCTATTGCAAGAGACGAATTGTTAGCGTTGGTTGTGGGCGTCTGAGGCGTGTTGGTTGGTTCTTACAGCGACAGACCAAGCAGCAGCGCGGGGAGCGGCGCGCAGGCATTGTCTGGGGGCAAGAGAGCGAATGGCCAGCATTTTGAATATTGTGAAATTAGAAACGGGACACTGTAGCGAGCGCCAAAGGAAAGCTATGCCGAAGAAGTAATTGGAGAGGAGTTGGCAAAAATCGTCGAGGGCGAGAGGGAATGGGAGGGAGAAGGAGGAGAAAGAAGAGAAAGACGACGGAGCAACGGGGATAAAACTGGCCAGAAAAAAAAAACTGGAAAAAAAGGCCGTAGCTACGTAGATTGAGGCTGGAGCACGGCTCTGGCTGCCAGATTGGTAGCAAAATGGAGCCCCACCAGCCACAGATGCGTGTGGCTTGCGTGCGGTTTTTTCTCCGTACGGTGTTTGGCTGGTCGGCGGCAGCCTCGGAGCCGTTCGGAAATGCGCTGCACCACACCGAGCCGCGCCAAGCTGCAAAAACGCGGGCCCAAGCACAGCGGCCGTGGCACGCTAACAGGGTCGAGTTACAGCGGCGAGTCCGCTAAAGGCCAAGAGAAAAAAACAAAGCCGCCACGTCTCCAGGGCTCTTCAGTGGGGACAAGCCTTCTGTAACATGACACTCCAGCGCACAGGCCAGAGACAGTAGCAGACGGCCCCGTTGGAACGTTGCTTGCCAGTGCTTCCCCCTTGCACGCACACGCCGAAACCCACTTTGGCGGCGTCCTGCACGTAGCGAAGCTCCAAGCCAGCAAGTAACCAAGCTTCAACGAACGCGGGCCCCTTGCGCTAGACCATCCTTGCCAACCAGATTGCGTCACAGCTTCGCGACGCCAGATCAATCTTTGCTGCCGTCTTTCTGCATCTTGGGCTGCTTTTGAGTTGACGCCAGCAATTGCGTACCCAGCGTCTGGCTCTCTCCATCAGCGTTGATGGCGAACACGCCAGCTTGCATCTAACCGATCCTCGTTCATCATCAACAGACCTACGACACGCGACACGGCGCTTTGTGCAATCTCGTCAGAGCCTTCATCATGGCTGACTTTGAACGAAGCGTCCTCGAGTTCTACCAGCTGCCAACGGCGTTTCCCTCCGAATGGCCCCCCGAAAAGGATGCCAACGATGCCCTTGCCGAGGGTGCTGACCCCAGCGGTCAGAGTAGGCGAAAGTCACGATATCTAGCTCTCGAGACGGCCCTCAACGAACGACGCAGTCTTCTTGCAGGACCCGATGGCAATAGCATTGGCAGTATAGTTCAAAAGGATGAGCCGGATCCCCTCGGCTCGTCTGACAGCGTCGTCCGCAGCTTGAAACAGATGGGACTTCCTATCAAAGACGATCCGCGCCTCCGCAATCGATTCCTTCTCTCCTCGACAACCTTTTCGCCCGGTCTCTTCTTGTCCCAGATGCATGCCAACGCCGATACCCGAAGCTTGTTACAGGGCCTTGACGTCCTGTCCCATTCGATTGATCAAAAGTCAGCGTCGCTCAAGGTTCTTGTCGAAAGCAACTTTGAACGCTTCGTCAAAGCCAAAGCTACAATTGATAACGTCTACAAGGAAATGAAGTACCGTGGCGAGCAGCCTCAAGGACCATCGCACTCTCGACACGCTAGTAGATCCAGCGTTCGACAGAGCACCGGTGCCAGGCCATCGATCGGCAACCCGCTCTCTCTCTCAGCAGCCGACAGCCGCAAGAAGAATGCACTCATCAAAGAAAGTGAATATGGTGTGATGGGCATCAAGGCACCTCTTCTTGATGTATCAGCAAAAGCCGAAGACGTCTGGGGCCCAGCCTTGGGTGGAAGAGAAAAGGAGGAGCATCTCAAAGTAGTGTCCAACCACCTGCATCGCTTCAAAGAATACGTTGACTTGAGCGGCACCGTAGCCGACAGTATCAAGAGAAAGGATTACGAAGGACTGGTAGAAGCCTATAACCGAGCTCGAAAGTTTGCTGGAGAAGCCAAAGACATCGCTGCCCGGTTGAATGGCGCACCACCTGACGACGACGCCCTATACCAGATTCTCTTAGCCGGCCGAACATGGCATGACGTGAACCAGCAAGTTGAACTATTCAAGAAGAGCATCTGGAAGAAACTGTCTACAGTCAACTCGCTTTCCAAATCGGAAAACGCGGCTACTGGCAGAGCGCAGGACCAGCACATTGAGCTGATTAGCCTGCTCTTCGAATTGGGGGTCCAAGATAACCCCATTTGGGTCTGGCTCCTCAGCCGCTACGAATATCTTAAGAGCAAAATCCAAGCTGTCGGAGAGCGTCAGCGTCTCGAAATTGAAGTCCTTCGTCGTCGACTGGCAAGCAAGGAGAAGCCGACACCAAAAGCCATAGCATCGCATTTGAAGCATCTTGGCCGTCAGGCTGCCGACCGAAAACCAGCCGTGGATGATGAGCCTGAAGTCATTGAGCTGTGGGAAAAGATTTCCACTTTCCTTCACACGTTTGTGTCTCAGCAGGGCCTCCTGGGCGAGTTGCTGGAGTTTTGGCAAATCTCACAAGGTTTCATTGATGGTAAAACACAACGCACCCTTCCTATTGGGCATCAAGGCGAATCCCAGAAGCATCACAAGCTCACGCCTCAGATGGTAGGAGATTTGGAAAAGGGTGCCATCGAACTGGTAGACCTCATGCGAGAACATCTCTTCACCTTCTTTGCTGGTATGCCTCCAGAAGATATCTCTTCACTATTGTCACCGCTGTCGCCAAGCTCTCCGGGTGTTCGAGCAAGCATAGGGGAAGCGCTGTCCCCTACGCTTAGAGACCCAAGATTCAACTTTGACCAGACCAACCCTCCTCCACCGTCCCCTAAGAAGGGCGAGTCATGGGAGAAGTTTGCCTTTTGGCCCCCATGGTCGAATTCCATCAGTGGTGTCCACTACCTTGCAAAGCTACTCGCACTGGTAGGCTCAAGCGCCTCTGACATGGCCAGCATTGGTCCTGTCGCAGTTGGTTCTAGCCCGGTTCTTGAACGCTTAAAGGCTCTGGTCGGAACGTCCAGAGAACGTTGCGTAACAGCTCTCTGTGCTGCATGGAACCGAGACGCCGAGAATATTAGACATGTGGAAGACTGGCAGCGATCTACCGATTCGGGCGACGTAACGCGCATGCCGGCGAGTTTTGCAGCCTTTGAAGATGCACTTTTGTCCGGCATGCAAAAGATCCTATACGTTTCTGAAGCAACGGCCCAGCAGGAGTCCCCTGATATTGTCTTGCCTCCTCCGACCAAGCTGCTTCAAATGGTCCGCAGCCAGTATGTCACAACGCTGTACAAGGCGCTGTCTGGCATGGTTGAAAATGCAGAGCGTTCCCTCAAGAAGTCCCAAGATGAATGGTCTGTCAGTGAGGATACAGTGGCCATGAACGCGCTCAACGGAACACTGCAAAAGCAAACAGTCAACGCAGGTGATAGAGTAAGTTTACATCCCTTTGCCATGCCTACCTATGTATACTAACTGATCTTGATAGAATGTCCGAATGCTTCTCACCCTTAACAACTTGTCGTATCTTAGATCCCAGGTTGTGCCTGGATTGAACTCTCGCTTCGAAAACGCCTTTTCAGTCAAACTCACAGACGAATCAAAGACAATCAAAGATGTTCTCGGTCAGATCGACGCCAGACTCTTCCAATCATACACCAAGCAGCCTATTGAAGCGCTACGACGTATCATTCAAGCAGGACTCAAGTCGTCGGATTGGGCACCACCGCCCGGAACTCGCCCAGCTGCTGCAAAGCCCTACGTCTACGAGGCTCTACTTTCTCTAGTGCTTGTCCATTCCCAAGTATCGACGACTACTCCATCACTCACTCCTCAGGTTCTCTCCTTCTTGCTTGAACAAACATCTCAGCAGCTGCTAGAAGCCTTCAAGTCGAAACATAAATACACCCTGGAGGCTTTGATGCAAGCTACATTGGACGTGGAGTTTGTTGCTCAAACTCTCAGCCAATACACAACCGATAAGGGCTCGGAGCTGCAGAGCCAGATATACCAGGAGTTGGACGGAAGAACGGACAACGATGCCCGTGCTCGTTTGCAAAGCGAGCTGCCTGAGATGCGCAGTGTCTTAAAGAAGCTGCGTGAAGCTAGCAAAAATGAATTCGCATGCTTCAAGAAGCCTCGTCGACAAGGAGGCGGCTCGACAAAGCCTGATCCTCCCACACCGTCGGCATAGTATTATCACTTGTTTTAGTTACGACATAATGATGACAAATTTCAAATACATTACATTACTCTCTGGAGTGAATACGTCTGCCTGTTCTTCCTAATCGTTATAGCCGCAATTTGCAGCTGGCCGTTGAAGCGTGTGCCTAAGACTCCTCCATCCGAAATACACTGTAACTTTTTTGTTTCCGCTTGCCAATCCATTTAATTCATCCTATCATTAATAATTCAAAGTCGTGAAAGAGAAAAACGTAGCTTTGTCGTCACGGTCATTGCGTATTAGGAAGCAAGATGTGCGAGCAAAACATGAGCTCAAGTGAGCGCGAGTCGGCCGGGGAGAACTGGGATCCCTTCTGTCGCTCTTCTATCGTATCATCTGTTCATTCACAATTAGTTATTGCACAGAGCGGCGGGGCTTCACACAATAACACTTACATTCTAAGTCGAGTCGTTGGAAGTAATCTGCGACAATGGGATCCTTGTCCTTTGTGGCCAGCTTGCCGTTGGCATCCTTCATCGTCAGAGGCAGCGCTTTTCTTATAGCGAGCAGCATCTTCAGCAGGCTTGCCAGGTTGCCGCCTTGGCGAGCGAAGACGCTAGGGTCACGCTCCAACGGCCAACCAGGGCGGAGATGGTCCTGCTCCCACGCCTTGAAAGCCCAAGTCGACTTTTCGACACAGTTGAGGAAAATCACAGCTGTCAAGAACATGGTGAAGCCAACCTTGGTCTTGCTGTCCGTCAGCAGGCGATCCATGTGGTTCAGTAGAGCCTTGGACGTGCTGTTGGCCTTTCGTTCGGCGGCCGCGTTAAGCTGCATGCAAATCATGGTATAGATATCGGCGTCGTTGGCATTTTGCGCTTCGTTGATCCAACGAGACTCAACGCCTGTACCACTAGGGCGTTCAAGGATAGCCCATTGCCGCTCACGATCGATGCTCTCTACAAGACCCCAGAGTTCTAGGGCTTTGCGCAGGAGCTCACTCTCCTCTATGGCCTGTTGCTGCATAGCAGTTTCCAGCGTGACGCGCATGAAATTTGACGGTTCCTTTGCGATAAATAACGGTAGCACATCACGCATGTAAATTTCTATGCGTCCGGGGACATCTTCAACGTCTTGATCAATCATGATTGCTTGGCGGAACGGCTCCTTGCTGTTACGCTCCGCAGCTTGCGCCTCGCTCGGTTCAAGGAGAGCATCCAAAGTGCCAAGAACGATTTTCTTTTCCGAGTCGACAAAGTGTGTTACTTCGATGACGCTGCCATCGTTGGCTAGCTCGAGTTGGTCTTTAAGGAGGTTGATGCGGTTTTGGGAGAGCACCACTTGTACACCAGCTGAATAGACATCCAGCTGCTCATGAAGTCTGGTTCTTACACATCCAGTGCGCCAGACTCGAGGTGCTAGAACCTTGCGGCAAGTATCACACGGGTTGCCTTTGCCGCAGTTCTTACGCAAGATACGGCAGCGGATGCATGCGCCGATCTTGCGGACTTCCTGCACTTCTTTTCTGCGATCCGGTGTAAACCGCGATCGAGAGTGGCGAGGTCTGCCGTTGAGCAGCAAGCTGTCACTGGTGTCCATGCGCACGCCGCCGCGGTTCACTGGTACCGGCGGCGGTTGCGTGTCATTGAGCATGGGCATGGCGGGCGCAGCCGCCATATAAGTCATCTCACCCCAAGGCTGGGCTGCTGCAGCGGCTGCGGCTGCGGCCGCAGCTGCTGTGGCGCTGTGATCAGTGGAACTTGAGACATTGGCAGCTTGAGACACAGCATCTGCAGCGGCTGCAGTGAGGCTGGCGGACACCTCGTTGCTCACCAACTGAGGATCGAGGAACGATGGGTTCAATCGAGCTGCAGCCGCCGCTGCGACAGATATATTCGATGGCTCGGAAGCCCCGTTCGTAGTAGGCAAAAGAGCTTGTAGTCTCTCTTCCGTCGAAAGTTCGTCAGTGGCTGCCCCTACAGCAGGAGGCAAAGGCTCATGCTCTCCCGAGGCAAGGTTTACCATCAAAATGTCGCCTCGCTTTGCAATAACAGGTGATCGGCCGTTGTAGTTCTGAGGGGGATTATCCAACGTAAATTGTTCTTCAACCTCGAAGCTTCCAACGTGGTTTGCAGTAGTCGCGTCGGAGCCGTTTGGCGCGTCGGCTGCCGCTGGCGTACGGCTGTTTTCGTTCAGATCAACCTGTCTCGAAGCTTCCGCAAGAGTCTCCAAGGCGCTCCATTCTTGTGCTAGCGGGTTTCCATTCGCATTGCGTGCCTTGGCCGTCGTGTTGGTGTTGGGCAGGCCAGCGGCAGCAGCTGCTCGCGCGTTGGAGATGCCATGAAGCTCCAAGCATGCCTGCATGCGATCCGATTCGTTAATGGCCGGGCATTTCTTGGTGATATGCGTCGTCAGACTATCGATTCGGCCTTTGGGGAAATTTTCTCCGCATCGACGGCAGGTATGCTGGTATCTATTGCTGTTGTCGTTGAGCTTTGCCCCGCGAATGAAGTATTCGAGGATCAAGGGGTTCGGTTTGCGGCCCATGGCGAGACTAGAAGAGCGCGCAAAACGCACTTGGCTCCTAGAGTCGACTTGAATCCAAGATTAGTCTCAATTGGGATAATCCGTTAGCTGTCTAGCTGTTAGACGGCCCCCCAGAATATACTGGAGATTCAAAGTGGCAGTATTGATGGATGAGTGATTCTGCCTGTGTTGACCGACAAAATTCTCACACCGACTTCTAGATGGGTGGCCGGAACATTAGTTGATCCGGAGGGGTTTACCCTGCATGGTGCATCTGGCGCGTGTTTTGGTCACCTGGTGTAATGGCCTCTTTGGTTTTAATTCTTGTATAAATCTGGTATAGAGTTTTATTGTATTTATTATCTATTTGGATTTTTTAATTTGCTATTATGTCAAGATAGCCACTGTTATCTGAGCTACTATGCTTGATTCTGTGCCCAGATTCCCGATCAGCAGATCCCAAATGTCACCACCTGCACCCACACTTTGCCATGCAAACTCACTAAATCCCAACGTTACAGTGGGTAGGCAAAAGTTACAAGTAGACTCGTTTTTGGCCAATCTTTCAAGTATTCTTTAATATATATTGTAAAATTACTTTTTCTATCAATCTTTGTAGAATATCATGTGTGGTATAATACTTTATATGTATCTACTTTTTAGATGAGTATTACACACAAAGTTTGTGTTAATAAATTCGTAATGCTTCTGTTGGAATATGGACTACTTGTAGCTTTGCTTACCCACTGTATGGTATGATTCGCTTTAGCGAGTCGAACGCCTAGTTACGGTGCCTGGCTTTTTGCGTGCAGCGGGCTTCTCAGGAACAATGTACGCCACAGCGCCCGCTGGTATCACATCCAACCCCCACGTGCTGTGCCTCGCATATGCTATTAGCAGACGCAAGAGATTCGACGAGAAAAATGCGGCGAGCTTCCCAGTTTGATAAAAGAATGAATCTACAATGATATACGGTGCTGGGGATAGTCAAAGTGGAAGACAATATGCTGGACTTCGCCCATGATTGAATGTCTGGGACAGTGAATGACAAGGAGCCTTGGAGAATGTCTGAGCTACGCGGGCGCGTCAGGGTAACCGGCCGACCTATTCGAGCCTGTTCTCCCCCAGAAAAAGACAAATGACGCTACATCAGTCTGACAGCAACTCCAAATTACACCGACTAAGGCCCGTTCTATCAATGCTACCCACCCACACGCCCGCAACGTGCCCCATGGTTCGGCATACGGCGCTAGTCATTCGCGAGTTACGGGATTTGCGTGATGCTTATTGAAATACCGCCGGTCCTCTCTGTCTAGTACCTATTCCTGACTCTTTCATAGTCTTGTGTAGGACACGGCTGGGTATCTCCATTTACCTTGCGGAAACATAATATACTGGCCTGACCTGATTTACGATCCAACGCCATGATCCCCCTCAGCCTTGTGGTGGCTGTGGCTGCCGTTGCGCCCACCGTACCTGATTTATCCAGTCACGTCTTTACCGATGTAAGTGAGCGCCATATCTCTAAATATTGCTGTTAGTGTGGAGAGAAATAGCTAACATATGGCGTAGACGGGCTCAGTTGGCGGTGGAAATACGTTTCCTGGCGTATCGCTGCCATTGGGCATTGTTAAGCTTGGGCCTGACTTGTACAATGGTCCTGTTGATGCCTACTCGGGGTATCTTGCAGCGGGAAACATTACTGGGTTTTCCATGCTTCATGAAAGCGGAACAGGAGGTGCGCCAAAGTATGGCGTCGTTGCGCAGATGCCTGTCGTCGGCACCGTGTCGAATCTTATGACGGATAACACCAATGATACGCGCCAGTCGCCAGACTTCACCGAGGTTGGCTATTACCGCTCAAAGCTGTCCTCTGGGACTACTGTCGAGCTTGCGGCTACTAACAAGGCTGGAATGTTTCAATATACATTCCCAACAACCGATAAGGCTCTGAATGTCTTTGTTGATGTGTCTCATGTCCTTTCGTCTTATCGTGGCCAAGGGCTGGGCCAGCACTTCTTGAATGGTAGCTTTGGGGTCGCAAAAGAGGCTAATTCAGAGTTCCTTTATTACACGGGCTCTGGAACTTATGACAATGTAGGCCATGGACAAGTCAGTTTTGATTTAGATTTCTGCTAATGCATTACTCAGGGATGGAATCGAGCGACGCCGTGGACAGGCTACTTTTGCGGACATTTCGATTCACCAGCAACTTACAAGACTGTTGGCAAGAATGAAACCGCGACGTCAGGACGCCTTGGTGCTCTTTTTACCTTTAACCAGACAAAGGTCACTTCCCGTGTCGGCATTTCATTTATTTCGGAGGCACAGGCCTGCGAGAATGTCGCAAACGAAATACTGCGAGGCACACCTCTCGCTGACCTTCGCACGAGCACCCGAGAAGCGTGGAATAAGCAGGTCTTTAGTAAAATATCGACTACGGACACTGACGTGAACAAGATCAACCACCTTTATACCGCCCTCTACTTCATGCATTTGCTTCCGCAAAATAAGACTGGCGAGAACCCTCTGTTCAAATCTACTGAGCCCTACTACGACGACATCTTTACCTTCTGGGATACTGTAAGACTTCAATATCAGGTGCTAAGAGAATATATAAACTAACATGTATAAAAGCATCGTTGCACCACTTCACTCTTACATATTCTTCAGCCAAAGTACCACGAGGAGCTTCTCCGCTCAATGGTTGATATCTGGCGCCACGGTGGCTGGGTGTCTGATGCCAGATCGTCGTTTTCTAATGGTGCCGTCCAGGGAGGTTCCAACAGCGACAATGTATTTGCCGATGCGTATGTCAAGGGAGTTCGCGGCAAGGTGAACTGGGATGATGCCTTCAAGTCAATGGTGAAGAATGCTGAAGAAGTGCCACCAAACAACTTTGACTCCCGTGACCCTAGCGGATCTACAAGAGAAGGTCGAAGTGCCCTACCAGATTGGCTAAAGTTCGGCTTTATCACACCAAAGTTCTCTCGATCTGTGAGCCGAGCTGTGGAATAGTAAGTTCTAAACTGTAAATGCCTAGTTGTTCCTCGCCTGCTAACGCCACTATAGCTCTGTCAACGACTTCTCTCTGGCCACAGTCGCCGCTGGCCTAGGCAAAGGCGATGAATTCAAGAAATACTTTGGGCGATCCCATAACTGGCAGAATCACTGGAACACGAACATGTCCGCTTTAGGCTTCAGTGGCTTTGTTGGGCCTAGGAATGAGTCTGGATTTATGCCACAAGACCCGGTTTCATGTGGAGGATGCTACTGGCGAGACTACTACTACCAGGCCCTCCCATGGGAGTACTCTTTCAATGCCCACCACGAAATCGAGAAGCTCATTGGCCTTATGGGTGGCGACCAAAAATTTGTCGATCGTCTCGAGATGACCTTTAAGCCTGGCGTCTTCTCTGGAAACGGTGCATTTGGCAACACACTTTTCAACCCCGGCAACGAGCCAAGCTTTACCACACCGTACCTGTACAACTTTGTTAACCGACAAGATTTATCTGTCAAACAGAGCCGCTTCATCGCCAAGTCTTACTATCATGTAGCCCCCAACGGATTGCCTGGTAACAGCGACGCCGGCGCCATGGAGTCATGGCTTCTATGGAACATGATTGGATTGTATCCTATGACTGGTCAAACGACGTTCCTGATTGGATCCCCATGGTTTAACAACCTCAAGATTAGCCTTGGCAAGGGCAAATATCTGACAATCACTTCGACTGGAGGTAGTGATGATGCGTTCTACGTCCAGTCGCTTAAAGTGAATGGAAAGGCTTGGAACAAGAGCTGGCTCAGCTGGAATGACATCTTTGCCCACGGCGGCACTCTTGACTTTGAGCTTGGCCCCAAGCCCGCCAACTGGACCGTTGGAGAACGTCCACCAAGTCCTGGAAGTATGAGCGCTGCTGATGGTGAAAAGTTTCTGGCTACACCTCATTAATCACAGAGCCATTAACATCGAAGGTTGGGGTAATTGTAGAGACGGTAGAGGACAAAGTTAAATGTACAAATTTCATAAAATAAACTCCCTTTATATCGCAAAATTCAAATTGTTTTTATGTTATGGGTACCCCTCCTGCCCACGTCGCTACTAGCTCCAGACGTTGCGGAATTCTTCGTCGTTATTATCCGGGAATTTGGGACTAGAAGCAGGCTCGTCCTCCTGTTCGACATCAACATCTGGGGACTGCTCAGGATGGGCTACAGAAAGGAGTGGTGGTGTTGGCTGCGTTTCGGCAGCTGGAGTAGGGTTGGATGCTGAAGCGTTGGCGTCCGAGCTGCCTGTACTCAGCTTGGACTCGGAACCCTGACGTTTCGTACCCTTATTGGCCTTCTTCTTGGTCTTGATTGCAATTACTGGTGGCTCTTGAACACCCTTGCCTTTGTTACGGGGGGTGACTGCGGCACCAGCGCGTGTCGAATCGGGCCAACCAGTCTCTGTAGGCGAGTCATTACGGTATAGATGCCGGGTTGAGTGGAAACGCTCCCTGAACGGCTCACTTGTAGTGATGACTGGGTACTGGGATAGTGTTAGCAGCAGCGACAAGATTCGTTTCATCAATATACATACATTCCAATCGCCATATTCGAGTTGACGTGCCTTATCATAAAGGCGATCCTCGTCGGCATCAATAGTCCAATCTTCAAAGGTACCCAAGGCGTCTGGCCCGCTAGATCTCTCTCCTAGCAATGGCGACGTTGCGCTGGCCTCCCCGGGTCGTGGGAGCCAATATTTGCCTTTACCACCACGCTCATATCGCATACCTTCCTTCAGACGTTTGACCCTGGATTTGGAATCTTCATGTGCCATGACCTTGTCGCCTGAATCAAACGCTCTGTATCCATATGTATCGCCTTTGAAAGTGAGCTTTGAATCCTCGATCAAGTCCCGGATGCCAAAGGCGTCGCGCAATGCGAAGCCTAGAGGCAAACGGGCCGACAAGATGTTATTGTCGGCAAAGTCGTGCCATGAAAACGCATACCAATGCGCTACTGCAAAGATGGGCATCTCTACACAAATCAAGGCGTCTTGGATTGCAGCAGCCAAGTTATTTCTGGTGTATCCCTGAACATCGTCCGGAATAGCGCCAACCCAGACTAGCAACGAGAGCAAGAAGCCTTGCCAGTAGGATGCAAAAATAATCAGTTTGACACAAAGGAATTTAGGGACAGGGCGGAACGGGACAAGGTCGCCATGCATGCAGACCCAAAACAAGCCTAGAGAGTACAGACTGACGGTGACGCTGATGTTGTAGATTATACCACTCCAAAAGTAGCCAGAGCGAATGCCGATGTAGCCTTCCTGGTACGTACCGGTGGCTTTCATGACAATAGCAGCTATACCCAGCAACGGCTTCAGCCAGGCATATTGTAGGATACCACGCTTAATACCCAGGAAAGTATGAGGATCTGAAATGTCGACTTTGCGCAGGAAACGGTCCATCGGCCAGAGGTGGGGGATAGGAGCTCGACCATGGGTCATGATGATGAGAGCACGCTCGCCATCTAAATAGTTGATGAGGAGTTGAAAAAAGGTATATATAGTAAAGGCTTCGTAGACGTCTCGGATGGGATCAACAAACTGGGCGGCCGTCGAAGAGACCATGCTGGTAAAAGAGGAAATGGAATATATCGGTACCATGAGAAGGATTCGCACGACATATCGTTGGAGTAGTGGCTTGCGGTAGTTCTTGGCCTGCAGCCATATCGAGCTGCGGTCTTGTTAGTCTTAGGGGGCAACAACACACTTTAGCAAGCTCGACTTACACTATGGAGAGAAGTGTGGCGATGACGGATGCAAAACCGGCAACTATTGTGGTAGCATACGTGAACTTGCTGCCGGTTCCGCCCTCGGCCGTGTTGCTAGCCTCAAAGGACTGCATCGTGAAAGAGACTATGATATGAGGAAAGAGAAGACCTTCGACCCCTCGAAAGCGTAGGTGGACTGATGGTACTGGGCTGCTGGACTACGCCATGTCCTATCTAGAAAAGTGTAACGAGAATGCCGAGATATTCTCAGACGCGAAAAGAAATGTAGTTGAAACTGTGGTATCGCGTAGATGCTTTGTTGGAGGTTTGGCTATTTGGTGGTTGCGCGTACATGACGACACCGTTTTCATGTCGCGGCTGTAATTTTAAGTTGCAGCCAGTGCCAGGTGACCTTCGCCTCCCTACTGTACACTGTATAGAGCCTTGCTGCTGCACTGTAACTTTTTTTTAGGGGACGGGTTATAGCGGGCCCTACAGTGGGTTCTTACAGTGGCTTTGGCCGTGGTGTCACAGCTGCAAGGGGATCTTTTAGCGGACAGCCCCGTTTTGCTAGCGGCGCCGTGCTTCTTTTTAGGGGAGCTTGGTCGTTTCTGGTTAGCGCGTGATGCACCGCGAGCTTGGGACAGCTCCTGCCTTTTGACTTGTGAATGTTGCATTGTCTCGTGCTTTTCTTACCGAGGACCAGACATCGCCGCGCTGCACACTCCGACCGTGTATTCTATCAGCTGCGACGCACACTCAACGCTAGAGGCTCTTCAGCTAGAACAAGAAGCATTCGCAAAGGAGCATGCAGCTACAACGCCTGACCAACAAGTAGCGTTGCTCTGCTCAGCAGAACGTCCGTCGATGATGGATAACACAACCAGCTCGGCGTCAATAGCGGCGCCGCGTTTGGAGTTTAACTAGTAAGTTTAACCATTGACAAAGAACACGCCAAGCTTGTAGAGGCTAATAGCAGGGCCAATGCAGCGAATTTCTCATATTCATGATCCTCTGTGGACTTCTGACGATCTTCTTCCTCCTTTATTTCAACCGCCTCTTTTCCTCCATCGTGTCCTACGCCATCCGAACGTGGACATGGCACCGATATCGCGTATATATTGATATTCAGGCTCTCCAAATATCCCTCCTTGGTGGCCGAATATTCTTCACGGGCCTCCGATACCACGGCTCCAACGAGACGTTCCTCGTCCAATATGGTGATATCACTTGGCGCTACTGGCTAAGGCGCGTGCGCGATGCCGAGGTGGTTGACCGTATCAAGGAGACGCAAAAAGACGACGATAACGACACGTTTAAAAATGCAAGCCTCCCATGCCGAATCAATGTTAACTTGGTCGGCATGGAGTGGTTCGTTTATAACAGAAGCCCTGCGTACGAGAGCGTACTTGCCGGTCTCAAAGGGGGTAGTCCAGGCACATCCACTGCCACAGAAATTGCCGCACATGCTCAAGAAGCTGCAGCTAGGCTACGGAAGACGCCTAATGCTTCCAATGAGAAGGCTAGAGCCGCCGATGGCAGTGACAATGCGCCGGGCAACAAGCGACACCTCCATGGCGAAGACCCCGCTGGGTTGGATGATGAAGCCAGCATTGGAAATGACCTTCCGGCTTTACTCGACTTCTTCCCGATTCATATTGAATGCCAAAAGCCAGCCGTTGTTGTTGGAAACGAAAACACAAAGGGTATTTTGATTGTCAAGTCTGATACCATATCATGCGACATTGATGCATCCACAGCCAAGACGTGTGACCCCTACCGCCAGCTCTTCAATCTTACCTTGAAACACCCTATTGTAGAGATCCGAGATAATGAGGATTACCGCGAGGATCAGGCCACCCGCGCATCGAAAGAACGAGAGCCTGTCGTGCCTAAGAGTGCTCTACCCCGAAGAACGTTGTTCCGACACCGCCGCCGTCAAGTTCTTCATTCGCTGCGCAATATGGTCCCTTATTGGCGCCGCTCTGTCGAGTCTTTCTCCACAGACTCCCGTGGCGAACTAGGAACGTCTGCTAGCCATCACGTTGGAACAGCCCAATGGCAAGGACTATCAAGATATCTTGAAGACCGCGATCAAGATGACAAAGCACGTTGGGCAACAGTTGAGTACGGCGCCGAGAACATCATTCTAGATTCCCCTTCGGCTCAGTTTACAATGTACTGGGATTCCGTAGGCAAGGTATCTAGACGGAATCAGGAATGTGACCAAAGCCCTCCGGATTCTCTTCAACACATCAACGGTTCTGATGCTCCTGGGTGGGGCATGCACTTTGTTATTCATGGAGGTGTTGTGAATTACGGCCCCTGGGCGGATCGGCATCGTGCAGAGTTGCAGAGAGTCTTTGTACCCAATCTTTGCAAAGATGCTGTCCCTGCCCAGCCCCTCCAAGAGGGTGAATGGCGAGTGGCAACCCAATTCAAGATCTTTATTGAGATGGTTGACACACTTACAATGCGCATTCCAATTAAAGAGGAGTCAAAGAACTGGCGTTGGCGTGGTAAAGAACCGGCAGTCAACCAACATACTGTAAAAAGCAAGAAGAGGCAAAGAAACAAGAAGCGAGGCAAAACCGATACGAGTCAAATTAGACCTGCGGGTTGGCTCGAGCTCAAAGTTCCTGCAAATGCTACAGTTGACTACTCTATGGATATGATGGCACGAACGACGGGATATCGGAACACCTTGCTTGTGGATTTACCCAACTCCGAGCTTTGGAGCAGCGTCAATCACGACATTCTCTGGAGATCTGGTCCGCAAAAGATCAATTGCAATCTATCAAACCCGCTTGCTTGGAATACGCTCCGCAATTGGCATTTTGATGTTGCCTCCGACAATATGAAGCTGTATCTGCTTCGAGATCATATATTCCTCTTGACGGATCTTGTCAATGACTGGGCTAGCGGCCCGCCCTCGGACTACATGACATTTACACCGTACAACTACCACCTCAATCTTGACCTCCATAATGTAGAATTGTTGCTCAATGTCAATGATGGCAACATTATTGACAATCCTACGTCTTTGGAAGAAAACAGCTTTCTTATCATATCTAGCCCCCGTCTCACCGTTGGTACCACAATTGCTTTGGACAAGTTTCGACCAGAGAAGAACTCTATTCCTTTCGATATACGATGCGATACGTTGGATGCCTCGCTCAACCCATCCCAATCCAATACGGAAGCTGCCTTCTTATCAACTCACGACATCGGCCATGCGGAAAGTCTGACTGTGACGGGCAGCTACCACTATAATGCTACTACTTCATCAGCAAACACAGACACTCTGATATTAAACCTGCATGGCCAATCGCCTTGTGCGTATATCTATGGGTTTTTAGTCAGATATGCCCTGCTCCTTAAAGATAATTACTTCGGTGACCACGTTCATTTTCGCACATTGGACGAATATCAAGAACAGCTGCAGTCCCAGCCACCAGGAAAGGATGTTACTATGACAAGCCGCCCACCTCCCAAAAAGTCAAATGACATGGATATTATGTTGTCTGTCAAGGTTGACGATGCTCAGCTGCTGGTCCCAACCAGTCTCTACTCGACAACGAAGGTTCTTATCGGAGAACTAGCATCCTTGTCGGTCGATGTACGCTTCACCAATTACTACATGGATCTTGAACTGGATTTGAGCCCCCTTAGCTTGTCGCATGGCACAACATCTGGCCCGCTAGCATCGCCCGATATAGTGGCTACCAGTACTCAACTATATGTTGATGGCATACGCGTCTTTGGCCATCGAGCGTTCGGCTTGCCACCAACCGAACCAACGTACCTATGCAACTGGGATGTTTCTGTTGGCGATGTGAAAGGAGATTGTGACGGTGATTTCCTATCCGCTCTGACTAAAGGAGCAGAAGCCTTCATTTTCACGTTTGATGACGTTGAAAATGCGCTTGTCCCTTACTCTTCGCTTATATTTTACGATATAACATTCATCCGTGCTACTATTGCATCAATCTGTATATGGGTCAAGTCTGCTGAAGGAGCGTTCTTATTGACTACAGACAGTATATCAGTCACCGCAAACGACTGGGCTCGGTCACATTACTCCAAAAAGGCCAACATTAATGTGCCTAATCTGCAGCTTTCCTGTGTTGATCTGAAGACTGCCAGCAAGCATACCCTGCGGGAGACGAAACCGGTAAAGACAGAAGCATTCTTCCGCACTGATATCCGTCTTGCCACTGTTGGGAGAAAGGTTGGATTTACGGCGGAGAGAAAGCTTCAGCAAGAGCTTGTTCGACGAGAAGACCAGCGTACGGATCGCACACCTTTTCTTCTGCTTAATGGTGTCATGGACGAATTTCAGCCCGAAGCGACAGATCTCCCTGCTCAATGTGCGCCACCGCAACCATTTCCAGTTTCTTTTGACGATGACGACTCGATTAGCGATTTTGAACAAGCAGCATCGGAGCAAATGCGATCAAAGAGCTCATTCCTATCGCTCTCTAGTGCTACTGAAGGAAGCATCCGGAGGACACAGAGCTATGTGTCGTACCAGAGCGGCTCAATGATCAATCCAGCTACGCGCCCTCCTCGACAGGTTGGCTTGGGACAAGATCACTCCACTGTGACCTTTTCAAGCCCCTATTTCCCTCCACACTTCAACCTCGAGAATGTGTCTCCGGAAGTACCAGTCGACAGACTCTTTAAACAACCAAGCACATTACTACCAGAGCCATCTACTAGTCTGGATGCCGTTGATCCCAATAGTATTGATGAGGAATACATCTACTCGAGCACAATGATTGAGTTTCCTAATGGTGTTACTGCATTCTTTAACCCGCAGACCATCAGACATGCTGTCTCTGTGCTGGAGTCAATCCAACCCGACAACCCCGAAGATATCCTTGACTCCATCCAAACAAGCACTCTGAGTGAAATATTTGGAGCAAAGAAGCATCTCAGCTCGCGCGGTATGATTAAAGATGTACTCTTGCGTCTTCCTAAAGCGGATGTCCGGTTCATTAACAGTACTTCGGACTCTCAAGACAGAAACAATGTCGCAATTGACCGATACGACCTCGCCATCAACTCTGTAGACTTGGTTGCTCGAACTAAAACAGACTCCAGGGAGAATGGAGTGAAGCTTCCCTCGGAAAAGTCACATACGTCACTGCAACTTCGCGTTGACTACATCGAAACATCCGCCGGACAATATACAATGGACGAGAAAACAAGGCAAACTGCATTAATGGCTAGGATCAACAATGTTTTAGTGTCTAGAGGTGTCAAGGACGTAACCTATCTTGACGTCGACATTGGCTCAGTCTTTGGTAGTACAGCATCTGGCGACATTGAGTACCTTGCTACGCTGATACATAGATCCGGCAACATTGCCTCAGAGCTTGGGATGCTGTTGTCTGAGACTAGTGAACGCCAGAGCAACAGAATCAAGTATTGTTGCTGTCGACTACTGGAAGTTGGGTCTGGTACCAATGATCCGTCATTTCTTATTCGCCCATCGGCTGTCCTAAGATCAGTTGACCAACATCTGCGGACTGTCGACTCATGGAAGCTGATGATGCGTCTTCGTCAAATCTGGACATTACTCGATAAAAAGGAACGAGTTCAGTTTGTGAGAAGATGCGCTAGCAAATCTCCACCTTTACCACAGAACGCGAACCGTTTTGCGGTAGACGCATTCAAAAAATGGCGAAGCTGGGATCTTGAAGATATAGAGCATGCATTGCTCTTGACTAAGATATTCGGAAAAGATAGCCGTGGTGCTTCGACGACTATCCCTGATGAACAACCGTTGCTCGCAGCTTGCCGACTTGGTCGATTCCAACTGACTCTTGATCCTGGACCTCGGGAGAACAAAATTGCTCTGTTAGAGTTAAATGCCAGGCTCGAGACAAAGGACGACGGCCTTCTCCCAGGGCTGTTTGGCGGAAAGCCCATCAGTAAACCTCTAACCGTCGCCAACATTTCATTGCAAGACATCTCCGTCAACTTGAACTGGGAACTGTATGAATTGCTAGAAATTGTACTGCGACTGTCTCAAGGATCCGAAACGTTGAAATCATCTCTGAAGAAAACACGTCAACAAAAGCCGGCACCAGATTCTAAGACAGATCCAAAACCAGGGTATAGTGCTTCACACGTGTTTCTTGACATTACAAAGGTTTCTGTCGATTTGGAAGCCATCAACCTACGCGCACGAACAATGCTGGACGGATTTAAGGTTTCCGCCATCTTGTCAAAGGACATAGACAAGTCAGCATTCAACAGTGTACTGGTTAACTGTGGTGGTGTTACTTCTAGATTACATAGCCGTGCTCAGCTGTTATGGATGTTGCAGCTTCGACAGCCGTCTATATCAGCCATTCAACAGTCTCAGGAAGCCAACAAGGAAATCATCCACATGATCAAGGCGTCTGCCAGCACGAAACAACTGTCCTTCTCGGTCAAGCAGGATGCCACTACACTACTCGATGTGGTGGATTCTATCATCAAGGACGAGGTTTCTCAACTATATCGCCTTAAAGAGCACGAGTATCTACAACAAAAGAATAGCCCGGAACCACTGGCAAGCCTCTCCAAACTCCCTACAAAGATCAAACTTGACATAGTTATGATGCTTGGCCGGTACACAATTACTGTCCCGCTTTTGCAGTCATTGACATATAAAATCTCAGGAGTTATTGCTCGGGCTGGTTGCGTGGCGGATATTGGAAACGAGATTATATTTGACTTTGACCTTAAAGAAAACATTCACGAGATGCAAATCAATGTCAATGATACGCCTCGCAGCATTTGCATCGTTGATATACCCCCAACCAATGGCCGAATTACCAGCCACATGTGCGATGACCAGCACGTTTTGACCGTTCTTTCATCCGTGGAAGTTGTCAAATTGGATGCATCATCTCTCTACAGCTTACTGGCAGCTCTGAATAGACCACAGGTGTCGGACGAAATCAAAGAAATCCAAAATCAGGTCAAGGTCATTCAAGAACACATGTCTTATCTTGGCGGGTCAGAATCTCAAGTAACCAAGCAGGCGACGACACCCAAAGCTCCAACTACTTCAGTACTCTACGACGTTCATTTTACGCTAGCAGGGCTACATACCCTTGCCAAAACGTCTTCCATCAAAACTGGGTCGGGCGAGTACGCGCAGTTATTGTTTTCTCTTGGTACACTGCATATCCAAGCGTCAAATAAGACAACCACGCCTAGTCTGGTGCTTAAGTATCCAGAAGTTCATCTCGATCTAAGATATATCGGATTTGATGTGCGTCGTTGCGACGGAAACTCAACGAGATCCTGCGGTAGTCTGGGAGCTCGCGTCTCTGTGTATGCAGGATCACACCGAGGCGAGGACGGCAAAGAAAAATGGACGTTTAACTTTCTTACTGACGATCTTGATATCAATCTTTCTCCACAAACAGTATCTACTTTTGTTGAAGTAGTTGGATATCTAGGAGCCAAGATTAAACACTTGGATACATCGCGAGAACTTGACTATCTCAAGAAACTAGGTCAATCAAAACCTAGAATTTCAATCACAAGCGATGAAGGTGTGGCAGAGGAAGATGACGCCGACATTTTGGACTCGGTTCTAGCCGCTGTTACCTACCGCTTTCAGTTACGTGATATCAAAGTCTGCTGGAACGTCGCAGAAGAGAATACCAAAGATAGCTCCAAGGAAGACCTGGCACTATCGATCAAGCTCATCGAATTTGGAACGCGCACTAACAAGTCCGCACGACTTACGATTGACTCATTTCAACTGCAGATGGTCGAACCCGGTGAAGATAGAGGAGCCCGATCACTTCATTCGGCGCTGCTACCTGAATTAACTTTCAATGTGGCTTACCTATCTACCACTAATGCTCGCCGTCTGGCCTTCCAGGCTGTTGGAAAGTCTCTGGATTTGCGACTCACACCCAAATTTATCGTCCCCGCGGCATACTTGATTGAATCTATCTCACTGTCGGCAAAGAACGTGCAGGCTGCCTCTAGCAAATGGACGGTAGAGGGAACAACTGTCAAGCCGTCTGTGACTGAAGAGCCAGCAAAGCCATCACAACCACTTCTCGGTAAAAAGCGATTGGAGAGTTTGCTCATCGATGCCGACTTTGCTGGTGCTGTTGTTACCATCATGGGTAAGCGACAGTCAACCGATGTAAAAGCGACGTCATCCACCAAATCCGCTCTGCCTGGCAAATACGGCCAATTTGATACTGCTGACGCGAGTAATAACGCCACGCTGCGTAGTCCTGGACTGGCATGGAAAGCAGAATACCGAGACAATGGGAAGGATGATCCTTCACTTCAAGGCGAAATTTTGGTTGACGCCTCCAGCAATATTTTGTACCCAGCTGTTGTCCCGCTCGTCCTTGATATTGTATCGAGCGTGAAGGAAGTCGTCAGCAAGACGAATAAAGACAAGGGAGAGCCTGCTCCTAAGAACCCCGCAGAGTTGAAGACAGAGAAGTCGACCGAAGAAGAAAGCATCCTTAACGTTGATCCTGAGGCCGTGATTGGGAAGTTGAAGTTGAACCTGGGTCTGAGGATTGCGAGACAAGAATTCTCTCTTAGCTGCCAGCCGATTGCCCGCGTGGCCGCAACGACATCATTTGAGAGTTTCTACTTTACTCTTAACACGATTGCATCACAAGAGCAAGGCAACTTCCTCGCCATTTCTGGTATTCTGAACAAGCCCCAAGCTTCAGTTCAGCACGTATATTCCAGAGACTCTACCGCGAGCTTCGCACTTGATACTGTTACGTTGTCATTTATGAACAGCAAGCATGTGAGTGGTATCAGTGGCGTATCTGCTATTCTCAACGTCAGCCCAATGAAGATCTCAGTCAACGCTAGGCAAGCACAAGACTTTTTGCTCTTCCGAGAGATTTGGTACCCGGAAGAACTACGGTATCAAGACATGGCCCCTGTTGCGAAAATGCATACGGAAACGTCACAAAGCCATCTTGTGCAGCGGTATCAGCAAGTAGCAGCAACTGCAGCGTTCCCCTGGACTGCGACAATATCTATCGCTGCATTGGATGTCAATGTAGACCTAGGCCAAGCGATAGGAAAGGCGTCTTTCCAAATCCAGAACTTCTGGGTATCATCCAAGAAGACCTCTGACTGGGAGCAAAACCTATGCCTTGGTTTCGACAAAATCGGCATTGACTGCACTGGACGTCTAAGTGGATTCATTGCCCTGCAGCGCTTTCAGATGAGAACATCCATCCAGTGGCCGAAGCGACAGGAGGCCCTGAATGAGACTCCGTTGGTGCAAGCATCGCTAGTCTTCAACGCACTACAAGTGAAGGCAGCTTTTGACTACCAAGCTTTCCTAGTTGCCGATATCAGGAAGCTGGAGTTCCTAATGTACAATGTGCGTGAAAGTGGCGACGGTAGCGGTGACCGTTTGGTCGCGATCTTCAACGGCGACGCAGTGCAAATCTTTGGCACGACAACTTCAGCAGCCCAAGTAGTCAGCGTCTATCAGGCAGTGCAGCGGTTGATGCAAGAAAACCAAGAAAACTTTGAAAGCTCGCTGAAGGAAATTGAGAAGTTTATGAGCCGCAAATCTGTGGCGGGACGAGTTACGCCACAGCCTAGGCGAGGCATTCCTAAGCTTCCCGAAGACGACACACTTGCCAAGTCCCCCATTTCACTGGATACAGATGTTGTTGTAACACTCAAGGCGTTGAATCTTGGTGTTTTCCCAAGCACATTTTCCGACCACCAAGTATTCAAGATGGAGGCTCTGAACGCGTATGCACGATTCGCCGCCAGTGTTGAAGACCGCCGAGTGCACACTTTGCTTCGAATGACACTGGGACAACTTCGAATTGGCTTAGCGGGAGTGAGAAATGCGGAAGCTCCCCGAACCCTGAGCGAAATGCGGGTGGAAGATGTCGTAGAAAGATCGACAGGCGCAAGAGGAGGTACAATCCTCAAAGTCCCGCGTGTGGAAGCAGTGATGGAAACATGGCAAGCTCCCAAGATCAACCAAATCGAATACAAGTTTAAGAGTGCCTTTGAAGGCAAGGTTGAAGTGGGATGGAACTACTCTCGAGTGAGCTACATCCGCGGGATGTGGGCAAACCATAACAAGATGCTGGAGCAGACATGGGGCAAACAGCTGCCAATGACTGCAGTGAAGATTACAGGAGTGCCCAAGGCTGAAAGCGACTCTACAGGAGGAGAGCAGGGCAAGATTACGGCCGAGGTCAACGTTCCGCAGTCCAAGTACAGCTACACAGCAATGGAAGCGCCGATTATTGAGACGCCGCAGCTGAGAGACATGGGCGAAGCAACACCACCGCTTGAATGGATTGGACTGAACCGAGACAGGTTGCCTAACCTGACGCATCAGATTGTGATTGTATCGCTGCTGGAGCTGGCGGGTGAGGTGGAAGAAGCATATTCCCGAATTCTGGGATCATCATGATGAACGGAGGACCCTGTGAAGAGGGCATATTGACGACCCTGAGCATTGTTTTTCTGCTTCATCTTTTACTTTTTGTTTTCTGCGATCAAGCAAGCGAAGACGCTATTTTGAATTTGCATATGAGCGTGCGTTGTATATGTTGTTTTTCTGGCATTTTGTCACTGATTGGTTGTTACATAGCACCCATACATACAATACCTATGTACATACATATAGCAGCCTACGGGCGTACATGCATAATACAATAATGGGTATTTATAAAATGTTGCACTACTAAGAGTGTAGGGCTAGCTTTTCTTACCCTTTCCTTTTTTTTTTTAATCTTTTCAAGTCGTTGATATTTGCTTGGCTGAGGACGCTGGCGTCGTTGGCGGTGGTATGTAGCTCGGCGTAGGAGTCATCCACGGTGAGAGTCATCCGTAGAACCTTGACTGTATAGCTCGGCCAGCCACGAGACTTTATGACGAAGGTGGGCTATTTATAGTCAAAAACAAGCTTCTTAGAATACTAGCAGCAGGCAGGAAAGCATTTATAGAGCTTCTACAGTGTTGTATGGCGCCCAGTGACACGATGGAGACACCCAATGAGGCCGGGGAGGCTGGAGCTGTTAGCGCGATAAGCTTCCTGGGCCAGGGCGACAGCCCCACTCAGTCAGGCATCCACGATGCACGGGTGAATGAGCTTGGGAATGCTAAGCTGGGCGGTGTTTTGGTGGTGGTGGCAAGCTCAAGAGCTCACGGGCATCAGGGTCAAGGTGGGAGGAGAGCGTGAGCGAATGAGAAGGGAGGGTTGTTGCCCTGGGCTCCCGGAAGAAAAAGACAGGCGGGGCGAGGCAGACAGAATAAAGTGTATAGTTTTATAGCAGTCTAACAGGAGTCATGTACCTGTTTATTTTGTCAAACCCTTCTCTGCCCGCAAAAAGGAAAAAAAAGAACCCGCGCTTGGTTATGGATAGCGGGGTAAGCCAACAGCAGAATGCCCCACCTGCCCAAAGAGCTCGTGGGTGGGCTTCTGAGAGCGGCAGCAGCAAAATGGACGGCGGCGAAGAAATAATGCCGCATGGCCATTGGTTGAAAATTGCAGAAATATCAGTGGAAAGGTGTCCTATCCTTGCCCGGAGTTAAAGCATCTGCTAGGTCCATTGCACTGGGGGGCGTCGCCTAAAAAATAAAGGGTGTGTCGGGTGCATGATACACTACACTGGCTCTTGGGCTGTGTGCGTGTGGTGTGTGCCGGGTGCAGACTTGAAACGACTAACACCGAACAACAGTCATAACAGGGCGAAAAGAAAAGGCAAAAATAAAAGCATATAGAGAATAGTCATACCGAAATCTAGTATATTCACGTATTTTCCAGCCAATTCTAGCACAAATACTGCTACACTAGCGCTGCTTTCCCAGTGGCGGTTCTCACTCTTACTGCGTTACAAAGCAATTTTTTTTCCCTGCCCGCCGCGCTTGCTGGCCTGGCCACCAAAACACACACAGCAACACTACCCACACCCACTGGACGAGCACCCGCCACCCCTCCCACTTATTTTTTTTCTCGCTTTTTCTCTTTTCCCCCTCCTCCTCCTCTCTCTTCTCTTCCTCCTTCTCTCTTCCCAACCCATCATCCACCTCTCTTCGATACCCCCCTCAAAGAGACGCATTGAGAGTTCCAGTGATTGAAATAAATCGCTGCTTCTCCTCCTTCGTCACGTTTTATACTTCTCTTCAACTACAGCTTGTTGTCGAGATTTCCTGCGCGGGGTGAAAATCTTCTAAACCCCGCTTTCATATCAAACCGATTTTTGTGTACAAAGTCAGCGCCGCTGCAAAACCGCCAAAATGGTCAAGTAAGTTCTTCTCCAGGAGATTCTCTTGCTTTTATCTTTCATTTTGTTTCACAATGCTGGCGCTGGGTTGGTCGTGAGGATGCTTGTCGTAGGTTGTCCTGGGAAGCAAAGCAGGCAAAACAGCCCCTCCAAGCTGGACATTCATGGCATGGTGGGCGCACCAGCTTCACAACCACAACGCAAACAGCTTCTGCTCACGAACCCAGCCTAGCATATGGCAGAGACAAAAATTCATCATGGCATATTTACTGGAACAAGACCAAAAGCTAACCTGATTTTTTTCCTCCCTTCGCAGCTTCACCATCGATGAGATTCGCCAGCTTATGGACAAGCCTACCAATGTCCGTAACATGTCCGTCATTGCCCACGTCGATCACGGCAAGTCTACTCTTACCGACTCTCTGCTCGCCAAGGCCGGTATCATTTCTACCGCCAAGGCCGGAGATGCTCGAGCGACCGATACCCGTGCCGATGAGCAGGAGCGTGGTATCACCATCAAGTCTACTGCCATTTCCCTGTACGGTACCATTGATGAGGAAGACATCAAGGACGTTGTCGGCCAGAAGACCGATGGCAACCACTTCTTGATCAACCTTATTGACTCCCCCGGTCACGTTGATTTCTCTTCTGAAGTCACTGCTGCCCTCCGTGTTACTGACGGTGCCCTCGTCGTCGTCGACACCGTCGAAGGTGTCTGTGTCCAGACCGAGACTGTCTTGCGTCAGGCTCTTGGTGAGCGCATTAAGCCCGTTGTTGTCATCAACAAGGTCGACCGTGCTCTCCTCGAACTCCAGGTCTCCAAGGAGGACCTTTACCAGTCCTTCTCCCGTACCATTGAGTCCGTCAACGTCGTCATCTCCACCTACTTTGACAAGTCTCTTGGTGACGTCCAGGTCTACCCCTACAAGGGTACCGTCGCTTTCGGTTCCGGTCTTCACGGCTGGGCCTTCACTGTCCGTCAGTTCGCCGTCCGTTACGCCAAGAAGTTCGGTGTGGACAAGGACAAGATGATGGAGCGTCTCTGGGTAAGTTTCTCTCATAACAATTCTACTGCCACCGTTGTAAAGTTCATTTGGCTAACATGTATATCAATATAGGGCGACAACTACTTCAACCCCCACACCAAGAAGTGGACCAAGAACGGTACCTACGAGGGCAAGCCCCTTGAGCGTGCCTTCAACCAGTTCATCTTGGACCCCATCTTCAAGATCTTCGCTGCTGTCATGAACTTCAAGAACGAAGACATTGACACCCTCCTTGAGAAGCTCCAGCTCAAGATCTCCAACGAGGATCGCCAGAAGGACGGCAAGCAGCTCCTCAAGGTTGTTCTCCGCACTTTCCTCCCCGCTGCTGACTCTCTCTTGGAGATGATGATTCTCCACCTCCCCTCTCCCGTCACTGCCCAGAAGTACCGTGCCGAGACTCTCTACGAGGGTCCCATGGACGATGCTGCTGCCATTGGTATCCGTGACTGTGACCCCAAGGGTCCTCTCATGCTTTACGTCTCCAAGATGGTTCCCACCTCCGATAAGGGACGTTTCTACGCCTTCGGTCGTGTCTTCTCCGGTACCGTCCGCTCCGGTCTCAAGGTCCGCATTCAGGGCCCCAACTACGTTCCCGGCAAGAAGGAGGATCTCTTCATCAAGGCTGTTCAGCGTACCGTCCTCATGATGGGTGGCAAGGTCGAGGCTATCGAGGATATGCCCGCTGGTAACATTGTCGGTCTTGTCGGCATTGACCAGTTCTTGCTCAAGTCTGGTACCCTCACCACTGACGAGACTGCCCACAACCTCAAGGTCATGAAGTTCTCCGTCTCCCCCGTCGTCCAGCGCTCCGTTCAGGTCAAGAACGGTTCCGATCTTCCCAAGCTCGTCGAAGGTCTTAAGCGTCTCTCTAAGTCCGATCCTTGCGTCTTGACTTTCACCTCTCCCTCTGGTGAGCACGTCGTCGCCGGTGCCGGTGAGCTGCATCTCGAGATTTGCTTGAAGGATCTTGAGGAGGACCACGCCGGTATCCCTCTCATCATCTCCGACCCCGTCGTCCAGTACCGTGAGACTGTTGCCGGCAAGTCCAGCATGACTGCCCTCTCCAAGTCCCCCAACAAGCACAACCGTATCTACATGGTTGCTGAGCCCATCGATGAGGAGCTCTCTCTCGCCATTGAGGCTGGCCGCGTTGCCGCCCGTGACGACCCCAAGACCCGTGCCCGTCTCCTTGCTGACGAGTTCGGCTGGGATGTCACTGATGGCCAGAAGATCTGGTGCTTCGGTCCCGACGGCACTGGTGCCAACGTCCTCGTTGACCAGACCCGTGCTGTTCAGTACCTCAACGAAACCAAGGATTCTTTCGTTTCCGGTTTCCAGTGGGCTTCTCGTGAGGGTCCCGTTGCTGAGGAGCCTATGCGCTCTATCCGCTTCAACCTCATGGATGTTACCCTCCACGCTGATGCCATTCACCGTGGTACCGGTCAGATCATGCCTACTTCTCGTCGTGCTATGTACGCCTCCGTCCTCTTGGCCGACCCTGCTCTTCTCGAGCCCGTCTACCTCGTCGAGATTCAGGTTCCCGAGCAGGCCATGGGTGGTGTCTACGGTGTCCTTACCCGCCGTCGTGGTCACGTCTTCAACGAGGAGCAGCGCATGGGCACTCCTCTGTTCAACATCAAGGCTTACCTCCCCGTCCTCGAGTCTTTCGGTTTCAACGCCGATCTCCGTGCCGCCACCTCTGGCCAGGCCTTCCCCCAGTCCGTCTTCGATCACTGGCAGGTCCTTCCCGGTGGTTCTCCTCTGGACCCCTCCACCAAGACTGGTGCCATTGTCCAGGAGCTCCGCAAGCGCAAGGGTATCAAGGTCGAGGTTCCCGGCTACGAGAACTACTACGACAAGCTGTAAATGGCTTCCTTGGCCATCGCCTAATCTAGTATCTACACTCGCATGGGCACATGTCTTGACGTGGTTGCTGTTAAATTGTTTGGAATCCTTTAAGGATTGGTATTCTTTGGGGCAAAACTCAGGGGATACCCGAAGTATGAAAAGAAGAGCCAAGGGATCCTGCATTGGGGCCAAACATGATGGAAGGAACCGTCACACTTGGCAGTTGGTTTTGTTTTCTTTGTAGTTATGTCGCCTCCGATGAATTGAAATACATCAGAATGAAAAAGAAATAAATCTTGTGACTTCGATGTGACGTGGTGTGATATGTCATGTTTCATGGGTGCTTAATCCCAGAGTAAAAATCGTACTAACAGTGAAATTGAAGTGTGCATGATGTATTTAACATGGACGTTTGCGGTGAACCACAGGCGCAGCAACCTCACAGTGACTTTTTGCCACAGTCATTGGTAGTGGAGGCACAGGCCCACAGTCATTGGTAGTGGAGGCACAGGCACCCTAATGGCCTGCCTCAGCACCTAGAGGTTCACTAACTTGGGCTTTAATGACACCAGCCGCGGCACCCCCGCCCGGAGTTCCGCCACCACCCAAAAGCGCCGCTGGTGGAAAAAGCGACACCCGTAAAGTTGTTTTTGGCGACTTGCTTCCCAAGCACACGCACTTTCGCACTCCAAGCAAACCATTTACACACCCCCTACGAAACGAGAGCCAAACCACAAGACGCCGAAGGTCGAATTTACATTACTTTTTCATATTGAGACTCTCACCACGCGTTTCGACGGCTGTCTCCAGCCAACAATGTTGTTCCCGGAGGAAGATGCGCCGTTGCTAAAGACTTGGATCGTAAAGCGCATAGAAAACACGTAAGAGGCACCACACGCACACTTCCGCAGGTCTCTAGCTACGAGAAACGTTGCTAATCTCTCTATCTCTCTTCAACAGGTCGGACGCAGACTCGGATGTCCTTGCAGACTATGTCATTGCTCTGCTGAAGCACGACGGCGATAGGGACGCGGTGCGCAAGCTCTGCGAAGCTGAGATTCCCGACTTTCTGACAGAAGGTTAGACACTGCACTTGGGACACACACTACCTAGAAGCTTGAATGCTAACAGCCGCACAGAGCCAAAGGCGTTTCTGGACGATGTCTTCCAAGCAATTACATACAGATCGTACGCTCCCGGGGCACCACCTGCCCCAAAACTGACGAGCACAACCGAAGCGAAGCACGAACAACAACAACAACCGAATACCGATGCTACTGCTTATAACCCGAGAAAAAGAGGAATAGATGAGACTGAAGGATCGCAGTTCAACAACTTTAATCCTAGCTTCGATGGAGAGCGCGCTGTAAAGCAACCTCGACGAGGTGGGCGCAACGGTAGACAGCAAGGGTTTGGCCCTGGTATGCCTCAGTTTGATGCCAGCAACCCCATAGAAGCGTTTATGCAGATGCAGCAGGCCATGGCTATGCAGTTTCCGGGTATGGCCGAGCAGATGCGCATGGGTTTCGGCCGCGGAGCACCAAAGCAGCGGCGCCGTGGTCGATGCCGTGACTTTGACGTCAAGGGCTACTGCTCACGGGGAAATACGTGCATGTTTGATCATGGAAATGAATCCGAATCGCTCGATTATGACGAAAACTACGACCCGAGAGAAGCTATGATGCAAATGGCAGCCATGTTCAACCCTATGGGAAACCAACGGCCAAACGACAACCCCCGCGGCGGGCGCAACAAGAGAGGACGCGGAGGTAGAAAAGGCGGCGGTAGAGCAGAATTTTCAGCGGAAGGTCCTGTGCACGATCGATCCAAGACGGTCATTGTGATTGAAAACATCCCAGAAGAACACTTTACAGAGGAAGCAGTCCAAAACTTCTTCCAGCAGTTTGGAGCAGTCACCAATGTTGATATGCGGCCGTATAAGCGCCTTGCTGTTGTCAAATTTGATACATGGGATGCCGCAAATGCAGCCTACCACTCACCAAAGGTCATCTTTGATAACAGATTTGTTAAGGTCTTCTGGTACAAGGAGCCAGGAGAGCGAGTGACACGTAATGATGGCAACGGCGGGCCATCGAATGGTGACGATGTTGAAATGCAGACCCAGCTTGATCCTGAAGAGTTTCAACGCCGACAAGACGAAGCGCAGAAGCTGCACAACGAACGAGAAGCCAAGCGACTAGAACTTGAGCAACAGAAGCAGGAACTGGAAAAGAAGCAGCAAGAATTACTACTGAAGCACCGCGAAGAAAACGAAAAGCTACGTGCAAAGCTGATGCCAAAGGATACAGAGTCTAGCGAAGCAGGCGCCTCAGAAGGTACCGAGATGCTGCGCGCCAAGCTTGCCGAGTTGGAGCAAGAGGCCAAGTTCCTGGGCATTGATCCCGACGCTAGCCAAGACTCCAGTGAGTATCCTCCTCGAGGCGGGTATCGCGGACGTGGTCGTGGAATGCGAGGCCGTGGCCGAGGTGGTGCTCCCAGAGGCGCACGAGGCTCGTTTCGCGGCACAGCAAGACACGCCACATATGCCCAGTATTCTCTTGACAACCGGCCCAAGACGGTCGCCCTTACTGGCGTCGACTTTACGGCACCTGAAAAGGACGAGGCCCTGCGTCATTTGCTTTTGAATACATGCGAATTCATGTCCATTGACACGAGCGCCGAAACCACAAACGTCAACTTTACAGACCGGAAAACAGCCGAAAAGTTCTACTACACCGTTCACGGCAACGAGCTGCCCGGTATCGAGGGCAAGATTGAGGCTGCTTGGGTGAATGGGTCGAGTATCCCTGCTCCAGCTTCTGTCGATAAAGCTGACCAAGCTGATCTTGGCGATGCGACGGCTTCCCTATCAAGGGACTATGATGGCCAGGATGATAATAGAGAAGACAACAGAGATGATCATGGAGCAGGAGATGATAGAGTGGTTGATATGGACTATGAGATGCCGGGCGATGAGCACTGGTGATAGTAAAACTATTTGTACATTACATCAACAACATATAAGTTATACATTAGGCACATATTATAATGTAACGGTAATACTTGATCTTACGTTTACATGGTTCGTAACATTGGATTCACAGTTGGTAGCGAGATGAGCAAAGGGTATTAGACATGGAAGTTTGATCCCTAGAGTCAGGACCGATATATTAACAAAGACGCCAATGTCTAGAGAAACGCCCGCAGGAGAGATGATCCACGCTAGGGCCGGTTTCTCGCGTACATGTTGGGTACGCATCTACCTATATATATGGATATATGTATATATAGTGTATGAATTTTTGATAAGTGATAAAATCAGAGGGGGTATCGTTGAGATATTTTTCCGTCATGCATCCGTAACAAGTAAAAAAACAAGAAAAAACAAAAGGTTGTCCGGCTGAGAAATCAATCGCCGAACCCGTTCGGTGCGCCAGCCAAAAAGAAGTGTTGCGTATACCTTTTATAAAATTTTATACCAGCGCAAAAAAAGCAAAAAGACCAGAAAAACAGGATATGCATGCTCTCAGTGCAACTTTTTGTTGAAGAAGTTCACTGGCTTTTGATCCGTAAAGAAGAAGAGGGACCAAACAAAGAAACGCCGGGGGCAGCCAATTTATGGCCCGTTATGAAGTCTTTTCTTGGTGTGAAGACTTGGAATATTATATAGGCTGTCATATTTAACCAATGACAGGGGAGGAAGCCATGTCGGCTACCTGGAGTCCCTTGAAGAGGTCGAACAGAGTCTCGTTATCGTGGAAGTCGTTGTTCACTACGAGTTTTTGGGTTAGTACATGTTGTAATGAGTCAGTCGGACAAACGAGAATGCTTACCAATGTTAACCAGGTACCACTGGTCCATGACCTTTTCGAGGAGGACACGGCTGGGAGTGTTGGCCTCAAAGCAGTGAGCCCAGTCGACACCGAGGCGGAAGGCCTCGTCCTTCCAGGCGAGGAAACTGATGCTCTCGACAATGGTGGGCTGGACAATCTCCTTGCCAGGGAAGACACCCCAGGTGACGGCGTTGGGGCCGTCGCTAGGGGCGTTGGTCTGGAGCTCGCCATCCTTGGTGACGGCGTAGTAGGTCAGGTTGGCGTCCTTTTCGATGCGGGAGATGACCTCGGGCATGACCTCGGGGGCAACAAGCAGCTCGAGGTATCCCTTCTGGTAGACGTAGCCGTTGGAAGGTCCCCAACCGTGGACAGGGTGAGAAGACTTGACGCCGTCAACACCGGGCTGGGAGTTGATGGTCAGGAATCCCTTTTGGTTGAGTTCAACAAGCTTGTCCTTGATGGAGTTGGATTCGGAGGTCAGAGGTGCCTCACTCCAAGGCAAGGTATCCACCTCGTTGTTGAGGTATCTTACAAAGAGGTTGGCAATGTCCTTGACGGACACAGGCTCACCCCACTTGTTGCGGTTGGCTTCGTTGGTGCCGGTCAAGCCAATGCCGTAAGCATCAAGCTCACCAAAGGCGGGCGATCTGGAATCACCCCAGCGGCCGTTGGGGAACTCATCCCAGTCCTGGGTGCGAAGAACATAAGACTTGTTGCGGTTGCGCCAGAAGATGGGACGAACATCCTCCTCGCGACGGCCAAGACCCTTGGATGGCTTCCAGGGAAGGGCCTGTTGCAGAGGGCGCTCGGCAGAGGGAGTCCAGTTAAGTTCCTCCAAAACCATGCGTGTGGCGTTGGCAAGGTTCATGGTGTAAAAGTGCAGGTGGTGAATGCCGTTGGCAACGAGCTTGCGGCACATGTCAGCCACAAGGTTGGTGCCCAGCTCTCTGACAGCAACATCATCGTTCTTCACAGGCTCAAGAGTATCAAGCCACTCTTGGGGAATCTTGCACTGCATGTGGTTGGCACGGCGGAGGAAACTGGCGTATGTGGCGATGGGCATGATGCCGGGAAGAATAGGAATGGTAATGCCGAGGTCACGAACGCGGCCAACCCAGCGGATGAAGTTGTCGGCGTCGTAAAACATCTGGGTAACAATGAAGGAAGCACCTGCGTCGACCTTGATCTTCAAGTGCTCGAGGAGCGACTCCTCGTCCTTGTTATCGTCGCAGCCTTCGGGGTAGCCAGCAACACCAATTGAGAAGTGGTCGCCGTACGTCTTGCGAATATGTTTGACGAGATCGCTGGCGTACTGGAAGCCGTCCTCGGTAGCCGTCCAGGTTTCCTGGTTACGGGGAGGGTCGCCACGGAGCGCAAGAATGTTGGTGCAGCCAGCCTTGTAGGCACGGTGCAGAGCATCGTTGACCTTTTCGAGGCCCATGTCGGTGCAGGTAAGGTGCATACATGTCTCGAGACCATACACTGTCTGTGCCTGGAGGACCATTTCGCAGGTAAGCTCGGCAATGCGGCCACCGGCACCCCAAGTGATATCAATGAACTTGGGACCGAGGTTGTACATTCTATCCATACGCTCGTAGAGGTTCTGCACACCCTGCGCCGTCTTGGGCGGGAAGTACTCAAACGAGAACGAGGGCTCTCCGGTCCGCTTGGACTCGTCGAGCATCTGATTCAAATGCATGTTGGGCGGTAATTATCGAGTAAAAGGCGTAAAAGAAGGAAAGAAGAGGCGAGATGAAATGCAGTCGAGGACGGAAGGGGAGCGGTGTCAGCAAAAGCCAAAAGCAGTACAGTATGGGCGGTCTGTCTGCAGCAGCTTCGAGAACAGGTGATGACGCTGTCGTAGGGTGAATAAAAGAGTCGACCAGGTGCTTCAATGCCTCACACACAAGAGGCTATCGGCACTAATCGGGTAGATGATGAGGATAGGAGAAGAAAAGTAAATTGCGGAGAGAGGGGCTCAAAGTTGGAGATGGGGGACCAAAAGGGTTTTTGAGTAAAAAGGCGGCTCTGGGTGCTGGTTTTTGACTCACGGGCCGATGGGGCGGTTTTCAGAGGGAGGGGCAAAGAGTGGTCTTTTTTTTTGGGCGCTGGATCTGGAAAACTGCAGGAACGGAGAAAGGAGGGGTACTTATTTTTGTTGGAGGGGCAGAAGAGGGAGAAGAGCAAAAAGAAGAAAAAGTGCAGGAAAATACTGCGCAGCGTAAAATAGAGGGAATTAGCAGTTCAAATACATTCACGGCAACACAAATTGGCCCATTGAAGCCAGAAACTCCCGGCTCCTGTCCCAACAAGCCTGACAACGAAAAGCCCGCAGCAGCCTGTATGTAGCATGCGCCGACCTGCAACTGCACTGCACTACACTGCAAGTTAGGCGCTAATTACTCCGGCGTACAGCTGTGCTTGCTGCCGGTGCGGGGATCACCACCCACTGATGCGCTGCTGCAAATTGATGAACTCGGGGCACCTGTTGCAGCTGGCAATTGGCAGTCATCCCGGCACCGGCGGATTCTCTTTTTGCACCCAGTACGTAAACCCGGCCAAACATGCATCGTCAGCATCACCAACACAGTCAGTCTTTCTTCACATGTTGACTCATTTCCATTCCGTAGTTTGTGCAACGTAGCGCTGCTGCTGCAGCAATAAGTTCCTCCCTGCACACAACAAAAAAAAGACCAAACGGGACAAACAAACCCCCCCGCCACATGCTTGGAACATCGCCCAGTGGATTCACTAGCCGCTATGGCGACATCTCAAAAGACCCATCTGCACCAGCTTCATCCACTGGGCACAAGGCACCAGGACCTAACCTGACTGGCTAGGGACCACTCACCGACCACCCGTCTTTCCACAGTGGATGCTCGCTACCATGCGGCGCAACAAAGCACAAGGCCCTGGGGACGTCATTTCGCAGCGTCGGCAGAGCACACAGGGTCGTATCCGTATTCCCCATATGACGAACTGCCGCCCGACAAAATCCTCGACGAGGGTATAAACTACCAATTTGAATGGCTTGGGAAACACTCAGCTTCCTCTTTAAGTCAGCAGCCTTGTCTCTTTTTTACTACTAGCTCAAGCCGATGCTTGCCACAGCTGGCCCCATCGTCACTTAACAACAACCGATAGAAACGGCTGACGACTTGTTCGGAGTAAAAAAAGACCGCCCAGTCAGCCTGTACACCGTTCTAAATAGCCGAGACACATCATATAGCTGCGTGGCTGCAAGTGCGTAATCTAATCGTGATATTCATTTACATGGTATATATTACACAAGGAACACCATCTCTTAGGTGGTCTTCATTCGCAACGCCGGTGCACCTCGAAGCCTTCGAAGTCTGTTGCTGTTGGATATAATATCCCGATCAAACAAGAACCACCAGCGCTCAAAGAATATCTGTCCTACCTCCCATCCGTTGGGATCACATGGGTCATCACCGAATATCCTCACACCTTCCGACTCATCTTCAAAGTCGTAGGCAAAATTGAGCAGCGCCATGGGCCCTGTTGCATTTGGCGGCCGCATCTGGTCTGGTAGAGAAAAGATGCCAATCACTCGCTCTCGCACATTTGGCCACGGCATAAAGTCAATCATAGGATGGTGCTTGGTAAGAACTTGAAGTGGCGTTGGTTGCCACGCTACCGGCAGCTGGTCAGCCGGAGTCGCTGTTCCCATATTGAACGGTGAGTTGGCGTCCAGCTCCCACATGTTTCCAGTCGCGCCGATGCGGTCGGCAATGCGCTGAAACGCTCGTATAATAGTGAGTCCTTGCGTAGGAAGTAGAAAACTGTCAATAGGTAGCCCTTCTGGTGATGAACCTGCCGATGATCCTGACAGCGCGTTTGAGGATTCTGGAGAGCCTAGGCTCAGCGTAAATATATCTGACGATCTGGCCGACATGGAAAGGACGCCTGGGTTGACACTGTCGTCTGAGGACCCCGTTTCCGTACCAAAGGCACACATATCGGGGACCGGTAGGTTATCAAAGGCTCCATCCCACGACGTGATGCCAATGTCAAACATGTCCAGCCCAGTCATGATCTGTTTTTCATTCGCTGCCACCTTGGGGCTGCATACGACTTCTTCAATAGTGTCGTCTACAGCATTATACTCAGAACAGTCCTTGCTTGACGCGACGCTAGAGATTTCCTCTGCTTCTTTGTCAGCTCTGTTTTTGCGTGCCAGACGCTTCTTTTCCCCTATTTGTAGTCAGCAAGGCTTGTCTTCCCTGTAGCAGCTAAGGCTATGCTTACTATATCGGCGCTGAGCCAAAACATTCAGAACACGTTTTCGCTCGGCTGCATCTTCTTCAATCTCAGGGACATCCAATTTGGCTGGTGCTTTGTGCTGTCTTTGTCTGGTTCTTGGTCGAGGAGCTGCCTGTGACCCCGGATTCGTAGTTGATGCCATCTTTAGAGTATGAATAAAATTTTATGGTATAGATGAATAGATCAATACCAACAGAGTGATAATTAGACCGTTACCACTGCAACGTCTCAAGTGGCAGACGCCATTGTCTTTATAACTGTCATCGGCCAAGCCGTGCCGTCGTATCAGCCGCCCCACTGAGCATAACGCGAAACAAGAGCCTTACGGATATTGGGTACAACACCAAGTATGGGTTATTGGGCAAATTCAAAGTACCTTTTATCAGTTTTTGCCCACCAGCCTCAGCCTCTGCCTTCGGCGAGTATCGTGAATTTCACGGCTCAAATTGGCCAAATGCAGCGCTGAATGTTAAATGTTGGCTTGGATTTAAAAAGAAATGTATAAATAAAAAAAGCGATTAATTTCTACTGGGTATTTGTTATAATACATCTGAATGAATAAAACATGGTTTGCGATATTAGTGTAAATAGTAGACAAAACGTTGTAAAGGACATTAATGCTTGCCCGAAAGAAATTGTGTTTGAATTAACCTGTAAATAGCTAAATAAGTCCACTGCTTTCAACAAAGTTGATTAGCTTCCTTAGCTCAGTTGGTTAGAGCTTCGTACTAATACTACTCGCCAGAGCAAGTCTCAGTAATGCGAAGGTCGCAGGTTCAAGCCCTGCAGGGAGCAATCGTTCTCAACGCTAGTTGACTTTGTTTTTTTGTCATTTTTGTCACCTTCCGAACTTTCCGTCACTCTTATTGGTTTCTCTTTTCTCTTTTCTTCTTTTTTTCCTATAATAACAAACTACACGCTATGTCTGCCGTTGTTCACGTAACACTGCCGCGGCTATGCCCGTCCTCATCGACGTGCGTGTAAAAGGAAGGAGCGCCGCACTTACCCTGCGTCGTTGACATCACAACCAAGCAAAACCCAGCACAGCGTGGAATTTCGTACCTATCATAGACAAATGTTAATTGACCCAGTTTATCAACATAGCCTCCATGTTATAGTAAAGAGTTTTATCGTTTCCAGCTATTGTTTTGTGACGACGTGCTGCCTTTATACTTCCATCATCGCTATTATGGAGTACCACTATTCCCTGCCGTCCAGGCAGAGTTCGCTGAGGTCAGCAATGGCAAACGAAAGTATTCGACATCGGACAATTGCTGGCCCTGAAGTTGCTCCCCTTGGATTTAAACGGCCAAGAATCATTTCATATCACACGCGCGCTGACCGAGTCGCCCCCGTTGCAGAATCCGAGAAAGAAAACCTTCAAACCTCTGGTGACGAGTACTCCGGTTTCCAACCAATGTATGGCGGTGGTATGGATGAAAAGGCCTTTAACCCGGCAGATTCAGGAACCTGGGGATTTACTCCATTACCATTTGCGGATGCCAAACCAACAGACCCCAGTCAAAGAGCTCCCTCTGGATTCCTCAACGTGGACGATGACGATGCCTCTCTATTGGCTAGTCCGATAATCCTACCTTCACCGGAACCAATGCCGAATTCGGACGAGTTTCTGAAACTTATCAAAGAAAATCTAAGGCTCACAAGCACTGACGATGACATTCCAACGCACGACAGCAAGGACGGCCATGGCGAAGACGGCCACGAGCACATGACCTCGTCCATTTACAACTCAAACGAGTATGATGCGTCTGGTTTTCAATCGCCCATATCCGAAAGTGGAAACAGATTGAGTCTCTCTAACCTGGAAAAGTATAGCAAGGCAAATGACCGTCTTTCGAATCTGCGTAGCAGTTCTGGCGCGTCTACAAAACCAGAATCCAACGCAACGGAGCTGGGTGACGTACTGACCGAAGCACTCACGGCAGCAAATGAATAGAATGATGAGTTGCCCATTGATAGACAGTCTGAAAAGGGGGATAGGATCTCACAGAGTCAAGAGATTTCGCTGGAGACTGCGCTGTCCTATTCGCTCACTCCGCCCTGTGTTTTGAGGCCGATGCCAGGACTTGGCCGCCAGCGTTCGATTACTTAGCGTGCAACCGAACGGCACCATGATGATAATCGATACAGCACTGAAGAAGCAGGAAGAGCTCAGTTGGATGGTGGCTACGACTCAAAAAGGTTCACCTTTAAACGGAGCACCATTGCGCCATCGTCCTCGGAGTACGAGGATGACGCCTACGGACCGAGACTTTCATATCAGGCGAAGCGCAAAGCGTCTACCTTTTCTCTCCGTAGCTTAACCAGGTCACTCTCAAAGAGGCCGCGCCTGAAGCTTCGCCAGTGGGCAAACCATGTTATCGAGAAAGGAAGCCGCCATTTTGGCATGGCCAAGACACGGTGGAAACACCAGACGGAACAAGAACGACGGGATTACGCCGCCTAGAAGGCCAATCGTCGGAGGAACCGGCCAGCTGATGCTTTAATACACAAGTCAGAAAAGGGATTTGGAACGTTTTCTTTGGAAAGGTGCCGTCACGGAGATGAAGAGTGGTGGAAAGAAGGCGTCAGCAAATACCAGGCTCCGTCCTGGATGGTCTTTACTCAAGGAAGAGAGTAGTGGTGATCAGTACGGCTACTGTTGTAGACGACAAAAAAGGCAGAACGACCGAAGTTCATTAGTCATTAACTATGCATACGCAATGCTATTATGTATTATAAAAAGTGCCATGTACTAGAACGCCGGGTGTAAATGGGATTATGATAATGTGCGTCAGTGAAATTAAAGCATATACCGAAACGGCGAAGTACCGTCTCTTGTGTATTTCCAGGAGCCAACCAGGCCCTGCTCTTCCTCGCCTACGGGTGAGTTTGAACCCTGCGCGGCATCCATCTTGTCGTTTTGGCGTTTCATATAAAACCGGAGCACGGAGGCTATGATTGCGACAGCGAGCATGGCAACGGCGCAAGTCTGCATGCCGTGAGTATAATAGGGCGCATCGCGATCCGGATATAGACGGGTGCCGACCAAAGGACCACACTGGCCTATAAGCTGCATAATGGCAAAAGCACCGCCCTGTCGGGTTTCAGAGCGCTGGTTGTTGATGTTCCACGCAATGGTGAGGGTGACGACGTTGAAGAAGCCAATGGCGGCAGGATATATAGCAATGTATCGTAGGATGGCAGGCAGCTTAAAGGGCTCGGCGAGAGCTAAAATAGCGTAGCCAGCAGCCGACGATAAGGCGTGGAAGACAAGTGGCACGGTGCGGACGCGCCAACGATCCGACATGTGGGCGGTGAATAAGACGATTATAAAGGATATAAGATAGGGAGGGGCCGAAAGAGCCTGTGATGTAATGGGACTGTTGCCCATTTCAACAAGAATTTTGGGCAGAAAGACGGGGAGGGAGGAGTAGGCCATGTTGGTGAGGAAGAACATGGCTGCCGTGAGCCAAGGCACGGGATCGACAAAGAGCGGCGCAAGATCCATCAAGCGGAAGCCAGAAGTTGGCTTCTTGGGCGCAAAAAAGGATGATTGGGGCCCAGCAGTGTGCCCAAGACGTAGACGGGCGACCTGCTTCTCTCGTGCTGTAAGATAGGATGCCGTCTGAGGAGAATCGGGTAGGACAGACCACGCCGCCACTGCGGCGAGGACCGACGGAAAGCCTTCAATGAGGAATAGCAGACGCCAGGGGGCAATGGGAGTAAGGTGGGCAATCTGCAAGATGAGCCAAGCGAGTGTCGAGGCAAATGTCGTGGCCAAAGGGGCGGCTAGAACGAGTAAACTGGGTTAGTCGCGTGAGGTATATAAGAAAATCATAGTAACTGTTGCTGTTCTTACCTGATATAAATATAGCCGTGCGAAAGGCTAGCTCCTCTCTCTTAAAGAAGAAGCTCATATAAAAGGGAATACCGGCGAATGCAGCCTCTCCAATGCCGAGCAGGGCGCGCAAGCCAACGAGCATGGGATACGAAGTAGCAACCGCCTGGAGAGACGCAGTGATGCCCCAAGCAAAGACGGAGCAGGAGATGAGGATATGTGCTGGAACAACGCGGAAGAGCAGCGCCATCCACTCAAATGCAATGTAAGTTAGGTAAAAGGCCGTGAGACACCATTCGTACCAGTCCTCTCGTCGGGGAAGGGTTTGTAAGTCCTCTTCCATGCCAGCGATACGCGCGTTGCCGATATCTACAAGTAGTAAATCTATGGTTAGCAACATGAAGATCATCTCAAAAGTCACATGGGAAAAAAACGTACTCGATCGGTCGAGGAAGCTCAACATGAATAGTAGAGCGACAAACAGTACGAGCTTCCTATCAAACTTGCTGCGTACAGCCAAGTCTTCTGCCGGCGTAAACGTCTCGTCGTCCATGGTGGCGCCGATGCCCGTGCCAAAGCTGACAGCCGTGCTGGCCGAGCTCATGGGCCGCATAGAGCCTCGCCTTGTATTTATTCTGCTTGATGATGCTGCTGCTGCAGCTCGCGCAGAGGACGCCATATGTGATTGCATCTCGTAGGCCTCGGCACCTTGGCCGGCTTCGGAGGTCAGATCGATGGCATCTTCGTCGAGGTAGTTGAAGAGTTCGGAGGCGCTGTCGTCGAGGATCGGGTCTGCGCCGGTCTGGGCAAATGATGGAGAAGCCTCGCCGGGGAGGAGGGACATCGCGGGCAAAGGAGGAATGATTCCCCTATTCTGCTCGCCAAAGGAGAAGCGGAAGGGGGGCGGTGGTGGCGGGAATGATATACGGTGAGTTTAGCAAGTTGATGCCATGGGGAAGCTGTGTGTGTATGTGTTGAGTAATAATTAGGTTGGAGATGAGACGAGTCGAGATGGCAATGCCGATGGGTGAATTGGATGGAAACGAGGCGTTCTGGGTGAATGGCGATGTTGCTTGGCTGAGCTGAGCAATGACGTTGTACTTTGGCGCTAAAAAGATTAGCGGTTACAGGGGGCCGCAGCGCGTGGCTACAGTGCATTAACCGCATCGATTTACAGTGGACAAGGCAGGGCGGGTTCCACAGGAGCTCCCCGCAATTAATGGGCACCAACAAGCTTGATATCATCACGAGTGTGTTAGGTTGCAGTGAGTTCAGTTGTGATGCTTAGATTTGGTTGTCACCATAGTCAACCACCGCGTAGATATAATCTTATTATAAATAAAGGATAAACTTAACTGTCAGAAATGTAGGTGCTGCATTATGGGGCTTATGATGTGTATTCTATTAGTCTAGGTACCTTCTTTGGAAGAATACTGATCCGTAGCTAGTTATTTCCACTAAACACAAGACTCGTGACCTTGGGCTACTCTATAAATCTAGTACCCCTCCTTAGTCCAAGAGGTCTAGAGAGCTACCTAATCTAAATTACATGTTGTAATACCTATAACGCCTATTGTTCTCGTTAAAAAAAACCCAGTGGGAAAAAGAGTGACGACCTTTGAAATATTTACTGTAAGTTAATTCTCTAACTATTTGCTGACATTCTCGCCAAAGACGCCAAATTTCACGAACGAACCAAGCACATTCGAATCCGATATCACAAAGTGCGCGAACTTGTCACTGATAACACAATTAATAGCTTCTAGATACCGCGGAAGGAAAATCCCGCAAACCTCGATATTGAGGCCCTTGGCAAGGACGAGTTCGCGCACTTTGTGATATCGGATTCGAATGTGCTTGGTTCGTTCGTGAAATTTGGCGTCTTTGGCGAGAATGTCAGCAAATAGTTAAAGAATTGCCCTTAACAGGCTCAGAGGTCGTTACTCTGTTTCCCACTGGGTTTTATCAATATTAAGAGTGAAAAGGTTTACAAAATACCAGCATCTTGCAAACAGAGCTTGCCGTTCAGTTCTGTATTGTATTTCCCCTTCAGACCCCATATCCTTCTCAAATTCTAGATATCCCGGACGATATAAATCAATCCATATTCGTCGATCTAGCTCCGCCTTCTCTGCTCCCTCTAAATCAATACAGCCTGCCTGCATCCCTCGAATCATGTCTATCATTAGTCCGAGCAGCCATGGGTGTACAGCTTCAACGTACTCGCCAACTGAGACGTAGCTATACTTTGCAGCCTTGACTTCAAGCGGTTGGAAATCAAAAGCCTTCTCTCCACATCCAGGACAGTACCGTAGGTCCATGATTTCATATTCGTATTCACGGCTATGCGCACCTGGCCAATATCCATTCCATTCTGTAAGCATGCCGGATCGGACGCTAATAGATGCAACCAGTGGGTTTAGAATGGGCAGCTCTGCGATAGCATGGAGTGATTCCTTTGTTGTCTGTGTTGCTGGTATTACGTATGGTTCTGTATCGAATTGCTTATCCACGGCTTTGGCGACGCGGATGTCTGATATAGGCCCAAATAATGGCCATTGCAAACGGCACAGGTTCCGTGATAGATCGGGCCATGGTCGAACCTCAGACCTAGTTGTTGGCGTTGGCGTTTGGGCCATTTTTATTTAGTTGGGAAATACAATAAGTTACGTTTAAAGAAAACTGAGAAAGACTCCAACTCTGAATGCATGCATGTTGAGTGAATTGTGGATAGCTTCAGAGGGGGGGCCGTAATAGAGATAGCGCAGGGCTTTGTCCGCAAGAGAATCCAAAGATGGAGGAGGCGTGCAGATGATTATCCTTCTAGATAGAATAAGTCTTACGTATATTGCACTTGTGATAAATATTTTTGTTTTGATAATCTGATTGTTTCTTTTCATGCATGTCTGGTGGCGGTTATAACTAGGTTCTATATATACATTTGGTAGGCGCTACTGCTACTGTCCACGCCGTGCTGTGCTATGCTGTGCTCTGCCGTCTCGCGGGTGCCTAATCTTTGTGGTAATGGTAGTGGTAGTGGTTTTCATATCGTTGCAAGTCGTGTTGTTCTTCATCAATCCCCGCTCTCTCTCTCTCTCCTTCTCGATTTAGCTGCCGGTGCTGGCACTCGTGGTGGTCGTCTTCCACTCGGAGCTCTCCTTGCGGTTGAATAGCCGCTTCAAGCTCAGCTTCCTTCGCAGGCTTTGTCGTGGTTTGCCGCTGGGCGAGTCTTCGGGCACAGGCGGTGGTGTCATGTGCGAATAGTCGCGCGATGTGCTTTCTCGTGGTGTGAGCTCATGGCCGGACGGTTGTGGGCTGTTGGGCAGAGGCCATTCGTCTCCGTGGACAGAGCTTGCGCCTGGAGTTGCTAGCAGTGGCGCAGGCGACTCAGGCTCGGCACCAACATCTTGGCTTCTATATGAATCTGCATCCGAAAGCAGTTTTGGTGCCGGTCGATTCTTTTCCACTTTGATCGGGGTCATGGGCTCAGGCTCGATATCACGCTTGGGCTGGATAATGGCAGGCGCAGATGGTGCAGTAGGCGGGTTTCCTTCTTCCCTGGACACGACAGCTTCGGTAGTCTTGGCGGGCAGTTCCATCGTCTTAGGGAGCTCGGGGTCCTCCACAGGCAGCGCGCTGTTCTTGACTGTTCCTACACTCCTAACAGCTCCTTCAGCGTCACCATCTTCTTCCTCTTCGTCTGCGGGAACATCGCGCTCGCCATCTCCGCAGACAACCACATGCCAACCAATGGCAGCGCCGTCTTGGACCTTGTCGCGCAGTTGCGCAAACCATGACGAGCTGGCGTATCCCTTTGTGTGCTCTTCGTAGCGAGCCATTTCGTCGGCGATGCTGGCGCCTAAGTCGATGCGGACTGCGTAATCAGCAACGTAGGCGTATGGTCGCGCATGGAATGTCTCATTGGAGGGGTCGTATTCCTCCAAGAGCTTGACGGGCGACCAGGCGTGTCGAAGCACGGCGTCATCGGGCATCGCATCTCGCGTGGTGCCGTCGATGGCGTCGGGCGAGGCGGGTGTGGTGCCATTGGCGGTTGGTTTTACTGGGTGAAGCTTGGCATGCTCGTCAATGGGCACAAAGTCAAAGTTGTCGGCAAAGTTGTTGAGAATCAGCGAGGCTGTGGTGGTTCCAACAACCCAATCTGGCGCCGCCTCCTCGAGGTCGTTCATGATGACGTAGATTCGGACATCTGCGCGCTGCCACCGGAAACCATGGCACAGATAGGCAGGCATTGCAACAGACACGCTGTAGCGAGGGAATTGGTTCGTCGGGGGCTAGAGCTTGTCTGCGGTAAAGAACTTCGAATATCGAGGCGGGTGTTTGTGTGGTTGGTGGCGCGATGTTGGAAGCTGGGTTGGCTACTTGCGTGTTGCAGATGGCGAGACAAGGAAAAGAAAAGTCAAACGAAACGGATCCACGCTAATTGTTGTGTGAAAATAAAGAGAAGACAAACGACGGAAGAGGAAAATACGAGATTGCAAGAAAGAGTGAAACGGAGGAAACGAAACGAGACGAGACGAAAGGAAAGGCGGCACAGGCGGGCTGGCGCGCTGAGGAGAGAGGCTGACATGCAGCGAGCGGAGAAACGGCAGCCACTAAAGCCGGGATGCCCGCCCTGTACGGTGAGAAGCTGGTGGTGGTGGCTGTACAGTATAAACAGCGCCCAGTATTAGCGCCTATAGCATGTACACTGCAGTTACCAAGGCGCAGGCAGTGGAGGAAAAACACCGCTAAAAGGAAACCCTTGCCCAGGCGGATGGGTTGCTTGGAACGGGCCCCGTTAGTATCCCCTGTAAATACTGAACGGTCTCGGCCCGCCCGCTTTCTTTTGAACCTGTTCAGTGGGCGCTGTCGCTCACTACAGCACAATTTTTTTTTAGCGGGCAGCGCGCTTTTTCCATTGTCTCGCGTTGCGTGTCTTCCCCGTCACTGCGGAATGTAAGCCCGCGACTTTGCGTGACGTTAACATTGGACAAAGATAAAGAGGGAGCAGCAAAGACATGTGAAAAAGAAGTTAACAAAAAATTTAAAGGCAAAATATGTGAAAGAATTCTTGTTCAACAGTTGGACTGTGCGGCACTGTGCAAGAGACAGCACAGCTCTAGCAAGGCTGGCTTGTAGGGCTATTATTCACTTACAAGTCTTACAATACAGACTATAAAGACCAAGCGACTCCGCAACTCCAATGAAGAAAAATATAGACGCTTAGAGAGGAGAGTGTAAAATAAGCAACCCCCAACGGAAGCAACAAGAATTGACTTAAAAATTCAACATAAATGTACAACGTTATTTGATCAACGGCATGGGTGTTTAGGGTACATTTTGTAGACATGCCGCACAAGATGGAAATGTAAATCTACCTTGCTTCTGCCGTCATATTGTTCTCTATTTCCCACAGGGCCAACCATGAATTTCACAAGCTGCCGACCAACTTAAATATCACTATTGGAAATTAATCTAGCTAGCACCTATCACTCAACACCCTATTACTCATGGCCTTATCGAAGAGCTACATGGTGCTCATGGTATCCATTGTAGCCAGCCCTGTCAAAAAGCCTTGATTACTGTTCAGATTGAGAGCGCCACCATATTCGCTGCTTCATTATGTTAGATGATAGATATGCACAACAAAAGCCACACCCACACAGCTGATAAAAATCTTTTTTTATTTTTCTTCTTATCCATACTCGTACAAAAGAAGCAAATATTTTGTCTGGAAATGCCTCTAGATCTCTGTAAATAGTCGCTACTTTTGGATCACACAGCATGCGTAAACAACACAGCCTGAAGTTGTATGCAAAAACAAGGATAACTTCACCTCCAATGCATGTACCAAGTAAGGATTTGCAATTGTTGGATGAGTGTATAAAAGTATGTTACATCTGGGGAATTCCGGAAACCTTGTGTCCGTAGAATTCTGCTTAATCAGGCAATGTAGTGCTCAGTAAGACCAGTCGATAGTCATCCTTTGCAGTAATACCCGCGAGGATTGATATATGCACCAACGGGGCTACTTACTACTACCAATATACGTGATATGGTGGGAGGAAATGAAGACCTGTTAGGTCAGCTATCTAACCTCAAGAGTCGAGTCACAAGGTATTAAGGATTCATGCTCTCCCCTCCCCAACGAATACATTTTCTTGCACATCATCCCCCTTCACACTCCTCATACAAACAAACTACAATTTGAAACTAGCAACCTATTCATCATGCTTGCTCAGACTATCCTGATCACGGCCTTTGCGGTCATTTCTGCNCCCCCGCCGCGAGAATGACCCTGCTGAATGCCAACGCGGAGCCAAATGGTGCGCATCTGGAAGCGCTTGCGTTGAAGAGTCTCATGGAACCTGCGTGTGGTATTACTGCCAGGCAGGAACCCTGTAGGAATGGATTGACTGCGGTGCCCGAGGATGCAAATACCAGAACGGCCAGCCCGCTTGTAAATAAGCGTGGAATCGTAGACAACCGAAGGATATATTGCAATGCATACTACAGTACATGTAATAAAATAAATTATACTATAAATATATTCATCTTACTTGAATCTTCCTAAAAGAAAGCCTATTCAACAGAATGCCGTCCTGTCAGTCTCTGCAATGGCCAGCTTAGGCGTTGCCGTATTAGAAAATGCTACTAGTACTTAGTAACGGATACAAAGAAAGTGCTAACAGTTCTAGGAGTCGAAAAGGTTCAAGTCACTTACTAGCAGCACCTCTTGTATATATTCAGTGATATAATTATTATATGTTTATATATATAAAGATGTAACCTCCAGTTATGCAACCTAGAACCCATGATAACCACGCATAAACTTAACAGATTCGAAACGCGGTAACAAAACAATTTGTGTAAAAATGCAAAATACAAAAACTCCTACACAAACAAACTTTTCGTGGTCGTCAGTCATAGACACCTGTCGTCATAGAAACAAAATATTTCACAATCTAAAAATCACCCAGGTCGTCCAATCCCATCAAATCGGCGCCAAAGTCAAACTCCATCTCTTGCATCATATTGTCCACCTCGGCATCTGTAAGTGCAAGTAGTGGCACGCTGTTCTCCGTGGCGGGTTGCGCAGACACCGACCCAAGCTCAGGCATCTTGTCTCTAACAAGCTCCTTGAACTTGGTCAGGAGCACAGGGTCTTCCGCTGCAGTAGTCTCGACCTCGAGAACCTCTCGCCCCTTTGCAATGAGAGCCTCATCAGTGGGAAGCGAGCCGTGCAGAGAAGCATGCTCTTCTACAAACGAAAGGAGACCTTGCTCCAGCTCACGCGAGCAAAACACGGCGGCAGGCTTGGAGCGAGGCGAGCGCAATGTGTTGAGGAAACGGTTCGCAGTAGAACCGCTGGCGGCCAACGGCTTCGTGTGTTCCTTGTCCTGGCGCACCTTGACCCGTGCATCTTCGCCGAACCGGTCGACGTGGCCCTTGGGGTATGCGTAAGGCGGCGCAAAGCCTGAACCGCCTTGCTCCAGAGCCCAGGCTTTGCTATCTGGAAGACCAGGCCCGGGGGCGGCGGTAATGCCTGCATCACGCTTGAAACGCTCCAGCCACTCGCAGTTGTCTGCAGCAGTCTGGTTCCATGGATCGTCACTGTAGGTTGTATTAGCGAGCGTTTTTAGAATACGAGAAAAGAAAGACATACTCATCATAGAGAATCCAGCGAGCCTGGTGCTTCAACTCATCATCGGTTGGAACGTGGCAGCTAGGGTTGTTTGGCGACATGGTCGACGCAACCCACCGTCTCAGCTCAGTGGCTAGACGGCGATAGCAGTTGGCATCGTTGAGGAAGAATGGAATAGCCCGAGGCATAGGTCCAGTGTAGCTATGGTACTCTGGGCTCACCGCCGACAGGGCGGCTGGAGTTACGGAGCTTGGGCCGGTGGATGGTGTCTGGTTCAGCGAGGTTCCAGTAGCAGCAGTGGTGGTGGCACCAGAAGATGACGGTGAACAACTGACAGCAGGATGACGGAACTTGAAAGCATGAAGCCATTCAATGTTGTCGGCTGCGGTCTGGTTCCATCCGTCGTCGAATTCGTAGATAATGATACGAGCCTGGCGCTGCAGATCCTCGTCGGTAGGCTCCTTGCCCATGCTTCGCTGCTGCTTCAAAAACTCGGCCAACTCAGACTCCAGCCGGGAGTAGCTGTGAATGGTCGAGTCAATGACTTTGGGATCTTTGGATCTGACCGTCTCGCTCTTCATGTCCTCGCTTCGAGGCAAATGGCACCGCCGTCTAAACGGTGCCAGCCAAGAGGTCGATGACTTGATGCGACGTAGCAGCCAGTTGGCAACAATCTCGGATGGGTGCGTGCAAGCCTCTTCAATACGGCCAACGATGCGGCAGGCTTCCTCCTGCAGCTCGTCGTCCATAGGCGTCAGGCCCAGTAGTTGTTTGGCCTTGACAAATTGGTGAAGCTGGTACTCCATGGGGCACTGCTCGAACAAGTTGTCCTTGCCGTTAATCTTGAGTGTATGCAGCCTGCTTTCGGCGGCACCACGAAGGGGACCGAATTTGGCTTTTTGGGTTAGCTCTTCTGAGTCCATGGTTATATCACGAAGCCATGAGTCTTGCGTGGCGATGCCTTGTAAAGACAGCAACTCAGAAGCGAAAATAATACGACAGCCTTCGAGGGTCATGTCGTCATCGGTCGGAGGGCGGCCGTGTTGTTCCCAGTGGTTGTTGTAGAAGTAGGCGAGCTCGTACTTGATGAGACCGTAGGCGTTGCGCGGCGATTCGGGAGGCGCTTGTTGAGCAATGTACGGCAAAGGAAGGTTGCGTTCATGATGAATAAGATCTATATGAATCAAAATACGATTACCAAACGTTAGAAACTGCCATCTGATCTACGGGGTATTTTAGAGGTCGCATACAGGGAGGAATAGAGTTTTCAACCATGTCCAGGACGGGGTTATCAAAACCCCAGTCACCCTTCCAGTCAGCCATGGAATAACCCGTCTTGAAGTGCTCCGCGAGATGGTCTACTCGGATGGTCCAAGTATCCATAACAATTCCACAGAAACCGCATCGTGACCGAATCTCCGGCGTGGCGACCTTCCAGGGCTGCATAGACCAGTCGCAAAACTTAACGTTGTGCACAAGGCGCAGGTGCTGGTTGAGGTGGTCCTTTCGGTAAAAGGTGCGCTCTTCCAGCGTGCGCTCCTGACAGGCAGAGTGGTTGTGAGACTCGACGTGGGCGTCATCGGGGTTCTCCAGCCCGCAAAAGACGCACGAGAGCTGGTTGGTATCAGGGTTGATGGCGCGAGGGCCATCGGGGGCGCACACCCATCTCTCGAGGGACAAGTGTAGCGACTTCTCGTGTCTCTGCCAGTCGTGCTTGGTTCGGAAGGTGTCGGTACAGAAAGTACACTGGAAGGTCTTGACTGGTGCAGTCAGACCGGTCTTGTATTCCTTCTTGGCTGTTGCCGTTCTTCTGCGGCGGCGACGATGGCCGCGAGAGCTAAAAGCGGCAGAGCCCAATGAGCCCCAAGAGTTGCGGGAGCCGTGGGAGTAGACGGAGCTGAAAGAGCCGTTGCTAGACTGCGAAGTGCCTGCACTGCTGATGGAAGACTGGTTGCACAGCGAGCGGCTGGATCCGTCGTCGGTGTAGTTGGCACTGAAGGGGCTGTTGAGGCCAGAAGACAGCGCCGATGAAGAGGCTGTGACGGCGCGAGCAATATCTTTGGCGGAAGCAGGTTCGTTCTCTGGGGGAGAGTGAGCCCAACGCTGCAGCGGGTTCATGGCTTCGAGGGCAGGCGTTCCCGGGCGTCTGGGGATATCAATAGATGAAGAGTAGTTCTTCGCCGTAAAAGCAGGTGAGGTCGATCGAGGAGGGTGAACCTTGCCACGGCGTCTGGCGTTGGCCAACCAATCGGTAATCTGCTTCTTGTTGAGGCCTGTCTGCCGTTGCAAGACTTCTTTCTCCTGTTCACTAGGATATGGGTGTCTGTGATGGCTAGAGAGCCAGTTTTTGAGCTTTCGCACAGCCTCGCGGGAGAAGCGAGCACCAATCTTGGCCGGAGCAACAGGCTTGGGAGCGGCAATAGCATCCTCACCCTGGGCACTGCTAGACAAGCTGGCCAGGTCTGCGAGGGAGCCCGTGCTCTCCATGATGGTGGGTTCTCCAAAGATGGACATGCCGTTGGACGTAGTGTCTCCAATCAGGGCTGTAGGCCAAGGGCTGGTGGGCAATCCAGCAAAGGGGTGTGGGTTGTAAGCCTCGGAGTCTGAGTCGACAGTTCCCAGACTGCAGTCTACGCGCAGCGCAACACAGCTGGTGCAGAATCCCTTGTGACGGCCTTCGCGGATGGTCTTGCAAGCATAGCCTCCAATGAGACAGCTAGTGCAAGGGTTCTTGGAGCTCTCATACCAAGGCTGCTGTTGCTGGCTAGTAGTGGTGGCAGCGGCGGCGGCATTGACAAGAGCCGGGTCAATGTTGGTCTGCAAGTGCATGGCGGCGTCTGCGTTGGTAGAGAAGTGCTCTAGGGCGCAGAAGCTAAAGTCGTCCTCTTGGACGTTTGACAAGACAAGGTCAATGTTATCGGCGCCTTGGTTGTTGTTGCTGTTGTGAGAGTGGGCATTGGCAAGCTCGGTAGTTTTGTCCCAGAGGACAAAGTCGTCGAGGTTGATGTTGGCCGACATGATGAAAGTAGAGGAAGAGGAAGGATATAGAGGCAGTGGGTCTATGGTGCTAGGGCGTAACAATGACAAGAAGAAGAGGCGCTTAGATGCCTAGGGCGCCGAGTGCATTCTCGATGTCTGCGTGTGCTAGTGTGAGCAAGGCTGTCAGTGATGTTCACGACAGGATGTCACAAAAGGGCGTGGATGATGATGTGGTGGTAGTGAATAATAGTAGCAAGGAGATCAACTACCTTTGCTGTGACGATGATTGAAAGAAAAATTAAAACAAAACAAAGACGGGAATCTCTTTTTTTTTTGGTTTGGGGAATCTGAAGACTGGTGGTTGAAGTGAAGAAGAAGAAAGATGCCAGGTGCCCGGGCAGCCCAAAAGAGGAAACGGCGTCAGTTTTGTTGCATTGCGTGTTGCACGCAATGCCAAGTAGCCCACAGACAAAGACGTTCGAGTCACGCTTCCAGGCGGTCCCTTGGGTACGCTTAGGGAGCCGCAGCGCGCAGCTACAGCGCCGTGGCGGCCCCCTGTAGGCTTACCTTCTTCGGCGGGCTTCTGCCACCCCCGCGGCGTCCAGCTCCGATCCGGAGACGACTGTGGCTCCGTTTTGCAGGCGCACGTAGCCTCGCCCATGTCAAGAAGGCCTGCAAACACGCACGAGACCGGCGCGCCCTTCGTTCGACATGTCATCCCGATGGGGCTTAGCGGCTCATGTCATGGGTACGAAGCGTATGCGAAGGCTTGCATGGGCTGGGCTGATAAGATGGGCTTTACTGTTAGTCGTTAATAGCCTCTAACAAAAAAGCGGGGGAACCGCGCTGGCTTGTCCTTCCATGGGCTTCACTGGGCGTCCATTGCCGCCGTAGCTTGGCACCTGCAGCGCTGTCACTCCAGCACAGCAGTCTACTGATGGGCATCAGAAGAACCCCGTGGAAGCAAACAAAGATCCAAAACGAAAAAGAAAATACATCTAGAAGCCTATAATCATGCAGATTCTAATTTTCCGAAACCAATCTCAACCCCCACTCTTTCATTTCCTCTTTTTTCTCATTCTCGTGATCCCTTCTGCTATGACTCTTCTTTCCTCCTTCTCAGTACATCCAGCCGCCCCAATCAACTAACACGCCATCGTGAACGCAGGTCGCTTTTTTTTTTCAGCGCAGCATTGCATTATTAATACACATAAACGCCCAAACCACAGCTTTTACACATGCAAGATCACAACATTCGTGCGCAAATAAACTTTGGAAAATTGCGCCATAATTACAAGCCATCTATGTGACACCTGTCGTAAATCCCATGACACTCAATGGACTACAGCCGTCGTCCAAAGACCAAAAGTTCATCCCCCTCTCAAAACCCACTTACTGCAGGCGCCCCCACGTGTGCACGCTCGGCACTGCAACGCATATCCGAAGTCGCTGGAACATTCACTTCCTTCAGTGGAGATCAGCCGCTTAAGCCGGACCAGCCACGGCGAGGCAAGCCTCACACCGACTTGAAGTGGACGACCGAGTTACGGCGCCGAGGAGCCAATGACGGCGCGCGAGTTTAAGATCAGCGACGGCGGGTGTCATGCAATGCATCATACAAAATAGATATTCGCCGAGAAATACAAGGGGATATGGTGAGATTTTACAATAATATAAACAAAGGTCGTCCGGGTTCTCTGCTATAGATACAGAGACTAACATGCTGAGCACCAGCTGGCAGTTGCCAGTAGCCAGCTGTCAGCGGTAGCGCCGTAGAACAAGTACACACGAGTAGCAGAAGTGCAGTGCATGCTTCACCTTCTTACATACACAACGAAACGGTAGACATCACCACCTTCTTTATAATGAGCCGTGGCATTATCTGGGCAAATGGCATCTTTTAATCCCTTCTTATTTCCCGTCACATTATGAAGTCTCTTCTTCATCACCTATCATGCCGCAAAACTGTCCGTCCGCGCCGTTATCCCTCCAAGGGCTTTGACTTGCTCCCTGCCGACAAACTCCTTGAGGAAGAGACAACGCCCAATTACAATGCATCCAACTATTATCCGGTCAAGATTGGCCAAGTTTTGCACGACAAATACCAAGTAGTCTCCAAGCTGGGCTTTGGCGCCAACGCAACCGTCTGGCTGTGTCGCGATCTAACGTACGTGGCGTGACGGTCTATACCCATCCCATTAATATCGTAGCTTGTTTTCTAAATGGCATACATTGACAAAACCAGTAAGAATAGTCTATACGCCATCAAAGTATACACCAGCAATCACGACACCAGCTGCCAGGTTGCTGTCTCCGAATCTATCAAGACTATCGTCGGCTCACATCCAGGCCGAGGAAGTCTTCAGACAGTCAAGGACAGCTTCCAAATATCCGGGGCGATCGGCTTTTCTCATGATTGTCTAGTTTTTGATCCCATGGGTGTATCGTATACACAGCTTCAAGACGCAGCACCTAACCGAGGTCTGAGCAACGATTTAATATACAAGTACGCAACGTCTATACTATATGCTCTCGGCTTTTTACATCACATTGGAATCATCCACGGGGGTAAGCTACTATATCTGTTTCTGTTTTACCATATACCATTTGAATTTGACCAAGTCATCAAAGCGGTGTCCTCAGATAACATACGCCTGAGTGTGGATCACAAGGTGGAAATAACCAATATCGAAGCGGCCGAAATAGCCCATCCGTCGCCTCGGAAAGTCCTCCCAGATCGAACGATATATTCCTCGTACATTATGCCTATTACACCTGGATCGCCGGTTCTCTGCAACTTTTTTGCTTCTTTACTTGGCAAGCCAAGACAGACGCACCCAGGAATTACACTCACATCAGGAACTCATTGCGCTCCCGAGATGGTTTTAAAAATGGAGTTTGATTGCAAGACGGATGTTTGGTCTTTTGGCGTTCTTGTAAGCGTGAAGCTAACTTCCATCCTATTCTACGCAGGACTAACGGACGAAGATGTGGCAATTGGTCACTGGGAAACCTCTCTTTCGCAGTCATATACCAGGGCAGCAAAGTAATGATGCCCCGTATCTTGCCGAGATTGTTTCTCTTATAGGCCCCCCTTCTGCTCAATTCCTGCAAAGAAACCGTTCATGTTACAATATTGGGATACCGATGGTAAGAAAATCATGGCTCTGCATCTTCTTATGCTCACTTCAACAGGAAACTGGACCGTCCCCGCCACACCAATCCCACAGCAACGCTTCGAAAATCTCGATACCGGGCTAGATGAAAACGGACAAACATTGCTATTCAAATTTATGCATAGAGTCTTATGCTGGCTGCCCGAGGACCTCCCTGCAGCGATGGAGCTATTTGCAGACGACTTCATTGTCAACCATATACGAGCAAACTTATCACAAGATTAATGCATCAATCACCGAAACAAAAAGGTGGCGAGACACAATCGCTTAAAAAGGCACAAAAATATTGTCAAGAAGTTATTGAGTGATCTGATTAGTATCTATGAAGCAGACCCGACCTCCAAACTCCCAAAATATCATAAAGTAAAATCAAATCAAGCGCTTTGCTGCCGTGCACCAATATCGTGCATGTTTTTGTGTCGTCGCCAGACTGCGCCTGAAAAAAAAACTCGAGTAAAAACGAACTGTCCGTTGTGACTCCCTGCTACCCATTCTGTGGGTGTAGCGATGATTAAAAAAAAACGTGAGGCTTCTCTTTCTTTTTTCGTTTCTCATATATCTCTCCATTGCTATTCTCTTTCAAGGGCCCGTTTGTTATTCACGGCCCATGGCGAGCAGCTCTCTTTCCTTCGCAGCCAGCATCTCGCGGATACGCTCAGTTTCCTGCTCCAATGCAGTGCGTCGCTGCAGCTTTGCTTCATCTGCAACCTCAGGGCCGGGAGGTTGTGAGCCGCGGCTGCTCGTCGTTGTCGGCGGGATGCCAGGCGATCGCAGCGGAGGCAAGGCCAAGTCACTGTCGTCGTCACCTCCAGATGGGTTTAGGATATCTTTGATAGAGGATATGCGCTTGGATGTCTCGTAGCCGTCGCTCAGCACGGCCGACTCTGACTCTGTAGTAGAAAACGATCGCTTGCGGCTTGGGGACATAAACGACCCAGGTGACCGCGACATCTGTCGATCGGAGCCGCTGCCGCCGCCACCACCACCGCCACTAGCCATGGATGTAAGTGGTGGTAGTCGGTTTTCATCGTTCAGAGATCCCATAACTTGGCGGTGCGATGCAGGTGAGCCTTGGTGGTATGCAGCCAGCGTCGAAGCGCCTCCATACGGCGAAGGAGGCTTGGGTGCTTGATGGCTGGGCTCGTGCTTGATGCCAGGGTCTGCACGGCGACGAAAACCCAAGTTGACGGAACCATCGTCATTGGTGGTACCTCTCTCGGGAGTTTTCTGGGGGCTAGGTGCATCCTTCATATCCGAGTCTTCGTCTTCGTCGTCTTGGTTGGCCGGAATAACGCGCTTTCTTCGTTTAATGGTTGCTTTCTTCATCGTTACCGGACGATGGACGCCATGTAGTCTGTAATATAATCCTGTAAAAGAAAAATTAGCATATGTATCAGAGAATGGTGGAAGATATAGGGAAACCAACCGCAAGCGTTGCAAATCATGTGTCCGTTGCCATCTCTTCTCCACAGCGGCGTGATGGTTGTGCCACAGTTCTGGCAGGCAATAACGGCGGCTGCCTCTTCATTCTGCTTCTGCAGAGCGTTGACATCAATCGGTGTTGGTCCTTCGTGCTGAGGATCGCCGCCACCACCACCGCAGCCACCCTGCCGTGATGATGAGGATGATCCGTTGAGCTGAGCCAGCTTGGACACTCGGTTATTGTATGCAGGGCAGCCGTTGCAGCCCTCGGCGCCGCCTGTGCCATTGCAGCGGCCTCCACCAGGGCAGGTACCTGACGGAGACTGCTCGGCGGCGACATATGTTGCGCCAGCGGGCGCTAGTTTTTGGCCGCTAATTGGTTTTGAAGGAGCAGGCCGTGACGAGCCGCCACCAACGACATTGGGGGGCTTCTTGAGACTCGTCGGGCGGGCTGAGTTTCTGGCTCGGTAGTAGAGGCCGCAGGCGTTGCATATAGTAGCACCGGTAGGCGATCTTCGCCAGAGCGGCGTCTCTGTGGTGTTGCAGTTGCTGCAGACCTGGCCCGTCGTATTGGCTGGCGGCTTCTTCTTGCCTGCTTTTGATTTCGAGCCGTCGTCGTCAGACGAGGGGCTGGCCCTCGCGTTGGGCAGATCGGTCGAGGATGAGGTGGAGGCGGTCGTGATGTCAGACTCGTCGCGTGGTTGCTTTGTAATAGGACGTGAAGGAAGCGCCGTCCGCCCCGAGGACGCGGGCGGCGGTATCGATGCTTGCGAGCCGGCGATGTCGGTCATTGTGAATGAATGTGCTGCAGGTGTCGGCTTTGTCGAGTCAATAGTTTAATCTGAATGTAGTGGGAGGCAAACAAGGTTTGTCATGGGTGCACGGCCATTCGGTTGTGATGCCAGCGTCGGGGTGGCCGGCGGTCGCGGGCGGCGGAGAGAGTGAACGAGGGGTGAAGTGACGATGACGAGAGAGAGATGCAAAAGTGCGGAGGAAAAAAGACGATGCGGCGGAAGAAAGAAAAAAAGCGTGATGGACGGGCTAGCTGGGGCCGGAAACGAAGGGGGAGCCACCGAAAAAAAGAGGATGACTGTCGACACAAGGAGGAGCCTAAGATTTTGGTGGGCTGATGGCGAAAATGCACCGTGGGATGAGGAATGGGAAACCACGCCCTGAGTGAAATAAAGCAGTGAATAAAAGAAAAGAAGACACCAAGAATGCGATCCTCGCCCGATAAGAGAAAATAAAAGAGAATCAAATTCTGCAAAGGACACGCTGCCTGCTCTGCTCCGGCAAAAAGCGTTTCTCGCCCCAGAAGGATGAAGCCCTGCTGCTGCCCGCTTTGGATAATCAATCCGGTGTCCTGTCTGCCTGCCTGCCATCTGCGGTGATGCGCAATCAGATGGAGAGGAGGCGGCCAATCAGAGGCGCTGTTTTGATTCAAGCTTTCTTGATTGGCCATGTCGTAAAGAATATGGGGCCCGACGTCTTTCTTCCGTTTGGGTTTGAGTGTGCTTGGCCTGCCTTTTATTTTTAGTGTACGAGACGAGAGCCGGCCTCTAATTAGCCCGACTGATGCACTGTCTACCGAAGAAAAAACAAATGTCCGAAAATTTGCAAAGATATCTGTAAGTGTAGCTGTAAGAGTAAATGTAAGCATAACAATCCAAACGTCGTTGTACATGGTAGTCAGCCCAGGATAAAGCCATAGTAAACTTCCATCAGTGGAGCATGTCGTTGGCCAGTCCGTAGGCCTGTCCGTGGATATCAATATATCCGGAAAAGCCACAAGCAAAATATATCTCAAGAAACATTTCCGATTGTGAAAAAAGTAGGTCTATATATATATCTATATATTTAACGTCAAAAAATAAAAACAAGAATAAACACAATGTCTTTCCCAAACAAAAGAAAATATAAAACACCGTGATGCAACAAACTCCAAGCAAACCGTTATATAAACCACCAGACCAACACGGTCAAAATGCATGTCTATCGTTTCTTCTTTTGTACAAACAAGATCGAAAGAAGAGGAATTATCCATGTACCAAGAAGAGCAAAAAAATTACAAAAGCAGCGAAATTTACCAGAGCGCCGCAAGGGCAGCCATGGCAGTCAAGACGAAGCCAGCGCGGGCAACAGCGGTACCCGTAGCAGCGCCTGTAGACTTGTTGTTGTTCTTGTTAGTATCGGCGGCACCAGCAGTAGCAGCGGCGGGACCCGCAGACGTCTTGGAAGGCTTAGGAGCAACGTGCGAAGGAGCACCGGTAGGAGGATGCGACGACTCGCCAAAGACGTCGACGATGCACTGTTTCATGAGCTCGTTGTCGGACCAGGTGCCGTCCGAGTTTTGCGTGGGGGTAAGAGACATGATGTAATCGGTGTGGAAGCCGCCGGCAGACCAGCCGACAAGGCCGGCAAAGACGTCTGTGTTGGCAGCAATAAACTGGTTCTGCTCACAAAACTTGGTTATGCACGACGGGTCCGTAGAGGCGCCAGTCTCGGAGACAATGGCGCGGCGCTTGTTATCGCGGAGCCACTTGGCAATGGTCTTGAAGCCCTCCACGTTGTTGGTGGTGCACTCCTTGTGCTGGCCAGAGTTGTTGATGTCGAGGTACTGGTGCAGATCGAGCAGCAGGTTGTCGGTTGTGCCGTCGGGGTTCTTAATGGTGCTCAACGCCTCGGCTGACCCTGTGGAGACGAACGAGGCAGCAGACGAGAAGTTGTCGCCGGGGAGGAGAATGATTTGCTTCGTGGCACCTGTGTTGCGGATGGCAGTGACAGCCTTTTGGCACATGTCGACCCAGTTCTTGAGAACAGGGAGGTCGTGGGGTTCGTTCATCAGGCCAAAGACAATCTTGTCGTTGTCGCCGTAGTACTTGGCGAGGTTGGTCCAGAGGTTGACAAAGCCGGCGTCCTGGGGACCGCCGCTGCCGATGATTGCCTTGTCATAGCGGGCAAAGTTGTGCAGGTCGATCATGCAGTAGGCACCAGTCTCAATACAGGCTTGCATCAGAGCGTCGAACTTGTTAAAGTTTGTATCGTCAAAGTTGCCCTGGACATTATTGTTTGTGATGTATTGCCACGACATGGCTTGTACAGTGTTAGTTTTGGGCGCGGTTCAAATAATCGTTGGACATACGAATGCGGAAAATGTTCATCTTGCGGTCCTTGACAAAGTGCTTCATCTGTCCGGCGCTGTCGGCGCCGCCTTGTGACGCGATAGGGACCTGGATACCAGTGGCTGGACATGTGCCCTGTTGTGGATGTGTTAGTGGCGTCTCTCACGACTCCAGAAGATCCTTTGATATAACTTACGTCAATATCGCAACCCCAATCGACTCCGGACATGGCAACGCCCTGTAGACAAATGTTAGCAGCGCGCAGGGGTGTGCGGCATGGGCGGGTAACCAACCAGAAAGTCAATCTTGGCCAGCACAGCCGGTGCAACGGCCGCCAGGGCCAGAAGTGTGGAGGTCGAGCGCATGGTGTCGAGAGAGAGGAATTATTCGTGTGAAATTAGAGTGATGGAGCGAGGAGTAGTGGTCGTCGTGAGGATGGTAGGAACAGTGGTAGACGTGGCGAGAAGCGAGTGTCTGTCGTGACGGATTGTCAAAGCGTAAAAGCGAATGTCGGATTATATAGAATACAGAGCGAATAGCTGCGAATCGAAGAACGGAAAACCCAAAGGTCTTTCTAATAGCGATTAACAAAAAAGAGGAGGGAAATCAGTCGAGGGTCGTGAGCGTGGCTGTGACCCCAAAGAGCGGCGCTCGTGTTCTTTTTGTAATGACGACGAGAAACGAGGCTGGGCGGGTTTCAGGTTTTTTTCTTGTGTCTTACTGCGCTGTGGGCAGCCCAACACGCGCATGCTTAGCGCATCACAGCGCTGTTGTCGTAAATTTAGTGGTTGCTGGTGCTGCGCCGACGTCACCCCATCTCGTTTTTTTTTCGTTTTTAGCGGCCAACGGCTCGTGCTAGTGGACACGTCCAGCGGACAACGGATGGTTTTTTTAGCACGTTTTAGTGGGGACGCCCTCCCTGGGCTGGGTGACAGACAGGGCTGCGCATCACGACAGGTGCTTACTGGGCACAGAGAACACGAGAAATGGAACGTTTCTCCCCCCGCGCCGTCCGATTACGATTTTCTGTGTTTCTATTTCTTTCTCATCTTCAGATGCTTTTTATATTTATTTGTTTTACAGTCACTGAAACTATGATCCAACAAGCAGTCACAGTGACAGCCTTTTAAAATTACCCTCAGCCCCAGCCCAGCAGCACCCTGCTCGCCGCGCACTGGCTAACTGCTGCAGCCTCGCGGATTCCCGCCCAACTAAGCCTAGTGGGCGCTCCTTCGTACAGCGCTGGCTGGGCACCTCGTAACGCCCCCTTGGCCCCAAAACATGCACTGACAAGCCCGGACGCCGCCCAATTCCCCGTGTGTGTTGCCTTCCCCTGAGTCTAGTGAGCGCAATGTTAGAGTTGGGGCGTTTCGTATTCCATAAATAACCAGCCTCAGAGCCAACGCGAGTTGGGGCAGTTTGGTGCTCACGCAAGAAGTACAGCCTATGATCCCACTTGTGTACATTCATGAGGGGAAAAAAGGAAAACATCGTAAATAAAAAGCGTGAAAACATGACCTAAGAGCCATAGCTAGTCTGATGAAATTTAGATTTCCCATTCTTCCCCTTTTTTTGCTTTCTTTTTGCTGTTCTTCGAAATCTGCTGGCTGCCTTGTCTCATCTATACGAGCCCAGTCCGCACCAGCCCAGCCTGTGGCAAACTCGCAAACCATCCAACTTGAGCCCTCCGACTGAGATTAACCGCCTTAGGAAGCAATAGACCCGTTGCCTAGGGCGTCCTTTGGAATCACAGCCTCACCTTGTCCACTGTTAGTTCCCAATAAGGGGTCCCCTGCACCACCCCAGCCCATCGTGCCATAAGGGTCTTTTTAAGCAGCGATGGCTCTGTTGCCCACACCGCACACCACTGTAGCTAGCTACAACTAGCACCGTCACACTGACGACAGGGCATCCGAGATCTCAGATGAAAATATGGAACCCTTGTCTGCCCTTCCCATTCCCCCAAAATATGCATTTTCTTTTTTAAAGATGCCAACATGCTAACCTCCTTTGCCTCAATTTTCTGCCTTTGTTAAAATCTCACCATAATCATCATCACCATATAAGAAACGCCGAGTTGTCCCCGAACCCGCCGCCCAGGAACATGCCAGAAAAAAAACCCATAGTGGAGCGCCGCTATCGCTGCTTATCTGACAGAAAACAGTCACCAAACCCAAATTCTCCGATCTTCTTCTTTTTGTTCGCTGGAATTCCCCTCAATCTAACGCCATCCTATATAAACAGTGTCTCCTCCTCCTCCTCCTCTCCTCCCACACACGTACGCTTCCTACCCCAAATTATCGTTTCCCTTGCGTAAAATACGTCGGAAAATCCCCCGCGTCGTTTCCTTTTTCCTACTACCCCTCCATCTTCCCCTTCCCGCTTCCACATAGATTAGCATCTTTGAATTGACCATTTTTTAAAAAACAAAAAAAAAAAGGCCGTTCCAAAGTCTTTCAAGATTTCTTCTTCACTTGATTGACAGTATCTGCCAAATCAGCACCAAAGAAACCAAACTAACTACAGCTCCAAAACAAAATGTCGGCCGATCACATCCTCACGCTCTCGTGCCCGGACAAGCCCGGCATCGTCCACCACGTCACGGCCATCTTTGTCGACAACAAGCACAACATTCTCGATCTCCAGCAGTTCAGTGACCCCGTGTCCAACCGCTTTTTCATGCGCGTCCATTTTGGTCCTCTGGCTGGCGACGAGTCCGTCACGTCCACCGAGCATCTCGTGGCTCCCTTTGAGGCTCTCGCCAAACAGCACAGCATGGACTACGACATTCGTCCCATGTCTCGCAAGGTCCGCGTCCTCATCATGGTCTCCAAGATTGGCCACTGCCTCAACGACCTGCTCTTCCGCATGAAGACTGGCCAGCTGCGCATCGAGGTCCCCGCCATTGTCTCCAACCACCCAGACTACGAGGACCTGGCCAAGAGCTACGGTATCCCCTTCTACCACCTCCCTGTAACAAAGGATACCAAGCTCGACCAAGAAGCCAAGATCCTCGAGCTCATCCGCGAGCACAACATCGAGCTTGTCGTCTTGGCCCGCTACATGCAGGTCCTGTCGCCAGGCCTCTGCTCCGCCATGTCTGGCCGCATCATCAACATCCACCACAGCTTCTTGCCTTCCTTCAAGGGCGCTAAGCCGTATCACCAGGCCTATGAGCGCGGTGTCAAGATTATTGGTGCCACTGCTCACTTTGTCACTGCCGACCTTGACGAGGGTCCAATTATCGAGCAGCGCGTGGCTCGCGTTGACCACGGCATGAACCCCAAGCAATTGGTGGACGAGGGTTCTAATGTGGAGAGTCAAGTGCTGGCGGCCGCGGTTAAGTGGTATGCCGACGGAAAGGTCTTCTTGAACGGCACAAAAACTGTTGTATTTTAGAGTAACTATTTGGGCGAGGAGTAAATAGGAGCCTAGAAAAAAAGCAATTCAATAGACTTATTTTAAACTTAAATTGACGCCGTCTAGGCAATATGTGGTAAAGAATAACCTGGTAAGACAATAGGGTAGGTAAGCTCGCAAGGCGTGGAGTCAGCTTTCGTAGCATCCAAGGCCGCTATATTGAATGACTAAGGTTCTATGGAATGAAAATGATAAGCCATTGATACGAAAAAGATTTTGATGGGAAAAAAAATTGTCACAGGCAGTGTGAAGGTTGCGCAAAAAGCAAAAAAAGAAACTCTCGAAGGACGGAATCGAACCGCCGACTCTTCGGTATGATGTGGAACCCATTACAGCCGAATGCCATAGCCAACTAGACCACTTCGAGATATCAGAAGCGCAACTAATTTACATTATACGTCTATCCACTCTGACCCCTCCGCTAATTTACTACAGCCAGCCATTGTTCGCAACGTGTGGTCGACTGCCCCTCCACGCGCTCTACCAACTAGCCATCTATATACGCGTCTAACTGCACGTCCTCGCGTTGTCTATGATTTTTGGTGCAAAATATTTTCAAAATGGCCTCCAGTGAGACAAAGCGAGGTGCCTTCATTGTGCTTGAGGGCCTCGACCGAAGTGGCAAGACGACGCAGGTGCAGAAGCTTGAGCAGCGCTTCCAAAGCCAGGGCAAGAAAGTCGTAGCTATGCGTTTCCCCGGTACGTGATATCACCGATCTTAGTTATGAACTGCAAGAGTTATTTACGTGATTGGACTTCAGGTTCAAAAACTATAGAGGCAATCTCTGCAGTTTACAAACAGCATCCGTTCACAGACGCCAATGCTGACCGAGTTGGACAGATCGCACCACGACGATTGGGCAAATGATTGATGCCTACTTAAAGAGCAATGTCGGCATGGAAGACCACGTCATTCACTTATTGTTCAGTGCCAACCGCTGGGAGGCGGCGTAAGTTATACAACTATTATACTACATTTGGAACTTGACGCTTACCTCGTTCATCGATCAGAACCAAGATCAAAGAGACCCTCGAGTCTGGCACGTCTATAATATGCGACCGCTACTACCACTCTGGTGCAGTATACTCTACGGCTAAACAGAATCCATCCCTACCACTGTCCTGGGCCCGCGCTCCAGACACTGGCCTGCCTCGGCCGGACGTTGTGTTGTTCCTCGACCTGTCCGAGGAAGAGGCGAAACGCCGCGGAGGCTGGGGTGATGAAAAGTACGAAAAGGCAGAGATGCAGCGCAACGTGCGCTCTCTGTTCACAGGGCTCAAGAATGGTACGGATCATGGCTGGAAAGAGGGCGACAGTGATGGCTTAATAGTGATTGATGCGGGGGGCAGCGTCGATGATGTGGCTGAGCAGATTTGGGGAGCCGTCGAGGGCAAGCTTGAGAGCGTGCCACAGGATATTAAAACACTATCTTAGATGACTTATGACCCTTTAATGACAAATAAATGCGTATTAGATATATGCTTGCTTTTTTCATCTGCGTTGGACAATGATGAGCGTGGGATAATCGCCGATGACGGTTCAACCCGATGAGTCGTTGGCCGGCGCGCCACCAACACCATTCTGCATCCAGCACTCTAGCTGGACCACAGTGAATCAACATCACAGTTAATAAAAAGGACAATTCCTATCTCAAGATCCACGGCCATGCCCGTCTCGCGACCAATCGCCAACTCCGCCGAGAGATTCAGGCTTTAATCGACGAGGAGCTCAAGTCTGGTAAAATCAAAGTACCCTTAGTCCTAGATGTCATGTTTGTCAAAGACGTCGGCGTTTTCCTACTTGCATGAGCTTCCCATATAAACCAGGAAGTCTCGAGCGCCTCGAACTGATACACGTCAATGTTCGAATCGTCAGACAGGGAACAGCTATACAACGTACATGTATGACTTTGGCTATTGGAACGCCGGAAGCTATGATCTTTCCATGGTAGACTTTAAAGCGGCTCAAGCATGGGCCGTCAAAGAAAACGATGTCTATTTGAAGAATGGACTGCGGATACTGAAGACAAGGCTCAGGAGGGGATGGGGCAGATATATCGAGTAGATGAGATCTATTCAAGGTACAGAGATGTGCGTGTGCATCCGTTCGAGGTTATAGTCAACTGGCACAGAATCAAATAGGTACGAGGTTGAAAGGACAATCAATAGATTGGTTCAAAAAATACAGTTGAATCTACCATATGTACGCAACAGCGCCAATATAAAAACAAAAAGCCATTATCCAAAAAAAAACCTGTCCTAAAGAACCCAAACCTGGTATCCAAAACGCCGATTATACAACCATTTACCCCGAGGTCCCAGTCTGTAGAGAAACGCCAATCTTGTAAGTCATGCCACATAAATCAATTAAACATCAAAGAGCGCTGCTCGTATAAGCGTGTCTACGAGGAGGCAGCAACGGCGGCGGCGGTTTCAGCCTCGTCGTCGTGAGCGCTCTCACTTTCCCACAGGTCGAAGCTGTCTCCGGTACCCTCGATGGGCTGCAAGACAGCAGCCTTGGAAGAATAGTCGGTGGGCTTGGCCATGAGAAAGTCGATCTCGTCTTCATCCTGGTCAGGAAGGGGAGCGGCAGCAGCGCTCTTGATGATAGGAGCAAACTCAAAGTCGTTGATAATGGGCGTCTCGGCCTCTTCCTCGTCATCAGCGGGGACGTAGATGACAGAGCTGGCGTCAACACCCTCAGGGTAGAATTCAGCAGCATCCATTTCGCCGAGAGCAGTGCGCTGCTTCTCAACAATCATGTCGTCAATGTCTCCAGAGACGCGGCGAGAGGAAGTCTGAGAAACATCACCGGGGGGAGGGACATTTTCCTTGTCAATGCCGTCATCACGGCTAGATCGCTGCTCAGCCTCTTCATCAGAAGAAATGTCGAGGACGCAGGTGCTGTGCTGAAGAAGGTTGGTCATCTCCTGCTCGGGAGTGTCCTCATGGATATCAAAGAACCAGTTGACGTTGGAGGATGAGCTCAGCGAGCTGTCGAGGCTTTGACGAGCCTTGCCCTTGCCCTTCTGGCGGGGAGTGTAGCTGGGGATAGTGCCCTTGAGAGCAGCATCGAGAGAGAAAGGAGCAGCGCCGCCGAGGCCAAAGGCAGGGGGGTCAATTCGGGTGAACGGTCCGGATGCGCGTCGACGGTTTCCAAGGAGACCAGAGCGCTTTCCATGCGTAGGCGAACGACCAGCCGGCGCAACAATTGGCGACGACTTGGCTACGGAAGATGTGTTGAGCTTGTTGATGGGAGACTTGGGCTGCAGAGTGCGACGAGGTGAGGCAGTAGGCTTGGTAGGGCTAGAGAGAGACAAGACCTCGGGAAGAGGTGTAGCAGCAGCGCGCTTCAGGATAAAGTTGGCGGGCTTGACGTATTCGGCGTTGCTGCCCTTGGAGCGCTTGGTGAAGGCAACAGGATCGACATTCTCAGAGTTGTCAATGTCGAGGAGATCAGCCTTGCGTTTGCCAGCGGATGGTGGCGAAGCAGCTGCGTAAAGATGTTAGTATAAGAGCTGGAATAGTAGTCGTAAAAGCAGCAGCAGCAACACTATACGCGTGCATCGAAGCTGTACAAGCTTGGAAGAAGCTCTCCCCAAAGCTATATGAAGCTTGGGATAGCTCTTCCAAGCGAACTATGCACCACTGACATACCATTCTGTCTGTTCTTGATGCTGGTCAAGGTCTGCAAACGAGCTCCATCCAGAGGAGCAAAGGGCTGGCGGACGGTAGCCATTGTGAAGGAGAGATTAGGTACAAGGAGTAAGCCGGGCTGGATTGAGTGAAGCCTAGCAGAGTGATTGAGAGTCCGGGATCTCTCAAGCAACAAGTGCAAGATTAGGTGTGGATGAGATAGTATCTAGGGATAGACCGAGCGTGTGTGTGGTGAGTCTCAGTGGACGTTTGTTATGATCAAGGTTTGTTGTTGTTGTTTTTGTTGTCTGCCCTTGAAGATGTTTACGATTCGCGTTATTAAGAGAGAGTGAGAGGTCTGGAAGAGATATAAGGCGAGTAGTAAGAAGAAGAGGAGAGAGAGGGTGCGGGAGCCAAGGGGAAGAAAAGGCAAGACGAGCCAAGGGCGAGACACGGCCAGGTGGGAGCGCGGCCAGCTTGGGCGTGTGCCACGGGGCCTGCAGCTGAAGCAAGTTTTTTTTCTTCTGCCTGCGCGCACGCTCTTTAGGGGGGATTTAGTGGAGGGCGGCCGCTGAAGGAGGCCTGTTGGGGCGGTGGTAGCGACGCGTGTGGAATGGTGCTAAGAGAAGGGGGGGGATGCCTGGAGGAGGCTATGCAGGATGGCCGACCTAGCGCATGCTGTGGTGGATAATTCTGGCTGTAAAAAATCAGAGTGCAAGTAGTGCTTTGCTTGAATCACTGGATATTTTCTCTACGTTTATTTTACTTTATATGGCCGCGAATAAAATCATTTTTAAGTCCCATGTCCTCGCTTGAACACCAGCGTCTGTACCGTACTGTAATAGCGCATCTGGCAGTGCTCAGAGCAAGTGGGGACTGCCAATGTCGCTCAATCGCGTCTTTAATTTCCATTAAGCAAAGGCGTCTCACGCGTTTTATGTCGCCACGGCTCTGCATAATTTCTTTGCATAAATAAAGTTATACTTCGCCAACTGCTGCCAGCTATCAGCCAGTTGGCAATACATGCAAACCATCAGTAATTTCGTAACCACCAGCTTTCAACATCGCCAAATCATCATCCTCCAACACACGTCTCGCTTCTGTTCTGGCGCTGTTTCATCTGCGGCCCTCTTGGTCCTCCCCCCGTAATGCACAACGAACCAGTCGTCCGACTCTTCTTCCCGTACTGCACTGGCACTGCCAGCATTGGCTATAATCCTACGCCTACGTGTCCGCCGCTTTTCTCTCATTTGCCCTTTTGTCTAGCTTGCATCAAGCTACTGCACCTCGTCGTCCAATAGCCGTCCGTCCCCCCGACCTGCGCAAACGCCCCCAAAGCCTCGCGCGCAGGGATTCGCGCTCCAATAGCCCAAATCGCGAAGCAAAGGTCGCACCTAAAGTGGTCTGAGTTTCCTTTTCCCATCAACCGGTGGGGGCAGCTAACGCTAGCTTCCTAACAGTAAGAAAGCCTCGGGGCAAGCCTGTTCCTGTGAGTGAGGCAAGCTGGCACTTTGCAACCAGCTAAAAAGAGCAAAATGCGTTTCTCGAGTCCTGTGTTTCCGACCTATTGCGTGCAAGGCGACACGCTCTCTTCACCGCCATCTTGCATAGCCGCTGAGAAGCTAATGATTGCTATGGCCGCAGACGCCCGGTGGCGATTGAAACGCTCTGTAACCCGTCCGCACTGACTGTAGCCCATTCAAGTATACGTTCTTGTTCTTTTTGCTCAAGCCTGTCTTGCTCCTCGGCGCCGCGAAACATTTTTCCCCAGCGGCAAGCTTGATTCGTGTAAACTTGTCTCAGTTTGGCGGCCCTAGCGAGAAAATCCCTTCACCCTGTCACATCACAAGGGATCGGCTAGACACCGTGTGTGCGACCGCCATGCCGCCAACATACCAGTGTGTGGCAAGCCGAGGGCGCGTAAAGTGGTTTTCCAATTGCAATTCTACCTGGGAAAATGAGTATTACCCATCTTTTTACGGGCAATTCTCTCGACAAATCCGGCATGTTGGGGATTAACAGCGTCTTAATTGTGCCGATGTGAATGTATTGCAAGTTTGTTCTTGACTCAGAAGCACTTACACAAGCTTGTGAAGGACTTCATGGTTCAGCCGCCTCAACACACACTGTAGCTGATGGGCATTAGGGTTGAAACATATCGCAACCATTCTGAACTAGTGTAACCTGCCCTATCCCGAGTGGGAGTACTCTCTAGAGCCCAAAGCTCTCGTCACCTCCACTCGGCCGCATGGTAAGCGACCACCTCTCCATGAGGCGAAGTCCGCTCCCAAGTGCTACACTGATGGGGCTTCTAATACTTACCACGGAGCCATGCGGCCTGCTGCGATTGGCTCCTCTGATACTGTTAGAAGGTGCAGCAAGGGTGGTCTAATACAGATGGTGGTTTCAACGCCCATGGCCGTAGACATCGCGTCCGCCAACCCTGACTCAGCTTGCACCTTGCTTTGCACGTAACGCCTTGTGTGATTCGTCAATTAAAGGAAGGATTCTGCTCTCTTTAGATGAAACTCTAGTACGCGAGCGCTGCTCACAGCCCGCCCCGGCAAGCTGCGCCAAAGCCATTTATATCCTAGGTCAAGCCCCATCGTCAAGCCCTTCAACCTATCTCGTCTTGATATTAAGCGCTCGGCTGGTGATAGCTTCTAAATATACTCTCATAGAGCCGCTGTACTTCAGAACGAACCCTACGAGCCACCATGGTCACAGCCCTGCATTAAGCCGTCTCCCCAACAGAGTCCATTTCAGCATCATCCCCGTTTCAGTTGGTTTACTCCAGGATGCGACTCGTCCCTGATTGGATCAGAGCATCTCATTCAGATGATGCAGTCAACCGCCCGCATTCCGGACGCACCAAGGCATGTCTCGGTATATGCGACCTCTAGCCTGGCTGCTTTAGGTCTTTCCTGCAGGGCGAATCATCTGCCTTGGATCCGGATAGACCAACTGCCGCCTTGGAAGTAGATATGGCCGAATCGGCTTTACAAGCTCTGTTGCTACTCGCATCCAACGTCAGAGAACACTTGTACCAAAATGAAGAAAACTGAAATCCCTACGTTTCATATCATTAAACAATAAGCATATCTATAATGGTATACTAATGTATAGGTGTAGTTGCGGTTTTGGGCCAACGACTAAGATCCGCTGCCCTTGTTCGACCTCCGAATACTGTTCACATTGATTCCTGAATGTCTAGCATCGTTAGACAGCAGAACATCCTTGGCCAAGTGTATTTGCTCGGATGAGGAAGCAGGGGCCGATGTATTTGATACAAAGGAAGTGAGCTTATCTGATGACAGTGGGTGCGGCTCTGCCTGTGAAATCGCCTTTGCAGAAGCGCCATCTGTCGTCAAGTCATGTTTCCTGGTAAAGTTTTGTGCCATCGTCTTTACATCTACACCCAACCCGTGGGGAGATGCTCTCGTCTCGCTGGAGGCAACAACAAGATCAGTCTCAAGACCATGATCAGAAGTTTTCTTTTTCACTTCCGGGACAAGCGTAACATCGTTTTCCAAGTTGTGATCAGGTTGCACAATATGGGCCACGACAACTCCGTGATCGACTAGAACATGTGACGGTGTAGATGTTGCAGAGGTTGTTTGACGGCTCTGAGAAGACTTGAAGAGACAATCAGGTAGGCGTTGAAGAATTGCGTCGCTGCTATTCACTAGTTAGAGGCACGGTAGTTTCCTAATCGTTCAAGAATTTTGCATACCGCCTCTTCTTATTAATCTGTACCGGGGGTGAAGCTAAATGACATCACTTAGATCTGGCCACTAGTGTTTTACTCTACTCTGGGTAACTGTACTCACGGGAATCGATGCTGTCAGATGTCATTGGTACTTCCATGAGATATTCATCGGTAGTTGGGGGACTGAACACATAAGCTGTTTTGATCCGAGAGTGTTGTGCTTCACGAGCCAGGATCTCATATTCGCATTTTTCAAGAGCAACACAGGGACAGCACCAACCATCCTTCCAGTCAGACAGCTCGTCACCTTCAATTTGGTAGAAAGATCGAATAGTTCCCTGAAGTTTGGCTACAAGGCATCCATAAACTGTTTATTGTTAGCTGTACTGTATCTGTATGCAACAAGTGGTGCAAGATTTGTGACATACAAGGTAAACATAGGGCACACTCGACACAGTCTGGATTAATCATTCCCGGTTCAACATCTGCGGCGTTGCCACCAGCAAGGGCAGCACGTAGGCGAGCCCAAGTTCTGCCGTACGCATCCCATGGGAAGAAGAACGCGTTTAAAGACCGCCTATTTCTGTCTCTATCTGGCCCCTGGCTTGTATACCACCGCCATTCTGATTGACGTTCCTCAGCGATTCGCTTTTCCATTCGTGCTGCTGGTCTTGGAGTGTAGAGGGTCCCAGGATAGAAATGCCACCACGCTGGAGGACGTCGAAGATGACTGAATCGTATATCTTGAGTCCAGTGAATCGGGCGATCCATACTCGAAAGATAATCAGACAGGATATCGATAGTACCAGCGGGATATAGGCCGAAACCAAAGCAGCGAAAATGGAAGCCCTGTTACAGAGAAGAACAGGGGATAAGACGCAATGGTTGTACGAAAGAAGCTCTTTAGTTGGATAATAAAACTGCTTTAAAGAGTGTCTTTAGCATTTGCAGTGAAACGAGTACCATTGTCTAGTTAAGTGTCGTGGCTCAATGTCAAGGCCTCAACAACGTTGCGTGCCAGGCGCTCCTTCCATTGATGCTTCGCCATTTCTTTGCAGTGCATGGTGTCTTGGTATAGCAATACCTCTTGCCTACTTTTCCAATGGCTTGCAGAAGAATACAATTCGCCAAGGCCGGTAAGAGCGAGGGAAATAGCTACTTCAAAGCAATATCCGTCAAGTCTTGGTACGGAGCGGCGCCACTGAACCGGGACAGGCATCCCCTCCTGTCAAGATGTCCAGGATTGGCTCACTATTTAAATACCGAGTATCAAATACAGTGAACGGAAAACCTTGTGCTGGTCTCTCTCTCAGCCCTTGTACAGTAAAGCAAGGAGGGTAAGTAAATTTGACCCCATGGCCCAACTCTCGATATTGCTCTTGCCTTGTACCTCGTGATCGCATTATAACCATTCAATGGAGCGCGGTGCCATCGAAGACAGAAACACTTCATTAATACAAGGCGGGTCTTCTCTATGAAAAATGTCCTATTAATTGGTGCACGGTATATTGTCAGATAAGGGCATCGACGTGTGTTGCAGATCGGTACAGATGGGGTGGCATCAGGAACTGGTAGGGTCGCGGTCACGTATTCGTACTGGTGCTGTCTCAAGGCTTTAGACATGCACCACTGGCCCCCGACTCGTGATTAGGTTGGGCCTGCGTGCGTTGGTTTCCGATCCTGTGCGTGCGCTGTAGATGGCGTTATGTACTGCGCCTAAATTTTGGCAATGGCCATCCCTCTAGCATCGGACAGTTGGAGTTCATTGACCTGCTGTACTTTGCCCCCTAAAGTCTGTTCCCGTTTTGCTCCTCCAGAAGACAAAGTGCGACCGTGACTGCAATGGTCATTGACTTTCGATAGCGCCTTGTTCCGCGTGCCCAAGGTGAGCCTGACTAGCGTAGCATGGGTCTCTGCCCCTGTCGTCTTTAGCCTATCTAGCGTTGGAGGCGTAGGTTCGGCGCTGAGGTTGTGGATCTAGGCGGCGAGCCACCAAAAGGCCAGAGCTCTATTGCAGCCTCTGCAGTAGTTTTTACGTGCAGAATGCAGCTGGGGCAAAGATGGCGGTGATTCCGGGGTCGTTAGCGCTTTTCTTTTTGGACTGGCGGCCGCTGGCTAGTGGCCTAGCGCAGGGCTACTGCAGCTGAAGGAGTGGGTTCTTTTGTCCAAGCCTCACGGCGGCTTCCAAACTAAAGCGCCATGGTGGTTCGAGATCTTTTTCGGTTCTGTGGACGCATGTTCTGGAGGCGTCAGCGCTGTCGATACTGCTTGCCATTCATCTCCCTTGGCAGCGTGGGAACGCAGATGCCAATCGCCGGGCTGGCACCAACACTGAGCATGGGTTTTTCTGACTGAGTGTTTTAAAAGAAGACAAAAATAACAATGGGCGCCGGTGACTGTGACCTTCTCAGGTGTGCGCTGGGACGGCCTGTCCCGTGAGCGACAGCGACTGTGGCAGCCGCTGGCACTGTCGCCAGCTGTGACGGACCGATAGCTTGCCCAACTGGCAGGCGGCAGGCGGGCCTGGGCTCTTCTGATGCAAATCTGTAGTGGCACCTGTGCCGACTGCCCGTCGTGTTCGCTCCTGCCAGTTTTAGTTTGTCTCGCCTCGTTTGGACCTTTGCTTTTGGGCTTTGTCTCTCTTGGGTGGTCATGACTCTGTCCATCACACCCGCTATTTCTGACTTTTCCGCTGAGTTGCCTCTGGTCTGAAGGTCATGGCTGCGCCTTGTCTCTGCTACTAGGCCAAAAAGCAATAAGACTGCGGTGCAGGTCCCTCTTGATACGCCTCCCGCCGAGGCATCGAAAAGAACAAGACACCCGCCTTTCCAATTCTTTGCTCTCCTTTTCCCGCTACCCTTCTCGTCCGAACGATTTCAATACATTTCCGTTATTACAGCAGCCTGTCTATTTCGGCTTGGCGCTATTCCACTGGTAATCCTGGACATCAAAGAACAGGCCAGCGCCCCTTTTAATCCTTGCTCACTACACCACTCTAGTGGCTGGGAGCGACAGCGGTCAACTACCTAAATCAACCGCTACCTGCCCCTCCTCCGTGGCCTGTCATCGAGCCCCTACCCAAAGTACAACGCTCTCTGTTGGAACCAAAGTCCGTGGCTGGAAACTGTTGCATTTTTGCCAAACAAAACCTCCTGCATCCCTCCAGCTCATCTCGATACCGGATTCCTGTTTTTCTCTTTCTTCTTTTTCCGCCTCATCGTCCTGTCGACCTCCGACCCGAAACAAAGGCAGCCTCCCGCTGAAAATCCCTGCAGGCGCGCTCTGCAAGACATCATATAGGCCAGACACTAAGCGCCGCCCGCTGACAGTCCATTGATTCAATTTAATCTCCCAACAAAAGGTGCGTGTCCCAATCACGGGTCCAAAACACCCAATAACACTGGCACCGTTCCTTTGACTTTCGTCACATTTTACGCGCTACCACTTTGTTTTATTGTTTTTTGGCTTTCAATTTGCACCTTCTTTTTGCTTCAAATATTCACCGGCCATCTTTATTCTTGCTTTTCATTTTCCGCCTCGCAGCTTATTTCCGACTCGTTGCAAACCGTTGGCTTACACCATCTTGGCTTTGTAGTACCTCACAACTCGTGTTCCGGCGTCTTCAACGGGCTTTGTACAACCACAGACAATCCCCTACAAATCGACCTTGGCGGAATATCCCTGATCAGTCAATATCGGCCGCAAAACTTTACACGTTATTTTCCCGCTACCTCCTCGATATCATCATGGGCGTATTCACAGAGAAGACGCGCCTGTCTTCTGTTGAAGAAGTGCACAATGAAAACGGCGTTACGATTCCCGAAAAGGCGGCCGTTGCGTCTTCCACGGTCCTGGCTCTACCTGTTGACTACGAATCCCCTCGAACTAGCGCACCTCAAACACCGCGCACCGAGAACAGCGCGAATCCTTTCGACACAGACTTGGAAGCTATGCTTTCCAACTCGATCACCAGCAGAAGCACAAGAAAAAGCTGTCACGTTGTCAGGAAGAGCGATTGCCATGTCTGGCCCGGAAGAGAACACTGGGAAAACAAGGCCAAAGCTGAAAAGCGGAAGCGTAGCTGTGCTTGCACAGCTGGGTTGAGCCGTCGGAACCGCATGATTGTCAGGATTCTCTTGATCCTACTTGTCATTGGCGCGTCAATTGGCATTGGCTTGGGAATCAGCAAATCTCTAGGAGCCCCTATTTGGTCAAAGAAGAACCCCTGAGGGGGAGTGCTTGTTGATCTAATCTGACTGAGGGCTGCGGCTCTATCAGATCATATTCCTTTTCTGGCGCATTATTGGTGTTTCTTTCATTTTCATTTGGCGAGGAGTTTGGGGCGTTTTCATTTGGCCTGCATATTGTTCATCTCTGGATGACGCATTATATGGTTTGTTTGCAGACAACCAATTAATAACGAGGGGTACATATTTGTTCATATCCTGACGGGACCGGTATTGTTTCATCTTTGCTTTTTGTTTCTTTGTCTTTTGGTTGGGAAAGACAAGACTCTTTCATAGACGCTATATTAGAAGAAATGTGTATAAAATACAATACTCATGGCATGCGCCGTGGGATTTCTACTAGCAAACTTGGTATTTTAAGTTGCAGTCACTGCAAAAATAGTCTTTCAGGCAGTGCACTGGCTTAGATATGATTAATGTTTAAACACAAACGCGTGATGGCGAAGAGCAACTATTTCATACATCTTATAAAAGCCTATAAGCATGCCACCGCGGAAGCTCAATACCAAGAACAAGAAATAGACCAGCCGAATTTTACCGTATCAATGCCATCGACAATACCGCCACGATCACAACCACGGCATCATCAGCGAGGAGCGGATCTTCCCCCCAGTTACGATGATGTCCGAGAAAGCAGTCGTTCTCCAATACGCCACGAGGTATGTATGCCCTTGGTGACGATTAGCAACGACTGAGAAACGAAGAAGGAAGTGCTAAGCATGGGAACAGATTTCTCTAATTATCCAAATCAAATGGCCAGATCCCCTCCGAGTTGAACACAGTAGTACAGTTCCCGTGTCCCGAGTTACGGAGCAGCTGTATCTTGCCAACGCGATGCTCCTTACATTAATCACGATGCTCTTGGGAATATTGGTCTGGAACGTGTGTTGAGAACAGCATAGCATCAGGGGATATGTTAAAATATGTGTATTCTTTACGACGAACTGTACCATTACCGTATACAGCAGCGCCATGATCTATGCATACGGCTGGCTCTTGCCAACCCTCTTCGGTCTCTCCGGTACTATGTGTAGTGTAAAAACAAAGAAACAAAATAATATAAACGAGTCTGCGCCTCCAGGGCTCAGTGTCCATGTCCAACACCATGCCCAAAGCAAAATAAAACAAAAGGGAGTGTGAATACAGCGGGGGGAGAAGCCAAAGAAGCGTTATACTGATTGGTAGAGCAGCAGCGGCTCTCCAACATTTTCGATTTCGGGTATCGTACACTTTAGGTCGAAAGCTTTGGATAGGACAATCTTGAAAATCTGCTTTAATTAGTATTGACTATAATGTATTCGGAATCGGCGGGCATGACGTACTTTTTGAACGTTGATGCTATGACTTGTGCTTGAAAAGATTAGTGCTGCACGCATTGCCTTTGCAAATCGTCGCGCCTGTAGTTATTTTGTTTAGTAAATCGAGCATCTTAGTGGAAGTATGATCCGTCCTACCTGGTTTGAGATTTCCTCTTGATCTTGGATTGGGAAGTTGACAAAGTGGTCGTACTTTGTACCGACAAGGATAGGAATAGCAGTCTTGTTGAAGCCGCGGCCTTGGCGGTACCACTCCTTGATACTGTTAAGCGTGCTCTTGCGCGTCAAGTCGAACATGAAGAGAATGGCGACAGCGTCGTTGCAGACTAAAGGCAACATGTTGACGAATTCGCGCTGGCCACCCAAGTCCCAAATCGAAAAGGTGATTTCGGTGTTTCGGATGGAGATTGTCTTTTCCATGAAATTGACGCCGAGGGTCTGAATATAGTCTTCGTCCCAGCTACCTTCGACGTACTTGACCATGAGAGATGTCTTGCCAATTTGCGCGTCGCCAACCATACCAACCTTGATGACGACATGGTTACGGCCGTTGGATGATTCGCCGGAGGCGCCCTGTTGACGATAGTCGCCTTGCTGCTGTGGTTGCTGCTGCTGCTGTTGCTGCTGCTGTGAATGGATTCCCTGTGCGGGTGGTGTATATTGCGTCGCGGGATCGTCGTCGTGCATATCCTGGGTCATGGTTTGTTCAGGGGACTGGGGGTAGTTGTCGTATGACGGCATCGGGGCGGCGTGCGCGGCGTCTGTGTGTTGTTGATGCTGCTGCTGGGCGAAATCTTGAGCTTGCTGCGCTTCGAGAGCGTGCTGTTCCGGATTCATCTCCATGATGACCGGTTATGCCGAGGTGAGATGGAAGGGGGTCGAAAGGATTCGTTGTTTATCGCGTCAGAGGACCGAGTTTGGAGCGGATGTGTCGCCAATCTAGCAATTCGGAGCTGCTGTAGAGTGATACTGGAGTAATTCGGGCGAGTTGGAAGAGTTTTGGAGGAGGAGAAAGGGGTGTTGTCGCTCAGTTGCGTCGGAGCATCGAGACGGCCACCGGGCAATGGGCGCTTAAGATGAAGCTAGTAGCACTGTTGTGGGCGGCAGACAAAATGAAGCAGAGGGGCAAAGAGCAAAAATAAAATCCGTGGTGGAAGAGATGAGGGGCGCAAAGGAATGATTGCAAGCAGAATTGCTCTGGGGCGGCAATACGAGATAACGTTGATTGTTTTGATGGGAATGGCGGGGAAGCAGGCAGAAGAATGCAGCGTCGTTGAAAGGCGGAAAGGGCACAAGCTTGCCTCGTGCCTGGAGGGAGAGGCGCCTTGTTTCCTGATTGGGAAGCGCTGGGAAGAGGCAGAGACAGGCAAAAAAGGGCAGCGGAGGCCGGAATTTCAGAGGTGCCGAGAAAAAAAGGTTGGTTTGGGGCTGGGTTGGTGTTTATGCTGAGTAGAACTCAGGACAGCGTGTAATTGGGGAAAAAAATGTGCATAATTCAAATGTTACATAGTGAAAAGGGTAAATTTATATACAATTTAGAAATATTTTACATGCCTAGCTGTTATGGTAGAACCATGCGCGTCAAAACGACAACTGAATCTAACAGCTCGACCACCAAAGCAAATGCCTACTAATACGCATTTCACCTCAGGCCAGGAAGCTCTGTTGTCAAAGCAATTATAGCAGCAAACTAACCAAGAAAACGGCGGCCAATAGCACAATCTCTATTCCCTAGTTATACACAGGCTCACGTCTCAACCTCTGCATCGGCACACGGCGGGATATCTGCCCCAGGGTGGAGCCGCCCGAGAAAGAGAGTTGCGACAGGCGTCCGCCACGGGTTGGCTTTCTGGTACGAGGCAACTGGGCTGCTTTTGGCGGGTGATTTTTTTAATGTAGAAATGATGAGCCGATGTCGCAAGCAAGTTAAACAGCTGCAAATACTTGTCATTGGCGGGTGACTATTTTACTATGTGTCACGTATAGTTGACAGAGCCTACTACTGATGCTTTACCACTACAACAGCCTTATCTAAAATCCCATCTGTCTCTTCTGCTGTCTCCAACATAACGCAACAAAGTAAATAATTTTTTTCAACCACAAGACAACAAATACCAAGAAAATCATGAAATTGGCCGTCAGCTCGCATCACCAGCAGGGTCCTCTTCTCGCTCTTGTGTGTCTTAACCTCCATCCTCTTACGGCGAAGCTCCATGGAGCTTGCCTTACCCCAGGATCCCGTTGATTGGCCCGAGCGGTACTGTCCCCTGTATCTCTGTGTTTCCAGCGGTCCTTCAGCGCGGCTACAGCGTGCTCTCCAGCGCTCCGAGTCTACAGCGCATCCTTGTAGGGGGCATGGGCTGCCCAAGTCCACTGCAAATGGGACCCCGTCTCCACTGCCCCTCGCCTTGCGTCGGTTCCCGGAGGCGCCCGCCCAGCGTGGCCCAGCGTCGTCGGGTGAGCTACAGTTGCCATGACTAAGTGATTTTCCAGTGGCCCAGAGCCGCGGGGGCGCTACCTGCACCTGCGTAGAGCCTCCAAATTCCGCATCGGAGCAAAACCCCAACTTTTTTTCGTGCCCACCTTTTCGTCCTCGCTCCTCCTCCTCCTCTCTCTTCCTCTTCTTTTCCCTTTTGCACATCAACCACCACTCTCCACTCTTCAATTCGCGTTCGATTTTCTTTCCCGGTTCATCAATTCTTCACATTATCACAATGGCCTCTTTCGCTGCTTCTCTCCGCGCCGTCGCTCGCCCTGCCATGCGCATGGCTGCTGCCCGCCCTGCTTTCCGCACCTTCACCACCTCCCGCATGGGTACGTACGAGCCGCTGCTGCACCATAACTATTACTATCATGTGGTGAATTCGTCTTGAACTGCTTCGCTAACGCTTCTCCTTCTCTCCAACAGCCCTTGCCAAGCGCTACACCAAGGACCACGAGTGGATTGACGTGTCCGCCGACCGCAAGTCTGGTGTCATTGGTATCTCTGAGTACGCCGCTGAGCAGCTCGGTGATGTCGTTTACGTCGAGCTCCCCGAGACCACTGGCGACTTTGTTGACCAGGGTGATGCCGTTGGCGCCGTTGAGTCCGTCAAGAGTGCTTCCGACATCAACGCTCCCGTCCGCTGCAAGGTTGTTAGCGGCAACGTCAGCCTCGAGGAGAAGCCTGCCATCATCAACCAGGTTCCCGAGGATGACTCCAACGGTGGCGGCTGGATCGTCCGCGTTGAGCTCGACGAGGAGGGTGCTGCCCAGGCTGATGAGCTCATGGACGCCGAGGCCTACAAGGCTTTCATCTCCGAGTAAGGGCAACATGGACACGTCCATTGCTTTATGAGATTTTTTAAAAAAAATACACAAAACAAAACACCCAAACAGAAAACATCGGCATAATAGCAGACAGCCATCGTGTACGCCCATGAGCAATTCACAGCTCCGGTGTAACGCGACTAATTTGTCTAGCTCTTTGTGCCTCGTGATTTAACAACACGGCGGAGGAAACCCAACTGTTAGATCTCGTTGTCGCATCTATTTGTTAATACTACTATTTCACGTGGGACAGTTCAACCTGGCTAAAGAACAGACGGAAACACTTTTTGCAGCAGCGTCATGAAAAGACTTTATTGGTGTACCATATTGTGTGCAAACGTCCTTTGCGGTTTGACCTATTTTTTTTTTTGCGAAACCTGTTCTTCTACTTTTTGATACCACACGACACAATGCAACACAATACGGCACAGACAGACCGAATCGGATATATACAGGGTCTATTTTCTAATTTTGGGAGGGACCTTTCGGCCCTACACCAGCGATAGCAATCGTCCTTTTTTTTCTATTCCGTTTTTCTCTCACAAGTTGTGATGCAGGTTTCGATTGCTCTCACACGACATACCCCTCCCGCGGACACATCAGTAGTGCCTCTTCTTCGTGTTGAACGTCGTAGAGAAAACGAACCAAGATGTGCTGGGTGCAGTCGCCTACTTAGCTGGTAGCCTTTGGCTTGGTAGCATTGATGGCGTCCAAGATCTTGTTTGCACCTTTACTAACTAGATCCGCTGCAACACGCTTGCCTAGCTCATCTGCTTCGTCTTCAGTATGGATGGTGGCCGTTATATCTGTATCGACCGCCTCGTCTCCCTTGACAGATACGACCGTGGCACGAACACGCAATTCAGTCTCAGAAACCCACGTAGTCTCAACACCGATGGGCACACTGCAACCGCCTTCCAAACTGCGCATCAAGCTTCGTTCGACCAGACACGACATGGTTGTTTTGCTATTTTGTAGAGCCTTGACAATCTCCAACACTCTCTCGTCGCCTTCACGGCACTCAATGGCTAGGGCTCCCTGGCCAACTGCGTAGAGCATGCCACCGTTTTCCCAGTCCAAGTGTTGTGAGATTCGATCGCTAAAGTTCATACGGTCCAAGCCTGCCGCAGCCAGGATAATCGCGCTAAGTTCTGGGTCCTCGTCAAGCTTGCGTAATCGTGTGTTGATGTTGCCGCGGTGGTCCTTAAATTTAAGATAGGGGTATCTGCGAGCCATTTGGGCGATTCGGCGGACACTGCTGGTGCCAACAACACTGCCGTATGGCAAGTCTGCAATTGTTTTCCATCCGTGCTTTTGAACGAGAGCTTCCTTTATTACAAGCGTGTCACGAGGGTCTTCTCTCGAAGTGATGGCTCCCAAGACACATCCGGGAGGCAGCGTCGTAGGCATGTCCTTAAGACAGTGTACCACAATATCAAGCTCCTTGTTCACAAGCTTCTCTTCCAACTGGGACGTCCAGAGTGCTTTGCCTCCAAAATTGTATAGTGCTGTGTTCTGATCTCGGTCGCCGGTCGTCGTCATGCCGTGGATGGGAAAGTCGATAGCCGGATGGACTGCTTTGAGGGCCTTGACGACAAGATGGGCCTGGGCCATGGCCAAGGGCGACTCTCGTGTGCCGACATTTACTGTATTTGTTTGCTCTGCAGTCATTGTTGCGTGATTTATACGGCACAGCGTTGTAGAAGAAGAAAATGCTGGCTATTCATGGAGGGGCAGCTGTTTGGCGGGGCACACATGTGCAATATAGAGGACGGTGCGGATGCGCAGTGCGGTGGACATGCTGGCACTATACGTCTTTAGGGTATTCAGATCTGTGTGCCAATATATTGACTACAGCCAAGAACCAGGTTTTAAAAAAAGGGATCAAAATATTAAAGAAAGGCCAAGAGCATGAAGAATCTGTTTGTATTAATTCTTGGAGTACAATTTACTTTGTACAGCACTACGTTGGTTACCAAAAAGTGTAAGCTTGATACAAACACGACATTGGTTCTGTACTTGTCGTACGCAGCCATTGTTATTTGTTGTGCCGACTGACTCTTTAAAATAGTACGAGAACAGAATATAGACATTGGTTAAAGAAAATTCTACTAGACCAACCTCTATAAAAGGCCTGCACATTCCCACTTACACGGATATTGAGCTCCTATCAAGTCGTGGTGTGTACAACTTGGACATCATGCAATTCTTCCACCTCTTCTGTCTTGTGGCCTTGGCTGCGGCCTCGCCACAGCTGCCTACACCGGTTGGACCTCCTCCTCCACTCACTCCGGCTGATGGTTCGACCTCGACTCCTGTCCCGGTTGTGCCCCCTCCTCCTCCAACGAAGGCAACGACTGAGACGCCCAAGCCTCCCGCCCCAACGCCTGATGGCCCCATTTGCGAATGCGGATATACTTATTGCGGCTCTGTTTTGATGACCATGAGTACGTAGCGTTAAACTACAGTAGCAATGAACCTCGGATAACTAACAGGGAGATGTATAGAAAAGCCATGGAACCAGAAACAACTCGGCGACGCATACTGCAAGACACCCAACGCCTCATGCCCCAATAACAAGCCGTCCTCTGATGTACACTCTGCTCTGTACCTCTGTCTCTGCGATGGGCCTGACCAGAAGCTTGGCACAACTCTAGATCTTCTCTGCGGCTGCGACAAGTGCCTCAATGTCGGTCCCGATAACCGAGCTCGCTGTGAGACGCCCTGTGTTGCTGCTACTCATAAATAGTCAGTGGTTGGAAGACAAGAAGATATTGTTGTAGCCGGAGCTGGTCTCTGGCGGCTGTCAAGCAAATTGACTACCACCAAACTGATTTCCTTTTTCCTTTTTCTATCATTTTACTTTAGCCTATACCAAGAAACAATCTAGCTAGACTCAATTAAACGGCACCGTTTAAATTCAACATGTCGTCATGTCGCATCTGCAGCGTAGAGTAAGAAAATCGTGACTATTGCCTTAATAGGCAAAGCGCTGAGGATCCGCCGCTGCCCGCGAAATTCCACGAATCACAACAATCTGGATTTCCAGGACAGTAAAATGTTTGGGGTGCAGGGTTTCCTCTACATTTTCTGCTTTTACATCAATTGAATTCCGACGCTTGTAGCAATATACGCTCTTTAATCAGTCGCCATGCACTCCGTTACCGCTGCTGGTGTTGTGATGTTGGCCTGTGCTGGCCAGGCCACCGCTTCTAGATTCACCCTGAATGAGACCTACGATGCGACCAACTTTTTCGACAAGTTTGACTTTTTCTCTGTGAGTGATGCACTGGGTGTATCTATTTATACCGGAAAACAAGCTAATTTATTGTTCATATGTAGGGCAAAGATCCTGCTGGCGGCCATGTCGCGTACCAAACCCGTGAGGACGCCTTGAAGAAGCGCCTCATTGCCACCCTTGACGACGAAGTTTACATTGGAGCCGATCATGAGACTGTTGTAGATGCTACGCATGGAAGACCCAGCGTCCGTCTGGAATCCAAGGCGTCGTACCTCAAGGGTCTCATGATTGCCCGCTTCAACCACCTGCCTAACAAGCAGTGTGGTGTCTGGCCTGAGTTGTAAGCTATATTGGAGACTGACTTTGGGCTAAAGTGGTTACTGACACTCTGTATTAGCTGGACCAAGGGTGCCAACAGACCTCACGACGGACAAATCGACATTTACGAACACTGGAACGAAGCTCCTCACAACCAACCAGCCCTTCACACCGGACTGACCAGCGATGTTGGTCTATGCCAGATTGACAACGTCAACCAGACAGGTACCGTTGCCGCGTACAACTGTGACAACAACTTTGAAGACCCTCCCAGGCAAGGCAAGGGCTCTGGCTGCAGCATTGTCGATACCAAGGGCCCTTGGGCTAACGAGGATGGTGGCGTCTGTAAGTGGCATTGTTTTAACCTTACCAAATAAACGCTTCTGCTAACACTTGTTTCTAGTTGCCATGGAGTGGACCGAGGAATACCTCAAGCTTTACAACTGGCACACCGGTGACGAGCCGGACAACATCGACTCTGCGCGTCCCGATACCTCCAGCTGGGGTCTTCCCAACCTTTACGTGAAGAATGACGAATGCAACATCGACAAACACTTTGGTGCCCAGAAGATGGTTCTGCACATTACATTCTGCGGTGTTGCTGGCACCAAGGGATTCTGGGGCGAGACTTGCCTGGACAAGACCAAGACGCCGCAGTGCGTGGACTATGTCTCCAACAGCCCTGCCGACTTCAAGAACACCTTCTGGAAGGTCCGTGATATCCGCTACTTTCAGCCTGCCAAGTCTTGCAAGAAATGAGGCAGTGAGTAGGTTGAACAGGGGACTGGCATAGAATAGACACGAAAAAATGTGGTGGTACAGTGCAATAGATGTACATAGTTTAACATATTACCAATACTGAGTCTGACATTCATACACACCTTTTTCTCCTTCAATATGTCCACCTCCTCCCTTGCATACGCCTCCATCCAGTTGTGTGGTGTTGGCTGTACATCATCCTTCCCCTCCCTCCCTCCGAGCTTGGAGCATCGCTCGCCGAGCCCACCCCCGGATTTTAGCGGCTCGGCCTAATGTAGCGCACTAGCCAAAAACGACCGGAGCCCCCTGTATTTCAGTGGCTGCCGCCTGCTAAGGCCCTCCCCACACGCACCAAACATGCAGGCCACCACTAAAACAGGCCGCTGCTACTGCCGACCCCGCACGAACCGCTGCAGTGCCAGTGGGGTACGGCAGCAGTAGAGGGCCACTGGAAGCCGATCTTCTGTGCACCGCTGCAACGTTTCGAGGCACCATCCCAGCAAGCACCAGGACGACTTGTAATGGAGGGTATCGGTTGCAGCAGCCTGCTTGGTCTTAGCCTATGTATATTGTAATTATTGCAAATCGCACACAGAAGAGAGGGGGCGTGCACCGGCAGCAGACCGAACAGGTCATTTGGCGGCGCAGTTGCTCGTACGTCACAGGAATTGGAGTCGCCAGCTGTCGCAGCTGTCGTAGCTGTCAACGAGCCGCCAGCCAAGAGGAGGGGGCCAGGCTAATACCTCGTCTCGTGTTTCGCCCTCTTTTTCTTCCTTTCTTCTTTCTCCTCCAGCTCTCTATTGTTTTCTTTCACAGTGTAGTCGTTCTTGTAAAAGTCCACTCTCTTCTTGGATATATCGACGGTCTTGCTTCCCGCTCCGTTCCTGGGGAACCCGTCCTCGCTAAACTTTATTCCCGTCTTCTGCTCGGAACGCGTTTGCCTTTCCCCTCACGTGCACCTGGAAGCTGCCCAGCTCTCCCTCGACGCGACTTTCTTCTCCCCAATGCCAATCGCCTCAAATGAGGGTTGAATCGTAATGGCGTCCAATTATCTACGCCCTCTGGTTTCCGAGGCTCGCCTCTCGTCCTTTTCGTCGGCCCGTCGGTCTGCCACTAGCATCCACGGTACGTTCTGTAGTCTAGTCCCTCAAACTCCAATTCGGCAAAGCCTGCTACTCTGCAAAACATGTGGATGGCTAATAAATATACACAGATGCCAAGGCACTGCTAAACTACGGCCGCAAGTGGCACAATTCGTTGGCTGCTTCAGCTCGCCGCGCTGTGCTACCGACCCTGGCCAAGCCTGCTGCTGTACAGCGCCTTGCGTCCTTCAAGACTGCTATTCCGCTGCCTCCGCCTAGCCCAAAGAAGTATTCGACTGTGGTCCTTCCACCCACCACTCCATATGGCGAGCTCAGTGTTGGCGTGCCCAAGGAAGTATACCCTGGTGAACGCCGAGTTGCCGTCACCCCGGCCAATGTCGTTGTTCTCTTGAAGAAGGGCTACTCCAAAGTCCTAGTTGAGCGAGGAGCCGGCGCTGAAGCTGATTTCTTGGATGAGGCTTACACCAAAGCTGGCGCAACCCTGGTGGATGGGCCCCAGAGCATCTGGTCCCAAGCTGACATTGTCCTCAAGGTCCGAGGCCCAGCCTTGGAAGAAGTTGAGCATATCAAGGAGGGCCAGACTATCATTTCTCTCCTCCAGCCGGCCCAGAACAAGGAACTTGTCCAAAAGATTGCCGACAGAAAGGCTACCAGCTTCGCCATGGACATGATTCCAAGAATCTCGCGTGCCCAGGTGTTTGACGCTCTGAGCAGTATGGCTAACATTGCTGGTTACAAGGCAGTCTTGGAAGCATCCAACGTCTTTGGCCGATTCCTAACAGGTCAAGTCACGGCTGCTGGCAAGATTCCTCCCTGCAAGGTTCTTATTATCGGTGCTGGTGTTGCTGGTCTAAGTGCTATTGCAACCGCTCGACGCATGGGTGCCATTGTCCGCGGATTCGATACTCGACCCGCGGCGAAAGAGCAAGTTCAATCCCTTGGTGCTGAATTCATTGAAGTGGAAATCGAAGAAGATGGTTCCGGTGCTGGTGGCTATGCCAAGGAGATGAGCAAGGAATTTATCGAAGCCGAGATGAAGCTGTTCAAGGAGCAAGCCAGAGAAGTGGACATCATCATCACTACTGCCTTGATTCCCGGAAAGCCTGCCCCCAAGCTCATCAAGATGGACATGCTCGATGTTATGAAGCCTGGCAGCGTTGTAGTCGACTTGGCAGCTGAGGCTGGCGGTAACTGCGAGGCTACCAAGAAGGGCGAGATGACTACGTACAACGATGTGAAGATTATTGGTAAGAATGCCCAAGTGATTGCAAATGACTATAAGCTAACGGCCAAAAAGGATATACCGACCTCCCCTCTCGTTTGCCAACACAATCTTCGACTCTATACTCCAACAACATTACCAAGTTCCTTCTGTCCATGGCTCCCAAGGAGAAGGAGTTTGGCATTGACCTTTCTGATGAAGTCGTTCGAGGTGCCATTGTAACTCAAAAGGGGGATATTCTTCCGCCTGCACCTCGTCCTCCACCACCACCTCCCGCTCCTAAGAAGGCCGTCGAGGAAAAGGTTGAAATTGTCGAATTGACACCCTGGCAAAAGAAGACTAGAGAGGTTGCTGGTGTCACCGCCGGTATGACTGGTGCACTTGCTCTTGGTAAATTTACTAGTCCTCTTCTCATGAGCAATGCCTTTACTTTTGCCCTGGCCAGTTTGATCGGTTACCGCGTCGTTTGGGGTGTCCAGCCCGCATTGCACTCTCCTCTTATGAGTGTCACTAACGCTATTTCCGGTATGGTTGGTGTTGGTGGTCTCTTCATCCTAGGCGGCGGATACGCTCCCGAGACTATTCCTCAAGCTTTTGGTGCCGCCAGTGTGCTGCTTGCATTTGTCAACGTTGGTGGTGGTTTCGTCATTACCAAGAGAATGCTCGACATGTTCAAGCGTATGTATGCAGAATACAATTGTAGATGCTCCGTTACTAACTTGATTGCCAGGCCCAACTGATCCTCCAGAGTATCCCTGGCTATATGCCCTCCCCGCCGCTCTCTTTGGTGGTGGGTTCCTTGCAGCAGCCACAACTGGCACCGCTGGTCTCGTCCAAGCCGGTTACCTTGTCAGCTCCCTCCTCTGTATTGGATCCATTTCTGGCCTTGCGTCTCAGACCACTGCCCGAATGGGTAACATGCTGGGCATGCTGGGCGTTGCCTCTGGTGTGCTGGCTAGTTTGCTTGCTGCAGGCTTCACACCCGAAGTCCTTACCCAGTTTGGCTGCTTGGCCACTTTGGGAACCGTAGCCGGTTTCCTTATTGGCAAACGTATCACCCCTACCGATCTACCACAGACTGTCGCCGCCCTTCACTCTGTTGTCGGTTTGGCCGCTGTACTCACTAGTATTGGTAGTGTCATGGCTGACATTGCCGATGTGAGCACGCTTCATATGGTAACAGCCTATCTTGGAGTGGTTATAGGAGGTATTACATTTACAGGTTCACTGGTTGCCTTTATGAAGCTGGCTGGAAAAATGTCTTCCAAGCCAACCATTCTTCCCGGTCGCCATGTTATCAACTCAGGATTGCTTGCCGGTAATGCAGCAACCATGGGTGCTTTCATCACCATGGCGCCAGGTAATCCGGTGGTGGCTGCCGGAGCGCTCGCAGCTAGTACTATCTTCAGTTTTGCAAAGGGATACACGACGACAGCTGCCATTGGTGGCGCCGACATGCCAGTCGTTATCACGGTACTGAATGCATATAGTGGATTTGCACTTGTGGCCGAAGGTTTCATGCTGGATAATCCTCTATTGACGACGGTTGGTGCTCTTATAGGTGTCTCTGGTTCCATTCTGTCGTACATTATGTGTATCGCGATGAACCGGTCTCTGACAAACGTTCTGTTTGGAGGTATATCAGCACCTGTGGCAACTGAAGAATACAAACCACAGGGTGAAGTAACGCAGACAACTGCAGAGGACCTAGCCGATGCACTGCTCAATTCAGAGTCGGTTATTCTGGTTGTGGGCTACGGCATGGCTGTTGCCAAAGCTCAATATGCAATATCCGATATTGTGCAGCTGCTGAGATCCAAGGGCATTGCAGTGCGGTTTGCCATTCATCCTGTCGCGGGTCGTATGCCTGGTCAATGCAATGTGCTCCTGGCCGAAGCAAGCGTCCCGTACGATATTGTCCTGGAAATGGACGAGATCAACGATGACTTCTCCGACACTGACCTTGCCGTGGTGATTGGCGCCAACGATACTGTCAACCCTATTGCTATGGAAAAGGGTAGCGCTATTGAAGGCATGCCTGTTCTCCACGCCTGGAAGAGTAAGCAGGTCGTCATTATGAAGCGAGGTATGGCTAGTGGTTATGGTAAGTACACAACTTTGGTGTCTATATGTGGTCCTACCTTGCTAACGTGATATAGCGGATGTTCCCAACCCCATGTTCTACATGCCAAACGCAAAGATGCTCTTTGGTGATGCTAGAGTGAGCTGTGAAGGTATGTCGCCCCAACAATGTACAATGACTTTATACTGACACCTATACAGCTATTAAGAAGGCCGTGGAAGCAAAGATGTAGATCTGCTGCGATAGACTGCATTAGAGCGAATGTTCTGATCCCCATATATGCGGCTAGGCGATATTGGTTGACCTTTCTTTTTGTCTGTCGGATCATGCGTTGTGTGATTTGCTTTCTTGGTTGACTTTCCTTTTATGTCCTTTTTTGAGTAGTTGTCTTTTCTTCTTTTGAATATATGACGTATTGAATGGAATTGTGGTCCATTGTGCATTAAACAAAGAAAAAAAAATAGTTGTTTCAATTGCTTTCGAGTTCGTTATGTACAAGATCCTAGTTCCAACTTCCTACACACATGCCGTTTCCCCCTTCTAATTACGATCGCTGAGCAGCGACGGGTTGCCAAGCAGAAATCTTGGGCTTGGTACTATATCTAGTGTTAGCTTCTGACACATTTATGCCAACCTTGGCCGCAATCGCCTGGCCGTCAAAATCGACTCACGTGTTGTAGGTCTTGAAGGCGCCTCTTGTCTGGGTGAAGTTGGGACGGGGCTTGAGAGGCTCAAAGGCGCGGGTGCCTGTAGCCATGAGGTGGTCCTCCACAGGGGGCTTGTCGACAGAGTAGCTGATCCAGGCGTGCCATCCGGGCTCGATCTGGCCGGCGTCGTAGTCGTGCTTGGCGTATTCGACCCAGCGGGTTCGGAGGGGAAGCTCCTCCATGTTCTCGAAGAACTTGTTGCCGGCGCGATCGGTGCCGACATAGCGCCCAAACTTGGTATCTCCTGTTGTAATTGTTAGCTCCACAATCGTTGGAAAATTTAAGCGCCGCCCGTCTTCATGCAGAGACAAGACGATAGGGCGGCTGCTATGCGGGAGATGGGATAGCGTACCGATGTACTGTTGTCGAGAAAAAGTGGCCGTCGGTTAGCGAGCTGTTCAAACGGGTGCTACTTTATAAAATGATCGGTCATCTATTCGAGTACATACCAGCATCTGGGTGAAGTAATCCTATTGAGAAGAAAGCAAGAAGGTCAGCAAATGTCGTTCCTTTGTCGCAGTAGCGATGTTTTGTTGCCGGCCTGTGTCGGGGCCAATTGCAGAGGAGTGGCGAATTCTTACCTTGATACCAACCTTGCGGAGGTTGTTGAGCGTTCTGGGAATCGTCGACATGGTGGGCGGCAGCGAATTTGGCGATTCAATGCTTGAACCTGGAGGAAGAAGCGAGCCAGGTTGTCGATGCTGCGCGGTTGACGAGCAAAACGTCGGGGCGGGAAAACCTCGGCGCCGGTGGAGTGTGGGCGAGAGCTTGTTTTGCGAGCAACACCATTGGCTGGGTCCCCTGGCAGTGTGTACTTTTATATGCAACCACCTTCTTTTTAGGGGATGAGAAAAAAAATCTCTACTAAAATTGAGAGAAAAAAAGAAATCCACCGTGTATTATTAGACGGAGACGAGAATGCTGACACGCAATTGCTGTCGGTGTCTAGCTAGAGCTGCGCCTCGCTCAAGATCGGTACACGCTTCTACTGCCAGAACACAGCTCAGAACATATGCGTCGTCAACTTCTGTTGTCAACGCCGCAGCTCCTGCAGCAGGCAAGGCAGGCTTACTGGCGCCGTTTCTGACGGAATTGGACAAGAAGGCCCCGAGCTTTGATTTGAAGGGAGAGCAGATCCGCGTGATTAAGACACCGGCGGAATTTTATGAGACGCTCAAGGCAAGGAACATAAAGATATTCAATAGCATGTCTATCTAACAATGTACTGCAGGAACGCATTCGGAATGCCAAGTCTAGAGTCTTCCTCTCCACGCTGTACATTGGAAAGTCGGAAAAGGAGCTTATTGAGACGCTGCAGGAGGCGTTGCGCAACAATGCCGAGCTCAAGGTGAGCATTCTGACAGACGCTCTGCGTGGGACACGAGAGGCACCCAAGGCCTCGTGTGCGTCTCTACTGGCACCCCTCGTGTCTGAGTTTGGAGAAGACCGCGTGGAAATCCGCATGTACCACACGCCGAATCTCACGGGCATGCGCAAGAAGTACATCCCGAAGCGCATCAACGAGGGCTGGGGCTTGCAGCACATGAAGTTGTACGGTATTGACGACGAAATCATCATGTCCGGGTTCGTGTTGACACATACGCTATGAAAACAGAAAAGTATACGGACTAACAAAGTGTCCAGTGCCAATCTCTCCACTGACTACTTCACCAACCGCCAGGACCGCTACCACTTGTTCTCGTCCAAGGAGGTCACCGACCACTTTTGCAACATCCACAACGGCGCCGGCTCACTCAGTTTCCTTGTTAAGCCTTCTGACGAGCCTGCTGGGTTTACGCTTGACTGGCCCGCGACAAACTCGGCACCGTCGCCGCTGGAAAGCCCGCAATCCTTCATCAAAGGCGCCACGGCGACCCTCACGCCGCTACTTACAGGAGCACAGTCTGCGCAGCCAAAGCCGTTCTCCGACACACGAGTCTATCTCCTGGGCCAAATGTCGCAGATCATCAAGCCCGACTCGTCCACCGAGCTGCCCGCCGTCACGAGCATCCTAACCCGCCTTGCTGAGCCGGCGTACAAGAACTCATCGTGGACATTTACCGCGGGATACTTTAACCCTGCGCCCTCCCTGACGAAGCTGCTACTCAACTCGGCATCCACCAACAACGTCGTCATTACCGCGTCGCCCGAGGCTAACGGGTTCTACAAATCCCCTGGCGTATCTGGTCTTCTGCCCGATGCATACACGCTTCTTGCGCGCAAGTTTGTCCACGGCGTCCACCACAACGGCCGCGCCGATGCCATTACTCTCAAGGAGTGGAAGTACGGTGTTGTCGGACAGCCTGGCGGCTGGACGTACCACGCCAAGGGCCTCTGGGTGACGATGCCTGGCGACAGCGGGCCCTCACTGAGCATCATTGGCAGCTCCAACTATACCAAGCGCAGCTACTCGCACGATCTGGAGGTTGGCGCGCTGATTGTCACGGAGAACGACGGGCTGAAGAAGAGCCTTGCCAATGAGCAGCAGTGGCTCCAGGAGCATGCTAGTGCTATGACGAGGGACGACTTTGCGAGAAATGAGCGCCGTGTTGGGCTCAAAGTGCGCATTGCCATGTGGATTGTATCTGCTGTTGGTGGTGCATTGTAAAATTAGGTGTTGATGTGTATATTATATGTAATTTTCTCCCTCTTGTGGCCCTTTCTTGTATAACGGCTGTTTATAATACTAAAACGTAATAGACATTGTTGTATTTCATCCACAATATGCACAGGATTCATAGTGTTGGTAAGAAAAGAAGTGGAAACAAAGGAAGAAGGAATAATACATTTTGGTGTCTAGTAGTAATTTACAATGGGTGTTAACCGCTCCTATATAGGTTTGTAGAGGACAGTTTATGAATTACAGCGTCTGCTTGCCCAGCTCCGGCGCCTGGGGTCCGGCGCCATTGACAAAGACGCGCGTAACCAAATCGCTTTGGTGCTGCTCAATCATCTCCTTGAGGACGCTCTTCTCCATGACAACCTTGCCCGTCTCGAGCAGGTCCTTGACGTCGACATCCCACATCTCCAGCGCGCGGGCCTCCCACGGCACCTGCTCCAGACTCTCATACAGCTTGTCACTGCGGCCGCCGGTGACAAAGAGCGAGCGGCCATCGGCGCGGCCAAGGCCCAGAGTGTTGAGGACTCCAGTAGTGTACTTGGCGAGATAGGCCTCACGCAGACCGTCCTGCATGTGCTCGGCCTCGAGGGCAGTAAAGTCTTCGGGGTAGGGCAGCTCCATGCCATCTTCGCAGACAATCAGCTCGCCTCGTCGGTATCTGTAGCTGAGGGCAGTGCGCCATGCCTTGTCGTATACTTTGCGGTTGAGCTTGGTGCCAAAGTCGCGGGGCTGAGGACCAAAGGTCTTGCCACCACCGCGGATCAGGGGACTCTGTCGCGTGCCTTGGCGAGCGCGGCCGCTGCCCTTTTGCGGGCGAATCTTGCGGTGAGAACCGTGGACTTCGTAGCGGGTCTTGACGGAGGCAGTACCGGATCGCGTGTTGTCGCCCTCGAAAACGACGGCGAGGTGGAGGAGGTCGCGGCGGAGCGGGAGGTAGAGGTGCTGGACGGACCACTGCTCCTGTGCTGTCGGCTCGAGGGAGGGGAAGCTGTGGATGGTGAGGGGGACGGTTGTGTCTATAATAAAAGAAAGCAGTTAGCAAAATGGACGCGCATGCTAAGCGATGTTGCGCATAGAGAAATGGGCTGGACGAACGAGGGTTCCACGATCTGGTAATGTCGTGCTGTGTGGTAGATTTGGCCGGGGTTTCGGTGGCCATTGATCGCGTAAATGCCTTTGAGATGGCTCTCGGCTGCAATTGAGAGAATTCATGTTAGCAATTGATGCTGCGTGAGTGCGAACCGTGATAAGGGGGTTCTGTTCTGTTGATGGGCTTTCCACGCATACCTGTGATACTCTGAGCGCCGCCATGGCCTCTACGAGACAAGCCGAGCCTCTGGAAGCCATTGTGACAATCTAATCTGAATTCCCTTTTCTGTGCAATTCCCACGCAATTATGTTGTTTTTTCCGCAGATCGAAATCGCTGCTGCTCGTGAAATCAAGTGATGTCGTGCCTGATGCTCGTTTTGGTGGCAGCCCAATTTTTCCGAGGCGTGGCTCCCCCCAAAACTTTTGTGGGGCCAGCTTTCTGCGCTTGTCTCCTTCTTTTTTTCCCTTTTGCTTCTTTATTTTGCTCGCACGACCACGGCCAATTGATTTGTGCACGGCCACTCAATTAAAAAGTCCATCACGACTGGGCTGCTACGGAAATCACGCTTTAATTGTTTCCATCAACAGCACATCGCCATCATGTCGAGGTGCACCGCCGTGGCCAGGCCGCTCGCCCGCCAATGGCAGCAACAACAGCAGTCCATCGCCATGCGATGCTTTTCCACATCGTCGATATCACGAATGCCCGACCAAGCTGCCTCAGCTCCCGCTACCGATGCTGCTCCCAAGTCGACAAACCCGCTGGATCTCGATCCCAACACCGTCTCGCGCGAGTTTGAGCCCCAGCTGATCCAGTCCGGCCAGATGCCCCTCGGCTCCCGTCGCCGTCGCGCCGCTCTTCGCTCCTCTGCAGGCCTCCCCTTTGAGCAGCTACCCTTCCAGGCCTTCCAGGAGGCACGCAAGATTCTGGCTGCTGATCGCGAGCAGAAGCTGCTTAGCTTGAAGAAGACCATGGAGAAGATGGCTGCGCTGGAGCTTCAGGACCCTAAGGACCCCAAGGAGATGGAGCGTAAAAACGGCCAGCTCGCCAGCTTGAAGACGTACGCGGATAAGCTCGTCATCTTGGCTGACATTAACGACCCATTGGTCAAGATGCGATCTGAGGATGGATCCGGTGATATGAATAAGCCCATCTACCGACACCTTGCCGAGAAGAAGTGGCGCGGCTACGACCACCGCCTTCTTACCCAGCGTATTGAACAGTTCAACATTGTTCCCGATATCCTCCCCAAATTCGAACCCTCAGCCCAAGTACAGCTCTTCTTCCGAACGAAAAAGGTCCAGCCTGGCGAGATCATTGATAGTTTGGTCTCGGAGAACTGCCCTAGACTCCGTGTCCAAGTCTTTGACGAGGGTGCCAGAATGGTCTCCGTTGTTGTTATGGATGCCGATGTTCCCAACGTCGAGCAAAACACATTCAGCAAGCGCTGCCACTACATCGCCGCCAACATCCCTCTCGATCCCACGACATCGTCCGTCCCCCTCAGCCTGATCAAGGCTGAGGACCAGCTTGCCGTTCCCTGGCTCGCCCCTGTCTCGCAAAAGGGTGCTCCCTACCACCGTCTCGCCGTCTTTGTCCTAGAGCAGAAGCCCGGCGAGAAGGTCGACGTGGCCAAGCTCAAGGAGCTTTACACAGCCCGCGACAACTTCTCGCTCAAGTCGATGCGCGACAAGTTCGGCCTCAAGCCCATTGGCTTCAACATGTTCCGTTCTGTCTGGGATGAGAACACGGCTGATGTCATGGCCCGCCACAGCCTGCCTGGCGCCGATGTCGAGTTGCGCCCTACAAGAGTGTACAGCATGCGCCAGCCTGTCCGCCCCAAGGGTTGGGAAGCCAAGCGCCAGGGTCCCAAGTACCGCCACCTTTGGAAGTACACCAAGCGTATCAAGGGTGTCAGCAGCTCCAAGGGATGGATCAAGAGAAGATGATTGGTCTACGGAAGCCGCTAGCCAGTCAGAAAAAGGAGATGGAGAAACAGCATCAACAGCAAATGTATGGATATCCCACTTGTATTATAGGAGGCTTTGTAGCAATAGGACTCAAAAAGCAATGTCGCATTACGCAAGCTTTCATTCTAGCTATTATTTATCAATTGTATTTTATTTTCATCATCTGCATTTTCCTTCCTCTGCAAATTGTTCATTAAAGCGTATACAATCTATTTGATTTGTCTGTATAGTAGCACCGCCATCTGTTCACTTCTTCAATCACCTGACACCGCGCTGCCGCCATTAACGCGCCACGCCAAACGCGTGAACCCCGCCTACCCTTATCCACCACCCATTCACTATCATCACCACAATTCTTTTTACTTCATTCACAGATTTCTCATTCCGCTCCAATCAATTCCAAAATGTCCGAACAAATGTTTGCCCCCCGCATCACTGCGGCTTACCTCAACAACTACGTCAACCGCAACGTCACCATTGTCGGCAAAGTCACCCAGCTTCTCGGCGAGCAGGCCGTCATTGATGCCGACGGCAACGTCACCATTCACCTCAACCACGTGCGTTTATAATCCCCAACCCCTAAAAGGGAAAACCAATTGACATAAATGGCTTCATAGGAAACTCACCTTACCAGCGGCAACGCTGCCATCTTTGTCGGCAAGGTCCAGCCGGACTTGTCTGTCAAGGTCCTCAACGCGCGCGACGTCGGTCCCAACGTAGGCAAGTACGCCGCATCTTTATGTGTTTTCTAGTTATACTAACCCTTAAGGACAGACATGGGTCTCTGCTCCTCCGTCGTCGAGGTCGTCCAAAAGTACCCCGGCATTCACGGAAACTGACGGGCTCGTCCAGATCACGGCCGCGCAGCAGCAGCAGCCTCTGCAGGCCTCGGACCCCGGCGCGTGGCCTTGATCTGGCCTGCCACTGAGCGTGGAGCGGATGGATTTGAATACGACGATGACGAATTTGACGACTACGATTTTGAAGAAGAACAAAAACAAATAGAAAAAGAAGAAGATGTGCAGGAGGGGCGACAATTTGACATTATAACATCGACGTCATCATGTATCCCCCAATCACCCACTACTGAGTGGTTCGAAGACGTATACGACACCGATACTGACGAAGAATTCCTATGGGCACAGCCCCAGCAATACTTGTACTTGTCGCCGCCTGAATCGTCTCAGCCTCATGCATTGTCCTCCCCGTCCTCGACATATATACCATCTGCGCAGCCTAATCGCGGCTTGTTCGATTCTATGCCATCTTATCCCAACTTGGAACTTCCGTCAACTTGGCAGGATGATTTCTTTGAAGAAGGATACTTTGAAGAAGAGTCCTTCTTTGCAACTCCACCTGCAAGTCCGCCCAGTGGCCAACACTCATCTAGAAAATCGCTTGAAGAAGCACAGGCTAGTGAATTAGACATGGTAGTCCAAGGCATGGCTCGAGTCTCAATGGCACCGAGAAAAAGTTAAAAGTTTAGAATATTTAATACATACCCAATTCTCAAGACTCCCCAATGTCACATCCATCACATTATAGAAACATAAACTAGCATTAACCAATTACAAAGTCCAAGAATAACCGCTATTACACCATGTATCACCACACCCTGCACCCTCTTTTAGCGCAGAACACAACCGGTATCGTTAAACACGCCGAGTCCGCTATTCCTGCATGCCGCCCGTTTCTAGTAGTGTCCTAGCGGCTTGCCAGAGCGATGCAACATCTCCGTAAATGGAGTCCAAATCCTCCTCTGATATTAAACCCAAATCTTCCACAGACGTGGTTATAGAAATGGCTTTGTCGCTAGAAGCTCCGTCATATCGTCCTTTCGCTGGTGCTTTGGCGCCGCCCTGCTCTCTATTTACTGATGTTTCTTCGTCACCTCGCGTCACCAAAGACTGGGTAATAGTAGCATCACTATGAGATTCGTCATCGCAGCAGCCCTCACTGCTGATTGCGACTTCTTTAATGTGATGCACCTTGTTGGCAAATCGTTCAAATGCGGCCAACTTCTTCTCCGCAGTCTCAGCTTTTAGCCGCCAACGAAACACCTCGGCTCGAAGTTGAAGAAGTTCCTCGTAGGTAGAATCGCTTTGTGTTGAATCGAGTTGGCTGGCTTCTAGAATCTCAGATTGAGACTTCAACTTTGTTCGCAGGCCATCCGCCTCACGACTCGTCTCCTTTAGTACTTCGTAGAGACGGTCAATGATTATATATAAAGCTGCTACTTCCGGGAGCTTATTAGTCCTTGATTCTTTATGCTCTCTGGAAGATGGCAGCTGCTTCTCTTTTGCCTTCCCCTTATTTGCATCTTTGGAGTGTTGGAGGGATGCCACATTCCTTTGACAGCCACAACTCGCTCTCTTTGAACTTGGTGTGAGTTGCTTTGTATGAATTTCTGCTTTCCGTGAGCTCTCCGCAGGGGATTCGACATAGCTTTTTGGACTCCTCTTGTCAAAGAGCGGACCACTATCACTTATTGCGTGTCGCACGGTCTTTGTAACTGGTATTCTGCTTCGAACACCTCCGCTACGTGTTTGGATCGGAGAACGTTCAGGTATCTTAGACGAATGACGAGGCGTAGACAGTTTACCCTTCGTATTTGTATTCTCTGAAATAGTGTTTATTCGACCGGAAGCCTTCATGGTAGATATTTCGCTCCTTCTAGGTCGGATAGATCGGTCGTTGTAGTTGATTGAGCCAGGGGATGGCGAATTCTGATTTTCAAACATCGCGGCCAGAGTACGAACCGAACTCCTTTTGCTACCCGTTTCTTCCCGTTTTCTTTCAGAGTTTGGAGAATGTTCCGGTAATGTGTCCTCTATATGACGTCGCTTCCCTGCTGAGATTGAAATAGGCCGTAGGTGTTCTCGTGGTTTGCTGCGAGTAATGGTTGTTGAATTGGGCTCGGGTTGGTAGTGCGTTAAGGTGTGAAATTTGGAAGAAATCTTGGAAGGAGAATTCCCTAAAGAAATACGCTCAGAGTGTCTTTGTTCATAGGCAATCTGAGTTTGTGGTTCTAAACTTTCCAAGTGGTATCCTTGCAAACGTTCAAGTCTTCGTCTCCTGCTATCCAGTCTTTTGACTTTGTTAGGGGTATAAAGTTCCTCACCTTTAATATAAAAGACATCATCATTTGTATTTGTATCATGTGGATTATTGTCATGTCTTTGTGCCGAAGTTGTGGGCTGCGTCCCAGGCTGTCGTTGTGGTCGTTTCCTACTAATTACCAGATTCTTTCCTTTGCTTAGTTTTGGATTTGTTTCCAGATTTATTTCACTTTCGTCAGAGTTGCGATAATCGAGATGCTGAAGGCTTGACTGATTTCTTATTCCCCCTTTTAGTGCAGATGCCCCAGATCTATGTCGGTGGACTCCCAGGGCCTTCATTTGTCGAACGACGTCTCTCCAACAAGATATTAGCATTTCTGCAACCTCATTGGCAATGGTAATCTTGTTCATGGAAGCGCCTCCAGCCCAGTTACTGCTGGCTATAGCTGGTAGTACTACTAGGCCGGACTCCAATGTCGCAAGATGTGTACTATATTTGTCCAGTAAATCTCCCACCAGCAGAGGTCCGAAGATGATTCCAAGCGCTCTATAGCCCATGAGGTCATTCGTAGGAAGGGGCTTTCCCTCTATATCTTCCCTCGGGGCTGTTTCTGCATGGCGTCCAATCATGCAAAGAAGCCCCAGAACAGAGCATATTAGCTCCCTTCTGTATTGTGATTCCACACTGCCAACAACAAGGGCGATCAGACGTGCCTTGATCTTGGTTTGCTTTGTGCGTGAAGTCTCGATATTCGTCCCAAGTTGTGAATGAATAGCAATAAATGCGTCAAAGACTGAAAGTGAGCCCAGTATTCCACCAGGCAGCATCGATAGCAGACGTTTAAAGGCTGACGCCACTTCATGGACTGAGCATTGCATGTGCGCCGGTAGCGACGCGTATCGAACAGTTCCAGTGACCTCAGTGCCACCTTTATCAACGCGACAGTAGTATTCGACTAGTCCATTGACAGCCTTGACCGATCCAGGAATTCGAAATAATCCATTGACCCCTGGGTTCTGGGCTAGATGCTGAGCAGTCGCTCGTAGACAAGTTGGCAGATGTAATCCACATGGCGAATACTCATTGGGTAGATGGAGAAGACTTTTTCCACTCAATCTTACCATAGAGATGAGATCTAATTGTAGTGGTGCATCTCTTTTGCTGTGAATAGCGTACGCAAGATCTGATCCACGTCGTCTACGTGAAGTTTGCTGTCGTAAAACCGATTCTGCTGGTGGCTTTTGTTGAGAGCTTGATCGAAACATGCGTCGGAACCATCCCGGATTTGATTCTAAGGGTCTCTGATTACACTTAGTTATGAAACTGATATTCCATCCATGGTAACAATTGAAATACCTCTTCTACCGTTTTAAAATCATCACTAATGAGAAGCCGCATACCGTTCTATGAAACATTAGCGCTCTAGAACCCTTCGTCAAAGAGGTCACCTACGGCCTTGGCTAACGTGTTGTACTCGTGGATGAAGATTGATCTATCTTCAATAACATCGGCATCCTCCAGTATGCCCAAGTCTGCGCTGCTGCTCGACCATGTACGACTTCTTCTGGATGACATGGCTAGCAAAGCTCTTGTAGGTTCCATGGCGCCATCTGCTCCACCGAACGAGAGAAAGCTACTAGAATTGGCCATTCCGCTAGGGCTTCTGTCATGTTTTGGTGAATTTGACTGATGTGAAATACCATATGTATGTGACGTAGGTCGGCCATGGTTTGGCCGGGAAGACGCCATTGCAAGTGGCACAAACGACAACAGGCCTCTGAAAAAGAGTCCAAATCAGGTTCGTCAAAGTAGCAGAGTCGAGTTTGGATTTCTTTGGTCGATAAGTTTAGGCTGACATGTAAAACGAGTGATCAGCTGGTTGCCAGGTGGCAACTGGTGACAGCTGGTGAAGATTTGGTGGCACTTGCCTCGTTGCACAGAAGCTTTGGCATGATCTCCTTTGCCCGTATTCCATACGACCTTGAGGAATTTATGCGATACCACTTGGTACAAAAGGGGCACAATCGAGTAGCACAAACGAATTATAAATGTTCAAATCAACCCAAGCACAAGGCCGGTATTGTATATATCTATCATTTGGCGACTACTTGTGGCCGCCCACGTCTTCTGCTCCATCTTGCTCTTAGCCAGGATGCTTAGATATCACATATGCCAAAAGGGAAAACAAAAGACTATAACACAAAGTAATCATACCCGAACCGCCCAGAATGCTAAACCTGACGCCGAAATGAATCCGAACGAACAGATGCCTAAGAAAGGCATCGCGAGTTATAGAGGGGTTGCTGATTAATCTCCATGGCGCTCGCGGTAGTCTGGTTTCGTAGAGAGGTCGTGCTCGTCAACTTCTCCATGAATCAAGACATATTTAAGAATATCCGATAGCGAGATGACTCCTTTGAGCTTATTGTCATCATCGAGAACGATAAGTCTGTGCACTCTACTCTTTCGAATAGCGTCGAATATTGAGTCCAGGCGGTCTTCTTCGTTGCAGATATAAATGCCAGGGCTGTCATCAGGTCTCTTGCACAATGCTTCTCCTACTGTTCCTCCCAGATCCTCGTAGAGGCCACCTTTGATGCAGGGAATCACATCCACGGCTTCAAAGGCATTGAGCAGTCGGTAGTCATCGTCGACGATGGGGATACAGCTAATGTTGTTGTCGACCATCAGATGAATGACATCTAGCACTGTGCTGTCCATCTTCGCTGTTGTTATGTTGTCATATGTCCCGAGACTAAGGTCGCGCACTGTCTTCTTCAACAAGACGGTGTTGTGTTCGTTGTTTACAGCGATGAACTTGAGAATACGATACTGCGTAATGACAGATATGACGGTTTCTCTGCCGGTTTCGTCATCGATGTCCACCAACGGAATACGTCGAGCGCGGGTCTTTAGCATTTGCGTGCATGCTTCGAAAAGGGTCTGAGACGGATGTACAGACAACGTTTCGATAGGTTCGGCTCCGATGGCTTTCTCGATATCTATGTAAGGCATTAGTACATCCCGGCCATGAATCAAAGATGACTTATACACCTTACCTCTCAGACTCCTGATCCGGAATTGGTCGAGTCGACTAATCTCATCGGGATACTGGCAGTGGTATTGAATGACGTTGATGTAGTCGGTGCTAGTCAGAAGACCTGCAAACTTTGATTCGCGAGAGTCCCAGAGTGGCACAGAGACAATTGCTACGCAGCCAACCAGTTAGTTTCTTCGCCTTGATTTATCTTCGAATCCGCAAAGGCCAAGTGCTTGCTTACAGTTTTGGATAAGGATATTGAGACTCTTTTTGATCAGTAGATCAGTGTCGAGGATGATGAGACGGAAGGAGAGTGGTAGGACATCGTAACTGGTTCGAACTTTGAGGAATTCGCGGATCGCTTGCTATAAGAAACGAGTTAGTTGGGCCATCTCTGCTAGTCAGCGAGGTGAATTGCAACACACCAGACCTTGACGCTGCTCCCTGTCCAGCGGACTGAGGGACTTGGGCGCCGGCTCGGCTGCCCTGACCGGCGCTGAAGGTTTTACGCGGAGATATGACGATGGTGCAACAAACTGTGGCACGGTTACGTCTGCTTTCGGGGGGACAGCATCGGCGGGAGCGGCCTGTTGTGACTGAAGGGTGCTTGTATCCGCGGCAGGCTGCTCCGTGGCCGGCGCTGGCGGTGGAGGGGCTTGTGAGGAGCCAGCAGCTGCTGAATCGGTTGGCTCGGCCATGGGTAGGAGGTGAATTATTGAATTACGGGGCAGCGGTGGTGTAGATATGTTTTGACTAGATGGAATATAGCAGTCGCAAGTAGGCGGGTGGCTGTGGAAAGGTGGTGAGTGTCGGCAAAGGTCGAGAACGGTGAGACGAGAGAAGCGTGGGCGGGACGATGGCGGGCGAAAAGGTGGGGGTTGTGCTTCTAGCTTTGGCGGCGGCACTGCAACACCTTCCAAGGTTAGTGGGGAGAGCTGCCCAGTTAGACGGAACAGTGATAGCGCCAGTGTAGGTTACAGATAGCGTAGGATGTATATTTCTGTGAGAGAGTAAAAAAAAATGGAGGAAAAGAATATGAATATAGAATTTTGATGAAATTTACAGTATGTTTATATCAGTGTCTTGGTCGTCTTTCCAACATGTGCTAGCAATGCCGTAAAGGCGGCATCACGAGCCGACTCAGCTATTAAGCCGCAACAACCATATCATGCTCACCATCTGACCAGCATCTATCATAGTGTTATCATTGCTGAAATACTTTATTCAGGGTTAAAATTGGCCGTGAACGGCAATTTACGATGGAATATCATGTCTAGCTGTAGCAATTGAAAGGCACGAATTGCTGCAGGGTAGCCACGAAGTATATTTGAGGCTGGTCCAGAGGCCATCATGGGGGCTATCTTGAATACGATGTTTTTTAATGGTTGGAATATAGCAATGGCAGGCTCTGTCATGAAATCCCATCATAATCTCACCATTGATCACTGGGAAGCAAGATTTATTATTCATCGGCGACATCTGTCAGCCTCGCATGGGTTCATCTTACCAAGCGACCACCCGAAATAATTGTTAAGCAGAGTGGATAGCTACAGTACGCTAGTGACCAACTACAACTAGAAGGCAAAGGACAGTCTATAGATGATGGTAATAATCAATATCTTGCAATTAGAGACCTACATCCCTTCTTTTATACTCTTTTGAACATTTCACAGCACCAGAAATCATATAAAAGATGCAAAGATGCCCAACGCCCTCATCATTGGCCCCACGGGCTACATCGGACCGCAACAAGCCAGCAGCTTATTCGCAACGGCATCTACCATGTTTACGCAGCCGTCCATACAGATAAAGAGGCCCTGGAACTTTCTCGAGATGAGATTCTACCTCTCATAGGCCATATATCGACTACAGCTGGCTTACACAAAATTATCACAGAAGGCAACATTGATGTCATTATTGATACCACCAGCTATAACGACAACACTACCAAGCTTGCATTATTAAAGCGCACCATTGAGGTAGCCAGCATACGCCAAAAGGCGTCTAAGTATACATTACCCAAGCTTGGATTTGTTACAGTCTCGGGCATCTGGACACAGGGATCTACGAAGGATCCACGGGGCAGTTTCCAGCGTATTAGCGCAGCCGACAAATCTCTAGTACCAGAAGACGGCTTGGTAGAATCCAAGCTTGACTACGAGCAAGCTGTGTTGGACGCACGAAGCTCTTTGAATATCGCCATTGTTCGACCCGGCCGTATTTGGGCCTTGGGCGGCTCAGCATGGACGAGGATCCTTGCGCCACTCGTCCAGGGCATGCTGGCCAAGACGGATGCGACAATGGAGATTGCCGTTGACCCGGAAAACCAGTATTACTGCTTTACGCACATTGACGATGTTACCGCTGCTATCGAGCTTGCTGCGCTTAAGCTACCCATTGTTAACGGAAGTGGCGTGCACCCAGTCTTTGATCTGCTTGGCGATCGAGTACATATGGAAACACTGTGTATCAAGGATGCCGAACACTTTGGTTGCAGGGGCAGTGTGAAACTGAGAAAGCCAGACGGCGTTGGCTATCTGGATAGAATTGGTGACCAGCACGAGGTGTCTTCGTCCAATGCAGAGACGGTGCTGGGATGGCAGCCCAAGAAGAGACATTTCCTGAAAGATGTGCACATTTATGCCAAGTCGTTTTTGGCGGCTCTGGCTCTAGCGCAACAAAAGTAAGACGGTGCCTGGGCTAGAATTGGGTGCTGTCTTTGTTTCTCTTTTTGGGGTTATCTGCGGGTAGCGTTACATTCGTGGGCGACGCTGCGGTGGTGGAACGGGACAGAGCTGCAGGCTGGAGATGACAGAGAATAAGAAGAGGCAAAGAGATCCAAGGTGCGAAAAAAAAACCTTGTAATGTGGAAAGATACCCTAATGAATAATCAATTAATTAATGATTTTTTTCGTCTTCTTCTTTCAATACAAAGGTGACGGGAATAATAATACTAATACAAAAGCTGACGTTGCCGCTGCTTGCTGCACCGTATCCCATGACGTCCTCCCTCCGTCCCCAGCTCAGGGCCCAAGGCAAGCGCTAACCGCTGGGCCCGCCCGCAGCAGCAGCCCATTAGCTCAGCTGCCCTTTTTTCCCTTGCTGCGTGCTCTTAGGCGGCAGTGGGACCCCGTGCCAGCCACCCCCCCAGCTCTGGCGACTCCCGTCACCTTGAACCCCGGCCAGAACATCAACAAAGCAAATTCCAATCTCCCTGCAGCACCCACCGCCATCCAAAACACCACGCTTTCTATCATCGCCGCTGCCGATAAACCTGTGCTGAGCATCACAAAGCACCACACATAAAGGAATCATCGGCATTTTTGTCGGTTGTTGCCGTAACCATGGGTGCTTGTAGCTCTTCCTGCTGCGGAGGTACGTCTCTCGTCTCGCTCCCTCTTCTTCACAACTACGCGAACCTTGCTAACGTGCCCTTCTTTTCCTCGGTTTGCAGGCCGATCGCGAGACAGCCTCTATGAGCCCGTTCTTGCCGACAGCGAACGCGAAGCCGTCGCGGACCTTCTTCAGTTTTTAGAAAACGTGCGTGACATCCCTCCTTTGCGTGACCTATCTCCTCGAAAGCTTAACTAACGCCGTTGTTTACCGGCTCTCTAGCGTGGCGAAACCGACTTCTTCTCAGGCGAACCTCTCCGCGCCCTCAGCACTCTAGTATTCTCGGAAAACATCGACCTGCAGCGTAGTGCCAGTTTGACGTTTGCCGAAATCACCGAACGAGGTTAGATTACCCGAGGCTCTTGCCTCGTCATGGCAAGTCCCACACAGTTGCTAACATATCTGTGCGATAGATGTACGCGAAGTCGACCGTGATACCTTGGAGCCCATCCTGTTCCTCCTGCAAAGCCCCGATATCGAAGTCCAAAGAGCCGCCAGTGCCGCTCTCGGTAACCTCGCAGTTAATAGTAAGCTGAGTTTCATCTGTCTGGTTTAGCCAACACGACTAACCTGCCCTAGCCGAAAATAAGGTTCTTATTGTTCAGCTCGGCGGCTTGACACCGCTCATTCGACAAATGCTGTCACCAAACGTCGAAGTACAATGCAACGCTGTTGGATGCATCACAAACCTCGCCACACACGAAGAGAACAAGGCCAAGATTGCGCGCTCCGGAGCCCTTGGACCTCTGACGAGATTGGCCAAATCAAGAGACATGCGAGTCCAGAGAAATGCTACTGGCGCTCTTCTCAACATGACACATTCTGGTTCGTCAAAAATGTTATTGTTGCTTACGCGTCACCAAGTACTAACCTTTGCTACAGATGAGAACCGCCAACAGCTTGTCAATGCAGGCGCTATTCCTGTGCTCGTCCAACTTCTATCCTCCTCCGACGTTGATGTCCAGTACTATTGCACAACTGCCCTCAGCAACATTGCCGTCGATGGTAGCAACAGACGCAAGCTCGCATCCTCCGAACCCAAGCTTGTCCAGCATCTTGTCAACCTCATGGACTCGTCCTCCCCCAAGGTGCAGTGCCAGGCGGCACTGGCCCTTCGAAACCTCGCCTCGGACGAAAAATATCAGCTCGACATTGTCCGTGCTAACGGTCTTCAGCCGCTCCTCCGTCTCTTGCAGTCTTCCTACCTTCCTCTGATCCTCTCCGCCGTTGCCTGCATCCGCAACATTTCTATTCACCCCATGAACGAGTCGCCTATTATCGAAGCCAACTTTTTGAAGCCTCTGGTTGACCTGCTCGGCTCAACTGATAATGAGGAAATTCAGTGCCACGCTATTTCCACACTGCGCAACCTTGCCGCAAGCTCCGACCGAAACAAGGCCCTCGTATTGGATGCTGGTGCCGTCCAGAAATGCAAGCAGCTGGTTCTTGACGTACCGGTTACTGTGCAGTCCGAAATGACTGCCGCGATTGCTGTTCTGGCGCTTAGCGACGACTTGAAATCGCATCTTCTCAACCTCGGCGTCTGTGATGTTCTGATTCCCTTGACTCACTCCCCTAGCATTGAAGTACAAGGAAACAGCGCTGCGGCTTTGGGTAACCTCTCATCAAAGGGTAAGCTAACGTTAACAGACTTGTCTAGTATGATGTGTACTAATCATTTCATAGTTGGCGATTACTCTATTTTCGTACAGAACTGGAACGAGCCCAACGGCGGCATCCACGGTTATCTCTGCCGATTCCTCCAATCTGGCGATGCCACATTCCAACACATTGCCGTCTGGACTCTGCTCCAACTCTTCGAGTCTGAGGACAAGGCACTAATCGGTCTTATCGGTAAAGCTGACGATATTATCGAACAAATCAGAAATATTGCAAACCGCCAAGTCGAATCCGAAGCCCAGTTTGAAGAGGAGGATGAGGGCGAAGTTGTCAACCTGGCCCAACGTTGTCTGGAGCTGCTCGGCCAAAGCATGTCGAAAGCCCATATCGAGGGCTAAGACAGACGTCGTCAGCAAACAGCATCGGCTTCTATGATTGACACTAGCGATGTGTTTAGAAGCCCTGGGTCATACTTTGCTCTTCCTTTTGCAACAGGGGACATCACAGAACAGCAATGGGTGTTCGGGCGTTTTGCATTTCGGCAGCGAGCGTGTTTGAAGCGACGGTATCATTTTAACCGTTTGTAAATCACATGCCTTGACAGACTGCATCTTTTTTTTCTCTCCTCCAAAGCAATCCTCTTACCGAAGACGGGGAGGTTGCGATTTTCCTTATTAATTGTTTACCTTTTTCTCTTTCTCGAAGGCCATCTATCCCGTGTAAGAGCACTATGTTGGCTACGCTCAACTACGTGTCCGCAAGGGTTGGGGAGTTTCGAAGTATTGGCCGCGGCTCAGAATGGATGGCATATCTGGCTGGTAGCCGCCGCTGTATAATCTTGTCAACATAGCATTTGTTATTGTTTATTGGTCTCGAAGGGTTCGGACAGTAAGGTAACGCATAATGATAGCATTATGCTGGTGGAAGATGCAAATATTTATAAATTCTAGTATATCCTTGAACCCAGTTTGCTCCGTGAACTCCGATAGTAGTCAACCCAGTATGAAAAGTGACATATTGTACAGTGATAACACAAGGTGAGTTTGTGTAATTAGGCATCGTAGTTGCCTGAACCTTCGAAGCCACTTCCAAACCATTGGCGATCCCTCCAAGGTAGGACGCGGGCGACAATCTTGCCCTGAATCAAGGCCAACGGAAGCGGACCAAAGACGCGAGAGTCTCGAGATGCAGGCAGGTTGTCTCCAACAATCCAGCAATGGCCTTCTGGGACCTGTATATTTTGCGTTAGTAAGTTGATATCGCAGAAGCAGTTGTCTTAAGCAACGTACCTGTATCATTTGATCATCCCCAGGCTCTTCCGGTGTCCCCAGCATCACATAGTCGCCAGGCATGCCCACAACGCGCTTGACTCCGTTCTGGTGTGCAAACAGCGGGATCTTGTAGAGTACCAGATCACCAACTTGGACGTTGCGCCCTAGGCGATATCTCATATCCGCTGCAATCCATTCTCCATCCACCGCAAAAGTCGGCAGCATTGAAGGGCCCTGCGCCGGCGATACCTGGAAGAGGTTGGTGAATGTGAGATGGGTTAAGCAGGAGATCTTGAGGGTGGATATGGCGAGGCGCAGCGGGTGCCCCAGAAAGTGGGACATGGCGAAGAGAGAAGAAGTTTAGTATGCGTTTGCTATTGTACCATTATTTCTCTGTATTTTATTTAGTCGTGCAATCGATGGGCAGCAATCAGTTGTGATGCATTGTCAAGTTTGGGGTCTGAGGTTGCGCTTTAGCTTTGGGTGGAGTCGACAGTGCTGGCGCGTGATTGGCGGATGCTATGCTCCAGTGACCTGTGACGTTCTGGGAGCTTCAACAAGCTGGGGTATTTCGCTTCCGACACCACATTTGCAGCTTAGCCAAACCGCCGCCACGCCCAAGATGTCGACCCTACAAGGTGCTAAATGCCTCCGCAGCACACACAGAGCTCTCTTCCGATCTGTATGGCCCCTCAATGAGCGCTGTGCGGCGCGCCTTCAGCGTCGACCGTCGCACGTGCCCGACGCACAGCACTCAACAGCCCTTCCCCAAACGCAAGTACGCTTCTATGCTGGTCCAGGAAACCGAAGAAAAGCTGCTCCGACAATTCAAGAACAAGTAGAAGAGGAAGAGGAGAACAGAAAAAACCGAAAGTACGACCCTCGCTTCATGACACAGCGCGACATTGAACGATCTGGCAAAGACCGACTTCCACAAGACCACGAAATCACAGATCCACAGGTCATGGTGCTCGAGAATGGAATTATTGAGGGCCCTATCCAAACGAAATACGTCCTCTCTAAGCTGGAGGCCGGCGAATCTCTGCGCATGATTCAAGCATACGTCCCTGCCGACGGCAAAGCCGACCCTCCCATGGCGGCCCGCTACGCTGTGTGCAAGATTGTAGACAAGAAGGCCGAGTACGACCGAATGAAGCAAATCAAGGACAAGAAGAAGGCCACCGGAGCCAAGAAGCTCAAGATGAAAGAGCTGGACTTTACGTGGGGCATTGAGGAGCACGATCTGATGACCAAGATGCGCGTCATGGCCAAGCTACTGGAAAAGGGACACAAGGTGGAGACGGTTATTGCGCCGCGAAAGCGAGGGTCGAATGCCAAAGTGGTCCTGCGAGAGGATATGGATGCTCTGATCAAGAAGATCCGCGAGGAGGCTGACCAGGCGGGTGGACGAGAGACGAAGCCAGCAGAAGGCAAGGTCGGCGGCATGATGAGGTTCCAGTTTGAGCGCAGAGGCAATGCTTAAGCGATTATTGTGCAACTTTCATTCGTGTCTATCTGTGCACGCACTCGTGCGATTGCATAAACGCATATAGATATATATCTAGAAAACCCAAGTACCAAAGTCATTGTATAATCAACGCCAAAACTCCAATCTTTTTCTGTTTGCCATGCCGTCTTGGTCAATCACATAAAGCTCTTCGTGAACCGTTTAGAGAATCTCATCCAGATCATCATCGACGGGAGCAGGTGCAGCAGTAGCAGCAGCAGTAGCGTCCTTGTCGTCATCCGTCTCCCAGTCCTTGCCGGCGTCAGGCTTCTCGGCACCGTCCTCGTCCATGTCGTCCTGGCCCTCGACCTCGAGAATGCTAGTCATGGCCGCCATGCGGTTAACATCCTCCCACCGCTTCGCGCGGTCCTGGACAACGCGCGAGCGGCCCTTGCTCTTCTCAATCTTCTTGCTGGTGCGCTCCATGACCGCCTCGCCCATGTCCATGCTGCGCTGCTGTCTCTTGCGGGCCTTGGCAGAGATCTGCGACTTGCGCTTGCTGATTCTGTTCTTGGATACACCGGCTGCGTATTGCACCGATAGGACGGCGGGACGTTCCGAGGCGGTGGTTTCGCGGGCAACGTTCTTTAGCGATTTGTCGGTGTCGATGGATGGTGAGGTTGCGCGGCGGGCGGCGCGCGAACGCTTGGAGATTTCTGAGACAGGATGTTTGTTAGTAGAGACATTACATGGAAGGTGCGGTTGGCTGTGATTTACCTCTGCTTTTAGCCATTTTTTTCTTGTTTGTGTAGGTGCAGATTATTGCTGTGCAGAAATCAGATGCAGATATTTGGATGGCACTGATTTTTTTTCTTGGGTTGTCGATAAGAATAATTTTCTGTTTCGGGCCGCTGCCCCTCCCCCACATTTAGGACGTTAGGTGGACTCGACTTACATGAGATGCGGCGGTGGATTCATCACGGAGAAAATATTGGAAAAAATAAATTAAAATAATGGAGTTATTGGAATCGTTACTAAGTAATGTGTAGCTAATTGATAGTGTCCTTGTCAATAGAAAAAAAAGCTAACCGCGCAGCTTGGCTGTCCATGCTGCCTTGGTCTTGTCCGACAAGGGGAATGGCACATCGCCATGGACTTCGTGAATCTAGAGAGATGTGCCCTGGTTTTCACACACGATTTCTAACCGTTTCTCCTAAAGTTTAGAAACCATAGCGATAATTACGCCTAGCAATGAAGAAAGGCGGCGAGACTTTCCGCATTTCCTAGCTTCCCATGCTTTGACGTCGTCCCTCAAATCGTGGATATTAATATCGACAAATTTTCCCAGCGTGTGAAATGCCAACACCAAGTTTTCGGTTTGGCGGATCCAGAACCGGAGCATTTCCTCTTCAATTATGACTTCGGTGTCGAGCTTCAACTTGATGGATCGAGTTTTGAGATCAAAGATGGCATCGCCTTTCATCATCTGTCCACCTGTGGTCACAGTCAAGCTGCTTGCTGAGCCTACAGCAGCGTTATCCTCCACGGTCGTTTCACTAAACAGCTGATCAATAACATCAGGAGCATCAGTATCATTCAGTGTTGCTTTGCTGAAAAGTTCATCGAGAGTGGACACAGACGGCTCCCTTTCCTTATTGGAATCCGAGTCGCAGACTTGTCGATCTGCTTTATCTGGAAAGTACCCGTCGACCTCGAATCGGACTAGACAATTCAAGTTGCCAAACTTGTACGTGTAAATGTGCTGATTTGAAACAGAACCTTTGACGGAGGCGTCGCAAGTGGTATACGCTTCGGGGAAAGTATGGCCGAATCCACGAATACCTTTAATGATTTCCTGGGGAGTATCCTCACGACGGATCAGGTGCACCTTGTTCTCGATCTGATAGACTAGAATTCGGAACCTCTTTGCCTTTTGTTAGGCAAACCGAAGCAGGTTACCGATTGTGCTTGCACATGCAACAAGGTCAATTTTTGACCAGTCTAGAATGTTGTCGGGGTCGGGGCTCTTCGAGGACGCTGCCATTGCCATTACTGCTCCAGTTGTAGCATCAAAAGAATGAGCCGAACTCATGGCGGCGTTTATATGTCGATAGACAATTTCATGATCTTCTTCGTGAAAAATAGGCTAAGAAAGAGGGGTCCATGCTCGTGGCATCCCTATGTATCGTAAGCATATACATCAGGATAAATCTACCAGCGACAAGGTTACCTGGGATGACAATCGTCGGCGTCTTCTTGTTCAGCCAGTTGAAGGATGCAACATGACGACAGTCCACAATTCGAGCGTTCTCCGGATCCGTGGTTTTGAGAGAGTTCCAATCAATGAAGTTGATTGTATCTCCCATAGGCTCAGTCCAAAATTTGGGAACTATCTCCCGTCTCTTTTGCACGGTTCGAGCCTTGAGTCGGTTTTTGCCCTTGGGACGGGTAGGAGGGGGTGCTCCTACCATTTGTACTAATCCGCCGGTGAAACTTGAAGTTTACAGAGACCAAATTCCTGAGTGCATGGAAATATTTAAAACAACGATGCAAGCGAAATAACAAACACAGAACGCGGAGACCTCTACCCAAGCCCGCATTATTGACAACTGGCACAGCTGGCAATACCACCAGGTGCCAAGTAACACAAGCTACCCTTTGCCAGCTGGCAAACAACAGCCTTTCATATCAAAACAGTACTATATTGACCATGCACTTGTATCCTTTGATATCTACAAACACCACAATTTCTCGTAAAGACAGTGTCTTCATGCAGCTGCGAATTGCACACGACCATGAATGTTGACTGTCGGTAGTTTAGCCATTTTGGGTGTCGACGGCCCGCCCTCCCGCATCAGCTGCTCGCCACCCCCGATGCGCTAGCCAGCCCCAAGCTCCACTGTCATACAGGTATAATTAAACTCTGGTGCTGACGTGCAGCGGCTCGCTCGATGGACCGGCCGTTGGAAAATTCTTGACAGCTTCATGCTAGGCTCCCTGGTTGACACTGTATCATCGAGAGCGCCGGAAGCATGCAACCTCAGTTTCTTACCGCCGCTATTGGCGGTGTCTTCTATCTGCTTCACCCTGAAGTGATTGTGGGTAGTCTGTTGCAGGCAAACGCGACACTCGCTAATCTGCGATAGGGCACCATCCAAGAAGATGTTAAGCCGGATAATATTTTGCCGGTTACGTTGTTGACTACAGAAGAGCTATTTAACCCAGATATTGACAACTGGCTCAAAGGTCTTGAAAGCCAGGACGACGTCTACTCCAACGCCTTTACCTTTGCTCTCGTTGAGAAGCCAGCTAAAGGCGCGGCTGCTAAAGCTCCAACTACGCGAAGGCGAAGCACAGCCATTGCTCAAAAGACATTGTTTACAACACTGTCTGCTCAAGATCAACCTTGGTCGCTGGCAGACTTACCCACTGGGCCGTATATCCTGCACGGAAAGGAGCTCCATGCAGCCTACAAGCTGTATGACGACGATGAAGGCTCGTTTGACGTGGGCATTATCCCTGAGCTCTGGAATGCCACTGACAAGTGAGTTTTGACCCCGTTAACAATGCATTGCAATGTCCTAACTCTTCGCCAGGTTTCTGGACTTGCACGGTTTGAAGTTGGACGACCCGGCAGCTCGCCCCATTGCCGTCCCATCTAAGCTCTATCAGCCTGCCCCGTCCGTAGACAGACCACTCTCTGGCGTACGATTTTCCATTCCAGAGAATCTAGATGTCAGTGGAGTTGTCTCGACGTTTTCGAGCCGCAACTATTCTTCTATTCAAACTGCAGCAACTGCACATGCGGCCTATGTGAAGAACCTGCTCGCTCAAGGCGCCACGCTCATCGGCAAGACAAAGACTTCTCAGTTTGGATCAAGCCGAGACTGGATTGACACTGTCGCTCCTCATAACACCAGACAAGATAGGCATCAGAAGCCGGGCGGAACTGATGCTGGAGCTGGAAGCGGTCTTGCCGGTCAGTTTTGGTACCCGTATGCCATTGGACAGGATCGTAAGCTCTGTGATAGTCAAACGCGCTGAACCTCGCTAATTGTAGTTTTAGATCTTCACGGTGTTAGGGATCTCGGCGCCATCTATGGACTGCACACTCTCAGATTCACGCCTGATCTTGTGTCAAGCACCGGATTCCACGTCTCGTCGCCGTAAGTGCCGTTCTAGCAGAGAATATGGACGCTTTATTGACACTCTACAGGAAATTTTCCGCACCGGGTATTTTGACACGCAATTTGACGGATCTTGCGTTCTCCGCTCCCGCACTTCTTGGCCAGCCGTTGGCTAAAATGAATATGCCGAAGCGGCTGATCGTTCCCACCGATTTCTTTCCGCTCGCAAATGCCGAATTTCAAAAGCTCCTAGATGTCTTTGTATCAGCAGCACAAGGCAAATTCAACTTCAAGGTTGAACGAGTTAGCATAGCCGACCTCTGGTCCAAGAAGCCCCCATGCAAAGCCAAGGGCAAGGATTTGAACAAGTTCTTGGGAGAGGTAAGTCTCATGACTATCCCACTATGTTGTATTACTAATGAAATGTAGGCGCCCTTCAAAGCATTTTGCTACGACTTTTACCACAACTTTGACGCTTTCCGTGCCGACTTTGACAAGAAAGAGGGACATGTTGCATTTGAGGAGCCTGATGTTGCTTTCCAGTGGGCAGTTGGCAAGAATGTTACCAAGGAAAAGTACGAATCGTATCTGGCTCGCATTAATCTCTTCAACAAGTGGTTCAATAAGCATGTTATGCCATCTACGTCTGGCTCGGATTCGCACGCCGTTATGCTTCTTCCCAATGGTCCAACTGTGTCCCAGCCTGCTGACGGTCCAAAGTAAGCACAGTAATTTAGTCTTTGAAACCCCCAGTTGCTAACTGTTTATAGTGAACGCAAGGCGCCAAAGGGCCTGCAGCCAGAATTGCTGGCTCCCATCCTTGGACTTCCTCAAATTACTTCGCCATGTAAGTGATTTTATGGCAACGATCTACAACATAGAAGATAAACTTGCTAACGCTTCTTAGTTGCCCAAACGCCTATGGATCAATCCAGCTTTGGAAACTACCTCGACGTTGTGGCGTCGCTGATGGGTGCCAAGAACGACGACCTAATGCTTGTCCAGCTGATGCATATGGTTTTCCAGCAATCCAAATGGAGAGAGTTTGTGCATCCCGGATACCAAGTTTTTCCCGTTGGCGACCCTCCTAGATATGTCGACGATGACGCATACTACCCTTACTAGCTGATTTTATACTTGCAAAGGTACAGGTGATGACGGAGATGGGGATGCGTCTTATAGGTTAGCTTCTTGCATATGTAAACTACATTTTAATACAGCTTTAAACTTCATCATTGAAGTCTGCACTGCCACGATATCGTTGTTAGACGTGGCGTGCGGTCTTCCTTGCGCTTATGCACGGCCCGCATAAGCGCCATCTGCAAGTACAACATGCGCACCTGGAGGTCAACTCGGGCCAAAACCGGCCTTCTTCTTGACCGGTTGTTGTGGCTGGCAATATATTCCCCGAATCAACAACCCTAATCTATTTCCCAGCACTATTCTCATAGGCATACCTCTTTCTTTAAACAAACATGGCGGAACCGGCGAATACCCCAATCCCCGCGTCTACTCCCCGCTCAACATCCCCCGCTCCTCACTTCAGCGGGCTCTCGACACCGCTCTCACCAACGAAGCTATCTGCTCTGCATATTTCCTCAAAGCCTCATATTCTACATATCCATATTGGAGACTCCTTGTCACAACAAGACGAGTGCCCGAGCTATGCCGCGCTAGGCGCGCTCTGTGATGTCCATGCTGTGGCGGTGACAGACAAGGCGGCGCTGCTGAGAGACTTAGATGCCAAAAGATGGGGTGACGATATTGATGCGGTCATGATTGAAGGAGATCTAGACTGGGATTCAGAAGTGATAAGCCTGCTGCCTAGGACAGTCAAGGCTGTTGCTGGGCGTGGAGATGGCGGGTCTCAATTGTCGTGGGAGCGTCGGGATATCGCATATGTCAGATTGGATGGGAATACGGGAGTGTCTGGCGCATATGACCCGTCTAGAGGCATTAAGAAGTTGGTCTCAGTGCTAGATGCTACGAGAATGGGCACGAGATAGAAGCAAATATATCAACATAATCACTAATTATTTAAGAGTCCACATCTGAGTTTGAACAAATTATTGGTGTAAATATACATGTCATATATTTCATAAAAGTTGTAAATAGAAAATGCTAATTTATGCCTTGGGCTTCTTGCGAATAAGCCCGACATTGAGCATCACTGGCTCAGCTGGCGCAGTCGCCGTGTCTGCTCTCTTGCGCTTAACAAGCCCTGACAAGTTGTTAACGGCGGCTGATTTGTCCTCAGCAACATCGAGAGTAGGCGTTTCCACCGTACCAGTCACATCAAATCCCCAAGGACTTCTTTGGCCAACCTCGCCGATCCATCGTTTTGTGCTGCCGCATCCCTTATCCAGCGTAGCAAAGTCAAGGTGCAGCATCAAATCCATGCTTCGTTTGTAGCCATCTTCTGACACAATCTTCTCGCCTCTACCAGCTTCTGGCCAGTAGTAGTAGGCTGTTGACTGCGGCTTATCCAAGAGATAGTTGCGCTGCTCAATCTTGCTGCGAGGTGGTCTTGTCTTGATGAGACCCTTGAGGTTGATCTTTTTCTTCTCCTTGCTCTTGCGGCCCTTCTTCTTTGGTTCTGGCTTTTGTTTTGTCTGGTCTACAGCTTTACCAGTTGACGTGAATAACTTCCGGGGTGTCGTTCCAGGAGTGGTAATGTTGATCGTCGCTGTTTGCTTCTTAGGCGTTTCTGGTGCAACAGTAGGATCGGTGTCGATGGGGCGGTCGTTAAAAACAACCCAAGCAAAGCCCGTCATTCGGCCACTAGAGCATTCTTGTCTGAATGCCATCATTTCCCAAAACATCTCGAGGCTCTTGACGCTCTGCCAGCTGCCGGTGGTGCGCATAGCACCCGACTTGTGCGCTTCTTCGTCGAGCTCGTCGCGGAATCGGGATTTGGGATCGTCGGGGTAGCGAGGGATAAGGCATCTTGGAGGAACCCAATCGAATTCGCGTGTATAGTGTGATATTTTCTCGAGAGGATGTGTTGATGACCATGAAGAGAGCGAGGAGCGGGGAAGGAAGGCCTTTGTCTCGTAGGCGTCGAGTCCAGGAACAACAAGATAGCCGTGTGCTTTGCCTGATTTGGAGGCAATGGAAGGTGGTGCTTCGACGAGAGGATTCAGGACTCGGCACCACCACTTAATTAGGCCCCGATCATCGAGTACATGTTTCGTTTTGTTGTCCACGCTGCCAGGGAAGAGATACTGAGACTGGGCGCGAGCGAAGAGACTAATGACGAATTGAATATTTGGTCTGACTCTGTTTTCAACGAGATAAGACATGAAAGCAGCACTGATTTCCCGGATAGGACTTGAAGCGCCTTTGGGGAGGTTGAGAAGGCTGAGGTAGCCGGTCGAGTCGGCCTTGGATACGAACAAGATGGTCAGATGCGCCGTTGTGAAGATGTAGATCTCCAGGCCCAAAACCATAACCTCTCGCTGATTTGACGCATCTGAGGCACCAGAAGAGCTTTTAGCCGACTCGGGCGCATCGATTGAAATCGCCAAGAAGTGCTTTTCGCAGAATGTTCGATCCGGGCGTTCGTTGGGTGGTGCGGAGCATAAGGCGTCCGTCTTTAACGGCGGCGTCGATACGTGATAAATGTGGAAAGTTTTGTCTTTGGGAAGAACAGAGGCAAGCCGATTGGCCAAATTGCCTGGCGATGCGTCCTCTGCTGACATGGTGAATTGTGGGCGACGATAGCTGCTGCAGAGAGTGTAAGTTGGTCACTGGAGCTGGGGAGGGGAGACGCGACGTTGCGCGCCGCCGGCGTTAAGTGGATGGTGCAGCTGGCTGCCCGTGGTGGTCAACAAACCAATAGCGAACAGTAAGTACTTTAAACAGAAATTTATAGAATGAAAAAGATGAATAATTATTTTAATTAGCCAATTCTTAAAGGATGAATTTGATTGTATTTTCTTCTTTGGTAATACTTCCATAATCTCTATCTAACTACGAGCACGCATATTGTCTGCCCAGCTCTTGCGCACCACTTTTCCTCGCCGTGTCACGTGCGCACCTGGAAAAAGAATATCGTCAATGTCCCTGAAGGAGATTCATCGACGCCGTTCCTGTCGCGCCCCTAATTGCACATCCCATAACCATCGCAATGGCTTTGAATCCGTGCCGTGCGGCCCTTCGCCGCTCTGGCATCGCCAACAGACAACAAATTATCTCTTGCGCTCGCTCGTACAGCACCGAGTCGGCGACACCTACCGCAACCCCCGAATCCTTTAAGCACAAAGAAGATGGCTCGACCGACGCCGTCCCGCGATGGGCCCAGACACCGCCGCGAATGAAGGCCCCTATGCAAATGGACTTTGCCCGCGACCCCAAGAACAAGATCTGGCACGTCAATAGCAACCCAGAGGTGCTGGACACCATGTACAACCAGCTCCTTGGCCCTGCTGGCAGCAAGATGCTCCCAGAAGAGCTCAAGTGGCTGGCTGTTACACACAAGAGCTTCGACCAAGGAAGACGCGGCTTCAATGACCGTCTGGCTATGCTTGGTGAGTTTTATGATTCTATAGGATGCGCGTTTTCGCCGTTGGCTAACAGTTGACCCCAGGCCGCATGACTTTGATGATGGAGGCGACCAAGACGATTGTCAGCAAGCAGCCCGCTGCTGCCGCGAAGATTTCCGACGAGTTTGATAGACAGGCCTTTGCGCATGAGCAATTGGACCCTGTGGATAACCTCAACCTCGAAGGTCCCAACGATCTAGTTGGAAAGGATCAACTATACAAATTGGCCAAGAGCGTCGGCATGCTCAATGTGCTGCGCTGGAAGCCCCGCCGAGTATGTTTCTGATGATTTATTACAAGCTGCGAGAAAATGGGAGTTGTCAACTAACAATATCTGTAGCCCGACAAGCTGTCTGCATCCGGCGTCGAGGTCGTTATGAACGGCGCTATCCTCGCCATTATTGGCGCCATTACTCTGCAGCGCGGCCTGGACGTTGCATCCGGAGTTGTGAGAGAGCATATCCTCCCTAAACTCAAGTAAAAACACAATCCAACAAAGATAATCTGGCATACTGGGCGTTGGTGGGACCACCACAAAGTAGCACATACATCACTGCTACGTGTACTCTTATATTTTCCCTTGTAACATGGTTGAGAAAAGCGGTATTTGTCTTGATAGGCACACTTGTACAAAATATTTCTCCAAAAAATGAATATCCAATTATTTCAAAAACGCTAATTGTTGACCAAAAATTCTCGCTAAAAGAAGAGACAGTGAAACTTGCAAAAGAAAACAAAAAAAGGTATTTGATGCGGGCAACATGCATGCGAAGTACACCCTAGCGGAACGATATCCAAATGAAAAAATGATTGGTAATACGTCCTGTTACTGCAGGAGAGGAGTCTCTTCACTAGGTCCATCTCCATGCTGAGTTGCTTGGCGGCTGCTGGCAATCTCCTCGCGGAAAACAGTTTCGCGGAGAACCCAGCCAGACACAAGACCAGCTCCAGGACCAAAGACAGCGGACAAGCCAAGCATTTTAGCTGGGATCTTCCAGCCAACTTCGGCAAACACCCAGTAAAGCGTGGCTACGCCAATGGAAAAGAGGTCCATCTCAATAAGAGGGAGCGTAGATCGCGTCATTTCCTTGCGGTCCTCTGGCCACGTCAAGCTCCAGAAAGCTGTGCCCTGTGAGAGAATAGAAACAATGGTGGGAAGTGCATAGACAGCCGCCATGCTTTTGCGGTGGGACTCGAGGTGAATCATGGTGGTGGCGGTCTCAGGCCAGAATCGCTCAACAACGTAGCGGACAAGTATGCGGATAAAGGAGACGTATACGGGGAAAAATTGCCAACTCGCAATGGTTGCTGTGTTGTTGAGAGCCACCATGAGGGCAGAAGGGAGATAGTAGCCAATAAGCAGTGAGACGGGAATGGCGATGACCTCGGAGAGGGGTACGTTGCGCTCCTCTTCTCTCTCCCGCTCATCTGTGCCAGCTTCTTCCTGATGCTGGGGGTCCTTCTCGAGGAAAGTCTCACGAGATCGTCTGAGATGCACAGGTACAATCAGAAGCTGCCAAATGATGGCACCTCCAAGCAAGTTGAGAATAATCCACGCGGGCGTGGGGTTAGCCACGAGCCTGGCTTTCTTGTTGCACGGGCGAGCTGATTCCACCGTGGTGACGGTAATCAGAGACCCGGCAAGGGCAATAATGACACCCATAACAGCCTTGGCTCTCCATGAGTCGAGCGATATTTGGAAAAAGGACACCAGTGTGCAGAAGAAGGTGCCCACGACGGGGATACGACTGAGCTCGGGGAGGCGGGCATGTGAATGGCACTGTGACTGCAGCAGAGCCACATTGACGTCGGAAACGGCGAAGAGGAGGCCAACTGTCGAGACGGCAAGGATAACGGGGAGAATCATGAGATATCGCATCGGCAGCGTCTGAACGAGGGGGCGGTCGAAAGCCATGCTGGGCGGTGATAAAGCTCTCGGAGCTCGGGGAGGCTGGTCGTGAAGAAAAGGGGACTGTTGAAAATAAATAGAAAAACGCAAAATGCTTCTTCTAGCACTGGTTGTAATGATATAATGACACCGTTTCTACACCGAGCAGTGCAAAATTCAAGGAGCACGATGCAAGGGTTTTAAAGGAGTTGTGCAGAGTAAGGAAGTGGAAAACATAACGCTACAGCATAACGCAAGCTCCAGTCCCCGCTGTCGAGCGAGTCCCTGCAGCGGGAACTAGGACCACCTGACGATGGGGAATGTCACCAGACCCGCCACTAAAAAAGGCTGAAAGGGTAGGCGATCACGTTTTTGTTTTAATTTTCAGACAGAGTTTCGGGGAAGTTTATTTTGCTTGAGTCCATTTTAGAGTTGCGGCCCGGTGTTTGAAGATGGGAAAACGTTAAATTTATTTAGGTAGTAGTATGTTTTTAATTTCATTTGCTATTACATGTGCGCTCATTGCACGTTGCGTTGCTTGGTATCATTTCCGGACTGACGAAAGGAAAGATTGGCCGAATGCCAAAATGTGTGTTTTTGTTATTATATTTAGAATCTATGGGCTGCTGAGTGTTAGCGAAACGAACTGGAAGGAAAGGGAATAAAAACTTACGAGGCGTAGCAACGGCCGTCCATACCACAGTAGGCATAGTCGTCGGGGCAGCAGAATGTAGGGCAGCACCAGGGGAAGCCGTCACGGCAGCAGTTGACGCCGTCAGGGCAAGCCATGGGGTGATCTCTGGGGCAGTAACCGTGTGTCATGAAGCGCATGTTTCCTTGGAAATGGGGGACGCCCTCAACGCTGGGGTTCTGAGCGGTGGTGTTTTCGGTAATCTGGCCGTCCTTGGCAGCAACGCGTTGCGAAGTAGCCTGAGCGCCGAGAGCGGCAGCGAGAATGGCAATGGTGAACTTCATGTTACAAAAGAAGATGTCTTTTGTTTTGATAGATGGGTATTGCAGTACTGGTTGTTTGCTTAGCAGTATACGCTCCAGTCAAGGGAGGAGGACGTTGGGCCCTACTTATACGCAAAAAGCATCAAGAGGATCGCAGACAGCCCCAGCCTGCATTCTTTGGCCGTCGAGAACGAACCCGGTTCTCAGGATAGAAGGATCCTTTGGAGAGACCCAGCCTCCAAACCGATCGCGATCGCTAGCCAGTAATTGGTCTGGCTGTTCTGTCTTACACGTGTGAAGAGGCGCGCCAAGCGTGTAAGTGCCCATAACGGTATGCCGCCCCAGCAGGCACTCACGCTTTTCTCTTATGAGCCAAGCGCAAGCAGGAGTGGTGTAGCAATAAGTCACTCCGGGGACCAATTAGCGAGCTCTCGTGCGCGCTCAGGGTGCTCAAGAACTACTTAGGCGAGACGGGTTGTCGGTACGTCCCAAGTGTCTTGGAGCGATTGGTGCGCTAGCTTTTTGCGGTGCCTGCGACGAATGTGTTTTACGAAACATGACGTGCCGGGTTCAGATGTGTGAGAAGGATGTCCGTTGTAAAAGAAAAGCCAATGGAAAAAAAAGTCTCCGAAAAGAATTAAAGACGCGCCAGGAGGATAAATATTGTGGTCTTTTTTTTATAGTTTATAAAGACGTTGCAAAAAAGGAATTCTGCGGCGGTATTAAGCCGGCTCGGCAAATTGAAGATCAGGGTCCTACGCCTCTGCCGTAGAATGCTGGCGATTGCCTGTTCCAACGTGGACCTCTGGTATTTGAGACACGTCCCGCACGAGCTCTCTTTTTAAATAGCCAAGCAGAGAAAAAAAGAGGACTGTCTCCCAGCCGACAGTCATGCGGCAACCACGTCCAGGGTTTCTCGTAGGCCCAGCCTCGTCCCAAGCTGTCGCACTAACACGGAGTTGCTGTGTCTCCCAGCCGCCCCGTGTTATGAGAAGCGGCCACGATGGGCGAATGACCTCGATCGATTCTGTGTCCCGACCAGATCTACACTCGCTTAGCAGTCCCGACCACAGGGCCAGTGTGGTTGAGGTTCGTAGAGCTGCTATGTAAAAGTGATCGGGCGCGCAAAGTCCCGTGTACGACAAAGTGGCCGAGAAGGGGAAGCTTGCTGCAGCAGATTAAAGGTGTGGGCTATATTGGTAATAGGTCATTTAACTCATGTCTTTCTTGATATTCATACATTGGCTGTCTTTCTCTCTCTCAGAGAGGACTGAAGGTGCTCACTTGCGAAACGACTCAAGACGTTTCAACAGAGCAATAGAGGTCATGATGCCCACCAAGCGGTCAACATGGGCGGTGTCAATCTTGAGCAACCCGTGCGTATCCCGAGATGTCCTTGACTGTAATTCGCCAACCTCAATTCGCTCGCCATTTACCGCTTTCCACAGCTTCCGCACAGCACCATTGCCTTGAGGCTCCCAAAAGAACGGGATGCTTTCCACCACGAATATGTCAGCGCGTGCCTGGTTGCCCGCCGGCCGCATGTCTAAGTTGTGAATGAGTGAATTGCCCGGAAATGTAATGATCCAGTGACCCAAGGACCAAGTGGCGCAGTCCATCTGGGCAGCTGGCTCCGACATGCCCGTCTCGTATGCTGTAAAGGAGCGGCCGATGACAGAGCGGCGTTTAATTTCAAAGGTTGGATCCCGATTCTCTGCATATGTCTGGCCTTCCTGCAGCGATAGTGTCTGGGGTGGCGGCAGGCCACTAGAGAGGTCATGGGCCAGGAATCTGGACTTGATTCTTCCAACTTCGCGAATATATACTGCACATTGGGGGGCCGGTTCGTGTGATGAGTTGATGGGAAAATCGGCAATCTTTAGTTCGCCCATTATTATAACTAAGAGAAGACAGACCAAATATAAACAACTGGTCGCTATCAAATGAAAAGTGTACAAAGTACGTTTGTTGTGAAGCTAATGTTGAGCGGGCCAGCTTTACCAGCAGTTCGCCGGCACCAAGTTTCATTTCCCGGCACTGCTGTGGCACTGTCATGGGCCGGCAACCCGAATCCAAAACGCTGCTGCCTATGCCAGGTGCGCCAGGTGGCAGCGCCACTTTCTGCAATCTTGCTGCTCAGCGCAACAAAAAGTCTGGGCGATACAGTGGCGCCGCTTATCCGGACCCAGATTTATTGAGTGCAAACACTGGGGAATATGGGCGCTAATGCTGCGCTCTTACAGGGCCGCCAGGGGTTATTCAATGGTTTTTCCCGTGGGGGGAAGCCTTCTGCTTTCTGTGGGGGAAGCCAGCTATCGTCCATTCCCCGCAGAAATCCACCCACCTGCCCACACGCAAGCGGAGAGCTTCCCCCAATTCTGCCGTGGCGCGCCTTGGTCCAAGCCCTTTTTCCCCGGCCCTTGCTTTGAAGTATCGTTCCCCCTCCTTTTTTTCGGAGTTGTTTCTCTTCTTACTGTCATCTTGCGTCAATTCCCTCTTCTACTGTACGCTAGATAACAAAAGAACAACATGGAGGTCCGAAATCGAGCTGGCAACAGCAATAGCCAGCCTGTGGAGGCCACGGGCCATCACCAAGTACACGATGCCGCGACTCTCGAACGAATGGGGCACAAACAGGAGCTGCAGCGCAATTTCTCCATGCTGTCGATGCTGGGTCTTGCCTTCGCCATCCTAAACACATGGACCGCTCTGGCCGCCTCTATTCCCGTCGCCATCTCGTCAGGCGGCCCTAGCGCCATCATCTGGGGCCTCATTGTCGCAGGCATTTGCAACCTGTGTCTCGCTGCGTCGCTAGCAGAATTCCTCTCGGCGTATCCCACGGCTGGCGGCCAGTACCATTGGGCGGCGCTCGTAAGCCCTCGAGGCCTGAGTCGCGGCATCAGCTACGTCACCGGCTGGATCAATGTTGCCGGATGGGTGGCTTTGAGCGCCACGGCGCCGCTGCTGGCTAGCCAGTTCATCATTGGCACGGTCCATCTGATGCACCCGGAGTACGAGGACAAGGCCTGGCACCAGTTCCTCATTTACTTTGCCATCACGCTTATTGCGCTGTTGATCAATCGATTCCTGACCGAAGCGTTACCGTACTTTACAAAGGCTGCCTTTATATGGTCAATTATAGGATTCGTCGTCATCAGCATCACCGTCTTGGCCTGCGCGTCGCCCAACTATCAATCTGGAAAGTTTGTATACACCGAGGTGGTAAATACGACGGGATGGCCTACTGGCGTCGCCTGGATGCTTGGCTTGCTGCAAGGCGCATTTGCTCTCACAGGCTTCGATGCTGTTGCTCACATGATTGAGGAGATTCCCCGGCCACACATCCAAGGACCCAGGATCATGTTGTACTGCATCGGAATCGGTATGGTGACGGGTTTCATCTTCCTAAGCGCTCTCTTGTTTGCTGTCAAAGACATTGACGCAGTTCAGAATGCTGCACATGGCCCAATTCTCGAAATCTTCTACGAGGCCACAAACAACAAGGCCGGCAGCGTGTGTCTCATCATGTTTCCACTCCTCTGTATGATCTTCACCTCGACTACCCTAGTCTGCACTAGTAGCCGCATGAGCTATGCGTTTGCGAGAGACAAGGGTATGCCGTTTAGCAGCTTCTTTGCGAAAATCGATCCCAAGCTCAACCTCCCCTTCAATGCGGTGCTGTGGACTGTAGCCTGGATGATTGTGTTTGGTCTCATTCTGCTTGGATCTTCAAGTGCCTTTAGCGCCATCACCGCTGCTTCTGTGGTGGCTCTTGGAGTCACATATGCTATCCCTCCTGCCATCAACGTCTGCCGGGGCCGCAGGGCGCTCCCAGCAAACCGATCTTTCAAAATCCCCGAGCCCTTTGGTTGGATCTTGAACATTGTAAGTTTTTATTATGCCCGTCTGAATATAACTATAACGGGCGATTGCTTACTAACTATGTCTAGGTCGGCATTGCGTGGTCTGTTCTGACAACCGTGCTTTTTGTCTTCCCTCCCGAGCTACCCGTTAACGGCACGAACATGAACTACTGTGTTGTTGCGTTTTTAGTCATGGTCCTTGTCGCTGGCGGAACATGGGTTTTTGGTGGCAACAAAAAGTATGCTGGGCCGTACATTGAGATTGAAGGCGTTCACAGCGACAATGTGGTTGGATTAAATCCCGTGCAGTCGCGGTTGAAGGCTGGAGAGGAGCATTTTGAGAATCAGCCGGTGACTGTAGTTTAGATAACTATACTAATTGGACATAAGCAGTGCTATTTAAAATCATGATATATAAAGATATGCTAGACGCTTTACGTCAATATGCCTATGCGCCACCACGGCCATTGGCGGCATCGTACAGAGACTGGATATCATCCTTCCACTGCTTCTCGTCGGGTCGAAGCAGGCGGCGATCATAGGTGAGGAGACCATTTACCTCGCCTTCAACGTCAGTAGTCTGTGTCCAGACAGCACCCGAACAGGCATAGCGCTCAACTTGTTCGCGAAGCTCGCGGAACAGGACACCAGCACGGTAGTTGTAGGTGGGGAGGTCGGCGTTGAGCTCGTATGTTTGATCGATTTGGTCGATGGCTTGCTGAACATTCCAGAGGCTATCAAGAATGGTTAGTAAGAGTTTTTATTAATTGAGTGACGGTGATGCACTTACTGATCAATGGTGACATTGTGGCCAATACCGGCAAATTCGCCTTGGAAACCGATGCGCTTTGGGTCGTATGGCCTGGAGAGTAGAGAGTAGAATGGTGTGCCACACTGGGGGTTTGCGTAGTGGTGGTTGTCCTGAAATGATTAGCAAGCGGTAATAACGAAGCAGGAAAGTAGAGCTTACAGAGTAGTCTCCAAAGCCGTGATCGAACCAGCCGGTGACAGAGTTGATGAGACGAGACGGGTCGATGGAGCGGACCAGGTCGGTCAGTTTGCCTTCAGGGTATGGCTTGTCGCGGAGCTGGCCCCAGCCTTCGTTGTAGATGACCTATTACATGTTAGATGCGTCCCAAAATACTTCATTTTCTTAAAACATACCCAAGTTACGATGGATGGGTAGCTCTTGTGCTCGTTGATGAGGATTTCGAGCTGGCGCTGGAACTCGGCCTGCTCTGCAGGGTTGGGCTGGGAGTTGGAGGGCAAGCTGGGCATGTCTTGCAGCAGCATGATGCCCATTTCGTCACAGGCGCGGTAGAACAGATCGGGCTCTACCTTGATCTGGTGAAGACGTTAGCAATGGCGTACGGTAAACAGAGGTTGAAATAAAACTTACGTGTTTGCGAAGCATGTTGAAGCCAAGGCTCTTGAGCATCTTGAGATCGTAAACCATGGCTTCCCGGTTGGGAGGGAGATGGAGACCGTCTGGCCAGTAACCCTGATCCAGGGTTCCAAAGAGAAAGTTGAATTTGCCATTTAGCAGAGGGCGCTGAACTCCATTGACAATACCGGTCGAGATGGTGCGGAAACCGGTGTAGCTGTTGACGACATCGTCACCCATCTTGACAGTGAGGTTGTAGAGGGTCGGGCTTTCAGGGGACCAGAGCTTGGGAGCGGCAACCTTGACGGAAAGTTCCTTGTCTGCAGCACCAGAGAGGCTGGCAATAGAATCGCCGTTGTCGTCAATGACATCCAGGCGGACATTTGAGCCCTTCTTGCTAGCAGAGTGGGCAGTCATTTTCACTATAAGCGGTTAGCAAGTTACTGGCTTCCGAACGAGGACAGAGATCAATTCTTACAAACACCGTCAGCACCAGCCGCAATGTCGAGCTGGGTAATGTAGTCGTCGGCTACCGTCTCCATCCAGACAGATTGCCAGATGCCAGAGCAGGATCGGTAGAAGATGTGGCTTGGGTTGCGAGTCTGCTTGCCAACGGGAATGACTTGGTTGTCGGTGGGATCGTGGACCTCGACAAAGCTTTTGAGTTTGTTAGCACCATATCCAAATTTGTGCGCAGCGGTGAATTGAGCTTACAGGTGATTGTCTTGACCGAATTTGATTGCCTTGGTGACGTCGAGGGTGAATCGAAAGTAGCCACCGGTGTGGGAGCCGACTTTGTTGCCATTGACGTAGACGGTGGCCTCGTAGTCGACAGCCTCAAAGTTCATGAGAATCTTCTTGTTCTTCCACGAGTCGTCAACCTTGAAGTAGCGCGCGTACCACAGGTTGGTGACGCCTAGATCCTGAATGCCAGAGAGACCGCTCTCAATGCACGAGGGTACCATGACTTCGCGGCCAAGCAGGCTGTTAAACCTGTCAGGAGTCTGGGCAGTGTTGTCTGCGCCCTGGTACGTCCAGACGCCGTTCAAGCTCTGCCACTCGTCGCGGTGCAGCTGGGGGCGCGGATGCTCAGGCCATGGATTCGTGCCGACCTTGTAAGTCCAGTCCGTATCCAGCGGCGGCTTCTGGACCTTGTATGGCGTAGGGGCTCTCCTGTCAATGGAGGCAGCTTGTAAAGGCTGCAGCAACAGGGCGAGCCCAGCCAACACAGGGGCAAGACTGCGCATGTTGATGTTTGGTAGTGTAGCTGTAGTGTAGCGTCTAGTCGAAGAGTCTCTACTGTGTATGTATATATGCGTAATAAAATGCGATGATAAAAACCTCAAGCCAGCTGTAGGTGTAAAGAATAGAGCATGCCTCGCAAAAATATGCCTGTAGCTTTTCGCACAATGGAATCCTGGACCCAATGGTATTTATACACGGGGGGTTCGCAGATTAGGGTTGGTCGTCAGTGTCTCATTCCCCCAGACCACGAGCGTTCCGTCGTCGTGCCGCTACGTTCTTGGCAAACTTTCACCGATGACCGCGAGCCAAGACGTCGAGCGAATCACAGAAAGGCCTCCAAGCAGCACTGCTGGGCGGAGAATTGCGCATTCCCGTTGTCGATCCTACTCTGGTCCCTGCTCACGAGACCCAACAAGCAAGCTGCTGCTGGTTCTGCTCTCTGAGTTTGCTTTTGCCGGGATAGGAAAGTAACCCTGCCAGCTTGCTAGCCTTTCTTAGCGCGGCCAGCGAAGCTTTTGGTTTTCTGGCGGGCGGGGTTTGCGAGAAAGCCGACGAAACGTGATGATGCAAATCGTGGGGGAGGAGAAAGGGAAGCTAACGATGGGGGAAGCGGAGCTCTCTGTGCGATGCTACCTGCTGGCGGGGTAGCGAATGTTGCGGGGGGACAGCCAGCTGAAGGGAGCTGTAAGTACTGTAGCGCGGACAGCGACAGCGAAATACAGAGGGCAAATAATAAATATTGTGAAAAATGTCTTTGTTAATATCCAATATTCAATAACTTTATTTGCAAGCTTATTTATTTTTGACACCAATGATTGTGTCAAAATGGATGATCTGCATCTCCCTATACCTCTCGGTGTAAGATGAGCCGGTCAGCGCCATCATTCCTGTTACAAAGCCTATTGCAGCAAAACACAGAGAGACAAGGACGGTTGGAGACGGCGTCTTACAAACCTCGCACTAAAAAATCCTAGTGGCCTGCTGTCGGCGATATTCTGGGCCGACCAGAAAAGAAAAGAGGCTTGTCGGCTACCAGCAGGCTAACGCACCACCAAGCCCATCTAATTACACACTCCTTGTAGATCACACAGATTGCATCACGGGAACAAGGATATCACAGCATGACAATTATCCGACATTTATCAAATATTAATTGGCGATATTCCCAGATCATCCCTATTGCGCCTCAATTGCTTGGCATACAGCGGCAACCCACCATTAATCTATTGCCGGTACCTGGTTTAGTGCCCGAGCCTGGTCTTTTTCGGGGGAATAGCCAAATGACCTTTTTGAACGAATGCCTGGTGACCGCTTTTGTAACAGGCGATACAGATCTATAATTCTAATACCACCGAAGCCCTCCCGAGTATGAAATGGTTGTAGTATATTTCATTTGATATGGACGGGAGCAAAGTGACATGTGAGACTATTGGAGTAATCAATTAAGAGAGTTATTTTCAAGCTTATGCGGTTTTGTTGTGCTGGTGATGTAGTCGTATGTGACCCCCTGCATACGATTAATATTTAGGTACAGACACGCCGGTAGTTTGACATGTTTGGCAGTTGTCTGTAGAGCTTCTACGTCTTAGTACTAAAATGTACAATATTAATGTAATAATAAATACAGGAGAAATGTATGCAATGTATACCGCAGCTATCGGCGCCCTGGTATTTTGACGGCGGCGTTCGAGAGCCCAACACCGACCAACCAATTCATACAAAAAGCAGCTAGTCTACCCTCTTACGAAAAGACAGATACACTCACACATACAAATATCCCGAAATGAAAATCATTGTCACAGGGGCTACTGGCCTCGTGGGCCAAGCCATTATCCGCCAGTGTCTGTCTCACAAAGGCGTTGAGTCCGTCGTCGCCGTAGCTCGCAAGCCTATTTCCATTGATGATGTTGGAGATACTACCAAGCTAAAGAGTGTGGTTGTTCAAGATTACGAGGAATATCCCGCTGCCATTATAGCGGAATTTGCAGATGCCGATGTCTGTATCTGGTATGTAGCGTGTAGCCGCATAGAGGCTCTATCTCTAACACAACTATACAGGACTGTCGCTGTCACACCTTTCCGGACTGGCAACTTGGCTGCCGACGAGATTAAGCGCGTCTGCCAAACATGCACTATTGCAGGTTTTAAAGCCATGTATAATGGCCCAACAAAAAAGCCCTTTCGATTTATTTATTTTAGCGCTGAAGGCACACCGACAGATCTTTCCAAAAAACCACATGTAATGGGCGATTACCAGATTATGCGTGTAAGCTGACTGTATGTTTTATTGGTCCGTCAATACTTATTTTACTCTAGGGCGAAACTGAGAAAATGGTTCTTAATTTACCTCAACAATATCCAGACTCCAGTATCTGTATTGTTCACCCCGGCGTAGTCACCGCGCCGACCTCTGTTGTTCGGAGCATGGCATCCGCAGCGTTTTCATTCACCAACCTTTTCACCCGCGCGTTTGCAAATATTAGTCGCGAACAACTTGCTGCATCAGTAATTGAACTCGCAGTTGCAGGGTTTACCAAAAGCTCGTATACAAACAATGAGCTTGTTGAAATTGGTTCCAAGGCACTTCAGACATAACCTGAGAGTTTCATAAGATGATACTGTATACTAGTCGAATCTCCCATAATAGACCCTAAACCTATAGATTGACGTTGATAATTATAATCAACAGCTATTCCATGCTTCAGAAGTGACGCTATTTCCGGACCCATGAATCTTCAAAGGGGAAAAAGTCAAACAGACTTGCATCAGTAAAGCTGAGCTCTGTCGTGCTAGGATTTGATTCTGATTGTTTCATTTCAGCAAGTCGCATTGCACACCAAGATCTCACAGAAGTAAATATTTCCATAGATCGGTCCAAGAGTCCTCCAGCAGATTCTTCTCCATCTCTGCTTCTAGCTTGTTGTATATTCTGAATCAGCCTATCGAGAATATGCAGAATGTCCACTGATGACAATACCAGAGCCCGATCTAGGATCAGATTCTTCATAGTTGAAAGTTTATAGAGGACTACAATGGAACGTGCAAGATGTGCAAAGAACGGAAATGATGTGCCAGAATACTCGGAAATAGGCACGTCAAAGAAGTTGTCGAGAGCCATCCGTATAGTGTTGATGCAAGCCCCGTGATGCTCAATTCTTTTCATATCAGGCGAAGAGAGATCAGATAATGCTTTGCTGAAAATGCCAATTTGAGTGTAGTAGACAGACGCTAATAGAATCCCTATGCCAATTAGCCGATAACAGTCATTTACATCCGTCGTCGGCAACACTTACTATCGGTTTGACTGGAAGGAGGAATTGGCACATTTATTCTATCCAGCTTTTCTATCAAAGCCTTGACGTAGAATATGGGTGGTGTTTTTGTCGCAACAGCACAGTCACTTTCGTTGGCAATAAGCTGCAGCTGAACATGGCATACTAGAGAGTCATCGCCAGGACACTCACTGTTTATCCTCAGAGATTCCAGACATTCTTCCATGTAAGGAGTCCACTGTAGAGGGTCGATGTGTCCCAGGTACGAAGATATACTTATTTACAGCATTAGAAGAAATTTGTCAGTGATGCAGCAAATAAACTTACATGGAACTCATCAGAAAGCAGCCTAGCAAGGCACGCATTTCCTCTAGCGACCGGGTCGAGTTACAGAGTGCGCCAGAGCACTCGCCACTTTGGCTCCCGACTGGAAGCAGATTTGATTCTGCTGAAAGTGGTGGTTTATTGAGTCTCAATTCAAATGCTAGTGTCATGGCAAGCTGCATGAATCGAGATAAGCTTGCTGGGTTTTTGTTTATGAGATAGTCGTGGCCCCAGGCGAGAAATGTCAGCAGACCGAGCAGTAGATCGATGTCTGTTGTCTTGGTGGGCTCTAATATTATGCGGTCTGCAAGTGTCTGCTTTATCCTTTTCCCTAGGACCATCTTTACTTGTGTCGATGGGGTAGCCACTGCAACGACACAAAGAAATAGAAATGGACGTTCTTGGCGCAGGGTTTGGACGTCCGTTGTGATGCTTAAGAATGGGAAGTATTTCAGCATTTGATGCCGGAAGATTTCGAGGTACTGCGTGGCTTCTGTACTATATAGCTGAAAGTCGAATAATGGCAGTGAAGAAGCGGGAGATTGTGATGAGCTGAGTAGAGATGGCGGTGGTGATGGCTGTGCTGTTGTGATTTGATAGTCTGTTGTGGCTCCAGCTCCAAGTAGAGATACTATACTGTCTATTTTACCCTCTAGTTGGGCAATTCTATTAATCGGATTATTCTTTTGAGCTTTCAGAGCCCTTGTGTCGCCTCGGGATATACAGGTTTTGCGTAGTCGGTGGCATCGGTGGCAAGTGTGACCTTGACCAGTATTGACACATTTTGATTTTGATTTGAAGCATTGCTCACAAGCCTATACGACATTGTTAGTGATTTAATGAAGCAGCAGTATTTGGTGGTGAAGACATGCTTTGCCGTATGCCTGGACCGGCGCCATACCCCGTTTGGGGCTCATCGGGTAATAGCGGATGCAAGTATTACTGAGTGTCGCTCGATCTAGAGACCATAGTGTATAGGGCACATCAGAAAAAATGCTATGAGTGTTGAAGGAACTGTAACAACCTAGACCGGCGTTTGGATGCCGGAGCGGAGAGTCGTGGCGTTTTGTATGCAGGACAAGGCTGTCGAAAATCAGGCTGCGTCGGCGTTCGGAGCTCCCAAGCCCGCTTTGATGATGAGGAGTAGAATAGAAGGAGGACAGCGAAAGTACACTACAGCCTGGTAGAAATAGTTGGAGCTCTGTTGGTATAATTTGCAGTGTTTAGCTTCGCTATGTTACCATCATACAAGGCTGAGCCGTTACGTAGTTATATTCCATCTGTCTTATAATGGCTGACATTCGCATTCTCCCCATTAAACGCATATATTCTTAAGACTATCACCTGAACAGTCACTATCAATCCCGCTGCACCGTATAATGCCACCATTATACCTGCAATGGTTTCGACAGGTCGCCAGCGCGACATTCCAAGAGCCACACATGGTCTCAAAATCATCGTGGCAAACCAAGGTTGATGGTATTGTTAATGGTGCAGGGCTTTTTCCGTCGTGTTCCATTGAGCTCGTTGGTTCTTCATCGACAGTACCCTTCACTACCCTTGTAGCCACAAGATGTGTACAAAGACCAAGGGTGAGATAGAACCACATTCTGGTGTTTAGGTTCTTGTTATTTGTAAACGGAAATAGTATATGATGTTTTAAAGAATAGTAAGCCGGCGATTGTCTTGATAGGTTTTCACTGAAAATTGTCATTCAATAGCTCTTCTAAATAGCTCCTATATAGCTTTCATTATTACTATCATTGTATTACGTTACTAATTACTGAACAAAAAGAATTGCCACGTTTTGTTGCATGTGGCATAGATGAGCTGGCGCCGGGGTTTACCTAAACTAGAAAGGTCTTTCAACGAAAGAACTAGTTGGTAATGGATTACGCCACAGAAGAACAGTAAGCGGGGTACCTCTTTCGAACTAGTACAAGCTCCCATGAGCCCAAGGTGTCTAATACCTTGTCAACTTGTTTCACTTTATTATTTTGTACAGCTTGCGTTAGACATAGTACTATCTCCTGCTTTCATTCAACCGAATTGCACAAATGGAGCAGACATCTAAACCCGACAATCTCGCCACTAGTACTGGGGATACTAAACCCAATCCTACTACTACTACTACTACTACTAGAGATTCGCCAATCTTGCCCAGGCTCCAGTCATGGACATGCAACGACCAAGGAAGACAATATCCTCTTGTAGGTGACAGCTACCTTGATCTCCAAACTGGGCAAGTTGTGCACAACTACAGAGGCGAGGCGACCAGTGGACCACCTGATTTAGATATCTACTGGCACAATCGAGGAGATATGTAACGGGCTAGGCCCGTGGAGGTCTCGGGTAGCTCTCGACCATCTAGGCAAGGGACCCATGTAAGTCATATAAAAGGCTATTCCAGCTAGCTGGAATAGCCCCTTTTCGATCCCTTCTTCTTCATCTTCGGATACTCGTAGTAGTCGCTCAGCTAGTTGTCAATATACTCAGTTGAGACCGTTACAAGATACGACAGTAGAGGACCCATGGAGATCGTTTGTGACGGTTTCGAGCCTTGACATGACAGAGTATGTCATTCGACTGGGCCCATTCCTTAAAGACTGCGATGGCATGCTTCACTCGCTAATGGCAACTACATACTCTATTAATGTAGTTTTATATATAGATATATCAAGACCTGATATGCGACTTCTTCGAAAAAAACATGGGATATAAAGGCGGTAGATTATATTGTGGTATTTAGGTGGCTGGCGGCTAATAAGATATCAATTTTGTGTTATAACATCAATAGTAAAGCGGTTTAGTATTTTGTAAATACACACATATATATAATACACAGAAAGTTTGCACCTCACCCCAAATAATTTGTACATGATTTTCTACTCTCTCCCAGTAGTTCCGCTACCGGCAGCAGCACCAGCCGCATCGAGAAGCCAAGTCATCGGATCGCCATCGCCAACCTGCAGCAATGCCTCAGACATCTATCGCAACGTTAGATTATTAATAAAAGCATCTCAGGGGGATCCTAGCTTACCAGAGCGTCCCAGTCGCCTGTGGAAAACTGCACATCGACATCGCCAGCTTCCCAGTCTGTATTGAGAGCCTGCGCATCGACTCCCTCACGGCTCTGCTCCCTTCCGAGTGAATTCTCCAGGAGCCTAATCGCATTCTCAACCGTAACCTCAGCATTCTGTAGCACCATTTGAGGGATATTTGCCTTTTCCACTCCGTTTGCCATGCTGTTGACGTGTGCGCCCACGACTGCCGCTAACAGGTAGCCTTTGACATTGGTATCGCCAATCTCGCAACACCTCTTACTCCAGATAACACTCTGATTCACAACATCCAGTAAATCCTGGCGCGGTGACTTTGGACCGAGTGAATCATCATCTTCCATCTGAGCCCGCAGCTCAAGGGGGATAAGAAGGGATGCCTGCATTGCCATGAGGCGAAAAAAGCCCATTCCGCAGAGAGCCCAGCAAGCAAGGACCGGTTCTGGTTTGTCTGGCTCAGCATAAATGGCACGCCATATTTTGAGAGAGATTTCCACGACTGTTTGTCGTGAATACGTGTAGCCCGGGTCCTGCATCGATGCGCCATAGAATGGGATATGAAGGGCGCTGAGGTATCTGTTGGCGATGAACTCGACCGCGTTGACTTCAAAGTACGATCGATTGATCCTATCGTCGGTAATATACTGCTGGATGGACCGTCGCATAGTCTTGAACGTCTCTTTTAGATCGGTGTCGATGCGCAGCGTCTCTTGGTAGTGGCCCGTCGAAGCGAGATCGTTGAGATGTCGCGTGACTGCTAGTCGTGCGGTAAAAGTCGACCGTAGAACAATAGCCACAGACGAAGCAGTAAAATCCGATATTGGTTTCGCGACAGGAGTTCCCGAAAGCAAATCCTCGTCGTCGTAGTTGCCTGGTGGCTTGGTATCAAAATCGTCCATGGAAATGAGCGGTGCGCCGCCAGCCGCAAGTGCCGACTGGACAGCAAGTTCGAGAACCGTGTTCCATAGCCGTCTGCGCGTCTCAGATGCAAATACCGACATGGTTACAAGAGTGTCTGGATCGCGATGGAGGCCGAAATGCATGGCCTTGCGCACAATAGCCCCCGTTGCTACCCAAGACGGATCGCCTTCGACATGTAACAGTTCCTGCGCCAAGAGTAGCAGCAAGTTGACTTGAAGGACTTGGATGCTTGGCTTTGACTTGGATCGCGGGTCAGAAAGCCATGTCTTGGCCTCGTAGATCCAGCGTATAGCGTCGGGGCGCAGCGAGAAGCAGTCGTCGTAGGTGACGGCTCCAATAGCCATGATGAGTTTGAGCTGTATGAGAAAGCTGTCTATTGGCGGTGGGCTACCTGAGATCCAGACAGACTCATATGCTTGGCGGAATGTAGGGATGTGGATGATGCGATACATGCTCTCTGATGTTCGGAGGTAGTTGTCCAGTAGCGCATCGACAACGGTACGGTCTGGTAGCGATGTGGAAAGAGCGCAGGGCCAGCTCGGTGTTCTGCACTGTTTGATTTGTCGGCCTAGCGTTTTGCACTTTTGAAGAGACTCGACAATGGTTGAGCCGCCGCCGTGATGGATCAGTGGCTCCATGATTTCAAGAGTAAGAAGCAGCTAGTGAAACGGTTAGCACCTAGGCAATGTTGGTCGAAGAGAATTTCAGGTACGTACTGGCGCTACCCCGTTGAACCAGTAGCTCTGGCCAAAGACTCTGGATTTATGCATGATGCTCTTTGTCTGCGTCCCGTGGCCAACCGCCGTAGGAGCGACGTGGATGTGAACTGTCCCGCCAATCGAGCTTGTCGCAGTATTTATGGTTGCCGGCGTACATGGGCCGCTCTCGCGACTATGATGGAGCCATTTTTGTGTGACTGTTGCTGTATGCGGTGCCTGTGATGGCGATGGTGTTGAGAGAGGTGGTGAATGAAGCTGGTGTTGTTGCGTGTCTGAGGCAATAGTAGGCGGCAAAGTGTCTGCATCAAAGGTGCAGTGCGCATTTCCCGACTTGACACAGTTTCTACAAGGCAAGACTCTGTCGCATTTGATTTTCCGGCGTCTGCAGAGCGTGCATGACCTGCGATAGCAGACTTTTGTTAGTGGTGATGCTGATGGAAGGGTGGTGACGTCGACTCACACTGCTGGCCTGCGACGTTTTTTGACAATTTCAGGCATTGTGTTGGATATGTTAATTGTATTTTATAGTAGAAAACGAGGTTGTAGAAGAGAAATTTTCATCTTTGCGCGTCAATGGAAAGGTCAGGGAGATGATGATGATGCAAAGTGCGGTTCTGGCGTCTATAGACACCAGTTTGCCGCTTATCTCCGGAGTTGAGCCCGAAAAAGTGCCGTACTACGCTCGGGAAATTCAAAACACTCTTTTTGAAGCCCATTTAAATCTAGTAAAATATTTTTGACTACTTAAGCTGATCATCTACCATCTAAATTAGATATTCTTTATAATTCAAGTTTGTGTTCACTTCAGACGCATTCTGGTGACTGCGTCTCCCACTGTTGAATACCTCAACATCAACCCCGTCCCTCATTCCTGCGTAATAAATTCTATGAAAATTCATATAGCCTTTTATCTAGTATAACATTACTTGGTAACTTTGGCATTTTATTTCCATTTATTTCTACGCAATACGAGCCACTATAAAAACAGGAGGCTCTGCTTCTCTCCGCCCCTCCCCCGCATTCTGCAGGCGCTCGCCCCCACGGTTCCGCTGCAGACGGCCGACTTACGGAGCTCCGGGCTTTATAAAGCCGAGGTCTCTCTTGACCCTCTTCACCATACGACTTCTCCAACTGCGTGTATTTTTGGTTTTCTATTGTAGCAAAAGAAATTAGAGAAGGAAACGAAACCATGATTTTTAAATCCCTGCATAAAGAAATAACTGGTACGAAGTCTATGCTCTTATAAATACCATATAGCTATACTAACCACACGCGGATGTTTTGCAGTGCCTCCCGGAATCACCTATTGGGACTGGCTCTTGTCGGATAACGCGGCATTTCCTGTTCCCAATGACCCTAATACCGGCTATGTAGACGGCATCACAGGTCAACGCATCACCTTTCACCAGGTACGAGACTACAGCATCAGTCTCGCCTCTGCGTTGGTCAACGAACACAATCTTCGCCCGGGAGATGTTGTCTCCATCTGCTCTCCAAACACGATATGGTATCCCCTCTGCACGCTTGCTGTTATGAGGGCCGGTGGTATTCCGGCCTTGTCGTCACCAGCGTATACAGAAGACGAGTTTGTACACACCATTGGCACCGTCAAGTCTCGCTTCATAATTGCCTCCTCTGATGCTTTGCCATTAATCGGAAAAGCAGGCAAACGGTTGGGTATCTCTGATAGTCGCACATTTTCCATGGAAGAGGCCACTGGTGGATTCAAGTCTATACAGGATATGATAAAGAAATATCATGGCCCTACGACACCGTCTCAACCTCTGCCTGCGGGCAAGACAAACGGCCAGGTCCCTGGCGTGCTATGTTTTAGCAGCGGAACTACCGGTCTTCCCAAAGCAGTAAGACATTTCCTTCTTTCTTCAGGCTTTGTAAAAAGATATGCTAATGGTACAGGTCATGGTTTCGCACCAAAATCTCATTGCGCAATGTCTACAGGTTCTTGCTACCACTTACCCTGACCATAAAAAAGTGCTAGCAGTGCTTCCATTTTATCACAGTAAGTATATACTATCCCATAAATTTCTTCTCGAAAGACTAATTTGGGACGATAGTCACGGGAGTCGTGAAATTGATGACGTTCCCTCTTATTCTCAACGCCGAGGTTGTCGTATTGTCCAAGTTTACCATGAAGGCATTGCTCGATGCAGTCGCCAGACATAGAATTCCCGAGCTACAGCTAGTTCCGCCACTACTCATCAGGCTCGTCCGCGATCCATTAGTAGAAAAGTACGATCTCTCCTTTGTAAAGCGATTCGGTACAGGCGCCGCGCCAACCAGCGACGAGATTCTTGCTCTATTGGAAAAGAAGTTTCCCGGAAGTGGTATTAAACAGGGATATGGCTTAACAGAAAGCACTGGGTGCATCACACAGCATCCACTGGGTGTCAACTCGTACGAGTTTGCTCACAGAGCCGGCACTCTGGTCGCCAGCACACAAGTCAAGATTGTTAAAGAAGACGGCCAGCTCGCGGGAGTAGACGAGCAAGGCGAGGTATAAACTTCTTTCTCCTATTGAAAATTCCACCACTAACCGTCCTTCTTTAGATTCTGGCCAAGGGGCCGCAAATATTCCCGGGCTACTACAACAATCCCGAGGCTTCGGCCGCTGCCTTTGACGAAGACGGCTTCCTCCGAACGGGAGACCAGGGCTCTATTGATAGCAATGGGTGGCTCACCATTCATGATCGCATCAAGGAGCTAATCAAGGTCAAGGGCGTGCAGGTAGCGCCAGCCGAGTTGGAGGATGCTGTCTTGGGCCATCCCAAGGTGGAAGATGCCGCTGTCGTTGGAATTCCCGACGATTACGCTGGGGAGCTTCCATATGCGTTTATTGTACCGAAACCTGAGTACGCCCAGGAGACAGGTATTGCGCAGGAAATCGTAGCGTATATCAAGGAAAAGAAGAGCCGTACCAAGTGGTTAGGGGGCGCGGTAGTGGTTCCGGTGATTCCCAAGAGCGCCAGTGGCAAGATTCTGAGACGAGTTTTGAAAAAGGAGCATCTGGAAGCATTTAAGAAGCCGGTCGCCAAACTTTAAGAAACTAGATACTATTAGATCTTCCAGAAACACAGTCAGGCAGTAAAGTTTGACCTAGGCGTGTATTATTTACAAAGTTGAGAAGCTACACATTGGACGGCCCACTGTCTATGAATATAAAATCAAAATACTAAAGAGAAGCATGTATAGATAATTTCTGGTACTATGTATTAAAATATATTTAATATTACTCTTAGTGGCTAATTGGGAGGTCGTGTGATTTATACAGGGTAGCCCTAAGAGCCTGTTCAAAAGGGGAAGTATATTGGCGGCGGTGGGTGTCCGGACAACGGCGACCATTCAGAGGAAAGCACAAGGTTAAAGTTTGCGGTACAATTCAGCTGAAAGTAATTATTATAAAAATGTCAAAACAAACTAGATCACATGGTTAATCCAAAAGTCTATTTAAAATATTGCATCATAACTAAAGTTGGGGTGTAAAATCCTTCTTGTACAAAAGGGGGCTGCACTCTCCAGTGACAACCTCAGCCAAACTAGTCCCGACAGGGGGTTTTCGTTGTTCTTCTACAGAAGCCGAGCAGCTTCACTCAAAGGAAATACTGTCTTCTTTTCTAAAGTTCAACCTAAAGAATCCAAAATCATCTGCGCATCACCACCTCTTCCACCGCGATGCGGTTGGAGTATCTGCCGCCGCAAGCACACTTGCGTATAGCCAGCAGCCTGGAGACGGCAAAAGACTTGAATGCACTATCACGGACAAATCGCTACTTTCACAAAGTCACCGGCAGACTGTTGTATAGCAGAGACATTACCAAAAATGAAGCATGGTGCATTGTATGGGCCGTGTCGATATCCAGAGTAGCCACCATTTCAAGAATTCTCACCTATCGAATTGACTTGGACTTTCAGTATCTGGCCCTGGTAGCCATCCGAGAAAAGCGACCAGATGTGCTAGAATGGTTCTTTCAAAAGGGATATCTATCATCCGACCAGATCAACGCTATTTGCAAATCCGGAAGAACACTGCTTTTTGAGGCTGTCATGTCCAAAAGCATATCCTGCGCTACTGTTCTACTAAACCGCAGAGCAGACATTCAAACGCCCGGGATAGACCAAGATGAAGCAGAGACCGAACTAGACGGCTTCTACGACGAACCAGAAGAGCATTTTATGCCACTGTCGGAAGCCACGGCAAAGGGACATCTTCAAATGGTTGAACTGCTGATTCAATACAAAGCAGACATTGATCTTTCCCAAGATGGGCCACCAGTGACTATAGCCGCAACAAAAGGGCATATTGCGTGCCTGGAACTGATGCTCGATAACGGTGCTGAGGTAGATATTGTCGACGACCAAGGAAAGACGCCGCTTCAGCATGCCATGGAAAGGGGCCGATATAGAGAAGCCGAGCTGCTAATCTCACACGGAGCCGATGTACAAGTCTCGGTGCACGACAAAACACCCTTAGAAATATTCGCCGGGTTAAAGGATTGGAGAATGATCAAGGTTCTTCTTTATCGTGGTCTAGACGTCAACACGTTTTCGCACCGTGGCGTCACATTTCTACACCATTTCATACAAGACGACAACAGTGAAGTTCTCGAGGCCATTCTTGAGTTTAAACCGCGCCTTGCAAGAACAGGCACGGGCGAACTCACCCTCCTCCACAAAGCAGCCGAACTCAACATGGTCAAGTGCACCAAGGCGCTACTCAACTACTACGATACTGATGCGCGAGATATCTATGGCATGACGCCGCTACTGGTGGCCGTACAGGCAGAAAGCTACGAGACAATCCGACTGCTGTTGGAGACAGGCGCCGATGCTGAGGCTCGCAACAAGGCTGGCCGGTCTTGTATAGACATCGCCATGGACCAGCGCAACGGGCGTGTTGCCGAGATTCTCGCCCAGTCTGGTATCCGTATGCCAAAGAAGATGCATAGCAATCCGCCAACGCCTGTTCGTGGAGGAACAAAGTATCTGCAAACACCTGGCCGCCCTATCGCACGAGATTGGTCCATGTCGCCAATTACTGATCTTTCGTGCCAGCAATGTCCTGAGGATGGCAAGTCTAGGAGCGCAAAGAAGCGCAAGAGAGAGGAATAGTATGCTGTGCATTCTCACGTTCATTGGAATATTTCTTTGTATATTTTCTTGTATTACTTTTTATATCTTGGGGGGTTGCATATCTGGGGCGTCTTCATCATCATTCATACCCATTCGTTTTCTCGTTTCTTTTCTGTACATACATCTCTTATACTCCTCAACACCATCGCTCATTCAATAGACTTCTTCTTTTTTCTTGCCTCATAAACCCAACCACCCGAACCTTTTCAAACACCACAAAATCCTCCAACATTGTCACCCGTGTCTTGTTTACTCCATGACAATCACATTCTTTCCGTCTCCCTTACCCGTCATGTACTCCTGCTTCATGGCCTCGGCGTCCTCCATCTTCCACTCTTTAATCTTGAGCTGGATCTTAGCGTCGTGCACCAGTTGCACCAGTTCCTGGGCCTGTGCCGTAGTCGCGAGCAGCGAGCCCACGACTTTGATGTCACGGAAGATGAGCGTGTGGTAGGAAAAGTTGATACCCTCGCTCGGCTGGCCAACGACAACAAGCGTGCCGTGCTTCTTGGTGACTTTCGTGGCCATGTCAAAAGCTGCTGCGGCGTCTGTCGCTACAATACTGGCATCTACGCCTGGGTAGGGGCTGTCGTCCTTGATGCTCGACTGGATTGTCGCAATGACCTTTTCGGCGCCGTTGGTGGCAAGAATACAGGCGTCGGGCTTGAGATCATAAGAAGCAACAAGATCGAGAGCGCTCTGCTTGGCGTCAATGGCGACAATCTTGTAACCCATGGCTTTACCAATCTGCGTGCCAATATGTCCAAGGCCGCCAATGCCAAAGATGGCAATGGAGCTTCCCTTGGGCATGTTGGCCTTTGTGAGGGCTCCGTACATGGTTGATCCGGCACACATGAGGCACGCAGCTACTGGGAACGGCATACCATCAGGGAGTTTGACCACAAATCGGTAGTCGCTGCGTCAAAGGTTAGCAGTGTTACAGCTGTAGCTCTAGAAACGCATACGAAACCATGTAGTCTGCCCAGGCACCGTCCGCGGTGATGCCTTTCATCTCGGGAGCATCGCAGTAGATGGGCTTTTCGGATGTGCAGTCGCCGCATTTGCCTTTGGAATAACTCTAATTAGCATATTTGAAAACCGAGAACTAATAAAAGACTTACCACATGGATTCTCAAAGTTGAGTGCACCAACATGATCGCCCACTTTGAACCCCTCTACTGCAGATCCCACTTCCTCAATAATACCGGCCGGCTCGTGGGACCCAATGACGGGCAGTGTGCTGTTAAAGGCATTCTCAAGCACCATGAGATCCGTATGACACAGTCCACCAGCCTTGATCTTGATTAGAACCTGATTAGGCTTTGGCGATGGCTTGGACACGCGCGACACTTCGTACGGCGCACCAAACTGCTTGATTTGAATAGCGTTCATCTTGGGCAACTGGAATCGAGGTTTTCGTTATTAGAGGGAAATGAAAGATAACAAAGGACGCCAAAATGCGATTGATTTAGAAGTAAAGGAATTAGTATGGAATTTGGCTAAAGAGGGGCTGTTGGCTCTTAACTTAGTGGTAGCCGACTTGATGATGCCTCGTGACGTCATTCGTATGCTTTCCTTATTAGGCCATTGTAAGCGCAGTATTACATTTCCAGATACAAGAAATAATAACTGAATATATAATAAATAGTTAATTCGCAATTATGTATTGTTTATGCGGTGATATGCCCGCGTCTGATTGCTGGACCGCCACAGCTTACACATTGCCTACGAAGGAAAACCACTGCAATGAATATGATATTCATTAATTACTTTACATATATCTATTTCTAGTGTACATACGGTAATAGAGCTGTAATTATTTCAATTTTCAACAGTTCATATTCGACAATATCTTGGAGTTGCACCGGATGTATCGGTCGCAACGAGGCACACAGTAAAATAATACACGAAAAATCCAAAAGAGGCTACTGAGCAAGCTACTACTGTTCAGGCTAGAGAAACAAATTCTATACAAAACACATCTGCCGCTACACCGCCTGTACAAACGACCATAGCGCAACGCCAGCCTTTGGAAACCACTTTGTATACATGCATAAAACAACAATTAATGTTTATTCACGCCATTATGTATATTGTTTGCGTGTCTTGCACGTGTGGCATTGCCCTCGTCCTAAAAGGGAAAGGCGGCATGTTGCTCGCCAGCCTCGTCTTATACGCTGCGTCTCTCCCGAGACCCTTTCTCTCCTGCAAATATTCCACGTGCTATCAAGTATTTCAATCTTACTTCTGTAACTTTCAATTAACGCGCGAACTATTCCGTTGGTTTACAATGTCTGCCGACGAGCTTCCTTCTGGCTTTCTTGCCAATATTACCACACGCATACAAACCTACATAAGCATTTGGGAGCCGTGGTGGCCACCCGCCAAAGGTAGAGTTAATTCTTTTTTACTATAAATCATAAAGCTGCAACCCACCTAATGCTTTCAGCGTATTATACTGCCCTGATATCATCCATATTGCGCGGCGACTTGTCCGTCCTGTGGCGACCGACCGCTGTCGGCGACGCAACATTTGCCAAATGGTGGCTTGAAGTCAGTAAGTCGCAAGAAATCTCTCGTCTTGCTCAAGATTTATGCTCACATGACAAGGTCACAACTTTGTCAGATATGAGGACAGTGTGGGTGTCCCAGACCTTGTTGCTAGTGCCCACGGTGTGGTCCTCGACCTTGGTGCTGGGTCCGGCAACCAACTGTATCGCTTAAAGGCTGATAAGCTGGAGCATGTCTACGGAATTGAGTACAACGAAGCCCTGATCCCGGCGCTCCAGGAGAAGATTGAAAAGACAGGACTCGGCGGCAAGTATACGCCCGTCGTGGCCAATGTGCAGAATATGGAGGCCGAGCTGTCCAAGCTTGGAGTTGAACCGGGCACTGTGGATTGTATTTTGAGTATTCAGCTGCTCTGCTCGGTGCCTGATCAGGAGAAAGCCATCGCGGAATGGCACCGCATGCTTAAGCCCGGTGGCCAACTCATCTTCTGGGAGCACCAAGAAAACGAAGTAGACTTTTGGACACGAACTGCTCAGCACCTTTGGACATGGCTTTGGGCGCCCGTGATCGGAGGATGTCGTCTGGATCAGCCGACGAGAAAATCTCTTTTAGCCTCGGCAGACTGGGAAATTGTCGAGCTTGAAGCAGGCCGTGGCCCTCTGGATTTGATGCCTAGGGTTTGGGGAAAGCTAAAGAAACGGAGTCAGCCTTAGAAAATGGACCCGAAAGAAACCGAATACCTTATAAAGCTTTTGTCTTTAATGAGTTTTAGGTCAAGCTTTGGCCCGAGTTTTCCGCGGGTGCCGCATATGGTTCAAACTTTATGTGCAAAAGCAGAAATTTTATACTTCTAGTTCAACGGCTGGACCCCTCTATATAACCTATAACCTCCTCTCGCTATTATTATTACTTGTCTTTGTTCTGTGCCATCACCAGCCATCATGGGTCTTCCGATTCCCAGACTTCGCCGTCGCGGTCGCGTGCGTCAATATCCACCTACTCACTGGAGGACGATATACAAACTTATCTGCGGGATCATGTCGATCAACAAAATGAAACCTGTACTGCTACGTCGGGGAACCCTCTATGGAAAGAATCTTCTCAACATCTGCGAAAAAGAGCTCGCTCTAAACTTCCCAGGCGACGTATGTGGGAACAGTCTTCTGAAGACCTGCAAAAAAGAGCTCGCTCCAAATCTCCCAGGTGACAAGTATCAAGAAGACGAGTACGGCTTTCTGATAATACGAGAAAGAATAACAGCTCATCTAAACTACCATATGCTGTTTATGTACTGTCAAAGACGACTGCACCACCTCTTCGACTTTGTCTTCTACCATCGCTACAACATATATCAGTCGGACCCCGAGGTTGTCAGTCAATATCAGCATTGGGATCTACGCACGCCAATTGTGTCAAAGAATGACATCAAGCGTCGTGTCCATTACCGTGCTATATATGCCGTAAATGATGAATATACATGGATTAACTACTTTATATCCAATTCCTGGTCCCAGATATACAAAGATCTTTGCGGCGAGACTTTCAACAACCGCAGACCATTGACCAGATTCATGAATAGTCTACACCAACACAAGGGCGTATTCCAATGGCAAAACGTATTGGCAGGGATGTCCTATATCTCGGATGGGCCTCCGTGGCCTAACCGCGTGCTGCCCCATCTAATCCAAAGCGGAGATTGGCAGACAATGCTCAAGATTCTTGAAGTTGATCTTCGGTACTGCAAGTACTGGGCTGATCGCAGGCTTTTGGGCTATGACAACACACGGCGGCGTATTGAGCACCTCTATTCCAGATGCAAGGCTTCAGTCGCAAGGGAAAACAGAATTGCGGCCTACTCCAAGAGTAAATCTAGCGCTGGGTTGAAGCCGGATTCTGAATCTGAGTTAAACATCGACGCGGATCCTGAATCGGAGTTAAACATTGACGTTAAGCTCACAGTGGAGAATGACAAAGAAACCCAGTGCTGAGGCTAAAATTCAACTCATACAAAAAAAAGACTGACGCCATCAAGGCTAAACGAGCCGCCACCAAGCTACCCAGCAAATGCAAATGCGAGCGAATCGCAATGCTGCTACCTTGGCCCAACAGCCGTCTACACAGCGCCAAAATTTGTACATAAAAATTTAGTGTAAATACATTCTGACCTAATGGTAATGTTTAATTCGTGTCAAAAGTCCCTAAAATACGTGAAAAACTTTTTATATTAAAGGAGGGGGTGTGAGTCACATTGGTCGCTGTTCAGCTACAAAACCAACAACCGTCAACAACCACTTACCTGAGAGTGACAGCCAAAACCATATTAAACATATTTAAAAGAAATGTCGCAAAATATCTACGACAGACAGGACTTCTTTGAAGCCTACTCGAAATTCATCGACCGCTCCAACGAGCCTGTAGATGACGACCTTTTGTGGAAGCGCCTCCGCACGCTTCTCCCCGAGGACATTAACGGCTTTGATATCCTCGATGTTGGCTGTGGCTCTGGCTGGTTCTCTCGATGGGCCGTAACAAGCGGCGCAAACTCGGTGCTTGGTCTCGACATTTCGCAGAATATGATTGCCAAGGGGCGCAAAGCGTCGGAAGCACGCCCTGGCGATGCGGGGAAACTCGAGTATCGCATTGCCGATCTGGATATCCTACCCATAACGCTCTCGGATAAAGCGCCGTACGACCTCATCTTCTCATCAGTTGCATTTCACTACTTGAAGAACCTGGAGCCGCTGGTCAAGCAGCTTGTGGAGGCGATGAAGCCAGGTGCGCTGCTCGTTGTCAACGTCGAGCATCCTACGTACACAGCACCAAAGACGCCGCGGGTCGTGGAGGATAAGGAGACTGGTCAAAAGTCGTGGAATCTATCTGCATATCACGAAGAGGGCGAGCGCGTGGTGGATTGGTTGGCACCAGGACTGCGCAAGTACCACAGAACCATGACGGGCTACATGGACATTTTCCTGGGCAACGGGCTTAGTCTCGTCAAGTTTCTCGAGTGGCTGCCTACAGAAGAGGAGCTTGCGTCGGGAGACATTGACGATGTAGAGCAATATCGCCCCTTGTTTCTTATGATGAGCTTTAGAAAGTAACAATAAACGTGGTATTCAAAAAGAGTAACTACAATACGTGGTTGCCCATTATATATCCTATAGTTCTTTTTTTAAAGGTCAATCTTGACAGCAACAGCGTTCTCGGCCATGAGGCCAGTAATGTACAGCCAACCCTTTCGCTTGCCACCCTCCTTCTTCGGATCAATGCCGACAATCAGAGCCGCCGTGGCAAACGGGATGCGCTGGCCGTCGTCTTCGAAAAGCAGGCGCTTCTCCCACGTCACAGGGCTGTCTGCCGTCTTGCCCGGTACAGGGGTGGCCTTCCAGACCATGGATCCCATGACATGGTCGTGCTCTCGCGCCTTTTCAATAGTGTAAGCGTTGCGGAGACCGGCGAGAACGAAACCGCTCTTGTCGTCCGTCGCGGTGTAGTACGGATCGGCAAAGTAGGACGGGTTGTCGAGTGTCGAGTCCAGCGACACGACTTCGTTAATGACTGCTTTGGGTTCGGCATCGGCGGCAGAGAGTGTCGCAAGGCGTAGTCTGCCGCTAGCCGCGCTGACAACGGCAAACTCGTTATCGGTGCGTCCGCGGCCAATGCCGTTGTTGTTGTGCATGTTGTCCAGCACGACGTGACCTCTAACGCCCGCGGCGTCGGTAGACTTGTCCTTGGGGTCAAACTCGATGCGGACAGTCTCGGTCCATTGAGCGTAAAAGTAAAGGTCTTCGAGGGCGCGTTTCGGACCCTCACGATGGTAATGGTCGTTTGTGATGAGGAAAGAGGTAGGAGACAGGGCGTGGATATCGTTGGGTGTTCGGATCAAAGGGTGCCAGATGGTGCGAAGATGCTCAGCCGTGTTGCTTCCAATAACGTGGTGAAAGACTTCGATAACAGACCGACTCTTGTTGGCCTCGGGGGAGCCATTGGGCCCCCAGTGGGCTGCATCGGGTTTGTGGTTGACAGCAAAGAGATACACGGCCTTGCCTAGTGGCTGCTGGGGGTCCTCAAGAACATCTATGCCATGAGAAATGAAGGGGCCGGAAAAGTCTACCAAGTTGAGCGGCTTCGACTTCATAGTCTGTGAAGTTTAGTTAATACACATTGAAACTATTCTTTGATTCTGCTTTCTCTATCCTTACCGTTGTATCAATAACGCGAAACTCAGCCTGTGCCTCATTGCCACGCTCAATGCTAGTGTAGATGCTGAGAGGAGGGAACCAGTCGCGGCGAGGCGAGTTGGCGCCTTCACAAGCCAAGAAGAGCGATTGAGATGGCTCATGGTGGTGAATGTCTTCACAGTGCTTTGTTCCCTCAATCACAACAAGATCGCCATCAGCCACGACGGTGTTGCTTGCGCCGCGGAGTAGACCAAAAATGACGACGCCACGATGAATCGGGGCACCATACTGATAAGCGAGAATGGCGGTCAGGCCCACCGCCGTGGCCATGCGGCGAAAGCTAAAGATGCTCGACATTGTATCCTACTGTCCTGATGATGTGAAAGGACAGGTTTCTTGAGCAGGGATGAACAATTGAGGGCGGTTGCGGGCCTCGGTTGGCTGGATTGCGGGGTGGAATTTGATGGCTGGGCGGATTTGGATGGGGGATGACGTTCGTCTGATCCTCTCATCGCGCCATCACGTGAGTAGCTTGCCAGCTGGCGCCAGGTCTGTTGTCTTTTGCCAGTTTCTACTCTTCTACAAATGCATTTGAGATATTTCCCTTAATTATATTCTTTCTGCTAGCAACCTGATCTACACTGCAGCTGCATCATGTAGATGCGGACGTACCCTTTTGGGCCTGGCCGAACGGTCTCTATCTGCCCCACCACCCATTATCATTTAGCTTTGAAATCACTGAAGCTTCCATTGTCTGTTGCCTTGTTCCTTTGCAAAACAAAGTCTTTTACAACAACGGAACCATCGATATAATGTCTCTCGGCGTAGGGATTATTGGCAGCGGCCTCTTTGTTCGCGCTGAGCATCTGGTAAGTTGACCGCCGAACACCCACAAGGCCACGCCGTTGACGATGAGGTCCAATTCACTAGCCTGCCGTTTTGAAGTGCGACGCCCTCTCGCTCAAAGCAGTTTATTCACGATCTCTGAAGTCCGCTCAGGAGACTGCAGCTTTAGTTCCTGAAGTAGTTCCTCAGCCAGACCTGTACCATGAAGGCTCTGATACCAACTCTTACAAGGCGCTACTTGCTCGCGACGATGTACCGTGCCTCATCATGGCACTCCCCATTGTTCCGCAACCAGACTTTATCAAGCAGGCACTTGACGCCGGCAAACATGTGCTTGCTGAAAAGCCCGTTGCTAAAGACGTCGCAACCGCGCAGGAGCTCATCGCATACGCCAAGAATACAAAGGGAACGCTGGCTATTGCAGAAAACATTCGCTTCTACGAATCGTTTGCGTTTGCGCACAAGCATGCTCTCACCTTTGGAAAGGTCACTCACTTTACCGTCCGCGTCTTTACACACATGAAGCAGGAATCCAAGTGGTTCCAAACAGAGTGGCGCAAGACTCCAGAATACCAGGGCGGCTTCTTGCTCGACGGCGGCGTCCACTATGCTGCCGCCACGCGTCTCCTGCTAGGTGGTGCTGACTCTCAAGTGGCTAGTGTTCTTGCCAAGTCCACACTGGTAAAGGAACATCTCATTCCCATTGATACGGTGACGGCGATCATGACGACCAAGTCGGGTGCCATTGGCACGTACTCGCATTCTGTCGGCTCCAACATGTCGCTCTTTGATTTCGAATTTGCTTACGAAAACGGCTCCATCAGCTTTGGTCCCGCAGGCTCTGGCGGAGGCGACGTCGTCAAGGTGAAGCCGGTTAGCGGCGATACAATTGTCCAGGAGTTCTCGGAGGACTCCAGAAAGAACGGTGTTCCTAGCGAAGTCAAGGCGTGGGCTCAATCTATTCTCGACAACAAGCCCAATCCTCTTCAGAGTGCAGAGGAGGCTCTTGCGGATCTCGAGTTTATGGAAAGCATTTTCAAGAGCGGCGAGACTGGATGCAGCGTTGAATGCAAGCTGCAACTGTAGTATTTTAATGAAACAATGTAAATGCTAAAACTCGCTCGCTCAATTGACTAAATTTTGGGCTTTCCAATGGTGATTCTCTCCAGATTGCGACGCAACCCCTCGCTCATACCGTTGGGTCCGGGTCGACCGAGCTTGCGCTCTACAAAGACGTGCACGAATTCTCCCACCGCCTTGACGCCAGGCACACCGCGCTCAAAGACGGCGACTTCGTATGTGACACTAGATTTTCCTAGCTTGTTGACGCGCACTCCGACTTCAGCCACGGCGGGGTATGCAATAGACGATAAGAAATCTGTGTGAGAGTGAACTGCCAATGGGTGTTCTTCTGAAGTTGGCGGGTCAAGGCCACAGAACTCAATCAGATAGGAATTAACTGCCGAATCAAAGCTACCGTTTGTTAGCAATACATTGTTATACATAGGGTTGCAAGTGTTCTTACAGAAAGTTGTAGATGGAGTTGTTCATGTGGTCGTACATGTCATTATCGTTCCTAGCCAATCATCAGTCTAGTTCCCAATGCCGGCCGATCCGAATTCCGCTCACCATCTTGTTCGGTAATCCAGGATAAAAGGATAATCCTCGCGCTTTCGCGACTTGACATCTGATGAAACCATGGCGAAGAAATACAAATGGCTAAAAACGCGCCCTGAAGCCTCGCAGCTATCGTTGTCTAGTTGAGCGATAGCTACCAAGCAGCACGAGCCAGTGAGGGGTTGTGCCGAGACAGCGAGACAAGCTAAACTGTGTAAACTTTAGTAGCTCTGCCGTCTGATGAGTCTGCTGGTTGAATTGTGATCAAGCTGTTTTGCCAATGACGTGTATGGCATTCTGGTGATGTTTAAAGTTGGCGCTTGTCAAATAGCCGAGGCAGTGTAAGTCTGGCGATTTAGGCGATGAAATCGCTGACATAATCGTCTTGCAGCGCACTGACAGCTCGCTCTATTGGGGGATTCTGCCACCTATCGCCGCCCTAATTTTCAACGTGGGGCAGAAGAAGAGTATGACAACCAAACGAATTGAAAATTGACGACGATACGCCGAGACGCCGGATATTCAATTTGCATCTGTCGGCTATTGATGCTGCCAACTAGGCTTGTACGGTCTATTCTCACAAGACCAGCAGCGCTAGCCGTGCCCAAGATGGCCGCCACAGAGACGATCGACGCGGGCGATGCCCTCCCCGCATATATTGAAGAGGTGGCCGAAGCTGCCAGCGACTTGAAAATCGAGGAGAAGAAGCCCGAGCGAAGACGGCGAGAGAAACAGTCGAAGCCAAAGCAAATGGCGAGTAACGGCCTGTCAGGTGCCATCATCACGCCCATCGGCGACCCCTGGCCTCGACCATACCACTTTGAAGACGGGCTGCGTCGCGTGCACCCGTACCATTATACATACAACACATACTGCAAGGAGCGCTGGAGGGGAATGACGCTGAGTAGCATTTTTGAATCCGAATTCCGCGACCGACCGCTCGAGTACTACCGCAAGTCTATGGAAACCGGCGACATCTTTGTCAACGGCCGCAACGTTGGACCCGACTATGTCGTCCGCAATGGCGACTTGATCTCGCACACGCTGCATAGACACGAGCCGCCAGTTACAGGAGAGCCTGTGGGAATTGTGCACGAAGATGACGAGATGATTGTCATTAACAAGCCATCTGGTGTTCCCGTGCATCCTGCCGGACGGTACAACTTCAACTCGACGGTTGAAATCATGAAGGCTGATCGCGGGCAAGACTTTTTGGCTTATCCATGCAACCGCCTAGACCGTCTAACGAGCGGTATCATGTTTATTGCCAAGAATCCAAAAGCGGCCGAAGCCATGGGCAAAGTAATTCGCGGCAGAACGGTGCGCAAAGAGTACCTGGCGCGTGTCGTGGGCAAGTTTCCCGACGGCGAAGTTGTCTGCGACCAGCCCATCTTACAAATATCGCCCAAGCTAGGCTTAAACCGCGTCCGAGCAAACGGCAAGTCGGCACGGACCGTGTTCAAGCGCTTGGCATACTACCCTCCGCGAGAGGGCGATCCAGTACGACATGTCGTTGAAGGAGAAGTGCCTGAGGATGGTCGTCCGTGGGAGGCTAAACAGGGCTACTCTATTGTCCGCTGTCTTCCTGTGACTGGACGTACGCATCAGATCCGTGTACACCTGCAATACCTGGGCCATCCTATCCAGAACGACCCAATCTACGCCAACCAGCGCGTCTGGGGATTTGACCTGGGCCACAACGACGCAGAGGGAACACACAACACAGACGAGGACGTTATATCGCGACTATCCAAGATGGGCAAGGAGGAAGTAGCCCAAGCAGTCACATATTACGACGAAATGGTGGACAAGTACGAGAAGCGACGAGCCGAAAAGATGACGGGTGAGCTCTGTGAGGTGTGCGCAACACCGCTATACTCGGACCCTGGCTCCCACGAGCTGTCTCTTTGGCTTCACAGTCTGCGGTACGAGGATGCCAATGGAAGCTGGGCCTACAAGACGGATATGCCGGCGTGGGCGATGCCTCCAGAGGGCATGTCGGGCCCAACCACGGTCGGAGGCATGGAGGAACTGGTGCAGGCCGTCAAGGACGAGAATCCCGATATTGCGTGATGAGAGAGACGCAGGCGACATAGCAGAAGAAGCAAGAGCAGCAGCAGAAAGCAGTAGCGACGGCCCGTATGATGTAACGTAACAACAGCATATATCCATTCACTCCCTTTTCAACATGAATAGTACAAATCAAGAAGCAGCGCGGGGTTAACCCCGTCCCGTCCTCAACGGGACATGAATAAGTTACCCAGCTACCGCATTCCAGCTCAGTAATACTGCGTTCGTCTTCACATGTAGCAGCAAGAATACTAAACAACCAGCTAGCTCGCGGGTGGCAAAAGTTCCTACGCAGCAGTAATAGCAGTCAGTGCGTTTGAGTTTCATCTAGTCAGGCACATTCGAGACACTGGTACGACGCCTCATTAGCAGCATCTCCGCGATGTTCTGCGGCACGTATCCACGGTTCGGTTTAAGTTTGGGCTGAGGGTGGGCGATGAATGTCGGCCGAAGCACACCCTTTGCATTCTCTTCTGTGTATGCCACGTGCAATGATGCGGCAAGGCCAAACTCTGTTTCCAAGGGGGTGGAAATGCTGGGGGTGGCTGGCTGGCTAATGGAAGTCAACGACAAAAAGGGCTTCTAGAAGCCCAGGAAGCCATTTCTAAAGCCGAGCTCGAGGGGCGTGTAGTGGGGACCGGAGCAGGCCCAAAGTGGCCTACGGTAGAAATGGTGCCAAACTCTAATGCCTCTTTTTGGCGGTGTTGGGCGAATTTAGAGTTTGGAAAGCTTGCAGCACGGATGGAGCGAGACAAGCGTCTCCGGTGGCTCGGGACAACGTTGGCCAAGCTAGCCGTCGGTTTAGCATGTTTAGTAATTGCTGTGTATTTACAGTGTGTATCAATGGAGGTCATTGGCGTACGAACTCTGGGAATGTCAGATGTCAAGTATAAGCCTATTATGAAATGGATATAGGCGTTTAATTTGCGTAATGTCATTCTATACTAAAGTGCTGGAATTTATAATATTTTAATGGTTATTTTAAAATACAGTGGTTAAGGAGGTAGACGGCTGGTTGGTTGGTTGGTTGAAAGCCAGTTATACCTGTGTCAAGCAATCAGGCTATGACCAACCAACATCATCACCGGGACTATTTGGAATATGATGAGGACGATTTCGATATATTCATTCAGCTGTATTTCGATAGAGCCAACTTTGGCATTTACAAAAATGGCGATTGAGACGGATGCTGTGGACGCCTACAGCCACCCATCTGGCTTATATGTTACAGAGACACTACGCATCATCTTTCCCAACCGTGAGCATGGTACAAAAAACAGGCTTATTACTATCAACGCTCACAATAATGAGCAAGACAGCCAATTCTACCGGGAAGGCTATTTACAATTCGGCCGAGATGTATTCAAGGACTTTCGTATACGATGGATGGATCACGACGACGCAGCGTACGAAGAAAACCTTCTTGCTTCAGGGGGCTATACGAGCTATCAACTTGAATGCCATCTAACTGAATTCTATGTGATATGCGTCGAAGCACTAATTGTCCCTACTATTCTTACTTGAGGGTGCTGGGTCGCAGTGTTGGCCTGTTTAGTATTTCAGGGCACCGTGGCCTAGAGCACGAAATTGTGGGCAGGCATGCAGCATATTGGACTAATCTTTCCCACGCTATAGACGCGGAACTTCTCGGGGCTGGAGGTTTCAATAGGAAACAGATATTATGCAGCTTAAGAAAAGAGATGCGCGACGGGTGGTCGGAGATGGTGATTAATCTGCATACCATGCAAATTAGGAGATCTTATGGTTGGGTCCACGAGGACAACTGAAGAGCCTTCTAGTTTCGTTGAAAATGATATAGCATTCTCAACCTAACAAAAGTATAGCTCTATAAAACATGGAGTAATTTTCTTATCAGCAGCTACAGACTCTTGTTTAGATACTGAGGGTGCCAGTCCGACGATGTCTTCTCAGTAGTGCTACCGGGTATGAACGAAGCTTCTGTCACGTAGCTGTCCAGATATTATGAGAAAAGTTCGCCAAACATAATGCTATTGTTAACTGTTCTATATATAAGATAGAAAGAAGACAACAAACTTGAAGAAGGACAAATCCCCCTCCTCCTTCCACAGTTCACTTCTCTATTTATATACAAGGTTATTGTGGTCCTGCCAACTGGCGGCTTTCCTTTGCCAGCTAGCAAGCGAACATGTCGCGTAGCAGCTATTTCGACATTGTAACTGTCGTAAGTGTTGTGACCGATAGACTATAGAGCGATCCAGCAGGTCGTGACAGCTTCTGTTGTATACGGCAATATCTCCGTGACAGTAAACAGGGTAGACGGAAGCACGACGGAATGACAGTAAACGAGAGTCCATCCGGGTTCTCATGACAAGCACGTCTTTTTTGTTTCGCTCTAATAATCCCCCGATGTAATCGAAAAGAGAAATAATAGAAGACTAAAAGAACAACCCAGGAAAAGTCGGGAGTTGGGACCATCGCGTGGGCCGTGCGCTAAAAGCATAGCGCCACGATCCGACTACCAGGGCGGCAGAAAGGCCGCTGTACACGCCACGGAGATGCTAATCAACTCGTCCGGCCAACAAAAAATAAGGCGTGGATTAATATTCATAGTTTCTCGTGATATAGCAAAAACATGCAAACACCAGGAGAAAGAATCGATAGCGCCATTGTAATTGCCGATAGTCAGACAAAAGCAGCACGTTTGTGAAGAATTTTTCTTTTTGCAGGGTACGGTCGCACCGGGGCGCCATACAGGGCCAACAACAGCCTTGCTTGCTTGCTCGCTGCCTGCACTGCTACGGTATCTACTTTTGGGGTGAAAGAATTAACCTACGGCAGCAAAAGGGTAGAAGAAGTAAAATGTCTTGTTCTCAAAATAGCTAAGACACACCCCTTGTTTTTTTTGCTTTAGTTTCTCGGCCGTTGCTGAGGGCTGTGAGACAGTGCGTTCTGCATACCGCCGAATTGGAAGCCCCCAAAGGGCCGAAGAAGAAGCATCACGTACACGGGATTTACATTCCAGCGGACAATGTAAGAGAATGCGCTGGATCAACACGAAACAAAACAAAAACGTGTCTGCCTTGTATTAGACCAGTAAACGAAGCAGCAACAGCCAACAGCTGTCAGTCAGCTCCTTCTGCAGATCAGACAAGGCAACGGCCTGGTTTATTTTTATCCCACCCAGTTATGCCAGAAACGGGCTGCGTATGGTGTGGTGTAGTTCTTTTTCTGGCCTGCAGATATTCCCATTGTGGCAATATATCGTATACTCGGCCGGCCGTATGGATGTGTTTGTGTGTATGCATGGATGCATGCACTGCGCGTGGCATTCAGCTGCCCTGGGATTTTGCTGGTGCTGCACTGCACTGTAAATTTAGAATCCCCCCCCCTCTTGCAGTCAGTAGGTAGGCCTTTCTCCGCGCAGAACACGGGGTGCGCGCGCCTTACCTCCAGCTCCAGCAGTACAGTACACCACCCAATCCGGTCACCTACAGCACGTTGTGCGGCTCCCGCCCACCGACCCGACCGGGCCCTCCGAGAGCAACTAGCACCCATTGCACCACCGCACACCAATTACAGCACACGCTGTATGCGGCTTCTACAGACTCGCCCCAGTTTCCTTGCAAGCCGAGGTTTTGCTTTCTCCCCCGCAGCAAACAGCCTTTTTTTTTTTCCTTTCCTAGCGCATCGGGCCATCGCATGGCAAATGGATATTTTTGGGCGGGCGTTTTCTGCGATCTAGACCCGATGCTGTCTTAGCTTTTTTCTCGCCCGCGTGGCAGCGCTCGGATTTCCGGTAGTCTATCCTGGGGTGTATGTTCTTTTTTTTTCACCATCGGCTTTTCGTCCATACTGTATGTATGTATGTCTGTTAAGCCGTCGGTCCGTAAAGCACTTTCTTGTTTGCCGCGTGACTGGATACTGTCCAACGTCTTTTTTATTCGCTTCGCGAGATCTCGTCTACATCGAGAGCTTCTTGAATCGTGCTCGTCTGGAGAAAGCTCCTCTTACTGGCATTGCTGCGCCGTCTCGTCTCTAGTCTTTACCATCCACTTTTCATCGAACGTCCATCTCGCGGGACTAACGAGGTATCCGTCCGTCTGTAGATCCGGCTTAACAAATCCGAAGTTGACAGCATGCATCGCTTAATTTTCTTTTTTGTTGTCTAAGCCGCTGCCTCCTCAGCATCGTCGGGAAGTATTTTTCAAGCCGTAATTCTCGGACCTCCGTCGCATGGGAACCTTGCATCACATCATAACCCATCACCACAAACTATACAAGGGTCTTGGCTGCTGCTGGTTCCCGATTTGGGAGAGGCGTCCGTGACAGACGGAGTGCTGCGCCACGGGTCCAGAGCTGGTTACCACGACCCCCGTGAAAAAAAAGTGTTGCTGCTACGGTTGCTTTGGAGGCCCGTCGGGTGCTGTACCACATAGTGTTAGGGGTGCATACGGTGGACTCTATAGCGATTGCTACAGCAGTGATAGCGCTGTATTTTAGCGCAAAAGCTCCCTGTGGCAATTGGGCGGCAATTGAAATCTGCTTTGGGAGTCCGGAACGGGACCAGGGGGCCCACCCCACTTTCTCGGCCATGGACCAATGGCAGGCCTCTGTTGGCGACTGCCCACATCCCATTCCGTCGTATTTGGGACACGACCACTGAGAGCCGCTTCTGCTTTGCCCCCCTACCAAACGGCAACGCCGTCGACCTTTGCTGCACCGCTGCTGCATGGCTGCCCACATTTCTTCTCAGATCCCTAGATCTACGGCGCGACTAATCCCAGCCAGCCAACCAGCAAAGTAGACTGAGCCCAAGAGCCTGGGTGGGCGCCAAACAGTGGCTGGCTGGACCGCAACAATCCCGAAACGCCTCTGCGATTGTACAGCGAAAAACGACGGGCATCAATGACGCATATTGGGAAATAAAGGATTACGAGTACACCATCAAGACAAAAGGAGGCAGTGTGAACAGGATAGCTGAAGAGGAACAGGAGGAGGAGTGGGAAACAGCCAAGTGCATGGCAAGGCCATAATGTGGTTGGGCAACATCTAGTAAAAAGGCCGCTTACGCAAGAAACGCCAAGAACCCAATGAGGCCTCTCATCAATTACACACGCCGGTAGCCCATAGCACTTTGTCCAAAAGAATATGTTTGCCGAAGAACTACACGGCTAGCAATAACGCAATGGTTCTAGGTCGCTCTATGCAACCGACATCGAGATGGCCGGCTGACCACTGCTGGCTTGGTTGGTGGTGCGGGACCTAAACGACAAAGGCCTCGCCCTACCACTTCTCCTTCTGCGTGCCCGCAATTGCCACGCGCTGCCCTGGCCGGCCTAGATCAAGTTGGCCCCTCTCTTTTCCCCCGCGAGAAAGCCCATTCAGGCCTCCATTTCCCTTTTGGTAAGTTGTGTGCGTGTTGTGGTGGACGACTCTCGCTCAGCTGTTCTGTCTTGGAACAGGACGGATTGGATCTTCTGAAACAAGACAGGGGATTGCTTCGTTTGTTCGTTGCTCGGGCTTCCATTTTAATTGAAGAAAAACAAGGACCGGCGCTGCCTTTATTACATCCCAGGGGGTTAAACGGCCCTGTTAGAGTCTGAGACACGGCAAAGCTGTTGCTTGTTGCTGGCTGTAACTGCTGCGCTGAACCGCGCGCTAGCGCTTTGGTATAGGGCAGGCTACCACCAAGGCTAGGCTTCTAGATGGGAGGATCGTACGAGCCTCTCCGTTCGGCCCCCCCTCTCTTCTACTCCTTTTCCAGGTTTGTCTGCCGTCGGCCGTCGCAGTCCTCGTCTCTTTGGGGTAGGCGGAAGTCGCCCAGCTTAACCAGAAGGAGGAGGTGAGCGGGTGAGGCACGCCATCTCGCCCACTCACTCGCTGGCGCTAAAGGTGCGGATCCCCATCTACACAGTACAGGTTATGCGCTGTAGTTAGCTAGTTAGCCTGCTGCCGCCCCAAGAGTGCGAGCTTCCGACGAATCCGCTCAACAATCACGGTGGCAAGCAAAGCAACAAGACAAAAAAAAATAACGGAAGTATCCGCCCAGCGGAGGAACGAACACAGACCAAAAAGACAATCAGGAGCAGCGGCGTGTCTCTCCCTCCGCGTGGCAAGTAGACACCAGATGTGGCCACCCGCGCTGAACCTTTTGGTGGAAAGTCTCGCGCTGGGCACTGCGATTTGCTGGCTATGCGTGGGCCCGCGCCTCGACGAAAAGGCTGTCTCCGAGGAAAGCCCTCTCTCTAGTTGAGTACACACACACACACTCCATCTGCAAGGCGTGTGTGAGCGTGTGAGCGGGTGGTGGGCTTCCGTACCGACTTTGTGTGTGGTGGTGTCTTACTTGGTTGTCTTTGAAGACTGGCACGCGTGGGTTTTAGGTGCTTGCTGCCAGGGCTGCCACCCCAGGCTTTTTTGGCTGGGCTGGACAATGCAATGTTGCTAAATTCAGCACCACACGCTGCTAAAATGTCTTGTTTTTTTAAGCTGCTAGTTGCTGCATTTCCGCCCCCTCGCTGGGCCGGTAGATTGTGAGTGTGGTGTGCCAGCCCGTGCCCTCGAACAAGTAGACATACACCGTGGACGGTGTACCCACGGCCGTGGTTTTCGGGTATAGTACAGTACCAGGGCGCGAGGAACGAAGAGCGAGAAGCGGGTGGATGCTCTGTGGGCGCTTCACCGATGGGGAGGCGGCACCCTGTAACTGGGCTGCTGCTAGTGGTTGTAAGGCGCTGCCCATCCACTGTAGATCTAGAACTACAGCGCACGCACACATACATACCGACTGGCATACACACCGTATCTGCTGTCAGCCAAATAAACGACAATAGTAGCAAAAAATATGACAGACAAGTGGAAAGAAAGATACATGCAGTAGTAGCAACAGCAACAGCAGCAAGCACGGGTATAATGCATTACCCGACGGATGAGAGTGACCACACCATGAGAAACCGTCGTCTTTACAACCTGTACCGTTTGGCTATAGTAGCCGTCTCGGAAGCACCATTTACTGCCCAAATGCCGGCAATCAGAAGAGTGCTCCGTAACAAACTCGGCCTTCCCTTAAAAAGGCAGGGTAACAGAAACGGGACAAGCAAAAAATACACGCAGGGAAAAAAGAGCAAAAAAAAAAAAGACAGAGACCCAGCACATCTTGCACACCCTCCACTCGGGGTGTGTGGGTGTGTCGTTGAGGCTCACTTTTTTTCCACACCCGGGGCCTGTGGGGCTGGGGCGTGTAGAAGAAGGAAAAGAGAAGAGGGGCGGCGGCGGGCTCTCCACAAGGGCCTCTCGGAACCTGTAGAACGCCGCAGCGACAACCTCCCCAAATGGTATAATAGGACCTGGCGACACCCTCGGTCTACTCTGAATTTTCTTTCGATTGACCCAAGCCAAACAAAGTTCTGAGATCGATATAAGATCTTCCTTCCTCCCGCACTTTTCGAGTCAGATCCTTGATCATCATCATCACTACCTACAACAACAACACTACTACACTTGCACTACACCACTACTACCAACGGCCTCACCACCACCACACACTGGCGGCTCAACTTACATCTCTCCCTCTCCCCTCCCACAACCACCACACATCACCAGTCACAATGACGAGGTCACCTTCTGCCGAGCCTTCTCCACGGCCTTCCAAGCGCAAGGGTAAGCAATTCTACAGCACCAGCACCAGCACCAGCACCAGCACCAGCAAAAAACCACTAACCCTCAACTACAGGCGCCCGCAGCGTTTCCACCCTCACACCATCACAGCTTGCCCGCAAGCGCGCCAACGACCGCGAGGCCCAGCGAGCCATCCGCGCACGCACCAAGGAGCACATTGAGAACCTGGAGCGCCAGCTCGAGGAGCTCAAGAGCAGCCAGAGCCGCGACCGCACCGTCCAGGAGCTGATGCGCCGCAACCGCGCCCTCGAGGACGAGCTCGCCCGCCTGCGCGAATCCATGGGCATGCCTCCCGCCGTCACATCTCCTTACTCTACAAATGGTAAGCCTCCTCACGAGCGCCATCACCAACACCAACACCACCACTCTGCTACTGCTACTGCTGGTGGCCACGGTGCTGTTGCTGCTGCTGGTCCTGCTACGCTCCCTCGCCCACACAACATGAGGCTAACACCACACTCCTCCTCAGCCGTCTCCTTTGACGACAACCACAGCGCCGGCAGCGGCACCGTCCCCTCGCCCAACATGTCGCCCTCTACCGACTATCATCACTACCAGCAACAGTCTGGATCTTCGCAGTACGCTGCCAGCATGACCACGGGCGACGGCTGGGCCGCAGGCACCATGCCCTCCAACGTCTCGAGCCCTTCATCGGCCAGCAACACCCCCGACGAGTACGTTGCCGGCTACATCCCCACCAGCGTGCCGACAACGCTGATGCCCTCGGCAGGCAGTTTGCATTCTCTCGATATGAACGCCGCTATGCACACCATGTCTTCCCAGTACAATATGGCGGGCCCCCATTCGCCCCCTCACCACCAACATCAGCACCATCAGCAGCAGCAGCAGCACAGCGATTGGGGTATGTACGACATGTACTACCCCGCGCAGATGCACACCAAGGGTAACGACTTTCCTACCGCCGTTTGCATGACGCGATGAAGATGAAATGCCAACATTGTTTTTTTAAGGGCGATGAATGAATTAGAGAGAAGAGAATACACACGCGACGCATGAGAGAGCACTCCACGTGCGCTTTGTCCCCCAACAGAAAGAAAACGTTTGTTGTGTGCGCTTTGCTCAAGCAGTGCAAAAGACGACTACGTCCAACATATTTAGGGGGGACACTACGAAGCAGATCGGCAGCAGCAGCAGCAGCAGCAAGATTCGCAACTTGTTTTTTTTTTTTTTTGAGATTTCTGTTCTTCTTCCCTGTCTTTGGGGGAGAAGAAAACCGGCGCAACAAAGGAGAAACATAGACACGCACAGATGAATTCACAGGGCATGGGAACCGCGAGAGAGCGAATAGACTGCTTCACTTTTTTCTTCAATTGAGTTTTTATCAATATGGAATTGTACAATAACGAGAGCCTAGGAGAGGCAGGGGAACACTGGTGTATACGGGACGGTTATCTGCTTTTTTTTTTTACTATTACCACTTTATAGACTACAAACTTTTGATACCACCATCTGCAATGCAAGACAACGAGGCCATGCCTCCTCTATTACAAAGACTACTTCTCACCGTTCTCCTTCTTTTGCTTGTGATTGCAACGATCTCGATGACACAATCAAAAGGACCCTTCGGCAATTGACTTTACTAGCCGTCATCATTCGGACTGAGTACATTTTTTTTTTGCGGTGTGTGTTCTGCATGTGCCCGCCACATAAACCGAATACTGTGTGTGTGGTGTGGTGGTGTGGACGCAATTTGGTGTGTGGTGGTCCTGGCGCAGTACAATCAACGTTGTAGACTGCTTGCTTGCCGTAGGGAGGTACAGTACAGTGTGTGTGTGAGTGTGTATTGGGCTACCACTACGAGGCCTGTGCTCGCTGCTTTCTGCTGCGCGGCGTCGACCATGCCAGCTGAACTCTTGCGTCACAGCCCACCAACCACGCGGCCGGGTTACCTTCTATGGCCGCTGTGAGTTCACTGTAGAGAAGGGCGAGCCAAGCTCTCGCGTCATCGGGCGAGGTGCCTTGCTCGCCCGCCAAAGTACCCTGCCGCGCAAAGTTGCTAGCATGGGGTACTTGCGAACCCAACGGGATGTGGAGACAAAGGCTGCCTCCGTGTCCGCTACAAACCTTTTTTTTAGGTGCTGCGCACAGCGGGCTCCCAGCGCTATAGACTTCCCTCGGTTACGCTGTAGAAACTCTCTTTTTGCGACGGTCGGCAGCACCGAAACGGCGTGCCTCTTGCTTCTCCGGGGAATTACACTACCCGCATCTCGGCCGGAGATGCAACGCCGTGAAGGCGGTGATCTCGTCCTTTTGTTTTACATTATACCATTTTTCGTTATGCTTGAGATGAAGCTGTCTCACACTGCGGAACTGCGTCCCCCGAGCGCACTTTGTCGCCTGGCGTTGCTCGGGTCCGACCAAAAGAAAGGGGTTTGTGCTGGGGTTGATTGGCTGATTACCTGGGGTTGAGTTTGGGGGGCACAGCGAACGAGGACATGATAGCAGCAATGCAAGACATAATCCAACAGTGCGTTACAGCGTATGCTAGCCGTGGTCCTGTAATTCAAGCAAAGGGGTGAAAGGGAATAGTGACAGACACGCGCTAGTTAGCATCCAGTGACATGCCATAGGGTCAACAACTGTCGCTCGTACACCCCTCCAATAGCAACACTGTGTTGCTTTGAATAAAAAGAAAAGGGGGCAGAAGAAAAGAAAACGAAGAGGTCTCCATTTACTGCCACACGTACCAAAAAGAAAAGACCTTTGTGTGCCCTCGTGACCGTGCTGTTGCTTCGATAAATGAGATTCTAGACGTCCAGCGCCGATATATCAAATCGCCTTAGCGCCCCGAATTTCAGTGGGAATGGGCGCTGCGCCGGCGCCCCCCTTTAACGGAAAGTTTGCTGTATTACCGTACTGGCGTAGCCAAAGGTCCGCTGCCACCTGGCGGCGTTGCACCTGGCAGTGTTGGCAGCGTTAGCAATGGGCATGGCACAGGGCCCAGATCTCCAAGCTCGCCGCCCCTCTCCGCTCACCACACGCACACGCAAGCCGTGGAAAACGCCCCCATGCCGACAAAGAGGGTGGCACGCCGCACAAACACGGGATCCCGAGAGTCTGGAAGCGGCTCTAACCAGAGACACAAAAGAAACAACACAACAATTGAATGTGGAGGAAACCCATACGCAATGGGTGCCGTTTTGGGCTGGATGCCCCGAACACAACCGTGACAACCAGCTCATCAGTGCCAGTGAACGAATTCTTGTAAGCTTATTGGTAGGTACAGAAAGGAATATGCCTTGTAAGACGGATCGTAGCCTACCAATGCTAGAATTTGACAGGCCCTTTGCTCCGAGACAAAGAGGCCCTCCTCAGCGTAGCACTAGCCACGATGCCACGGCGTGCTGCAACGGCGGCAAACGATGACGACGCGTCAATTGTCTGTCGAGCTTCCATTGACAAAGACATATCCTACGCTGGCCCCGGAGAAAAACGGATAGTGCAAGACAGAGCACGCAACTCACGCACGCAGGTACGCAAATGCAGTAAACTTATAGTTCCAACAGTGATCCATCACACATTGACTCACTGGCCCTACGCCCGGCTCTCGGGGCCAAGCACAAGTGCCTTGTCTGTGTTTACTCAACGTGAAAGCTCGCCGATCCGTGGGGAACAAATGGCCCGCTGGCCATAGACTAGAACCGTAATACGAGCTGGCGAATGACACGAGTCCGCAGGGAGCAAAACATCAGACAAAAAAGACAAAAGATCTAGCCGGCCGGATGTGCTACGCATATCGCTCTCGTTTGTCGTCAGCCGAGCAAGCCATATGGGCCCTGCAGTAGCGAAGTCCGCATTGAAGTCACTAGCCTCAAACCCACAAGGGGTAATATAGCCCTTGTGAATGACCCCCAGCGTCGTTCATTAGCTCAAATGCTGCTTTTGGGAACCAATACGTCTCACAAAACTGCCTAAAGCACGGAAGGTGGGTAGCGAGGCGATTGTTAGCTGGTGGGTATAGAGGGCCCAACAGGGAACGGAGAAATGTGCGGCCTCTGCGCTATGCACGCAGAGATCTAGATCTGAACCTTTTTTTTCTGCCTGTCTTTTTCGTCTTGTCGCTCAGTGAGCGAGCCGACGACCAGTAAGCTAGCGGAAGGGCGTTGGGAGCTGAGGACATGGGGCCCTGGTCCCCGTCCACCTTGCGAGGCTGATGCTCCTGCCTGAGCCTGTTTTGCAAGCAGGTTTCTTCAGCAAGTGATCTACATGGCTTTTGGTGTTTATTAGTAAGGGGTAGTTGCACCAGGACCGCTGTTGTACAAACTATGAGGAACCAAAGACATCGTGAAAACCCGGAAGCCGGCAAGACAATAGCTTGTGGTGTCGTCAGTCTCGCAACGCGTGGAGGGGCCGCCGGCCCCGGTAGCAGAAGTAGCAGCAGCAGGAGGTACAGTCACATCCTGTGCGCTACTAACACGAGAGCGAGGAACAAAAAAACGCTGTTATGGAGACAGATCTGGGTCCCCTTCCGACCTTGATGCACCCCTCCCTTTAGTGGGAGGCTAGACCTGGAGCATTACGGTGAGAGGCTAGAACGGAGGGCGCAGCGACAGCAAATACTGCAGAACGGAACTAAAGCCTATGGGGCTAAGACGGTAAGCGGTGCAACTTTATCGGACATTGTACCTCTGTCACTGTCAGTAAGATGAGAAAGATGTGTTAGCCTGCGTATGCAAGACGACAAAGATGCGCAGCATGCTCGCTGACAGTGGGAACGCCAATGTCTGAGAGGCGTTCAACAATCGCCATGGATGGAAGTGCGGCCACCCAGGCCAAGATCTAATATTTGTTTAGTGAATAGGCTAATTCACTACTTGGTCCTCCGGGGCGTGTGGGGTCGAAACAAACAGCTGCGTATTAAATTCGGCGTTTACCGGAATCATCGGACATCTTTCGTCAATAGTGCTCTACACTGTGCGCCATTCTCGGCATTAGAAGTCAAAGTTAACTTCGGCAGATGGCTACCCCAAAACAAAAATGACAGAAAGCCAGCGTTTTGAAACGCGCACAGAGGCCATTAGCCAGCCTTCTGGGCGCTAGACCAAGCACGCCCCCTTGGGCTTGCACTACATGGTTATGGGAACTGCTAGCGCACCAGGAGGTAGCCCGAATAGGCAAGTGGAAAGAAAAAACTTCTATCCACCTGCGCCTTATGCGACCACACACCGTGTGGGCAGCAGAACTACGTTAGTACATTCCGCTACAGGTACTGGCTTTCGCGATCACAGTGGATGGAACGGGCCAACTACAACGGAAGTTGGGCCGTGGCACCCTGTTGCTACTACTATTGGTACGCAGCCGACTGGCGTCTGTAGGTACAGGGCCGGCGACGCAAGCGACAACCATGTATGAGCGACAAGCGCCGCCGTTACCAGCAATCACACGCTCCAGGTAAATAGAATCCTATCACCGCTGCCCCTGTCCTGAATGGCAAGCATGGCCCAGGGATGCATGGACGCTGTCCGGATACAGATGGAGCATGCAAAGAGCCCCCTTGAAACGGCACGGCTTTCCATTCCGCACTCTCTAGTTGGAGGCCGGAGAGAAGTGCGGCGATAATACAGTGCGGACCATCGGGAGATCATGTACAATGCATTAAAAGAGGCTTTTCCTTGGTTGCCCACTATGTAGCTCGGCTCCCGCTGTGGGTAATCCTTCTAGGCTACAGAATTCTTTTGGCGCTCGACAATTATGCCTCTACCGTTCCTAGGGGGTCCCTTTCTTTTTTCGTGGGGGTTACCGCTCGTCTAGTCTCCGTTCTGGCCTTGGTTTTTCATTACCCACACTGTGGCGATCGTTAAAAAATTGCGCGGGTACATCTCCCACTAAAACCCCCGTGGATTAGTTACGGTTTCTACAGCAAAGAACAGATAGGAGCCCGGTCCGACAAGAGACGGAGGTTCGCTCACCCGCGTACTTGACGATATGCTCGCTTACCGGGCTAGTACGTAGTTCGGCGAGCGCTTATGGGGGCTGCGCTTGCGCCTGCATCATTTGATAGTTTGCGCCCAGTCGTCAAAGTCTACACCGCATGTATCCTGCACGCGTATGATTTGTGCGCCAAGATGATCAACTTGGTGAAGAAAAATCTTCCTCTGTGAAATCTCACACCGTGTACAACAGCATGCACTTTGGTGTCTTTTAACCCGAGCAGAGGTCCATGCTTTTCTTTCGGCTCAACGCTCACCGTTTGGTCGTCCTTGTGGTTGGCTCTGCGTCGAGCACGCAATACACTTGGATCCACTCGGCCGACGACCCGGCGGTCCAATAGACACTGTGTGATATTTTGCTGGCACAGATCCAGGGAAAGGAGAACAAATGAGACAGCTTGGCTGCGCCATGGGCGGAGATCGTTCATTATCGTGCATGTTACGTAGCATGTCTTGTATACAGCACACGCCGCTGCCTATTGTCTATTATGCCGTGTCTTGCGTCTTTACAACAGCGGATTCTTGATCTACCCAGGGAGGGACGCAAGCACGTTCCAAGCCGCTCAGCGTTATTGCCGGATGGGCCACAAGGACGGGCAAAGAGGGCCAAAAGAATGGGCCAGCTCGGCTGGTCGCAAAAGTGGACTGTGTGGAAAGGACGAGAGCCGCTCGTCAGCCCTGGAACCGCATACACTAGGAAACCAGGAGAGGCTAGGTGGCGGCGGGTATCTAACATGGCGCAATTTCAGAGGCTCAGGCGACCCCAAGACGGAGGATCTTTTGTACGGCACTTTCCGGTATGCGCAGCTGAGGTCTTGTTGCAAAAGGGAAGGTATAGAAACGGAAAACAAGACTCTAAACTGCCTCCAACAAACCAGAGGCTAGACTATCACCCCTTCGTTTCCAAGGCTCAAGAACGCCCTGCCACGGCATGCCAATGTTTCTTCTTGGGCCTCAAAAGGCCGAGATTGCGTGGGTAGTGCATGCGCCACGATGACAAGACGCATTATGCAGTGTGCGTGAGAAGCAGACCGTTTGTTCCGCCTCTTGGCTGTAGAGAAGGCCGCACAGAAGCAATCGAAGAACGAAAACACACCAGCGACGCCTGCGCTAGGGGGAAGTGGGAGTGGAGTTGTTGCAAAGAGGCTTCGCAGGGCTTGGTGAGGGTGTGCTTGGATGAGGCAGGCGATGATTGGTTGAAATCCTCCTAGCTTGCAGCGGTGGCCAAACAAGCTTCTTTTTGGTGATAGCCGCACACCCACTGTCGTGTTGGCTAGCTCTAATTGGCGGAGCCAGAATAGAAGCCCAATGGAAGCTGAATGGAAGGGCGGACAGCTCCACGTGGAACGTAACCAGATCGGCCACGGGGCGGAGGGTCCGTGAGGCAAACGTCGGAATGTGGGAAAATGAGCGAGCAAAGAGGTTGCAGTGCAGCGTAACGCGAAGGTGCGACGGACAAATTACTGCCTGCCGGAGATTACGAGATGCAAATCGAAAGTTACGGATGACGGTAACACGGAAAACAGCCAAAGGCGACGGATGCGAGAGCGAGCCTAAGCAGGGAATGCTTCCGCGCGGATACCGTGGAAGCCGTTGGGAGCCCGTTCGCTAGAGGCGAAAATGGGTATCTGCTCGCATGTCAGCCTGCCTACGGCTACCTCGGAGCACACTATGATTGGGCATTTTGCGGCTCATTTATCTCACGCTTTCATAGCTCGCTGCAAGATATACACCTGTACGTACACCACTGCCTAGACCGAACATAAGCCCGCTATCCAGTGGCAGGCTGGGGGTGTGTTTAATGGGGGCCAACGAATGAGAAAAGCCCCGACACGAGATGATATCGAGAAAGAGGAGCTCAAGCGAACGGTGGTGGCGTGCCGGCTAACGCAGCATTTTGCCCTATTAGGCTATGGCCGTTGAAATGCAGAATACGCCGCTCATGGTCCTCGCTTAGCTTGACTTTGGTAATGTAGCTTGCGCCATAGGACAGAATACTCACAACATGGACCACCAAACAACCAAAACAATGCTAGTGGTTATGCGTTGTCCTCGCCTTAGCGGCTGATCGATCCATCTATGACCGTTGTAAAAAGTGACATGTACGGCCGGATGGACTGCGGCCTGCACGTACGTGTTCAGTTTCGCCTCCGACCTGCCAGCGCTTTCACCAAGGTAGCCACGCGGTGACGTGTTAGTTGTTCCGCAAAGGCTTCGATAGCCGTTGGCGATGCGACCCTGAAGTTTGACACGAGCAGTCCGGCAGGCAGAGAGATATAGTGACAGGGTACAGCACCCTATACGGATGCTTCTCGTCTACTTTCAGGTGCAATACGGGACGGACATGTCCTCTTTGGGCAACCAGCGAGCCAAAGCTTACACAACTTGGAATCAGGTGGGCGTACACATTAGCGAAGTGTGATTCCACCGCAGATCGTCGATGCGTCACCGTTTTGCCTGAATCGCCGTTTTCTCGTTGTCTAGGCTTAGCCTGGAACTTGCAGCGTCGCATCCTGTGCCGTCCCTGATGACAGATACCAAAGAGGAGCGAGGGGGGTGGGTGTGGTGAGCATGCGCAACGTCTTAGTTACGTGATGGGTGCTGACCACAAAGTATACAAAACGGCCATGTACATCTACAGACGCGGCTCGCAATGATGCGGTTTGACCCAGAAGGCGTAAACGAATGGGGTGGAGGGGACGGCCGGGCAAACCCAGGGCAACAAGTAAAAAGGTGAGATGAACGGCTGGGTAGCGGGCTAATTGGGCCACGGGGTATAACGGCGAGTCACGGCTTGCATTGGCGTGGGCAAAAAGACAACTAAACAAGATTAAGAGGCTTGCGAGCGTTGGGGTCAAAGCAAGTGCGGGGGAGGAATATATGCAGGGGCATGACTAGCTAAACGAGAAATCAACACTGAAGCCTAAAGCCCATGAGCTAGCGCTGCAAGCTGTCCGGTGAGTGGGCTGAGGCACGGCACAATATTGGCAAAATGTGAGAGCGACGGAAAAAGAGCTGAAGTTTAGTAGGGGATGCCAAAAGATGGCTTGCTTGTTCGGAAAATAAAACAAGACCAGCCTATACGCCATGAAGGTAGGGCCTGTCGGACATTTGGAATAGTTTAACGAGCGGGAGGCACGCTTGTGGCGTCTTGCTTTGCCAATAGCGCAGAGAGATGTCCCGCGCGCTTAGACTGACTGCCTTTACGGGACGAAGCAAACAGTCCTAACAGCTTCAACTTCCTAATCAAGGCCTTCAAACCGTTGCGGAGCTCAATTTAGAACTCTGTCAGGTCAGGGGTGTTGCGCTAATTCTGCAATCATCCGCATTGCGCAGCGAATCCAGACCAGCCGCTTAGCGGTAAGGCTCGGAACAATTGGCCACGTAACGAGGGAAGCGCGAGCACGGTATCGCTTCGTTTGTTGGCGATGTGCATGTACACAGTACCATTGTACTAGGAACATGCGGTCCCTGAACGGAAAGATAGCCCAGCCGGATATCGCTAGCCTGTTCGTTCAGCTGTACACGCCTGGCCGTTGTTCACGCGGGCCTCGCTAGCGCTGCGGTGATGGAGTCATAGCCCTTGCCACCCCCTCCTTCTTCGGAGGATTTGGTGTTTAAGTCTAAAAGGCGAATGTACAACGGTTTTCCCTCTTTCGGGGGGCGTGAGATGGTGGGTGAGCGCCGAGCCTTTGCTTCTGCAGATTCGCACATGCACTGAGTCCCACGCCCCCCTGTTCGTTGTTCGTTGCACTTTGGGGGCTGAGATGGATGAGGCGGAGCCTTGTTCGAGAGCCTGCGGCGGGGATCGTCAAGATCACATGGCACCATGATGGGACGACGATGGCCCCAAGGTGAGGCGGGCCAGCTGAGGGAAGAGGGGCCTGGGCCTGCGACATCGGGGGACGTGGGGAAGATGGGGAGAGGGAGTCATGGAGATGGGTAAATTGGCATATGTGAGATTGACAGCAGCAGCGAGTAGCTGACGAATGCGGGGTGAGAGTGAGGCGAAGAAGGGAAGAGATTGGCAGACTGACTGGCCTTGGATGGGTTTGGAAGGTATCATGGGATGTGGATGTGGTCATGGGCTGCCTGTTTAGGTCGGCCGTGATAGGCGGACTAGGTAATTTATTGTGATGCTCTGGGGAGATTGATACTAGGAAGAAGAAGAGGTGTAGTATTGGGGCATCCTTTTATTGTGGTTTGAAAGGATTGTAAGTGATGCAGGTAGTTGGGTTGTGGTGAGTGCGTCGAGGGATGCTGATATATGGACGGAGTCATAGGCTTCTTGATTGACATTTATAGGCAATGAATAGCCTTTTACACTAGTCTTACATGCTTGACAGTATCTTTGAAGGTTTTCCATTTAATTTCGCTGGGTTGGACCAATACCATGCCGTGTCGAAGTTAGCGAGTGTGAGGAGATAGGCCAGTGGCGTCACCGTGTAGCGACCCAGTCGATTGATATATTGGCAGCAAGTTGATACATGGCACAAGGTCAACCGCAAGCGTGTCCACCCACTGCGCATATACAAAATGAAATAGTACATGTCCTATATTGGCTACCTTAGGCCAAGGTTGCTGATTTTCCGGACATCGAACTAGAAAACGACGTTTGTTTGTTTGTATAGACGAAAACATTGTTACATTTTAGAATTTAGGCATAATCACAATATTTTAGAACATCATACGATTTACACAAGCCACGCGACCACCTGTTGGATAGATTCACGAGCCATCTCACATGGTCAAGCTACAACATAACAGCTTTAACTAGCGCTGGGCAAATGAATTTCCCGTCTAGCCCCCCCTTCAATGAGAACTTACGTCACAGTGCTAGAACAGGCTTTTACCCCATCGTGAACCATTATGATGGCCAAGATCCGGACGTGGACAGCAAATACAATCGCCCTAGACTAGTACGTCTACTCTATGAGGAAGCTATTGGGCCGCAATCAAAAGACAATGTTCTTCGAGCCTTTTCCTCGCAATGAAACTTCCCATGGATAGTCCGCCTTTGAAGGACTCTTCGGCGGCTATGCCTACCTAGCTTCTCGGCTATGCTGATCATTTAGTGAACACCCTTTTTCTTCCTTGTAAGTATGTCTCTGAATAACTCCACTCTAAGATGAAACCAAGCTATTCCAGTATTAGCCTCGACAACAAAGACACCGCAACTAACACCGCAGTATCGCTCTACAACAATGCGAGAAGCTGGCCAAGGCTTTATGGCCACCCATGCGCGACTTTCCGGCCTGAGGGGAGACTGTCTTGTGCGTGACAAACATAGATGCGTTATTTCCAGGATATTTGATAAAGACAAGGTCAGAGAGCGGATTGCTCCTGATCGTAGAGTGATGAACGATGATGATCAACCTATCGCGCCTGGAGATTTCGGACATCTAGAAGTTGCACATATCCTTCCACATTCTTTGGTAAAAGTGGAATCAAATATGGAGGAGCTGGTTTGTCCTTACGCATCATAATTTGCTTACGTATGCTAATGTAAACTCTAGGATGAGACGAGAAAAACGGCCTTGGAGATTCTGAACATGTTTGACAACGATATCGCCTATCTTATTAATGGTGTTGAAATCGATCGGCCGCGTAATGCACTCACACTCACACGCGATCTTCACCAAGACTTTGGTCGATTCGAAGTTTATTTTACAGCACACTCAGACTCAAGTCAGCCGCACACCTACGTCATCGAAACCTTTCTTTCGGCACAAGTGTATCCCACACTTCCCATCCGCCGCACTTTGCATCTCGCCGCGGATTGTAATATTGAACCACCAGATCCTCGATTGCTGGCCGTTCACTGCGCTATTGCAATTATCCTCCATCCATCCGCAGCTGGAGAATATATACATAAAATACTTCGGGGTATGGAAGAACAAACAGTCCGATCTGACTGCTCAACTTCGCTTGGAGACTTTGTGCGATTGAGGATAGAAAACATGCTAGCTATATGAATTAAGCTGAATTAAACATTTAATGATTACCTAAGAGGGCTGACGCTATTTTGGTAGACCTGTATTCCCTAAAAGGTACGAAGTATTTCCTGTTAGCTTTATACAAGAGATACGCAAAGTGTGTGATTTAGCCGTTGTGTAATCCCAAAGACAACGACAATCGAGCTAGTCGAAGTTATGCTATTCAATAGAACTAAAGAACTTGTTTCTTTGGATAATGAATTGATCAGTACTACCTTTACAAACTTTCGTTTAATTTTAACAGGTCGTGGACATGGTAGGTATAACGAGCTAGGTCTATCAAGCTCTCGGGTAGCTCAGCACCAATGCGTAGCCAGATGGTGGATGTGGACAGTATTTCCGCTACAGGCTATTTTGCGCGCCATCATGAGATTCGAGTCTTCATTTTATGTATTTTTCACCTTTGGTTGCGTTTTATAACGTTCTCTCATTTTACGCTCAAGGATGTTCGACATTCTTAACTGCGTATCATCCCCACGGACGCAATCTCAACCACTATGCAGGGATTCGTCACTCACAAATTATTTATGTTCTATTACCACATCATGTCTATATAGCTGCAGTACAGAAATACTTGGACCTGTGTCACCTTAATTGCACCTGGACTCAACCATGCTGTAGCATCCTTTGTAGCCTGGAGCGGGCTTCCGCAGTGGCGGCAGCAGCACATAGTTATGCAATCAATAAACATCATTCCTATGGGATTTATATGTTTTGTTACTATCTATAGGTGCGTATTTCGTATCACATTTTCTATCTATTCCTCTCTGACATCGCCGACTGTTGCGTTATCTGCTGTCGGGGAGTGTCGCTCTAGCACCGTGACCCCGCAGCGCCTGCGGAATCTCGCGCCGAAAACCCCGTGGCGTTTGAAGGCTGCTGGTGGATGATTGGCTGCCATGAAAATCCATGGAAAATATGCGCCGCATCCAAGGCCCGAAAAGCCGATGTTCCAGCTGTTCGTATATGAAGACGGTTCGGGCTGGTTGCGGAAAGAGACTGCATTGTTGTAACCGAACTACGGGCAGCGTCAGTGGCTTACAGGCACTTACAGCTGCACAAAGTGCCCTGGATGGTCCCCTGGAACAACCTCTGACAGCGGCGTGTGGGGTAAAGTGCAAAGCTGCAGCAGCACCAGCATGGGCTTTGTTTGGGAGGGGAATCTCGCTGTTAAAAGAGTTGATTAGTAGTTTGAAGCGTGGGTTTATGAAACAAAACATTCAAAAAGGCAGACTCCGCTGGTTGGGCCGTCGCATCGCCGCCGCTTCTCTCGGCCCTTTTCCCCGGTTTCCCCAGTCGCATGGTGCTTACCTTGGGCCGCCTTTCCCCGACTGCCGCTTAGCTGCCCCTCCTCCGATCTGTCGACTTTTGGTGCTACCAGCTGGCACCAAGCTGTTTTTTTCTCTCTTTCTTTCTTTCTTCTCCATCATCATCTGGCGAATTTATAATCGACCGCTGCCTCGTCCTCTTCCCATTTGAATCAACCATAGCGCAGCACAACTACACAAGAAACTTCTTCCAACTGCTCGGCTCTGTGACGTCAGACGCGCCAGCCCACCGACTTTCGCCCAACACACCTCCTACAGCCTCTGTATCGCCATCATGGCGGACATCAATGTAGAAGAGGTGCTCAAGAAGCTTACAATCACAGAAAAAGTCGAATTGCTCTCTGGTAAGATGCCCCAGACATACTGATCCAACGCCAATCGCCGCTGACAGCCACCCTCGTTTCTAGGCATCGACTTTTGGCACACCAAGGCCATCCCCAAACACGGCGTCCCGTCTCTACGATTCAGCGATGGCCCCAATGGCGTTCGAGGAACAAAGTTCTTCAATGGCGTTCCTGCGGCTTGCTTCCCCTGCGGCACCGCCCTTGGCAGCACCTTCAACCAAGAGCTCCTCGAAGAGGCCGGTCGTACCATGGGCAACGAAGCCATTGCCAAGAGCGCACATGTTATTCTCGGCCCTACAATCAACATGCAAAGATCACCCCTCGGCGGACGAGGATTCGAGTCGATAGGCGAGGACCCGTTCCTTGCTGGTCTCGGTGCAGCTGCGCTGGTTCGCGGCATCCAAAGTACCGGTGTACAGGCTGCCATTAAGCATTTCCTCTGCAACGACCAAGAAGATCAGCGCATGGGTGTGCAGAGCATTATTACAGAACGTGCTCTTCGCGAAATCTATGCTTTACCTTTCCAGCTGGCAGTCCGCGACTCGCGTCCGGGCGCCTTCATGACAGCCTATAACGGCATCAACGGCACATTTTGCAGCGAAAACAGCAAGTACCTCGACGGCATGCTACGAAAGGAGTGGGGATGGGAAGGTTTGATTATGAGCGACTGGTACGGCACATACAGCACGGTGGATGCCGTCAATGCTGGTCTCGACCTTGAAATGCCTGGCCCAGCTCGCTTCCGTGGCGAGGCCCTTCAGTTCTGCGCATCCACTGGCAAGCCATTTGCCCACATCATTGATGAACGCGCACGCGAAGTCCTCAAGCTTGTTAAGAAGTGTGCCAGCTTACCCATCGAAGAACAAGGTCCCGAAAAGACGGTCGATACACCTGAAACAAGAGCGCTTCTTCGAAAGATTGGAAACGAAAGTCTCGTCTTACTGAAGAACGATAACAATATTCTTCCACTAGCCAAAGATAAAAAGACCCTTGTGCTCGGTCCCAACGCCAAAGAAGCAACATACCATGGCGGTGGCTCTGCTGCCCTCCGAGCATACTATGCCATTTCGCCCTATGATGGCATTGCCGAGAAACTTGGCAGCCAGCCGAACTATACTGTTGGTGCCTATACACATCGTTTCTTGCCTATCCTGGGTAACCAGTGTGCGGCGCCCAATGGAGAGCCAGGTATGCGCTGGCGCGTGTTCAACGAAGCCCCTGGGTCCGCAGAACGAAAACAGGTCGATGAGTTGCAATTTACAAAGACGGAGATGCATCTGGTAGACTATGCCAACCCCAACGTTGCTGATACCTGGTATGCCGATATGGAGGGATCCTTTGTCGCAGATGAGGATTGTGTGTATGAGATTGGTGTTGTCGTGTCTGGTACGGCCAAGGCCTACGTAAACGGCGAGATGATTGTGGACAATGCCACCAAGCAGGTTGCCGGTGATGCATTTTTCGGTGCTGCTACACGTGAAGAGCGCGGCCGCGTATCACTCAAAAAGGGTGAAACTGCCAACATCAAGATTGAATTCGGCTCCGCACCGACCTTTACGCTCAAGGGCGATGCCTACGTTCCCGGACACGGCTCGCTACGTGTTGGTGGGTGCAAGGTCATTGATGACCAGGAGGAAATTGCAAAGTCAGTTGCGTTGGCCAAGGAGCACGACCAAGTCATCATCTGCGCTGGACTCAACTCTGACTGGGAGACGGAGGGTGCTGATCGCGCATCCATGAAGTTGCCTGGCGTCTTGGACCAGTTGATTGCTGAGGTTGCTGCCGCTAACCCCAATACCGTCGTGGTTATGCAGACAGGTACACCTGAAGAAATGCCATGGCTCGACAAAACGCCTGCTGTTATCCAGGCTTGGTACGGTGGCAACGAGACTGGCAACTGCATTGCTGATGTTGTCTTTGGGGATGCCAACCCATCTGGCAAGCTCTCGCTCAGCTTCCCTAAGAGGCTTCAAGATGTGCCTGCGTTCCTCAACTTTAAGACAGAAGCTGGCCGTACTCTCTACGGCGAAGACGTGTACGTCGGCTACCGTTACTACGAGTTTGCTGATCGTGAGGTCAACTTCCCCTTCGGACACGGCCTCTCGTATACGACCTTTAGCTTTTCAGATCTTTCTGTATCCTCTAGCGAAGGAAAGATTAAGGCCGTACTCACCATTACAAACACAGGCTCCAAGGAGGGATCCGAGGTTGCCCAGCTATACGTTCAGCCCAAGCAGGCTGCACGCATCAACCGCCCAGTCAAGGAGCTCAAGGGTTTCGCCAAGGTGCAGCTCGCCCCTGGAGAGAGCAAACAGGTTACTATTGAAGAGCTTGAAAAGTATGCATCTTCGTATTGGGATGAGGAGCGAGACCAGTGGTGTGTAGAACAGGGTGTATATGAGGTGGTTGTTAGTGATAGTAGCAAGGTTACAGAGGGCAAGGCGCTTCGAGGAGAGTTTACAGTGGCAGAGTCATATTGGTGGTCTGGTATTTAAGCATCTTATAGCATTTTATGTACATTTTAGATCTTTGTATCTGTAACCAATGTCTGTCTGATTTTTGATAGGTTGTCCCTCGTATTGGATTAGAGACCGTCTTTTAGTGCTCCATCAACAGCGCTGTAACGCCTTCGCGCAGCGCGCTGTAGGTGCCACATAACCCCACTACACCCGCTGTGGTACCTGCAGCGAAACAGCTAACCCCCACTAAACATTTGATCACCGCGAACCTCTTTACAACATCAACACCGTTTAACGCTGCTTCATCACCAACCAAACCACATCACAGCAGCAAATTGCGACCAACCTGAATCATGGCAGACGCGCCACGTGGTCCTCCGACCATCATTGCACGCAAGCAAACATTTCTCGCCGCCCAAACGAATCTGCTCTCACAGCCTGTCGCCGTCTCGGCACGATGGGGACGAACCAACGACGCGTCCAAGCAGCCGATCAAGGTCCGGGCTCTCGAAGATGCCATGTTTCGCCTAAACCACAAGATCCAACAGCACTGCATCCGCGTCTACGCGCCGCTGGCTAGCCGAAACATTGCTGAGCAGATCAGCAGTGCCTATATGCGTGATGTCGAGAGACGCCGTGACGAGGTGGACAGCGGCATTGGCAAGGAAATCGACCTACGTGAGTGATTGCTATTCATGAAGAGAAAGACATTTAGTGTATGTGGTATGGGCTAACACGTGCTGTACCTGTGCTATAGTTGATCCGGAAGCTGTCGAATCACTACCAGATACTTGGCCTCTCGAAAAGGATACCGACGCCGACCCAACTAGCTCAGGAGCCTACGTGGCCATGCTTAGCGAACTAAAGCAGTACAGTGCCCGCCAGAAAGCTCTGACAAAGCGCCTAGAGAACTTGCGTCAGCTGCAAAAGATTGTCGGACAGCTGGTACCAACACGCGGTGGTGACGGTGACAGTGGTGACGAGGAGCCGTCACTAGACGCGATACAAGAGAACCTGGCGACGCGAAACGGTCCCGTCGAACAGGAGCTTGAACGACTGAATGCTCTTTTGCAGAGGGTTTCTCAGGGTGTGGGCAACATTCGCAAGAAAGACGTACGCCCAGAGCAACAGGCCCCAAAAGAGGATAGGAAGAGGAAGCTGGACGAGTTTCTCGATGGCACAGCATTTGCATGATACACAGGATTCGGATATAGACGCCTTTCAACTTCGGCAAATTCCCTAAACCAGCATCCGGCAAAAGACCATTGTGCCACGCGGCCCGAAAAAGAGCTTCATGTCCGCTACGGTTCAGCTCATGGGTGCGCCACCACCGTTCTTGGATGACATTGTCACGGACAAACAAACAACCCAGCGAGGCTTGCGGTTGATGCTGCTACAGCTCGAAAGGGCGCCGATTCTACTGCATCGTCTTTGACAGTGTGTCGGCTCGAGCATGAGACATGGTATCTCGTATACTACGAAACGCTTCAAAACTTACGCGGTCAAGGAATCGCTCAGTTCGGATCATCCGATGAACATCCTTATAAATACCTCTATTTTAACAGGCCCGCCACAAAAATGACTCTGAGCCTTGTCTAGTATTGGCTTTACCGTGGCTTGCGAACTGCTGGCTTGCGAGCTTCTAGCCTGCAGGCGGCGTGGCGTGGCGGGGATTAGCTGAAAAGAAAAGACTCGCAGCCTGCTTTTCGTCACTACAGCGCTTGTGCATAGACTAATAAAATATTATAAAGCACCTCCAACCAATGCGCGTATTGGGCCAGCGTGCCTAGATACACGCGTCACACAGCATCCAGGGCCCTTTCTCTTTTATCGTCTCGCTGTTTCACGGCAGACTTGACCGAAAGGTTTTTATACGACGCTTGCTGCTGCGCTAAACGAAGGCCCTTGTGACTCTCTTCCTACTTCTTAACTATCTTGACATAACATTAAACATGGATGCAACTGCGGGAGTATTCAAACGAACGCGACAGGATGCGGCTGGCGACTACAGCACGTTGGAGGAGAATATGATAGCCGAGCTCTACCGAGAGTGGCCCAACGATGCCGGCGTAAGCATTCCCTCTATACAACGAAAGCAAACAACTGACTGACAAAATATCGTTCCAGTTCGAGGGCTTGACGGAGCATCAGGGCCCTATCAATCTGACGGTCAAGGGCGTCATCCCTCCATGGGCTGCTGGGACGCTGTTTCGCACTGGCCCAGGTGTGAGCTCAGTCCCAGATACTCCGCGTGGTGAGCACCTTGTTTCCCACTGGTTTGATGGCTTCGCGCATTCGCACAAATTTGATCTTGTCTTTGACAGTGGCGATGCCAAGTCGTGCTCTGTGGTGTATTCATCCTGCCGACAGTCGCAGGAGTTTATTGACCATGTCAAGGCCAAGGGATGGCGTACGGGTATATGTTTTGGCCAGAGAGCCGACCCATGTGTGGGCATCTTTTCCAAAATGTCGATTGTCTTCCGGCCACTGGCATCAACTTCCAACAACAACAATGTCATGCCTATGGTTGGTGCGGCTGGCTTTCCAGCCGGCGACAAGAAGGACAAGAATCTTTTGGTCCTTACCGACTCCGCCACCGTGCAGACGCTGAATCCTGACACGCTACAGCCCATTGGATTTGTCCGTCAGGCAGCTTTGCACTCGTCGCTCAAAGGCCAGCTGTCTTGTGCCCATGCCCAGCGCGACCCGGAGACGGGCGACTGGTTTAACTTTAATCTTGAGTTTGCCAGGATCCCTACCTACCGCGTCTTCAAGGTGGATGGAAGGACAGGCAAGACGGAGATTCTTGCCACAATCGCCGACAAGGAGGTCGACCCGGCCTATATTCATAGCCTCTTCTTGACTGAGAATTATGTCGTCCTCTGTATCCCCTCTGCTAAGTACGCTTGGGCAGGTATGAGCATTCTATGGCGCTTCAGCTTACTAGAAGCTATCAAGCCCTTTGATACCAAGGCGCCGTGCCGCTGGATTGTCATTGATAGACGCCATGGCAAAGGTGTTGTGGATCGCTTCAACACTCCTGCCGGCTTCTTCTTCCACAGCACCAACTCGTTTGAGGAAACAGTCGAAGTGGACGGCCAAAAGAGAGTCCGGCTGAACCTAGAGCACGCGGCCTTTAAGAACCTCGACGTCATGCAGATCTTTTACTATGACAACTTGCTCAACCGCAACGGCGCGGCTTCGAAGCTGCTCACAGAGACCGAGACCTACCAGAACTCAGTGCCGCATCTCATGCGATATACCCATACGCTGCCTGCTTCAGGATCGCCAGCGTCGTCATGGGGTGCTGCCAAGGAGGCCACGCTCGCGTTCAAGGTTACTACCCCCCACGCAGGCGACCTACCCGTCATCAACCCTGCGTATGCGACCAAGAAGCACCGCTATGTTTGGGGCGTTTCTACGCGCGGCCTTAGTCTGTTCTTTGACTCGATTGTCAAGACGGACACGGAGACTGGTGATGCGCTCATCTGGAGCGGTGGTAAGGGCCATACGCCGTCCGAGATGGTTTTTGTGGCGCGGCCTGGTGCGACGGACGAGGATGATGGCGTGGTGCTAAGTATTGTGCTGGACGGCAATAAGGGCCATTCGTACGTGCTTTGTCTGGATGCGAAGACGCTGGAAGAATTGGGCAGGGCTGAGGCGAACTTTGCCATTGCGTTTGGTTTACACGGTGTGCATGTCCCGTCTAAGGTATAGCTTTACTGTCTGGGGGAATAACGACAGCCATTTATAGCACTGCTTGTTTGGATAGGTTAGGAACGAAACATTTTGGTGAGCGTAGCTTTATGTATGAGATGAAACAATTTACGCTGGAACATACTTCACATGAACACGCACAATGACATCATTGGATGGATTAATAAAATTCGTGTTATTTTTCAACGCTGAGCGCGTATCGCTTAAGCCAAAGCGAGACCAGTCCTGATATACTATACAATGATATCCACCGCCCCCTTTAGTCGGATATATACGCCCCCATTTTGTCCGTAATCCTAGAATCGCTCATCATGAACCCCAGCTTCGCGTTTCAGCAGAAGCAAAGAGTTCTGGTTGGTTTCTTTTTTTTGTGTGTTTTTTGTGTATTTGTAGTCCCAAGGGAGGTCATTTTGTCCCTCTGTAACTGCACATAAACGCCGCTCGCCAGGACCGTGGCTGAGAATGAACACGAGAAAGGGAAAATAAAAGTAGAATAAGTTGAACAGTAAGACAGTGCAGCGGTGGTAGGTGAAGCAAAAACGAGGTTGGTGGCGAGGTTCGACGGTCGAACTTGCATGGCTGTGCTGAAATCAATAAAACATCCTGTCTGTCCTTGTCGTTATTTTTTGGTGTGTCTTTGAAGGGTTTCTTCAGATTTGCATGGCGCACTTAGGCCATGGCAGCCTCGGGGGTAGGCATCTTCATGCCGGTGCCGCTCAGGTTGGTGGCCTTGGTCTTGGGGTTCTTGCTGTAGTAGTCGGAGATGGCAGACTTGATGGCATCCTCGGCCAACATGGAGCAGTGGACTATGAGATGATGAGTTAGCATTGATATCGTCCTAAAAGTGAAAAGGCTCGGGGGGAGAAGTGAGCGAGAATTCGGAGACATACGCTTGACGGGAGGGAGGCAGAGCTCCTTGGCAATCTCGGTGTTCTTGACCTTGCCGGCCTCATCGAGGCTCATGCCACGGACAAGCTCGGTGAGGTAGCTGCTCGAGGCAATGGCCGAGCCACAGCCAAAGGTCTTGAACTTGACATCGGAGATGGTGTTGGTCTCGGGGTCGACGCGGATCTGCAGCTTCATGACATCACCGCAGGCAGGGGCGCCGACAAGGCCGGTGCCGACATCGAGATCCTTCTTGTCCATGGAGCCGACATTGCGAGGGCGGGAGTAGTGGTCGAGGACCTTTTCGTGGTACGCGCGCGATTGACGGGGGACGGCGGCGGCCGCGGCGACGGGCATACGCGAGGCCAGGACAGGGCGAGCGACGGCGGAGGACGCAGCAACGCGCGAAGCGACTCGGAGGCCTCGGGCGAACATTGCGGCGAGAGTTGTGAAGGGGTGAGTTGTGTCGTGGGAGAGAGAGCTGGTGATGAGAAGAAAGAGCGGCTATATACGCTCAGTGAGAGGGAAAATCGGGTTGAGTGCTGTAGTGTGCCGGAGCTATATAGGGGCGTCGGCAAGTTTTTAGGGAGAAGAAATCGTAAATAAAGCAGCGATCGATTCGGCGACGATGGAATTGTCGGTGATGATGGAAAGGATAGAAAAAAAAAAAAACTGCGGCGCTGAGTTGCCAATGCAGTGAGTGGGCTCAACCAAAAAAATAAAAGGGAAGCGGAGTTAACGGTGCTGCCAGCTGTGCCAGCTGCCCGGGGCGGGAAAAAGAAAAAGGTACGTACTTTGTACCGAGGGGGGCGACTTCGCAGCGCCCAGAGGGAGCAAAGAAGGACAAGCAGCCAATCAGAGGCCCTTGATTCGCAGCCGTGACAGTGGTTTACCTCATAAATTATGGGGCCGACCTCGGTGCTTCGGAGGTTGAAGGGCAGCTTACTAAGGAAATCAATCAGATAAGATGAGTCCGATCACGTGAACGCGCGGCATATTCGAGTTTGCCGGTGCGCGGTCGGCCCATCGCACTTAAGCCACGCTCGGCGGAGTCGGAGATATGCTTGGGCGGTGCCACGGTGCCCGGGTTGGGGCTTTCGGCCGGTAGCCATGACAGATGTATTGCTACAGAAGAAACTGTGGACTGCGTTGTATTTGATATGAGGCAGGTTGGGAGAATGTGTTGAAGCAAAGGAAAAGGGTCGACAGCCGCGGCTCTGTAGAGAAGCTGGCAGTCCACTGCGGTAAGAACGGTGTCCAGCCATGTAGTGCCAGAATGAAAGTTGCGACAAATGATATCAAACCAATTATAGCTTTCAAATGGTCGACAGATGCTCGGTACACCCGGAGGGACTAGCATAACATATGTGCACACTTTACCCTGTGCAGTTGATCTACGGGGATATGTATTTCAGACAAGAAGGGTGACAAAAAGTGACGAATCAAAATACACTATCGACAGGTGCTCGACTCTCTGTATTCTCAGGCAGGCTAGCATGGCTACTCGGCTCAGATATAGCGAGCCGGTAAACGAGCATACACCGGCAATCTGCAGAATTGAAACTAACACATTATCATGCCAATCAACCATATTTCAGTCCGCCTAGTAGCGGTATAGTCCAACACCTGCAACCGACTGCAGAACAGGAACTCTCTTTCTGGAAGGTTGTGTAAGCGCTAGTCGGCTTCTGGGCATTTAATCTCTGCAAAATAGGGCTCCTCCCTGCGGCTCCGCCTTTCATGAATCGCTGGGTTTGTACGCAAAACTGGAACTGCGTTACATTTCCGCCCATAGAGAAGCTTAACATCCAATGGATATGCTAACTTAGCACTTGTGACTGGCTGGTATCTGAGTTGTGGATTGGCCGGGCTAACGCGGCAATAAGCACTTTGTAGCTTCGTTAAAGTGACCATCCTGCCCGCTGCTGTCCCTGAGAAGCTGGTTCTCTCTCGCTCTCTTCGCCATAAACAAGCAATCATAAACAGCCACCTAAAATGAAGTTCTCCGCTGCTATTGTCGCTCTCTGTATCAGCCACGCCGCTGCTTGCGCCAACCAAGGGCATTTCTGCACCAACGGCGGCGCCACCGACTGCGAGTGCAATGGCGGACATTTGGTGCGTGTGCCAAGAGATAGCCGAAGCCATGGCTTGCATCGTATTTTGTGGCGGAGACTAACCGATACTATAGCTGAAATGCGTTCCTGTCGAGGGCCTGAGTGGCCAGTTCCCAGGTACGACTTTGTCTGACAATTTCCCTGTTTCTTTTATTCTAACAATCTACGTAGTTGCATATGCCTGGTTCAATGTGCAAAACTGCCCCAAGGTTGGCAACGACCTGCAGCGTGTCAACGGAAAGTGTCTACACTAAGAGATCTATCGTCGTTAATACTTTGATGCTGGCTTTGTTCCTATTTTGAATATCAGTAATAAAGAAGCCAAAATTGTACATCTGTCATTCCATGGCTGCTATGCTAACCACTGGCGGCAATGCTCGACTTAATTACATCGCGGGTACTGAAAATTAACAAACGGCTAAGTTAGCTTTTGATGCTTACACGTTAAGCGTAAACGCCGCAGGACAATGAAACAAACAACATTGTGCTGTAAAACGTTGCGTTTTCTTTGTATCCTAATCAGGCTAATTTGGAATATATAATTGGTTGCATATATAGTCAAAGCGACCGGATTAGGAAGCCATGTGCCGCGCGCAGGCTGCGGCATGCATGTAACATGCGGAGACTAGCTTGACGGCAGTTGGACGATACCGCGAATCGCTTATCAAGCATCACCGCCTGTCACGAGAAGCATGTAAACGACTGCCGGTGTAGCAGTAGCAGCAGCAGCAGCATCAAAAGCGCCAACTATTGTCCGTGATTCACGGGAATATTGTTCTGCTGCGAGGGCTAAACTTGGAAGCTGCTACCTCCCGGGTGTTCTTTCGGAGAGACTCTCGCTGTTGTTGTCTGTCGATCCGTGCTGCCGCCCCCCAGCAAAGGATCCCGCGGATTTTGAATCAGTGCGCCGCCACCACCAGCCGTCTGGGCCTGTCGCGTGATACCATAGACTGGCCGCCTTATCGTGCCTTTCCGTCGGCCCTTTTCTCCTCTTCTGCTCCGTGAATTGCATGCATGCTTGTTATCTGCTTGACGTCTAGAGGCACTCGTGATGGCGTCTTTGCCTGCTTGATTGTCGTTTATGCGTGTGCCTGTCCTGGCTGCGCCCACATGTATTCGGCTCCCAGCATACCTTGTTCCAGTTAAACCTCATCTACGCCAAGGGCAGGAAGATGAGAAGAAGAAGCTAAGACTACCAGTGTTAGCTCAGACAAAGCGTATTCATAGTTATTATTTGGTTCCCCGCAATGCGCTCTGTGAACATCGTTGTCAACATACTCGCTTTCCGCGTACACCCTCGGCTTGGACCCTTTGTTCGACAGACTAGCGATATATTCCGGCAGTTAAGCATATGCCCCTAATCGGTATCGGTCCCTAGTAAGACTGTCCAGCTTCAAGCACATGGATGGATGCCGCCTGACAGCTTAGGCAACCCCACGATCCGGCTTTGACTACGGACCTGCCCCCTTTTGCAAAGGAACTTTGGTGATGGCATCCCACCGTGTCATATCTTTGTAGTCATGGCTTCCTATAGTCAATGTGACCTTCTCGAATGCGCTTAGCTTCATACCGTGTTTCGCGGCATCTCGTGGCCATTCCAGGGGTGCTGTTGGTGATGTCGGGCCGTGCCCGACAGATGTTATCCGCGTATGGCTCCTCCTCGTCGGTATCTGGACCTCGTTCTAATAACCCACATCCGGTGGATGATGCACAATAGTCGCGGATAAGAATGGTCACGTATAAAGCTTCTCAGCTTCCCTCCTCCATCATAGGATCTTGTTCTCCCTCGGATCAGCGCCTTACAGACTCTAACAACATCGTCACATATTCTTTCACAACCTGCATCACCTACTTACCATGAAGGTTACCGCCATTTTCCTCAGCGCCTTTGTTGCTGCTGCTCTTGGTGTGCCTACTGGCTATGTCCTTCACGAGAAGCGTGACTATGTTCCCACCAAGCGCGGTGCTTTGGCTGGTGATGAGACCGTCCCTGTTAGCATTGCCTTGAAGCAGACCAACTTGGACAAAGGAATGGATCTGCTAATGGATGTGTCCGACCCCGACTCTGCCAACTATGGCAACCACTACACCCAGGACCAGATCCAAGCCATGTTTGCTCCCCCGGAGGAGTCTGCGCAAGCTGTCAAGAGATGGCTGGTTGATGCTGGCATCCCGGCCGATAGTATCAGCTCCCCCAAGTCTCAGGGCTGGTTACACTTCAGAACCACCGTCTCCAAGCTCGAGGACCTTCTCAAGACCAAGTACAACGTTTACGAATTCCAACCCGGATCGGAGCACTTTGGCGCCGAGGAATACCATCTCCCCGCTAATGTTGCAGACCACGTCGACTTTATCCAACCTGCCGTGGCCATGACCAGGATTAAGCGTGGTTCAACAGAGGGAAAGACGCCCAACATGATTGCCTACATGGAGGCCGCTTCCAAGACACTTGCGACTGGTGGTTGTGATACATCCATCACTCCCGACTGTATCAAGAAGATGTACGGCATCCCCGCTGGCACATCCAAGCTTGCAGGCAATGAGCTCGGCATGTTCGAGTCGGACGGCGAGAAGCATACACAGGCCGACCTTGACCAGTTCTATGCCTCCTTTGCAACCAACATCCCCAAGGGATTCGGTCCCAAGGAGAACTTTATTGACTTTAACGGCAACAACCCTGACGGTAGCGAGGCAGGAGGCGAAGCAGCGCTGGACTTCCAAGTCTCACTACCTGTTGTCTACCCGCAAGGTTCCATCCTCTACCAGAGTCACAGCAACTTTGACGGTAACCAACGTCTCGGCTTCCTCAACCAGTTCCTTGACGCTGTGGATGGCTCCTATTGCACAAGCGGTGGAGGTGACGACCCTACTGTCGATGGTAAGACTGCCAATGAAGCCTGTGGCACCTTCAAGCCTGCCAATGTCATCTCCTTCTCGTACGGGCTTACAGAGGCAGCCTGGCCTACTAGCTACCTCAAGCGTCAGTGTGATGAGTTTATGAAGCTTGGTCTCCAGGGAACCTCGCTCGTGTTTGCGTCTGGCGATGGCGGTGTTGCTGGTGGCCACGGCGGTGACTGTGATGGTACCAATGGCGACATCTTCAATCCGGCTGCCCCAGGCAGTTGCCCATACGTTACCTCTGTTGGCTCGACCGAGTTACGTACTGGCGCCCAGCCTGGAGATCCCGAAAGCGCCACGAGCCGCTTCTCTGGTGGCGGTGGCTTCTCCAACATCTGGACTACACCTGACTACCAGTCCTCGGCCGTCAGCAGCTACTTTGCTAACCACAACCCGGGATTCACAAGCTACAACACGTCCGACAACAAGATCCCCACCAACAGTGGTATCTACAACCGTGCGGGCCGCGGATTCCCCGATGTTGCTGCTGTGGGCGATAATGGCCTCATTGTATTCCAAGGCAGGCAGGTTCATATTGGCGGTACCTCCATGTCGTGCCCTATCTTTGCGGCTATTCTTAACCGTATCAACGAGGAGCGTCTCAAGGCCGGCAAGAAGGTTATTGGCTTCGCCAACCCGGCGCTCTACAAGAACCCGGCCATGTTCAACGACGTAACCCTGGGAGCACACAGTGGTAGCGGTACCTGTAATGGCAAGGGATTTAAGGCTGTGGCTGGCTGGGATCCCATTACTGGACTCGGCACTCCTCGCTACGCCGATATGGTCAAGTACTTTACGTCTCTGTAACTGGCCTTGCCTACCTTGAAGAGCCGAGCCCATCCATAACCACAAGGGCAACGGTAAGTGTAGATATAATCAGATTGGAAAAATAGTATATACAATATATTTATATCAGTGCATTTTGCAGTGGGTGCTTTTGTTGATCAATATCGTGATTGTGGTGGTGAACGTGTGCAGGTTACAGGTACGGGACTGTACATGGCTGTGTAACACAACCACACTATCGAATATGCACGTACTGAGTCTGCCAGTCTACTGTAAATGCAAATGTATGTAAGCAGGACAAAACAATAATATAGATGCTTTATAAAGATATTATCCAAGTTATGTACATATTCCGTTTAGATCTCATCAACCACGTGCACAGCATCGCCTCGTCACCCACGCACACTAAATCATGCATCATCCACCAGCCGCTGTGCACAATAATTTATCAATCGGCCGCAAAATAGACCAAATAACAGACAGCTGTCCTATTATTTAGTCTCGATCATTTTACAGATACATCATAGTCATCCGCATTGAGGCTTCTATGCGCCTTCCATCCACGTGATCGTTTCTCGGTAGATCTCCATCGACATCTCCGCCCCCCCTCCGCAGCCAAACAGCGAAAAAAACAAGACGCCACCTACGAAAGCGCCCGTAACAAGCACGGGGTACGAGCCTATTTGGGTAAAAACACTTGGATAACCAGTGGGCTTTTTGTAGCTTTGTATCAGGCCCTTCAAATTAAACCGCATATCACGGAAGCAGCCACAACGCCGTTCAAGACTGAGCATTGCAAATCGAAAAGCATGTGCAAGAGAATCACGCCGCTGCCGTCGGTCGCTTGTGCCGCATGAAACGAGTACTATACGATGCTATGCTGTATAGTAAACAGGAAATGCAACTCGCTTAAAGAGCTGCTTTATAATGCATAGTGCTGCAGTCTAGTGCCTCCAAAAAAAAAAGCCAAAAAGGTAGTCCACGTTGCCGTCACTAACCAAAACTTAGATTGACCCGGCCTCGGTCTACCAAAGCAGAATCTTTGCCGGCCCAGACCTGCTTCGTTTCGGTCTCGTTGATAGAGAATGCGCGGGACCTTTGGCGAACCCGATGACGCTAGTTCTAAGCCGCAGCCAATCGCCGTCGCCGTATTACTGGGAGCCCACAGCGAGATGGGGTCTTTGCAGGCGGGCTGAATCAATGGCGTGTAGGCTGCTCGACACGGGATTGGCTCCCCAGCTAGCGATAGTACGAGGTAGCAGCAATCGCCTGGCACGTTTTCCTTTTTTGGGGCTGGGGAATAGTAGATGGTGGGTTCGCACGAGAGACACAGGACGCATATGCAATGCAGCTCAAGGTTTTTCTTTTTGGATAAATAGGAAAGCCAATGTCCTCCCCGCGGCGCACACGGCCTCCAGTCGAATCTAGCTTGACAATCCTGTCGTCTTTTCTTCTTTAGCCTCAATCGTTCGCCACTACACAAACATGCACTTTTCTACTCTTGCCAAGAGCGTGCCGGCGCTCGCTGCGGCTTCCGTCTTGGCTTCCGCTAGCTATCCCGACAAGCCCGCCGACTTGGCCACTCCTGTTCAGCAGCGCATTGCCATTAACGGACCCAACAGTACGTACTATTTCTGTCGAATCCTGATATACGCTTTGTTTGCAGACCTGGCTAACATTGACTCCTCCAGGCATTGCTGTCTCGTGGAACACTTACCAAGACCAGGCCAACTCGTGCGTCAAGTACGGAACCTCCGCCTCCAAGCTCGACAAGCAAGTCTGCTCGACCACCTCCAAGACATACCCTACTTCACGAACCTGGTTCCACACCGTCTCGCTTGACGGCTTGAGCCCGGCTACCACCTACTACTACCAGATTGTTGGCGGCGCCTCGGAAGTCAACCACTTCTTCAGCCCCCGCCTGCCCGGTGACAAGACTCCCTTTGCCATCAACGCCATTATCGATCTCGGTGTCTACGGCGAGGATGGATTCACCATCAAGATGGACCAGTCGAAGCGCGATACTATCCCTTCCATCAACCCGTCGCTGAACCATACCACCATCAACCGCCTGGCTGACACGGTCAATGACTACGAGTTCATCATCCACCCCGGAGATTTGGCCTACGCCGACGACTGGATCGAGAGACCCAAGAACCTGTTCGACGGCAAGAACGCCTTCCAGGCCATCCTTGAGCAGTTTTACATCCAGCTCTCCCCCATCTCCGGCCGCAAGCCCTACATGGCTAGCCCCGGTAACCACGAGTCCGCTTGCCAGGAGATTCCTCACCTCACCTGGACCTGCCCTGCTGGCCAGAAGAACTTTACCGACTTTATGGTCCGCTTCGGAAACAACATGCCTACTGCTTTCCCCTCGACCTCCAAGGACTCTCAAGCCAAGGTCAACGCCAACAAGGCCAAGCAGCTGGCTAACCCTCCTTTCTGGTACTCCTTTGAGTACGGCATGGCCCATGTCATCATGATTGACACTGAGACCGACTTTGCCGACGCCCCCGATGGCCCTGATGGCTCCGCTGGCCTCAACAGTGGCCCCTTTGGTGCTCCCAACCAGCAGCTGCAGTTCCTCGAGGCCGACTTGGCCTCCGTCGACCGCAGCGTCACCCCTTGGGTCATTGTTGGTGGCCACCGCCCCTGGTACACTACCGGTGGCGATGGCGATGGCTGCAAGCCTTGCCAGGCCGCCTTTGAGGGCCTCTTCTACAAGTACGGCGTCGACCTTGGTGTCTTTGGCCACGTCCACAACTCTCAGCGCTTCTTGCCCGTCTACAACAACACTGCCGATGCTGCTGGCATGACCAACCCCAAGGCGCCCATGTACATTGTTTCGGGCGGGACTGGCAACATTGAGGGCCTCAGCGCCGTGGGCAGCAAGCCCAGCTACACTGCGTTTGCGTACGCCGACGATTTTAGCTACGCCACCATCCGCATCAAGGATGCCAAGAACATGCAGATTGACTTTTACCGCTCATCCACTGGCCAGCTGCTTGATTCGTCTGTTCTGTACAAGGACCACAGCGACCGCTTTGTGAAGCAGGCGTAAGACAGTGATGCGCGCTGCTAGTATGATCATGTATATAGTTTTATAAAGGGATATATAACGTATATAGCAGGATGCTGTAATGATTTACAACAAAAAAGAAACCATGTTTTTTTCCCTAGGTTGATTGTATACAACGTAGTCAAATGATAATACAGTGAGAGACGTGACGCGCTACTTACTCTTTCTCTCCTTCTCCACCTGGGCTAGCTCACCACGTTGCCAAAAACCCTCGCCAGACTATCGAAAGGCATGGCATGTTCGACTTCCGCGTGTGATATGCAGTCATCTACAATTTATACTGTATTAATGATATATATGTAAATACTCTTTTTGATTTATTGTATTGTAATGAGAAGTATATTGAGAGCCTATGTGGACCTATATCCTGTCGATTAACGTTGGCCGTGTAGGAGGTATGTATCTCTGGGCATTAGAAAATATTAATTCAGCACGTTCCGGAGAAACTTCTTACCATTGGCTGCGGATATTGCGGCGGTAATACCATGTAAACATTGATAATATCTAGCCGCATTTGGCAGTAGCCGCGTCTAAAGATGAAACACGTATTCGCAGCGGCCGTGCAGGAGACTATTCACTAGTGCAGGCAGGGAGAGTTACGTATTTGCAGCCATCATGCGGGGAAACATTAACTAGCAAGGTATGGATCACCCAGTTGCACAGAGACGACATAGAGAGGATCAGCTATTTGCTATAGTTATAGCTGGGAAGGGTCATTCAAGTGAAGCGGCCATGGGGTCGCTCAACACCTAGCCGCCTGTGCATAACATCTTGGCGCACAATGAGTCCGCTTGCCTGTTTAGATAGTCACCGCGGCATCGAGTGTAGTTGAGCTGCCACATCATTGGCAAATGACCAGTGTGCAATAATTCTCTGCCTCATGTTCGAAAACTTCCACAATAGGAAGAAACCGAAGTTGCCACCCAGCGTATGTGTTGTCCTGTAAATTGGTCGAATACCCCTCCAGAGATGCACGCCAAGTCGTTCTTGGGACGCATAGTCTTCCGGTCACAGCCTGATCTCCGCTCGGTGGGATACCGTTTTTGTCAAGCAAGCGTGCAGTGGAAGCGTTCTGGGGTCGGACCGCATTCTCTTCTGGCCATAGCCTCGTCCTCGGCCGGATACCCGTTTTGTAAATCAAGCCTGCAGTGTTGGTGGTCTTGAGACCAATAGCATCATTGTCTAGTCTCGGCCTGGTCCTTGCTCGGTCGGATACCGTTTTTGTAGAGCAAATGAGTCGTGACATCGTTCATGAGTATAGAAGCATGGGCAGCAACATGGAGCAAAGTAAAAGTATAAAAAGGCTAGAAATCTCCCTCCATCTTCGTCTTGACTCTGTATCTACATCCCCCAACACTCATCATCCCTACAAGCATACCAACAACCACTTCTTTCTATATAAACTACCCATTTATATCATCATCATCACCATCATGCAATTCACTGTCACTCTGATTATGGCTCTGGCCAGCGCTGTCTGTGCTACTCCTGCCAACCTTACCCCCAAGTCTGCTCAGAGCGGCCCCTGTGCTCAGGGTGACTGCCCTGACAACAACAGCGAGTTCGACATGGTGTACACCAACGAGAGCGGTAATACATCTGATTACATCCGCGTTAAGGACGGGTGCACTGGCAACTGCTTCTCTCACTTCACTGGTGGTGGTGGTGGTGGCTGCAGCCGCACCCAGCTCTGCGGCCGCTGGCAGAACATCTGCGTGGATCCTACCAATGGCCGTGCTTCTCGTCATTTCGAGGACACCAATGAGACACAGTGCTTTGACTTGGACCACCAGGACCTTGGTGCATGCCCAGGAACCAACATCTTTAATCGTCAGGTCTTCAGACCCATCAACCAGAGGGGTTGCTAAGCAGAGCACACCTCTGCTCTAAACGGTGGCCTTTTACGAGAAAGAGTGAAGATGACGGGAAACGATACATCATATCCACTTAGAAAATATCAATATACGTATTTGGTTACAAATAGTTATTGCCTTGAATGCTCTGGAAATCATATCTTTGACTGTTAGATCTTCAATGTAATTAACTAGGAGGGTTGTTAGAAGAGTGCATCTATGCGCTAATAAAGTAACCTTTTACAAGGAATAGTAAAGGTAAAAAGAAATATTATATTATGGTTCCTTAGATAAGCACAATATATATATTTAATTAAGGACAGCTATTCTTTTCTTCCAAAATGTAGTAGTCTTCTATCGTCTTTACAGAACAGTTCTATACAATGTGATGCGTGCTCATCTGCTCCACCGTGCTAGCTCACCACGTTGTGCCAACGACGCTTGGCAGACTATTTGAAAGAGCATTTTTCTTGGAAAAATCCCTGCTGCAGCTCCCCAGACCGCTGGATCCCCGTTGCTTGGGAGAAAGAAAGGAGCCGTTTCCATGCACGTAATTAAACCATTCAGTGGGTTGCTAGACGGGAAGCTTAACGCAGAGGGAAAAAAAGAATAAAACCGTCAAACGTCTTTCTTGGCAGGAACGCGGAAGGGACTATAAGCTATTTGTCCCTGGATTTCAACGGGGATCCTGTCTCCAGGTGTTCGTCTGGAGTAAAGTACTTGGCGATTGAACTCGTAGTGCACAATGCATAGACATACAGACGGCACAACTGATACGCCCGTCTAACCGAGATGCACATCGCCATGCAGCCATCTCTACACATGACTCTTTTTGTCTGTCTTATTCTGCGTCTCTGCTGCCCTTTTCCCTTTTTTGCTTTCATTTTTTTTTCTCTTTATTTTAGCGCCGGGCCTGACCCGCCAGAACGCTACGTCATTGCCCCCGTCGCGCATCCCTTTTTCCATGAACATGGGCCAGCCTGGTCGCCCAAAAAAAATGTCCAGCGGAAATAAATAAAAAAAGAAAAGAGCCACAGGGTGTGCCATCCACCGATCCGGCACTGTAATGCCCGATGCAAGCCACATGCATGGGCTCCTCCAGACTTGTCCACGGCCGCCCTGCAGTTAGCATCAGAGACAAGACTGCGGTCCAGGAAGTGTCGCGGGAGCGATGGTTCGTCTGGGAAAAGCAAGACACTTGTCGCAGTTCGACTAAACAATTAAACATTAAAAAAAAAGAATCGGGAAGGCTGGGATGTGCTTCTCTTCTGTGTGTTAGCCGGTCACACTTTGACTCCCCAAAGCGGCCTAAGCATGGCGCAAATCAAGGAAGTGCCCCAGATGGTGCAAAGATGCATCTGACGAGGCTAAGCCAGAAGAGGAAGTATCGGCACGAGCAGGCTCAGAATACGGGAACCCAATTCATCTGTTGCAACCCTTTTATTGAAGTCGGAATTCTTTTTTTAAAATTCTTAGTCTGCCCTGTCGGCTCTGACACCTGGTACACCTGGCGCAGCTGGTCATGAAGTTTCCTTTTCCCCTCCCTCATATGCCATCCTTCTTCTTTCTCTCTTCCTCTTCTTCTTTCAACATCACCACTACCTTCACTTCTCTCTCTCCTGATTTCCCACACACAGCCAATTCACCATGGAGATCAAGTACAGAGGAGAGCTCTACCTCCCCTACGTGGGATACCTTCCCAACAAGGTCCGCAACCACTTCATCGCCGCCGTGGGCGAGTTTGTCGGCACCTTTCTCTTCCTCTTCTTCGCCTTTGCCGCTACCCAGGTCGCCAATGCTGCCCATTCTGGTGCCCAGCAGAACAAGGATGCTGAGGACAAGCACTCCATTGCCGATATCCCCGACACTGCCTCCCTTCTCTACATTGCTCTCGCCTTTGGCTTCAGCTTGGCTGTCAATGCCTGGGTCTTTTTCCGAATCAGTGGTGGTACGTTTGCGCTTCTTCTTCTTGTAGGCTTTGCGCCAGCTAACATTTGCTTCTCATAGGTCTCTTCAACCCTGCCGTCACACTTGGTCTCGTCCTGATTGGCGCTCTCAAGCCCATGCGCGCCGTTCTCATCTTCGTCGCCCAGCTGCTTGGTGCCATGGCCTCGGCTGCACTTGTCTACGTCCTCTTCCCTGGTGACCTGCAGGTTGCTACCACACTTGGTGGCGAAACCTCCATTGTCCAGGGTCTCTTTATCGAGGCTTTCCTAACTGCCGAGCTTGTCTTCACCATCATCATGCTTGCTGCCGAAAAGCACAAGGGTACTTTCCTCGCCCCCATTGGTATTGGGCTATCTCTTTTCATTGCTGAGATGACTGGTGTCTACTTCACTGGCGGCTCGCTCAACCCTGCCCGTACTTTCGGTCCTTGCGTTGTCCTCCACTCGTTCCCCGGATACCACTGGATCTACTGGCTCGGTCCCGCCATGGGTAGCGCAATGGCTGCCGGCTTCTACCATCTCATCAACATTCTCGAGTACGAAACCGCCAATCCCGGCCAGGACTTCAACGAAAAGGAGATGGAGCACTTTGTCTTTGACGAGGAAAACGCCCACACTGGTGCCGATGTCGCCCGTCCCGATCCCGTTCAGGAGGTCCTTGCTGAGGCCCTCAGCCCCGAGGCTTCTGGTGACCTCCTCCGCGGACGCTCCCCCAACGGCCTGCCCTCCACTAGCCCCAAGGGCCTTCTCGACCGTATTGCTAGTGCCAGTGCCAGAAAGTCTGTGTCGCCATCTCCCCCCTCTGAATCCGCCAAAGATGCCACTGTCGACACTGCTCCGTTGTCTAACGTCAAGATTGACTAAGAGCGACAAATCTTTGCTCGCTCCTATTTGTCTTTGTATTGACAAGACGCTAACCTTTGCTTTTTTTGTTCCTGCATTTTTACCGCTACAACGGCCCATGGCATCATGCGCCAACAATGTTTAATGAATATTACAAAACCATCCAGCACCGCTGAATCGGTAGTCTCCTTCGGATCCATATCCGAACCAGATACAAGTATTTATGCCTATGAGAGGAAAAGAATGGCAATGCCTTTATTGGTCTTGTCCTGTAACTTGGATAGTTTAGGGGGGATGGCGCAACAACAGAACTCCCCCATCAGAAGTGGGAGTTCGGAAGGGGCAGGGAAAAAAGTACACTCATTTATTTGCACGATGTCGCGAATCAGCGACATCTCAGGCGCAGGATTGATTGGTAACATTTAACATATCTAAAGAGTATATACGTCTCCAACATATCTTGAAATTTAGCCTCCCATTTGCATCTCACATCTTCGTATTTGTCTAATCGTAAAGTCTCAAGCCATGTCCTGTTTACGTACATTCCAAGACGGGACCAACTTTAAAAACAGTACACAGAAAAGTAAGTAAACAAGAATGATTTAGAAGAAATATTATGTTCATTTATTTAAATTTACAATTCGTCTACATGTCTAAGTGTATATATACGAAACTCTGCGCGCGGCTCTACACAAGCTACCTTTAGCAGTAGCGGCAAGCAGTGTCGGGGCAGTAGCCGTGGTTGCAGTCGAAGCTGCAAAGACCCTTGTAGGCATCGCTCTCACCCTGGAGAGGGCAGCCGTTGCGGTTGTTGGTAGCAGGGGCAGCAATGGCAGCACCGTACTTGGTGCACTTGCAGGGGCCCTTGGGGCAGTAGTTGTAGCGGCAGGCGAAAGCGCAGAGACCGGAGAAGTTGCCACTCTCACCGTCAGCGTTGGTACCCTCTATACAAGCCTGACCACCGCTAGGAGGAGCGCTGGTAGGAGGGGGGTTACCGCCACCAGGAGGCTGGGTGGTAGGAGGGTTGCCAGGAGGAGTAGTGGTAGGAGGAGGGTTCTGGCCGGGAGGGTTGGTGCCCAGTGAAGGCTGAGGCTGGCAGGTCGAGACGTGCAGACCCTGGGTGAGTGAGGCGAGGCCGTGGGCCTGGAGAGGGTCGCTCTCACCGGCAGGGACGGTGCCGACGTAGGCGTTGAAGTTGTAGAGACCGCAAGGGCAGACGTTGGAGATGTCCATGAGCGAAGTGGAGTCGAGGACGTTCTGCCCGTTGCGCGAGAGAGTGAAGCGCTGCTTACCGACACCAGCGGGAACAGTAAAGATGTGAGCACCAGCGGGGGCATTCTCGGTCTTGGTCTGGCCACCAGAGGAGACGGTGATGGTACCGGCAGACTTGAGGTAGGAGACGACGTAGACAACATCGTCCATGGATTGCCAGCCATCGGGGCGGCCCTCAAAATAGTTGCCAGAGGCGTTGTTCGCGGGACGGCCAGAGGTGGTGTCGGTGGAGTCGCAGTCGAGCGAGCGGAGGGTGCGGCGGTACCAGTAGATGATCTGGTCCTTCTCGATGTAGTTGTTGACGGAATTGGCCTTGGCCTTGTAAGCCTTGATGAAGGGCTTGGAGAGCTCCAACCAGCCATCGTGGGGCATGTCGTTGGTCCACTTGGAGTTGCCGTCGTCGTAGTGAGGAGACTTGAGGGGACCAATGTAGTGAGACTCGCCGTAGTCGTTCCAGGTGACAATCTCAACCATGGGGAAGCCCTGCTGGAGGACGGTGTTCCAGCGGTCGTAAAGCAGGGAGCCACCAGGGAAGACCCAGTTCTTGGAGAAGGAAACCTCGGGGCCAAAGTGGGTGAAGAACCAGGGAGAGACAGGAGCGAGGTAAGACTTGCCCTTCAGCCACGACTTGTAAGAGTTGTCACCGTCAGCAACGCTTACACGGCGGCCGTCCTTGGGAGCCTTGTTGTTGCCATCGCTGTCCCAACCCATCCAGTTGAGAGCACCGTCGATCTTGTCACTGCTGGACTGGCCGGGATGGAAGTTGGGGACGAAGTAGACGTTGTCGCCGGCAGCAGAGCGCATGGCATCGACATCGAGACCGTCACCGGCAAAGGAGGAAGCAAAAGTACGGCCATCAACCTTCAATTGAGCGTCACGGCCCTTGTACTGGGCAATCTTCTGGCCAACAGCGTTGCCGTCGCTAGTGTGCCACCAGTTGAAATCGAAGGAGATGAAGACCTTCATACCGTTGCGTGCAGCAGATTCGTAGGCGAAACCGAGCTGAGTGTCGGTGTAGGAGTCAACACCAATGTTGAGGGCAAAGGCGTCGATGCCAGCGTCTCTGGCGCGGCGCATGTCATCGTCGTAGTCGCTGGAGGAGGTACGGTCACCAACAATGCCGATCTGCAGAATAGTGGTTAGAAAGCACCCCAATGTCACTCTGCCCCAATAGGGACAGCAAGGAAGATCCCTTAAAACGTACCATGAAGTGGCAGAAGACGAGACGGTCGGCAGAGGAAGCACGCTCCTCAAGGGACTTGGTGGTAGCAGCAGCCACGCCGGTCAAGGCAGAGGCAGCGGCAAGACAGCCGAGGGCGACCTTGCGAAGAGAAGCACCCAACATATTATCGATTCAAGAGTTCAATACAGACTTGAGTGATTATCGTACCCCGGAAATGGAGGGGATGGCGAGCAGGTATATATAATTACTCTTGGAAGCTATCCCCACCTCTTGCGGTACTTGCCTCGCCTCTCCAGTTACCATGTAAGCTGCATCCCCTTCTCCACGGGACATCCTGGTGCATGCATGCGTGCTCTGGCCGGGCCTGGCGACTGCGTTTGTGGGTGCCTGCCTGCGTGGTTGGTGATTGCCGGCACATCTCCACCACTCATCGGACCGATCTTCAGCCCTTACAGCCCTCTGTAATACTTCCCTATAGGGGTGCTGGGCTGCCAGAAATGCTGCCCTGGAAGAATTTCTGCCAGGCTAGTGGGCCAGCGTGACATGGCGCTCGGAGGAGCCTAAGCGCTAACAAAGGCAAAGTTAAGCCTCCCCCGTGGACGTGCAGTGAGCTTATCCACACTTCAGTGGCTTTGTCAGTACTGCCATGTAATGACTGTAGTACTCTTTTGGCGGGAGCGTCCCGCAAATATATCCGGCTTCCGTCTGGTAGGACTGAACGGCCTTCATACCAGCACTGATGCCAGTACAGCCAAACACTTTGTGTTGTTTGTAAAAGCCACACGGTGAATGTATGACCGACTCCCGGAGCATGACCCGATTCAAGGTTCGGTTTAATGCCGCGGGGTGGGCACCGGCTTCCCACGTTGATTCACAATACGTTGTCATTGCATCCGGATGTATTTCCATTGTGGTGGTGTCGGTTCTTCCGAAAATAAGGCAACCATTGAAAAGGGCAGTTCTGGACGCCACCTGGAAGAGCAACGCAGGCCGTACCTTGGTGCTACCAGCGACGACCAAATGCACCAATCGCAGGCGCTGTTCATGCTTCTGAAACCTCCGGGATCATGGCCAGGGCGAGGTTCATTAAGGTGTGGCCCCGCAGCAATGGCCGGCACTGGTGGAAGAACTTGAGGAGAGTGGGCTCCATGTAAGCACGCTAGCGTGGTGGTTGGCTTCCAATCTAGCGCAGGCGTCCCCACAGGCATGGCCAAAACATTGAAGTCCATATATTGGCTGCTGGTTAGGTCAAAGTGTCGGGAGATCGGCTGTGGGCTACGGCATTGAGGGCTGTGTGGCGGCTGAGTGAGGTTGCAATACCGCTTCGATTGACATTGATTGACAGGAATTTGTACAGTGGGCACATTTGTGCATGTTTCCTGCTGCCTAGATTTTATCATTTGTCGAGTTTATTGTCCAGCTAAACTACTGTTGGAGAGCATCTCACAGCGAGCATCATTGGCTCACATAGAGGAGTCCATGTTGACCTGAGAAGGTGAAGTGGATTGCCATGCGTGGACGCCGCCAGTAATCTTTTTGGCAGTATTCGCACCTACGGCGTGTCATATATGCGGCTCTGGACTCTCCAGTATAGACTTCTTATGGTTAATTCAAATAAGAGTGAGGCTGACGAGTTGGTTTGCGGGGGAGGCCGTCCACACGGGAAGCAAAGGCACTTGTTCGGGCCTTTTGGTACAGTCCCACGTGGGCGACGGCTCTCGCTAGCAGTGTAGTGTGTGCTGCATCAAGTCTATCACCATGGTTGTCAATCAGTCAGTTTGCCAGGCGTTGAATTGTAAAGGGCTGTAAGAGTTAAACAGAAGGGTAATCAGAAATATTTGTAGAGGAAGAGCAGAAATCATGTGACAGTTCGACAGCTGGCGCAGTTGGTGCACCTGGCGAGAGTGACAGTCAATGGTCATGGTGAAGTACAACAGACAGTATTCAACATTTACAGCAACAATACTACACTACAACGACATGAATCCAGCTCTAAATGGTATATTACTATCTTAAAGATAAATAACGTGCCTTTACTTTTAAATTTATCGCAAATGACCATACACCGTAATTGTGACAATCGACAAGCACCTCCCGGGTAGCAATCTGCCAACCAAGCGTTGGCTTCAGGCACTAACCCTCCACTGTAGCTGTCCCGCCCCCACCAGCCTTATAACTTACCGGCAACTCCTTTTCAGTCTCATCAACAGACCCAACGCCGCATTCCCTCCTTCAGCAGCATCGTCCCGGCTTAACCATCTGCACAACATGGCAGCTTCCGAGAAAACAGCGGCAAAGCAGACGCCGCCTGCAGCGCCTCCAGCCCGAGGAAGCGCGCTGAAAGGCGCATCGCTCCTCATCATCCTGCAGATCGGCTCGCGCCTGTTGACCTTTGTCGCCAACCAACTGCTCCTGCGCTACCTCACAGCTCCCCTGCTAGGCCTATCGACTCAATTGGAAGTATACTATCTCTCTGTGCTCTTCTTTGCGCGCGAGAGTCTGCGCGTTGCGATCCAGCGACGACCGTCTGCTGAAGGCGGACGTAACGAGGGCCAGAGCGTCATCAACTTGGGATATATCCCCGTCTTGATTGGTTGGCTCGTGGCAGCCGGCTTGGGATGGGCGTATCTTGCGTATGCACCGACAGAGACCGTGTATCTTACTGAGTCGCTGTACTTGTATGCTCTGGCGTCGGTGGTAGAGCTTGCCTCCGAGCCGTGTTTTGTGCTGCTTCAGTCTCGACTACAGTTTGGCACACGCGCTACGGCAGAGAGCCTTGCCACGTTTGCAAGATGTTTTGTTGTCTTTGCGTTGGCTGTTGGGGCGGATCGCAAGGGCCTGGACGCTGGCGTGCTCCCGTTTGCGGTTGGCCAGATTACATATGGTGTTATTCTGCTGTTTGTATACCTCGTTTCTGGATACAGGGCAGCGGCCGAGGGCGGCTTTTCTCTCTTCCCGAAGCCTATTGCAAGCAAGGATGGCCAATTCCTGTACTCTCTTTTTTATAAGCCGACGCTGACGCTGGCTGCGAGCATGACGGCCCAGAGCGTCGTCAAACATATCCTCACACAGGGCGATACGTTCCTCATCTCTATGCTTTCTACTACACAAGTTCAGGGAGTTTATGCGCTTGCTAACAACTATGGAGGCTTGCTGGCTAGATTGTTGTTCCAGCCTGTGGAAGAGAGCAGCAGATCGTACTTTGCACGCCTCTTATCGCCATCCAACGCCACTGGTGATGAAAAGGGTAAAGCTACGGCTCAGGTAGCAGAAGCGCAAAAGAGCGTTACCATCCTCTTGAAGCTATATACACTGCTTTCGGTCCTGATTGCGACATTTGGTCCGCCAGCTGCGCCTGTTCTCCTCTCACTTGTTGCAGGCAAACAATGGGCCACCGCTGGTGCCGGCCAAGTCCTTGGCTTCTACTGTCTCTACATCCCCTTTCTTGCACTGAATGGGCTTACGGAAGCCTTTGTTGCCAGCGTCGCCACTGAAACGCAAGTGCACATACAGAGTCTCTGGATGACTGCCTTTTCAGGCGCCTTCGTTGCTTCTGCCTACGTCTTTATGAAAGTCTTGGAGCTAGGCGCTATTGGCCTGGTTGCCGCCAACATTGTCAACATGGCGTGTCGAATCGTGTGGAGCGCCATCTTCATCAAGAGCTACTTTAAAGCCCGAGGAACCCAGTTCAATGTGAGCGACATCCTACCAGTTTCCAGCATTGCTCTCGCAGGCGGCGTCGCTGCTACAATGGGCCAAGTCGTAACCGGCGCCGAGGCTCCATTCATGACGCTTGCCAAGGTGGCAGGTATTGCGGCACCTGTTGTTCTTGTCATGTAAGTTAACTCACCCCCAGTTTAGACGCATCAGAACCATCTTGCTAACCGATATCAGCGGCATTCTTGAACGCCGATTCTTATTGGACTGCTTCTCTGCGGTACGCGGCCGCGGAAGCAAAGCAAAATAATATGTCAAGTCATGCAAAGCAGATGTATTGTAAATATCTATCATGTATCAATAGAAGCAGCGACGACATTGCGCCTTGTCAATACTACAAACGAAAAAGTATCGTTGCGGCAAACTACTAGAAAAGAAAGCAAAGAACACCTTTGAAAATATACCCCAAATAAAACTTTTTGACATTATATGCACTTTTAATCGAACGTGATCTTGGTCGCCTTCTGGTTCATGTCGACGTCCTTGAAGAAGGATCCGTACATGTCGTGAGTCTTCTTCTTGACAATGGTGCCGAACTTGAGCAGCTCGTCGGGAACCTTTTGGTTGGCGCCCTTGAGAATGTTGACAAGACTATGGCTAGGTTAGCTAGGTTCTGCAGTTTCAAATACGTTTACAGTTGCAACTTACGATCCAGAGTGAGGCTTGTCCTGGACAGTGAAGAAGGTGATGGCCTCACCAGTCTTACCGGCACGACCGGTACGGCCGATACGGTGGACGTAGTCCTCGATGGTCAAAGGGAACTAGAAGGGGAAATGTTAGTTTGGTTCTAAGCCACTACCATACAAACTCTCAACTTACAGTGACGTTAATGACAAGCTTCACCTCGGGGATATCGAGACCACGGGCGGCAACATCGGTAGCGACCAAGACGGGCGTCTCGCCGCTCTTGAAGGCCTCGAGACTGCGGGTACGCTGCTCCTGGCGCAAATCGCCGTGGATACCGCAGACCTTGACGCCCTTGCGCTGGAGCATCATCTCCACACGGGTAGCTTCCTTCTTGTACAGGCAGAATACCAGAATACGGTCGTTCTTCTTGCTGCCCTGCTGGTGCTCCTTGAGCACCTGCATCAGGCGGTACTCCTTGTCCTTGGGATCGAGGACCTCGACGTGCTGGGTAATGCGCGTGTTGGCCTGCAACTCGACGCTGCCGTTCTCAGTCTCCTTGCCGCCGCTGCCAATGGTGATCTTGACAGGCTCAACCATGAAGGTAGAGGCCAGCGACTGCACCGAGTAAGGCCAGGTGGCTGTGAACATGAGCGTCTGGCGCTTCTCGCGGGCAGGGCACTCGCCAAGAATCTGCTTAATGTCCTCCTCGAAACCCTTGTCGAGCATGCGATCGGCTTCGTCGAGCACGACAAACTGGGCGCGGCTCAAGTCGACAGTGCCGTCAGACATGAAGTCCTTGAGACGGCCGGGCGTGGCGACAATGACATCGGCGCCGTAGCTAAGAAGGTTGCGCTGGTCGTCCTTGGAGGCGCCGCCGTAGAGGCACACGCACTTGAGGCCGACAAGTTTGGCAACGGCGGCCATTTGCTCGTGGGTCTGCATGGCAAGCTCACGAGTAGGCGAGACAATGACGGCCTTGGTGCCCTTGTAGGCGATGCCAGAGACGGCCTCGATGCAAGGCAGAGCAAAGGCCATGGTCTTGCCGGAGCCGGTCTCGGCAACACCAACGACGTCACGACCAGACAGAGTGAAGGGCCATGAAGCCGACTGGATGGGCGTGGGCTTGGTGTACTTGGAGAAGGGGTTCTTGGCAACGAGGGCAGTCGCGGGGATCTGCGAGAACTCGGTGATGGGGCGCAGGGTGTTGGTCTTTGTTCGGGGGTCGGTGATGACAATCTGGTTGGTGGAGAGGAAGGCGTCGATGTCGGCCTGAGGGATGCTGGAGAGGGCGTCGGTTTGCTCGTATTTCGATGAGCCCGAAGAAGAAGCAGAAACAGCCTTTTGCTTCTTGGCAGGCTTCTCCTCCTCGGTCTCGTTGGCGGCGGCGGCGGCCTTCTTCTCCTTCTTGGCCTTTTTAGCAGCCTTTCGGGCGGCCTTGTCGGCCTTTTTCTGCTCCTCGCTCAGTTCATCGGCGGCATTGGCGGTGGTCTCGGGCTCAGCATCATCCTCAGCTTCGGCCTCGGCCTTGCGCTTCTCCTTCTTCTCGCGCTTCTTGTCCTTCTTTTCCTTCTTGAGTCTGGCCTTTTCGGCGTCGTCGGCGGCGACAACCTTGCTCTTCTTGGTAGGACGCTCAGCGTCGCTGTCAATTGTGTGTTTGGTGGCCATTGTGTTGACAATTCGCAGGAATTTCTGGTTGCGTGTTGTCTTTGGTAGAAGAAAAATGGCGGTGGTGTAAAAGAGACAAGAGCCGGACTTGAGCGAGCGAAGATTCTGCCAAAGAAAAATTTGGCGGTGGGAGATGGCTGGCCAATGGCGGGACGGCAGCGGCGGTTATCGATAAGGCGACGGGTGAAAGTGGTGGGCGAGTGTACAGATGGGCCTCTCTATGCTGTAAATAAATGCCCAAAATTTCTCGAAATCATACAGGCGGTTTCATACATACCAAAATAAATTTAACCAAATTAAATAGCTAATTAGCGTTTCAAGTGTCGGTATATGCCACGTACTGCTTCCATCTGTCACTGATAGAGCACTCTGCCCCGCCTATAAACCAACTCCACCATAGCTCTCTCTACCGACGGCAACCCACCCACCTTCAACGACCACATCACCATCATAACACGCGACGACTGCACAATTGACACTGTATTTTATAAAGTAAACTCTCGAAAAGCGCGCCCTGTACCGCAATAAGCCTTCCCGAAACAACAATCATGTCGGAAAAGCCAAGAACAAAAGACAAGGAAAAGGACAAGTCCAAGGTCCATAAGCTCTCCCTCAAAGGCAGCTCTCGCCTCGTCGCCGAATTTGTACGCCTCCCATAACTCCTTGCTTTAAAGCATCTCCATGTCAATTGCTATACTCGTTTACTAACCTTATCCAGTTCCAATACTCTATCCACACCATCCTGTACGACCCATGTCACCCCAACTCTCCCAAACCAACACAGCTAACAAAGCCCTTCTCAGCTTCCAACGCGGCGTCTACCCAGCAGAAGACTTCACAGCGCAAGTATATCCCCTTCGATTATCTAAAGAAACCTACTAATCTCTTCTTCTACAGAGTCAAGAAATATGGCCTCAACATGCTCGGTATATAACCCCTCCCACCCCGACATAACCCTCTCGATTACCCACGCGGCGCAAACATGACTAACTCTCACCGCAGTCTCCTCGGACGACCAAGTCAAAGCATACATCAAGAAAATCATGTCCCAGCTCGACAAATGGATGCTCTCCGGCCAAATCTCACGCCTCGTAATCGTCATCACCGACAAAGACACCGGCGAGCACGTCGAGCGCTGGCAATTCAACGTGGACATTTCGGCGCCCGCCAAGTCCAGCAAGTCCAGCAAATCGTCCACATCGCGAGATAAAGAGAATAGCGCGGCCGCCGGCGCACCTAAGGAGGAAAAGACAGAAACCGAGATCCAGTCCGAAATCGCCGCCATCTTTCGCCAAATCACCGCGTCCGTCACTTTTCTGCCGCAACTCTCGGGCAACTGTACCTTCAACGTGCTCGTCTACGCAGATGCCGATAGCGAGGTCCCTGTTGAATGGGGCGATTCGGACGCCAAGGAGATTGAGGGCGGCGAGAGAGTGCAGCTTCGAGGCTTCAGCACGGCAAACCACCGTGTAGATACCCTTGTCAGCTACCGCCTGGGAGAATAAAACTGGCAAAGGCTTGACCGGTGTTATTAATATTTACGCGTAATGAATACTTGCATCTCACACCACGGCTTCAGGAGGTCCAGCCGTTTTTTATCAATCGTTTCATTGGATATCTCTTCGCTCGTCAACCGTACAATGTATTTCGTTTGGGTCATTTGTCAATGCTTTCGTCTACTCTTCCAAAACTCCAAAACAACCGCCGCACGCTTCTTATCTAACAACTGCAACTCCGAGTAAAAATGCTTTCTCCCTATTCATGCCACTTGCAACGCCTCTATGCTAATGTCTTGTACTACACTCGCTTGAAAAAGTAAACGTACGCAAACTTGCGCATCTCTTCCACCTCGCCTGCCTCCACGACCTTTTCGTCGTTGAAAAGCACCCATTTTTCACCCTGCTCGGGGACCTGTTTTCGTACAAATGCAACATAATGTCTGTGGATTTGTTAGCTTTGAATAAAGTACGTTAAACGAAAGAACTTACCCAGCATGGATACTAGTACCCTTGTGACAGGCAATCGACTGTAGCTGGAAGTTTGCCGGCAACGTGCTGCTACCGGCCGGCTCTGATGGTACTGCTGGCGCCGTGGCGGCTGCTGAATCGTCGTCAAACAGCCCCTGGTCGTCAGGATGGCTAAACAGCCACTCAACGGCTCGCTCAACGTCCCCGCCAGTCTCCTTCAGTGCCTTTTTAGCTTGAGGTGGCCCAAAACCCATGGCGCCGAGCATCTCAATCTTCTCTGGGTCTGCCTCAGCAGCACCACCGGAACCCCCAGAAATAACAAGTGGTGCGTCAATATCAGGGTCGTCCATATGGGCAAAGAGCCACTCCATGGCAGCGTTTGCGTCCGAGTTTCCTGTGGCGTGAAGGGCCTTGTCGCATCGGTTTCTTGGGAAGCCCATACCTTCAAGCTGAGCAAGCGCTGCCTCATCGGCAACAAAGGCCGGGGCTTGCGCTTCAGGTTCATCGGGAAGAAGTTCTTCACCGGGCTGAACACCCTTGGAGATGTATTCGTCCAAGGCAAACGACTCGTCAGGCACCATAACTGGTACGTCGAGCTTGATGGGAACCCAGTTGACGACTGCCATCTTTCGTGTGTTGACAGCCAACACATCGGGAAACGTTTTGAACAGTGACTGCTTGGTGAAGCCATCTTTGCTGCCACAGTCAGAACATGTAAGTTCCACCTTTTCAACACCGGTAAAGGTGTCGAGGCATTCCTTGAGTGTGACTGGCTTATACTTTGGCTCTTCGCCCTCCTCTGCAGGTAGCTTCTCCAGCGGCACATCCAAGAAGATGTTATCTTGCTCTGTGGAGCTGTATCGGACCTTGTGGCATCCCAAGCACTGAAGCCTCTGTTCGAGGACAAAGCGGAACTGTGCTGTAGGATCAGACAGTCCGCTGCCGTGCTGTGATCGGCTGATAATCTGGAACAAATGTTGTAGGAACTCAAATGCATCCTGCTGCCTCATGGTGGAGAACTCTTCGTGTCCTCTTCCGATCAGGTGCTTGAGCATGGCTGGGGCCAAACCCTTTTGGTGGGCAACTTCAGACTCAGGCACGAGAGCAGAGTCGACCTTGGCATATCGTCCGGACCACAATCCGTCTGCTATTTTGCGAAGCTGGGTTTCGAGGTCGGCGGCTGGATCTTCGACCATGGGTAAATCGTCATTTGGTCGGTAATAACGCTCTTTAAAGGCGGGCATGTCGAAGAGACACTGGACAATACTGGCAAGGTAGCAACTGTTGCCCAAGTTCTTCAGACCAGTCAAACCCGGTCCAAATAGCGGATTCAATTCCTTGCCGTCCTCTGTCGTCATGCTAAAGTCCCACTTCAGGTTTTGCTCGATTTGCATTTCTGTCAGACTCTTTTCCGTCTTTTGGCGCTCCGCCAGCATGATGCCCCAGTGGGCAAGATGCTCACCGAGATTTTCGTCAAGTCGTTCCTCGTCACACTTGTAGCAGTAGATATCGGCTGTGCCTTCGGGGGTGATGGAGCCCAGTTTGACAGCCACTCCGTGGGAGGATTCATCCGAGTGGGCAAGGGCATGCGAATTGCCGTCGACACCTCCCATTTGCTTTCTGCCACAGCCCAAGTTGCCACATTCGAGACAAAGCCAGAGGTTTTCATGCAAATCGCAAGCGTAGCAGTGGCCCAGCTCGCCCTGTTCAATCTTACGCGAAGCATGCTGCTGCATGAGGAGCACGTGCTCGCAACTTGTGAGCTCCTGTTCCCATGCCTTGACCTCTTCCTTGCGAGAGAAAGTGTTGGCCTTCATGACAGCGTCAACAATGCCAGCTAACTTGTCGCTTGTTCTGTCGAGGTCGGTGTTGCACTCGAGGCATCGGACGGCGAGGGCCATGTCGTATCGGTCGTCTTCTGTTTCGGCAGCGATGGCCAGCTTGGACATTTTGCTGGGCGGCTCATCGCGCTCAATGGCCTTGCGAGTGCGGCGAATGTTGAGAACGAGCGGATGGCTACGCAGGGCAGCGTGGAGGTGGTTGTGATGGCGATCGCCTGCGCAGCCGCCGTTGAAGCACTGCAGACAGACATCAAGACCCAGAGGATCGTCCTGGATAAAGTATACAAAGTCAGTGATTCAAGGACAAAGAAAATGTAGCCAAAAGAGACGTACGATGGAGTCGAAGCATTGTGTGCAGTCTTCTCGATAGACAGACTGAGAGACGCTAGGCGGACGGAGGTCTATTAGTTGATGTTAGCCACAGAAGATTCTAGTATTGTTAATATTCTTCAGTCTTACTGGTAGCCTCCAGATGTGGACAAGACATTTTTGTATTGTTGCAAATACTCGATCTGATCCTGTGAAGCTGGTGATGATGCTCGGACAGAAAACGAAAACGTCACAGCTGAATGCTTTAGCTGCCTGGAAGCTTTTTTGCCCCGCCAGTGACGGAAGCGGGGGCGGCGGGTGGCAGCGTGGCGGTCGCAGTAGCCGACGCGTGGCATAGGTAGAAATCAAGAATAAAAGTCAATAATCACATACCGGTATTTAAATAGTGTGGAAATTATAAATAAAAACTTTGTATAAGTTTATTTCTCATACATTAATTCCAACTATATACTGTTTTCTGGGCCACCAAAGAATCAGTCTGCGTGCAATTCGCCTCCATTGACCTTCTTCTCACGAGGAACACAGAGCCAGGCAACCGCCGTCGCAGCAAGCAACCCAACTAGAATCGGCTGTAAGACTTGGACGCCTACATTGGACGATATAATACCCGTGATGATGGGAAACAGAGAGCCGCCCATCTGGGCAAACACAAACACCAGCGCCAGCGCGTTGGACTGGATCTTTTGCGGGAACAGTTTGGAACCCAGCGAGATGCCCTATCAATTGTTAAAACTGCACTTCTCTTTCTTATAGATAAAGTAAACGTACCGTGGCAAACAAAGGCCCAGTAAAGAAACCCACCAGACTCACAGCAATCGACGCTGCAATGATATTCGGGACCCTACCATCCTGCAGTCAGCACACACTCACGCCTTGACAACATCACGACCTGCTCTACTTACAGCCAGAAAATCAGTTGCAGCCCCAACGCAGAGATGATATACCCAAACACCATCTTGCGCGGACCAAACCGATGTGTTGGCTCAGCCAGCAACAGCCTACCAAGCAGACACCCGCCATTAAAGCCGGCGGGCACATAGCCCATCTTAGCCAAATCGCCATGGCGCACATCGACAAGATACTCTACCACCCACCCGCTAGCAGTCAGCACAGCACCCAGATAGAAGAAGAAGAAAGCACTAAGCAGCCAGACACTCGGTGTTGCCAGTGTCGCCCGCACAATCTCGCCAGCATTGTCACCGTCACCCTCTTCACCCTCTGCCGATTTTGGCACTCGCGTCTTGAATTTCAGCGAATCTCGAAACGCAAACATACACCATACCAGATTAATAACTCCCAGACCCAGTGGAAAAACATAAAACAGAAACCACCGCGGCGTCTCATCCGTCCCGGTACTCGCCACCGCCGTCGACACAAACGGACCTATCAGACACCCAGCCATGTACATGGCATGGATAAACGCCAGCCAGCGGTGCGGCTTGCTGCCACAGCCCGCGACAAACGTGTTTCCATGTGTATCCTGAAACGCCTGTCCCAGACTCGCCAGAAAGAAAGTCACCACAAACAGCGGAAACGGCGGGTTCCAGCTCCTCAGTACGTGCGCGAGGACTTGTAGCCCAGCACCGAGCGCAAGAAGAACGCCGAGATGCAGAGACTGCACGAGATGCGTGTTGACTAGTGCCGATGCAAACCAGCCGAAAAAGTTGGCCGCGTAGCTATACACCCTTAGTTAGACAACCTGACTTGGGAGGAATGAGATTGTGATGTCATCACTTCATACTTACATGGCAGATACAATGGCGCGGGACACATTGTGTTGGCGAATAATGTATGGTAATAGAGCTCCTATACTGCCGTCATTCACACCGGCGACGAAAAAGGAAAACCCGGCCGACAGGAGCTTGGAAATGGGTGCCTTTCTATTGTCGAGGGGCGTCTCGCTCGGTGTCTCGCTGGGCGGGCCAGTCTGTGGCGAGGGCAGCGAGTGAAGCTCATACTGCTCTACCGCGACTGCCTCTGTCATTGTCGCCATTTGTAGTGGTATGGTGTCAATAAGCCGGTTAACAAGATGATGAGAAGCAAATGAAAGCCCAAAGGAATGCAAAAGCCAAACAAAAAAAGAGGCACTGGCAAATGAGCCTAGTAGCAGGGCGGACGCCTTCGGGGATGCTCGGCACGCGTGGGGAGCGGTGCCGCGGCCCGCAGTGCCGCCCAAGACGAACTCGAACGACGATCCCAGTAGCCGCGCAGTGTAAAGTATGCAAGTCCGGGATTCCGCGGTAGGAAACATTACAAATATGGATAAAGAGGCGACAAGGATAGTGGATTAAAAACAATAATGTATTTATAGGCGTAGCGCCAGGGTATCTAAGTACTATTGTGGTTAATAAACAGGAAATCCATACTCCAAAGTGATCCCGCGTGACGGAGGGCAGGACCAGCAAATACAAAGTTTCTAATTTCCAAGTGTGTATGCCTAAAAGTCGTCATGGATAAACAAAGACGGCGGAAATCCAAGGGTAAAACGGTGAAAAAAACAAAACGCCAAAGAATGCTCAAAATCACAAGTATGCTTTTTTCTTCCTCTTTGTACAAATGAACGTGGTCATAAAACATGTCGGTTACAAGACGCCAGACAACTCGGTGCCTTAGCCTAGCAGGCTCTCTGCCAGGGCGTCTGCGTCAACACTCTGTGTCGTGACTTGAGCGGGCGCCCCCTTTCGCTTATGGGCGGCCCAGTACTGCTGAAAGCCGGGGATGGCGCCAGCCTGGTTGATGCCGGGTGCTCGGGAAGAGTCCTTGCTCTTGTCCGATGCTGGGGAGCTAAACATGGCAGAGGTGTCTAGCTTGGGAGTGTGTGGATCGGGAGACTCGACAGACTCTACAACAGGGCGTGTGGTGGTGTCTGGCTCCAGAGTTTCCTCTTCAACGTCTCTGGTGGTGCCACCCCATGGGCGCCAGCCAGTCCACGAGCGTAAGCTAGATCGCGCAGACTTGGCGGCTTCTGGGGAGGGGGTCATGCCGGCACGGGTGATGGGGCTCGAGACAGTACGCGGCGACTGCATGATGTTAAAGTTGTCTCGGAGGGCCACGTCGCTGCGCTTGTTTGTGGATCGAGAGAGCGTAGGCTGGGCCACGACGCCAGTAATAACAGCATCAGCACCACCTAGAGGTCGCAGCGTCATCTGACTAGGACGGATACGCAGTGTGTGGATATCCAGACCGCCGCTAAGCGACATGATGGACTCGTGCGAGGGGATACGTTGCAGTCGGGGTCTGCCGGCCCGCGAAGCAGCCATAAAGTCATCAAATGATTGGTCCTCCATACCCTGGCTAGCACCGGTACCCTTTGCAGAAGACTGGTGGGCAGCGGCGGCGCTTGCTTCCTCTTCGTCTTCCTCGGCAATGGCATTTCCAGAATGCGTTCTGGTAACGCGGCCAGAGTGGGATGGTTGGTAGTCGGCAGCCTCGGAACCAATGACTGACAGCGACTGAAAGCTGCGTGTGGACGCAATGGATCCGCCTTTGCGGTGTGTAGTAGCTTGCCATGTTGGCGATGTTGGGTCGTAGCTAGTGGCAGGGGATCCCGAGTCTGGCAGGTCGTGCAGGTTGTGATCAAACAGACTCGTTGGTCGCAGATTAGGCGACGCGGGGATGGACGAGGAGAAGTCGGACTCAGGTATGGTGTTTTCATTCCACTGTTGGACGGCTCTCGCTTTAGCGTGGTTGTGGTTGTTGGAGTGTGTGATGTCATCAAGATCTTCAGAAGCGAGTGATGGGGCAGACTCGGAGTGAGCAAGCGTGTGGAGTTGCAGCGAGTTGCGATGACTGGAAGATCCGGATGTCGTAGAGCCAGCATAGGGGGCGTTAGCGAGCAGGCCCGTTCGCTTTCTGCGCACACGCTTGCCCTCCTTGGCTGGTACGGCATGGTAATGGTGATGGATATGGAGCTCTTGAGACAAGCTTGGTGTAAGAGAAGGGGGAGTGGTAGGTACTTCTTCCTCTTCTTCTGCGAAGCCTTCCAGTTCGGCCTTGAGTGTAGAGGCAGGGCTGGCAACCGCTTCGAGAAGAGAAGGTTCTTGGGTTTGGAGATGGAGCTGGTCGCGGAGGGACTGGATTTCGTCGTTGGAAGACATGAGCATTTCTCTAAGCTCAGCAATTCCAAGCTGTAGCGTGGCATTGTCCTGGAGCAGATCGCGGACAAAATGGCCAATGATTTTATTATTGCCCTTGCCCTGCTCCTGCAGTGACTTTGAGGCAGCCGCACCCTTAAGGCGGCCGGCAGCAACGTCGAGCTGCTTGTCCACTTCGCGCTGCTTTTCCATGCGGCGAACGACCTCTTCATGGCGCTCACGTTCGAGGACTCCTTCTTGTTCTATTCTCTCGAGCTGGTCCTGCATGTCGACGAGACCGCGTTGCGCCTCCTTGTAGCGCTGGGCGTGGGAGCGAGCATCCTCCCTGGTGACGCGCAGCTCCTTGTGCAACTTGTCCTGTTCATCTTCGAGCAAAGCGAGGTGACGCTCGGCATCTACTGCCCGCGACGCACTGCTCTCTAGCCGGCGGACGGTCTGCATGGAGGAGAGCAGGTTCGCCTCGAGGCTTCGGATCTTGGTATCAGAGTCGATGACATTGTTGTTGAGGATTTCGAGCTGGTCGAGGAGGTTTCTATTCTCGGCAATCTTTGCCGCATTGGAAGCTTCGAGTCGTAGCTTTTCCATTTCGAGTTTTTCGATGCGCGATGTTAGGTCTAAGCGATCTCGTTCCGCGTCCGCCATATACGACTCGTGGCGGACTAGAAGAGCCTACACAAAAAAGAAACGACGCAGTCAGCGGCGATGTCACAACGACGACGATGATGAAGATGACGGCATGAGCAAGAAGGAGAAGTAGGTCGCGTGTGCAGGTCGAAGGATCAGGACATGGAGAAGGAAGAGCAAGGCTTGCGAAGGGGACGAAGACGCGTTGATGCATACTCAAGCAAACAATAAGGCGGCGCCCCTAGGAAAGGAGAATGAACAAGAAAACAAGCGAAACAACAGGCAAAAGAATGTCTAAGTGGGCGGGTGGTGAGGGTGCTGGAATGCGGGCATCGCGACAGCGTCACTGACGCCACAGCACCGCTCCCCCTTCCGACCCTCCTTCCGCCGACCCTTTGACCCTCCCTCTGTCTCTGCACGCCTAGCGTTGGCAAAGGGTAAGAAGAGTAAGAGAAGGAGGAGTAGGAGGGGCGGGATGGGGTTTCATGGGCTCACGACAGGGAGACAAGAGAATGAGGCGGCACGTACCTGCCCAAGCTGTGCAGCGGTGTGTGCATCCTTCTCGGCGGACTCGAGGACGGACGAGTTTTTCTTGAGAACGGCGCAGTCCGGGCGATTGCAGCAGCAGCGCAGTTTGGCCACCGACGACGACGGAGCCGCGCTGCGGTCCATGGCGACGGATGATGCCATTGTGGTGGTGGTGGTGGATTGGGATCACGGCGCCAATGCGTGTGCGTGTGCGTGTTGGTAGTGGTATGTTTTTGGGGTCAAGCACGAGGGGACGACTCGGCAGGTGCAGCACCCAACATGTTATAGGCAATGTATCGCAGACGCTGGCAAGGAAATTCCCAGGAAGAAGAAAAATCGATAGGATATCGTCGTGTTGGCGACCGATCAATAGGTGCGTAGGAAAAACAAAAAGCGACGAGTTGAAGATGATGGAGGATGAAAAGGACGATGGTGGAGGAAACCAAGTTGCGGGACAGTCCAGATGAGCACGCGGTGGTTGGTTGCTGCTGCAGCCTCGCTGGAGACTGGGTGCGCGGGCGTTAGGGGACCAAACGGTGCTGAAGCCCAACTAAAAGTTGCGGTGTCGATTGGGCTGAGGTGCCAGCTGCACGCACTGCAACAACTGCAGCAGCATCGAGCAAGCCCCCCTGGGGAAACCCACTGAAAACAAAAACAGGCAGTGGGGAACTGGTGGCCAGTGACGCAACTTTGCAGTAAATTCACCGTCAGTAGCAGCAGCACCACCACCACCAATAGTTGTGCTCCAGTTGCGTGCAGTACGTACTCCGTTCGTATGGCCTGCTGGGCCTGCAGGGTCTGGCTGGGAGCGGCCGCTATTCCCCACTCTTTGCCAGGCGGTGCCAGGTGCTCAGTGCCTGTCGTTGGGCGGTGGCCGCTTTGTTGTGAGACGCCAGCGGGCAGCACATCCCACCAAAAAGCATATTGTACTGTACACTGTACACTCGTGCGGTATTACAGTACCAAGGCTAAGGGCTGTGGGGATCCAAAATAGAGGAGAGCAGAGATTGGGTGTGGATTGTCCCCTGTAATTACAGGGGTAGCCCAGCACTGCAGAAAAAAAAAAGAAAGGAACAAAGGACGCTAAGCAAAAGAAGATGCGCAACGTACAGAGAGGCGCGACCGATGATGCGACAGAAAGAAGTCGTCAAGACGGTGCTGGAACGTCGTCAAAGAAACCGAGGATCGTTTTCTCGTATGCATCCCAGGTGTCCTTGTTCAGGGACCTGCTCCGAGCAGAGGCCCTGCACTGAATTTGTTGAGTGGGCAGAATGGAGAGCGCGCGAGCAATGAAATGACCCTAATATCAAGCAGTCTCCAAAACAGGAAACAGGCGAGAAATGGGAGCGCGCGCGAAATGAGGGACACCCAGCTGGGTTAGACGGGAAGAAGTTAAAAGAGTGAAAAGAAAAAAGAGCTGCCCAGTGCGTCTGTCGGAAGTTGGCCAGTAAATAGACAAAAAGAGTGAATGAATATGGACATATAGACAGGGAATTGGCAGTTCTTTGTAGCTGGTAAGAAGCAGAGGGACGCGCTCCCAAGCCCGTGCTAGCTGTGATGCGCCGCGCGAGGCATTAATTCGAATGGCCGTGGTGCATCCTACGCCAACGGCGGCTCACAGCCTATCGATTTGAACGGGCGCATTGGCGAGCTACTCACTGTCCCGTGTGGGTGGTGGTGGAGATGAGGATGCGGCTTGGCTGTGGTGGATATGCAAGGCTACCGGTTGTGTTGCTACCCATTACAGCACTGTGTACCCGGCTTGATAGGGAACGATACTGCCCTTATTGGGAATACAGTGGGAATATATTCGCCAACAAGCAAAGTATCTCGGTGGCACAAGACAATCTTTCATTTTATTTACCAACTCTTCCGTATTTGTTCAAGTAGCTTAACCTTCCTAGAATAAATGAAAATGTTTACAAGACGTCAGCTATTGTAGAATAGATGGAAATATAGAAGTAGGGTTTGGATCTACAACCAATACCGCTACTACCAATGCAAGGACGCCTTGAAAGTCATTGAATTACGAAGAAACTAAGTTAGCTTAGGCATCGTGTAAATACCTTCTTCGCTTGTCTATGTTAACTACAAGCTACTTTTACTACAAACTTACCTGGCATATACGCCTCTATTGTATCTCTTTATTACGATTAGCTATTTCATCTAAACTCGTCGTTTCCTCTCAATCTAATAATTTCAAAGTGCTATAGCTGCGACTTAATAGCATGAAATTCAATTTAAATGCCAAAAGTGTGTTAAATTTACCGAGTCTAGTAGTCACTCAACACCACTGAGTGCCACTCTAGCAGGAAACCCCACCTCATTCTCCAGCGATGACGCCCTTGTTGCGACATCGCAGAACCCCGCCAACCAAAATAGGTCATATACGTCTACGGCTGTTGTTACTGCGCCATTAACCATCACCAAAACACATCCTCTATTCTTTCACCAAAACACCATCACCATGTCTGTCGCAGCTCCCTCTCTTTTCAACGTCGACGGCCTCGTCGCTCTCGTCACTGGCGGCGGTACAGGTAAATATCACCCCGCCCGCTCACTCATGCAGCAAGCGGCATTCCACCCGCGCGGCATACACTCATACATACATACATACGGATACATATATGAATAGGTCTGTATTTATATGTAGACATATATGCTAACTCCCTCTACAGGCATTGGCCTCATGATGGCCAAGGGCCTCGCCCAAAACGGCGCCGCCAAGGTCTACATTGCCGGCCGCCGCCTCGACGTCCTCCAAGCAGCCGCCCAAACCATTGGCGGCACCAACGTGATCCCGCTGCAGTGCGATGTCACTAACAAGGAAGATTTGGCCCGCGCTGTGCAGACCGTCAAGGACGAAGTAGGCTACTTGAACCTGTTGGTGTGCAACTCGGGCATCCTGGGCCCTCACCCCGGCGTCATTGCACCCGATACTACCGTCGAAGACTTTTCGGCACGCAACATGGCCCTCGACTACAGCCAGTTTGTAGATACCTTTTCTGTCAATGTCGCTGCTGTCTGGTTCGGCATCATGGCGTTCCTGCCCCTCCTCGACGCTGGCAACAAAAAGGCCAATGTCGAGCAGACGTCGCAGGTCATTGTCACCAGCTCCATTGCCGGCATGAACAAGACGGCTCCTGGCGGCTGGGCGTACGGCCAGTCTAAGGCTGCTGCTATTCACTTGGTCAAGCAGCTGTCTGCTTTGCTGCCTCAGTGGAAGATGCGCGCCAACTGTATTGCCCCTGGATGTAAGTCTTTTGTTCTTCACTTTCAGTTATTTTAGCCCCTACTAACAGAGGAAATCAGTCTTTCCTAGCCAGATGACCACCGACACTGCCGATGTAGAGGCCGTCCAGCGCTTTGTGTCTGGCATCCCTCTCCAGCGAATGGGTGATGAGCAGGACATGGCGGGCACGTTGCTGTACCTGGCATCCCGTGCGGGTGGCTACGCCAATGGTAGCGTTGTTACGATTGATGGTGGCCGACTCAGCAAGTTCCCTTCAACTGCGTAAAGAAATATGTTGAGCTGAGCCAAGTCAAAAACTATATAGACGCTTAAAATAGACAAATCATGAGACAATAGAGACAGCAACGAGAATGTGGATATAACGTTGTTATTCAAAAGGTTACTATTTGCAAGTTGTGTTATAAACTGTAAGAAACTGTAAGAAACTACATAGTATAGTTCCCTATATTATAATACAATGTATTATTACAGTTTTTTATTCAGCATTTGTTATCCAATTTGGTGTATTAGAAATCAAGTCATACGATTACCTATTTAGCCTGGAATCCGCCCCCAAATATGCTACCGGTCTACGCCAGCGTCTTGCAGGCCCTTACAAACACTATAGATGATGAAAACAATATAAACTCTATTTAAAACAAAATTGACAGAGAGATCATTTAATCGCCATTTTCTTTTCATATAGGTTACTCTATATACATTTTATGTATACTTGCTAGTACTCGTCATCGTCCAGGCATACTCCGGGGTAGCTATAGCGCGGGGCACAGCCAAGGCCCACCAATCACCAGTCACGCAATTGTCACCCGCATCACCAGCCCGCTGTAGATCCAATTCACCACCACCCACTACGCAATCGGTGTGGTGTTTACCCCTCCTCTGCTGCCCAGCTGCAGTAGCTTACTTCCATCCAGCATCCCCATCCCCTCACCACGTTTTATTTCCTACTCATCATCAACCATCTCCTTTATGCTCGTCATCCGCACAACTACACTTAAGCAACTACTCACCACTAGACTCCTCCCACTTACACCGGTGCGTCACAGCCGCCGTACCCTCGCAATCATGGCCCAGGAATACAAACTCAAAGGCCTCGTGACGCTCGACCTGCCCACCGGCTTCAAGCAGGAAGCGGAAGTCGAAGGCATCGAGGGCGCCAAGGTCCTCGTCGTCAGCGCCGCGGGTAAAGTGTCTGCCATTGGCGCCAAGTGCACGCACTACGGCGCTCCGCTGGTCAAGGGCGTCCTTACAGCCGATGGTCGTGTTACCTGTCCCTGGCACGGCGGTATGTCCTTTCTAAATCCCATACTATTCCATCAATACTAGTAGACCGTGCCGTGAGCCCGCTAACCATTGGACACGTAGCCTGCTTCAACGCTGCCACTGGCGACGTCGAAGACGCCCCGGCCTTTGAACCGCTCAACACATACCCCCTCTCAGCCAAGGACGGCAGTGTCTACATCACGGCCACCGAAGCCGCCATTAAGGCCTTCTCGCGCGCCTCCAATGCCGCATGCACTGCCAAAGACGCCGCCTCTGCACCCGGTGTCGTCATTGTCGGCGGCGGCTCCGGCGCTCTCGGTGCCGTCGACGGACTCCGCCAGCACGGCTACACGGGATCCGTGACTGTCGTCTCCAATGAGGGATACCTCCCGATCGACCGCCCCAAGCTGAGCAAAGCTCTTATTACTGACGTCGCCAAGATCACGCTGCGCGATCAGGCCTGGTACGACGCCGGCAATGTCAAGTGGGTGACGGACCAGGTTGCCTCTGTCGACTTTGCCGCCCGCTCCGTGTCGACCGCCGACGGCACCAGCATCCCATACTCCAAACTAGTTCTCGCTACGGGCGGCACGCCGCGCCAGCTACCCCTTCCTGGATTTGATACCCTCTCAAACGTCTTTACACTGCGCACTGCCGCAGACACCAAGAAGATTACCGACGCCATTGGCCCCGACGGCGGCAAAAAGGTCGTCATTGTCGGCTCATCATTCATCGGCATGGAAGTTGCCAATGCCACGCTCAAGAACAACTCCGTCACTGTAATCGGCATGGAAAAGGTGCCCCTAGAACGAGTCCTCGGCGAGCAAGTCGGCGCGGCTGTGCAGGCATCACTCGAGAAGAAGGGCATCACGTTCCACATGAACGCCAGCGTAGACAGCGCCAGCGACGGCGCCATTCTACTCAAAGACGGCACGAAGCTCCCAGCCGACGTGGTGATTCTCGGAGTCGGCGTCAGCCCCGCGACAGAGTACCTGCAAGGCAACGCAGGCATCACACTCGAAAAGGACGGCTCCGTCAAAACAGACGCACACTTTCTCGTCGACGGCCACAAGGACGTCTACGCTGTCGGCGACATTGCAACGTACCCGTACCGCGGCCCCGTGGGCGGCAGCGAGTCTGGCAGCAACACCAAGTACACACGCATCGAGCACTGGAACGTCGCCCAGAACGCAGGTCGCACTGCTGCAACGCACATTGTCGATCCGTCCCGCGCGCCCGCCAACTTTATCCCCGTCTTCTGGTCTGCGCTCGGCGCCCAGCTGCGTTACTGCGGAAACTCGGCGCCGTCCGTGGGTGGATGGGACGACGTGGTGGTCCATGGCGACTTGGATGCGCTCAAGTTTGTCGCCTTTTATACTAGTGACAACGTTGTCGTTTCGGCGGCTAGCATGGGCATGGACCCGTACGTCATGCAGACGGCCGAGCTTATGAGGACCAACAAGATGGCTACCAAGGATATGTTGCAGGCTGGCTACGATTTGCTTAGCATTAGCCCGTAAAGCGGTATTGGCGGTCAACATAAAAAAGAATCACAAAGATAATGAACGGAAGTGAACCAAGAATAGGTGTATATATACACAAGATAATGTTTTCATGATAACAGCTGTAACAGTCTCGTCCGGACATGATTTTCGCCTGGCACTCTGCTTGAGCGCATGTGTGTGTGTACCTGTATAACCAAAACTCCAGAAAGAATGAGTAATTCCAAATAAAAAAAAAGGCCGCTAGAACGCCCCAAAAGTCCGTCAAAATAAACGCCGTGTGATTATATATATTTCCCAGTCGTGGTGTTAGTAGTAGTGGTTGTCATTGTAGTAGTTGTAAGAATGAGTGGTTGCGGTTGTGGTAGTGGCGAGTGTGGTAGTGGATGTGAGTGTGTAGTCTATATTTCGAGCTGTGTTTCGCAAGAGACAGACATCGCCCTAATCGGAGACGAATCTGGCACTGGTAATGCAAAATTCGTCGACAACATGAATGCGGCTGCTGCTGGCAATGCTCTTCTCTTCGAGCTCGCGTAGGACAGGCTGCTGACGCATGAGTGCCTCTTCGTCGCTCTGTCGTCCGCCAACCACCATGGCGGTGTTGTAGGGGCCAGTCAGGGCGATTTTGCGCTCCTTTTCGTCCATTTCGGTATATCGTTCGACGCGGCTCTTCAGGCCACTGCTCTCGCTTCGCAGGACGGCCGGTGATGGCGGTGTAATAGGGCTGCCTCCAATGGTATGTAAAGGAAAGGGTAGGTCGGGATGTAGAACGGGCTCTACTTTGGGCCCAATGAGCTTGTTTAATCGCTTTTTGTATAGTGGGCGCAGTATTGGGATTCCGATGCAGATGAGCGTGACGGAAATCTCTGCTGCGGACCATGATATTAATCGGACAGTGTTTTCTGTACCCAATAGGTTAGTTTGGGGAGTGACAAGTTAGGTCGGAGAGATACGCACGCAGATAATTTATGCCAAGCATGGTAGGAATAAGAGTCGTACGCTTAATGCCAAATGCAGCAGCACTGGTTAGGTGTTAGCTTTATCCATGCAACGGACGGGACGGGGAGCAACGTACAAGACACCGAGGCTCATGCTACTCAAGACAATATACTTTTCCCGAGGGGGCATCTGCAGCCTCCAAAAGATGATCCATGGGAAAATGGCAAAGAACAAATCGGTAACGACGCAGGCGGTGCCAATAAATATAAAAGATCCAATCAACGGGCGGCGGCATTCTCGCACGGCGGCCTCGGTGACCGTATCTGTGCCACGACAGCTGAGCCAGAAGCCGAGCAAGACGGCGATAGAGGCACTCATTAGGGTGCTAATGGTGAACCATATCGATATTCGCTGCCATTTTTCCTGGGCGACGCGGAGCAGGAAGAAGCCAAGTGAGCATTTGGCTACGGCCATGCCCAGGACGACAAAGTTTTGCGCTATGGTTTCGAGAAGGACGGCTTGTTGCGGATTGGTTGGATTCGGAGAGCCAAAGCCATAGCAGGCAGCGGCTGTTATAAAGGAAGTAAATAGAAGGAGACAAATCTACACAAAAAAAACAGTCAGCAATGTTGTAGGGTTAGGTGAGGCGAAGAGGCGTTTTTTAGGGCGAGATCTCAGCGCAGGTGGATGGCGGCGGTGGTGGTGGTGGTGGTCTGAGCGCAGTGGTGATCCCTCGCATCGCATCGCGCAGCGCAGGGACCAAAAAAGAGACAGGAAAAACGTACATAGGCGGCAATGTATGTGATGTCGTCGATGCCAAAGGAGTCTACAATCTTGACACGGGTATATATTCGAAGCAAGACAAAGATGAGGGTGAGCGACGTCAGCGTCCAGGCGATGCCGAGGACCCAAGGCCCATGTCCGTCAATCATTTGTTTTAGACGTGCATGAGCTGTCGAAACAAGCACTCGGATCTCTATTTTTGTTCGGCTCAAGGAGAGGACCAAGACATGGTGAAGGGAGCGGCTGGAGGGAAAAATGAGCGACGGTCGGAAATCGAGTTTGTTGATTGAGGATAAAATGGTGAAGGCTGCGAAGAACGAAATGGGAGGAGGACGAAAGAGGGGAGGAGAGAGAAGAGCAGCACAGCTTGCGAGTCGTGAGGGAACGAGCACCAAGTGGGTGGAGTGGGCTATTTTTCTGCTTCCTTGGTTTTTTTGTTAGTGGACGGCGCTAGCTAGCCTCGTCTGTTGTGTCCGCTACAGGCTATTACAGTGGGCTGGTCGGTGTGCTTTCAGGGCAAAATGCACCTGGAGCGAGCAGCTCAGCTGAGGCGGGCGGCACGGCACATCGGTAAAAATTTACAGGGGACAGGTGGGAAGTGGGCGGACAGACGGGCGATCGGGGGGATGATTGGCGTGCTGGGCAGAGCAATCCACGATGTGCCGCGACTAAATTACACGCCAGTTCCCACCAGTAAGAGTGCTGGGCTACAAGTATTTTGTAGGTAATACGGCGTAATAGCGTGGCTTGGGCTGGCACCGTAGGATATCGCAGTGGGGAGTAAAATGGCGCCGCCAGTGGCAGTCGTAGTGGGACACGCACGCCCTGGGCTGGGGCCGCGGGCAGCGAGGATGAACAAGAGATACGAGTCGCGCTAACTGGGGAAGAGCCGAGGCGAAAGGAAGGCAAAAAAAAAAAAGAAAACAGGGGAAATTCCAGGAGATTGGTAGCGGGATGGTGGCACATCCACTTGTATTTATGCTTCTTTTTTCACTGTTCGTTTCTTTATGTAGTTGAACAAACATATCTTGAATGATGTTCAACTGGCCAACAGGCACACCCGCCCAGCCGCAACGCCACGAATACAAACAGACGGGATGGGATGGAAAAGTTTTCTTTCCCCTTGTCGCCCTTGGAGTTTGCACTGGCGCCGCCCTGTCCGAGTAGCCAAATTGGGCTAAAGGGAGGAAGCCTAGCCTGTCTGTTTTGCAGTAGCCGCACTGCAGGCTCACATATCAATTTTCTTTAGCAGACTCATATCATACAGCAGTGCTGCAGCAGCGGCAGACAAATTAATTTACTTGTCCTGCACCCGCTGCCAACTGCCAAAGCCGATTGGCCCGCTCGGGCTTCGCTCGGTAACTACAAAGTATTAGTTTTTTTTTTTGGAGGGGCCCGCTGCCCGCTAAATAGTTCGCCGCCATCGTGGAACTTTTTCAACATTGCACCATCACGGCGGGCTTGTCCAGCTTGGGAAGGTCGAGTCACGACACAGAGGCCGGCCAAAGGGGGTACTGTAGCGAGGGCCAGCTCTTTGCTTGCCTGTCATATTGGCTTGATGGTTCGCTTGCATTTTGTTTCTGGGCTAAAACGAAAGTAGACACCATCGTCGATGACGTGGCTCGCTTGCCAATTCTCATTGTAGGGGTGCATCGCCTTACACGCTATCTAGACGTTATGCCTTTTCTGGGAGCTGCTAAGTATCAGAGAGTAGCAGTGAAGAAGTCACAATGTCCAAGTTGCTAACCCTACTTGCAACTAAACACTAGCTCCCTTGATGGCCTTGGCCCTCTGCCGCGAGTCGTTTCGCACCGCCGCATCGCCCTCCTCAACACTCATCTGGCCCTTCGCAATCATCTCGCCAATCTCCAACCGCTTCTGCAGACTCACCGGATGCCGCGTCCAGCACGTACACGCAGCAAGCATCCCGAGCCCAGCCGCACACGCAGCCATGCGAAACTGCCATGCAAACGCCGTCACAAAGGCCGCCGACACCGCCGCCTGTTGCTCCGGACTGAGAAATCGACTATAATCGAGAGACTGCCGGAGACGGTCCACCTGATCCACGCTCATCACCGAGCCTAGGCCCGTCCGGAACGTCTCGTTCAGCACTACCGTTGACAGCACTAGCCCTAGGCAGCCGCCAAAGATGCGAGCTTGGCTCAAGATGCCCGATTGAAGTCCTATTTTACGCGAAAGACGTAGGGTGGTGAGCAGCTGACAGACAATATTTCTTTCACTCTCGCGAATGCGATGCAACCCCAACTTACCATAGTCTCGGTAACTCGAATTTAGCCCAGATACATAGGCTGTCCCAGATAAGATGCCCCCAGTACCGAGGCCGTAGAGCACCTGATACACATAGATGGCCGGGCTAATGGCGCTGCTGTTACCTTCAGAGCTCGACATGAGCAAGCATGATCCGACAAACAATAGACTGCTGCTAGTTAGCAATATCCCAAATGTCCAGTTGCGCCGCGCGCACACCATCCCGCTCGCCACGGAGCCTAGCGCGCTTGACACTAAAAAAGGTGTTAGTCGCACGCCGGCAATGAGCGCCGTGTCGTGATGGACCGTCTGGAATCGCTGCGGGATGTTGACAATTGCAACAAACATGTTGAAGCCCCCGAGAAAACAAAGACTAATGAGGCCTGTTAGTACTTCTGAGTAACAACACAATTGGTAAGACATACATAAATGCGGCACTGACCAGCCGGATCCGCAAGAGGCTCGACGGGAACAGGGGCTGCACCGATGTGGATTTGCCTGACGCAGCATTCAGCCGCTGATTCCAGATGATGAGCAGCGCCCCGCAGACCACTGATCCCACCAGCAGTCCCAGCACATCTGGCGATATCCACGGTGCATACGACGAGCCTCCAAGCTGGATGCCGAGGACCAAACAGCAGCTGGCTGCTGTGAACAAGGTGATTCCCACAAAATCATAGTCCAGTGCATCCGATAGTCTCTCCTTGAAACATTTGGCTGGCTTGTTCTCAGACCACGAGAAAGCCATGACGACGGCAATGACGGCACATGGCGGAAGATTGAGATAAAAGATCCATCGCCACGTCGTCTCGGTAGACACAATTCCACCTAGAAGCGGACCAAGGACACCAGCCAGCGTAAACATGATGCCCTGCATCGCAATCATAAACGAATACCAGCTGTTGGGTGTGACTTCTGGCAGCACCATGTTTCCCAGACTGTATAAGCCGGAGCCACCAAGCCCTTGTAGGACGCGAAACGCAATGAGTTGTGACAGGTTCCGGGATAGTCCGCAACCGAGTGAAAACACTAGTAGACATACGGTCGCTGCGATAAAGGACCATTTTCTTCCTACCAAGTCACTGATTCTGGGCCACAACATGGCAAACGCTGTCCGGGCTTGTGTTAGTAAAGGTCGTTTTGTAAATTACGAAATGGGTAACAGACTCATGTAGGATATCAAGTAACCCAAGACAACCCAGATTGTCTGGATGAAGTTGTCAAATTCGTTGCCAATCGTGACGAGTGCCGTAGAAACAATCGAACTGTCCATGCTCGCTAAAAACATGCCCGTAAAGATGCTGTCTATCGGTCAGACCAACGTGTGCACCAACACATAGGGCAACTTACCAGGGAAGTGTGACTACCAATCGCCAACCACTCAGCTTCATGGCTGGGTTGAGTGTCGATGACTCCTTTGGTTTTGGTTCTGATGCTTGTGCGTCTCCATGTGCGCCTGTTGTGTCAGGTAGCTTCTCCATGGTCACATCTGCGTTTTCAATCGACATGCTCATTTTAGCGTAGAGGTAAGTAGCAATGTTTTAGGGCCAAAATATGAACTTGTTGGGATGCAAGAGTGAATTTTGACGCAAACAATTCTTTTCCCCTTGCACACGTCACTTCTATTGCAAGGCTGTTGGTGGCGTTCGTCGCCTACCATTAACACCGGACACTAACACCGGAAGTCGGCGTTAATATTAATTGCCCAGCTGTCAAGGCATTGACACTAAGCGACGCTCATTATACAAGTCGCAGCTCTATAATTACACCTTGATTTACGGGCGCATCTGTCACTTGAACTTGGACCTCACCTTGAGTCTATTTAGTTTTACAACAGTAATTTAGCGACAAATTGCATACAAAAAAGGGTTTCTGTTCTTGTAACCTGTCTCCGTAGCGTCAAGGATATCAAGCTTTTCTCTCACCTCCAACCTTATACCGCAGTATTATTATTAAAAAACCCGGCACTACCCAGTCTTCGATCCCTTCTATTCAACGTACGCATTCGCAAGCTGATTATTATACCAAAATACATTAGGACCCCCTCTACGGAGCGCTCATTTACACCACCACCAACCGCACCGTTGCTGCCACCATATACAACGTAAGACATACACTGTGAAGCAGTACCTGTCGTATACTAATAATTTCAGGACGAACCCGCCTTCAACAGCACCCCAGCCTCGTAATACGCGCTAGAATGGGGATCTAGAGGCTGCTCGTGCTGCCGCTCACGCTCGCTCACCTGAGCCAGACTGTATTTTCATGTGGTGCGGAAACAGCTCCTGCTCTTGTCCTAGTAGCACGCTTCTCTTGGTGGTTGTAGCTGTTTTGTTCGTCTGGTATATGATTCGGTCAAATATTTGATGATTCGCCACAATAGGCGACTGGCACCAGTTTAACTTCTAAATCTAACGGTTGTTGTTGGTGATGTTTGTCGACTAGCACCAACATTGGATTAAGATCGGTAATGATTGCCTAGTTGTTTGTAGTGCTTGCAATAAGCGATATCCATTGCACATATTGCAGTTGTATAATTACACACTGTCTCATGGGCATCGACCCATTCTAGTTCACTTGGGTTTACAATAAAGAATTTCTCACCAAATTATATGGAACCAAAACATGTTTCATCCTGCTCTTGTAACTTTTCGCCGCAAGTTTAAGCGTATCAAGCTTTTCTTTAACCTCTAACCCTACACCGAGTATTATATTTAAATGGTCCCTTACTATCTACTACCAGTCTTCTTCAGTTTAAGCCACTTAACGCCCTTGCCGATTATTGTATCCAAAGGCACCATGACTCCTTCTTCCGTGCTCGAATCGCCATCGCCACCACCAAGCCCGGTATAGCTGCGGCCATATCCAGTGTAAGACTTGTAATATGAAACAGAATCTACTATAAATATAGAACTAATAGTTTTAGGATGCCACCACCCTCGGCTTTACCCCAGCCTTTCAACGTGCTCCAGCATGTAGATCTAGAGTCTGCTCGCGGTGGTGTTCGTGCTGACGCTTCCGCTATCTCAATTGACTCTGACGTCTGTGTTTGCATGTGAGACCGTTACTCGGGATGTTCCTCTCCCTCTACTAAGTGTGTTATATTTTTGGGAAGTGTAATTGGTGCCATTCTGATTGTTATGATGCTCTGCGTCCTACTTCCCAAGCACCCTTGAACCATTGAACACAATCTTTACGCTACAAATCTTGGGCTCAAGTTTAGGACATATAACCCAACTGGAGCTTCCATGTAATCGAATAGCGTGAAAGAACTAGTATGCAGAGATATTTATAGGACCATGTACTTTGTTTCCTCTTTATTGGTTAAGCACCGAACGAACAGGTGCAGGCAGCAAAGCCTAAGACTGACTCAATAGAGCTCTGTTACTTGGCGATCCCCACTCCAGCACATGACCATGCAAATACGGCGAACAAGCGGATAGATCGAATAGAATAGTTACAAGGCTGCCTAGCGGGGAAAATCCAGGTAGCTCCACATTGCAGATACAATGACGTAGAACCCCCAAACATTAACAATTGCGAACTTTTCCTCCGTCATCGCTCCGCGTCAATAACCTCAAAGCCAGCATCTACTCATAATGGTAAGAACTACAGCAACATATCAACCATTAGAAGAAGCAGTGCCAGAGGCACCAGAGGCAGAGTCCGCCGTCGCTGCATCTACGAATCCACCAAGCTCGTTACATACAGAGACAGCTACTGCCTCTCCATTTCAAAACCCTAGACCGTTGGACTCACCATCGACTGTTCGGACTTATATTTTTAACGTCCTACATATGCAATATGAGCTGCCAAGCGAAGAAGCAGAGAATATTGCGGCAAAATGGCGATTGGGGCCTGGATACGAATTCTTATCAATGAACATGGATGAATATAAAGGCGTGTTTGGCGATACGGTTGGGAAGCAACTGTTTTTACATCGAAAATATACGGAGGAAAATCAACAGAAATTGGAAGTGGAGCATAAACTCGATCAAGATGATGCTGAGGAGGATATAATCGGTCACTTATCATTTATGATAGTTAGTTGCGGACTTGTTGGGACTGTCATTGCAACATATCTATACCGTCTAAACGGCTTCCTTATTGGCGCAGGTATCACAGTTTTCATGTTGATTGCAATTGGGGCTTACATAGAAGAAAAAAAGAAAGAAAAGCGTTCCGACTAATATAAAGATTGGTTACTTTTTGATGCCTGATCTTCAGAAACAAGATGTGCTTACCGTTGTAGGCAGAACAAAAGTTGTTGGGTGCTAGACCTCGTGTGTCCTTGGTCCCGGATTTACGTCCATAGAGGGCTCCGTAGATCGCAAGACGTACAACTAACATATAAAATAGAAAAATAGTATAGAACCTAGTATAAGCAACATTAGTCAACAATTAACAAGTCACAGCTATACTTTACCAAGGGCCCTCGCTTATCTGATCGTCGCCGCAGTGGTCCATCGCTCGCGCCGTACAAAAAGGCCGCCGAAAACGCCGGTGCTCCGCCGTCTGACAAATAAATGCCGGCGCCGGGCAATTGCATTGCGCAGTGACAAATACCCCAAAGTGCTCCAATTTGCATCCAATCGTTATCGTAATCCCATGATTTCTGTGCGGCCCAAATTCTCCAGAATTCCAAATGCACATCGCATCATCTTTAGCGCCGTAGTCGCCGTGCTTAACAATCCACGGTCCATGATGTCACCCCGCCGTCAACCAAAACTAACCATATATAATAACCACAGCCACCCCATCAAGCTCCCACCCACGCTAACACCATAAGCATCGTCCTCCTCGCCCTCAACTTGAACCTTCTCCTGTCATCATCGTCCATTCGGTGCGTGCAATTCTCCCTGCTTCCAATTGACCCATTGCGATTGCAATTGCTGACATCGCATCTAGCGTCCCTTTATTTTTATCCGACAAACCATCTCCCCCGACCTCACAACAAACATGTCTGCCGTTCGCGCTCTCCGCCCCCTCGTCCGCCAGTCGGCTGCCTTTGCCCAGCGCCGCTTCAACTCCTCCTCCGCGCCCATCCTCTACTCTGCCACAGCTGTCGCCCAGGGCGCCCGTGGCGGCACCATTGAGGGCAGCGAGGGCCTCAAGGTCTCGCTCGCTATGCCCAAGTCGCTCGGCGGACCAGGCGGCGCTAGCAAGACCAACCCCGAAGAGCTCTTTGCCGCCGGCTATGGCGCCTGCTTCCAGAGCGCCATGAACTTGGTCGCTGGCGGCATGGGCATCCGTATGCCCCGCAAGACTGAGGACAGTATCATTGAAACAACTGTTCACCTTGTTGGTGACTTGAAGAAGGGCGATCTTGGCATTAAGGTCGACATGGTTGTCAAGGTCAAGGGTGTCGATAAGGCCGATCTTGAGAAGCTCGTGGAGAAGACCAAGGACGTCTGCCCTTACAGCAGAGCCACCAAGGGCAATGTTGTGACTGATGTCAAGGTTATCAGCCTGTAAATATAATGTATAATTTTAGCCAATAATTCAAGCTTTTTTTAATTCACCCCAGTAGCCTGATTCGTTCCGCTAGGACCTTTAACTGTCATTGCCCTCGTTGCCGAGTGCCTGCCTTTGCCAATTTCGGCTAGCAGTCGTAATCTCACTTCGCAAAAATAACCAAAATAAACAGATCGAATCAATTTGTTGATAGCATGTTGTTAGCTTTTACAAACTAAACACAGTGGCGTGACCTGATGCAAGGGCACCGTAAAGGATCGCACTGGGATATTGCGGCCCGCTCTGCCTTGCATACATCGAATCTTGAAATGGCACGTGCATACTTTTATGCCATGTTATGCTATGCTATGCATGTTAAAGCACATCATATGTGAAGCTAGAAAAGAGGTGTAGAATGGGAACTGTCAATGATGTTGATGCTCGAATACAGCATATTGCGTTGTAGAGCGTCTAAACAGAAACCCTCTTCTGGTCACTTCTGTTGGCCTCAACGTTGGTTTCGTGTATACCGCTGAACAAGACTCGATTCTTACACAAGCCAACTGGCGTACTGCCAAGCCTAGCCGTCCGAAATGCGCCGGGTTCACCTGCAGGATGGTGAGACAGACTGCGATTGTGCAACGTGAGAAACCGTGGCGTGGCGATTCAGCCGTGTGGCGGCAAACAGCAGACCTGGTGGGACGAGGTCATAGGTATCGTAAGGCAAGCGGCAAATGTGAAAGCAGACAGTCTAATGGCCACTATCCGTACCTCTCAACAAGTCAGCTCTGTATCTGTCTGAGATGACAAGCCGTAGCGAGTTCCGGGACTTTGCCTATAGCTCTCGCCCAAGCAGACTTTTGTTCAGTGACAGGTCAAATACTCGCAACCAGAATCCCGTAACCGGGCGTTTCTTTTGGTACGAAACAAGTTCAGATCAGCGTTATATTTGCTTCTTCCTCTGCTTCATGCACGTCCCCCCACCACGGTGGTCTCCCCCCACCAGACCACAGCTCGCTTCGAAGCCCGTCACAGACGCATACATAGGAAAAAGGAGATGGACGGAGAAAACAACGCCAAGTATACACCCAACGCAACTTTAAGCTCTGGCCAAAGCAAATAACGAACATGGCAAAAACCCTGTTTTTCCATGCCCACGGGCCATGATAGTGGAGAGAACAGGGCCACCCAACGTCCGACTAGCGTACCGCGCAACAGCTAGACTAGTGAATAGCGCCAACGGCTCAGGCTGCGTTGCAAACTCGAGGAATGCTGTGCATTGTGTAGCACAAGCCCTTGTCATCTAACGCTCTTTTTCGCAGGTTCAAAATTAGAACAGAAAAGAGAGACTCTGGGGCTTTGAGACCCAAACCAGAGGCGCATCCTCAGTGGCTCGTCCCGTCCGCATTCCATCGGGGACCCCATGTCTTGTGCCCCTGCTCCCTTGCCAGATGGCTTGCTCCATCGTCAGAGGCGTCTTTTACCCTGCTGCGCTTGAACAGCCTGTTATTTCCAGGCGCTCGCTGCTGAGTGTGCTTTCTATTGCAGGACCCAGCGTGGCTTGCAGGGCCGCTTGACTGAGCATGCCACGGACCCAACAGCCCAGGCCATGAGACGATCGGGTGCAAGGTGAGGATGAGAGGGATCTTCAAGACAGCCGGGGCCTGGAGCGGATGTGATCGGCGGGTGGCTCTGAGAAGCAATTCTTGCTGCTGTGCCTGCACGATTCGAGGACCCTGGACGGTTCGTAGTAAGCGTTCGCATACAGTAATGCACCAACACAAGGATAAAACTCTTTTGCACATGGAAAAGTATAGTGTCTTCCGCTTTTTACGGTGTTCAATGTGGAACCCTGTTTTGCTGGTACCGTTTGCTGTGTAGTACTCTTGGAAGTCTCTCTATGGAACAGAGCAGCGACTGCTAATGGCTTGGGGACGAATTCAGCTTCTCCTGGTGCCTTGCAGTTGATATACTGTGACCAGTTCCTGAGTTCGAGGTTGTGTGATCACTTTCTATTGACCTACAATTGCCGACGCTTTGCCTTGACTCTTCTCGCATGTATGATGTGTGTGCCTCCTCCACCACAACAGGGTGCCACTGGCCACCATTCACAGCGCAAGCTGGCGGTTCGACAGGTTACATTGGCAGCGTGCACATCGTGTCATTCCGCAGCTTTTCACCCAACCAGTCACCCAGAGGGCAAAAAATACTACGCCGGCGGCAGCATGTAGCAAGACCAGAAAGCGCTACCAGCCTTCTCCCTTCGAGGCGTCGGGTCCAACACCAGCCGTCCCCCGCCGACCACTAACAGCGCCCACCTGTGCTCCGCTCAAAGAAGCAAAACATACTTGTCTTGCATGGCCGTCCCGCTGTGATGCGATTTTTCTTTTCTTTTTTCGACTTGTGATTTTGCCTTCATCTTTTGCTTTTGTTGGGTGTTTTCTTTTCCTTATGACTGACTTGACTTGGGAACACTAACAAAGCCTGATATGTTGATCGCTTGAGTGGTCTACTTAATATCAAGGCTTTGCCCACAATCACAGTCGACTCACTCACCCAACCTACTCAAGCACCTACTTTGCAACATTCCAGTCAACAAAGCCGTTAAACTAATAGTCATCCGGTCACTGATACATATCTCAGCCCTGCTGCTGCGCTTTGTCGCTCTCAGTCTTTTCTTTACAACCAACACAAAAGTTCGTCACTTACATACACCATGGGTTCTGAGTTGGGCGTCACCGCCGACACCAAGCCTCATGCTAGGCTTGACCATCTCGGCATCTGGTGGATTACTTGGGCGACATTTTGGACTATTTGTGTGGCCTCCGGCATGGCCTACCTCATTGTTAATCGCCGAGTACCGCTGCTGAGAATTCGCGGGCTCGGCCTGTCGCTCTTCGCCACAACCTTGTTGCACCTTTATTGGATCAGTTGCCAAATCGGCTATATCATTGGCCCCCTCGCTCCAGGTGATGGAGAGTACTGGATCATGGGCACCTACTTCCCTCTCGGTATCGCCCTCTTCCATGCCTCCAACACTCGCTTCCTGTATGTGGCCAAGCAGCAACGTCGTTATGCCGAGGGTCGCTACAAAGAGGCTCCTCGCGTACGCGGTCGGGGCCCAATTGCTTCATTCAGACGAATGACCTATACCGCCAAAATGTTGACCTTGGTTGGCCTTGGTATGATCTTCCAGCTCTTCATGACAATCTTCATCTACCTCATCTCTCGCAAGTTCCATGAGTCCTGGGGTATTCCTGGTACCGAAGTCCACGGCACACCCATGGAGAAGCTTGGTGCCATGGGCCGAGGCTGGGAATGGTGGCCAACTTGCTTCTGGCAGCTTCTCTGGGCTTGGGTCGTTGCACCAATCGTCTTGTGGAAGTCTCGCCATGTCAATGATACCCAAGGCTGGCGCTTCCAGACCTTTGCCTGTGCCATTTCTGGTCTTCCGGCTGTACCTATGTGGCTCATTGCACTCTATGTTCCTGCCATGGAACAAGTTAACCAGTACTGGGTTCCTCCTCAGTGGATCTGCCTGTCCATTTTCTTCATGGAGATCTTCACTGTCTTTGTTCCTTGCTGGCAAGTGATGGCGCAGCGCCGCCTCTCTAGCGAAACCAAGGCATCTATTGCACAATGGGAGACCAAGAGCAAGATGGCCTTGAACGGAACCAAGTCGCTCAACACAGGCTCGTCCGTCATTGAATCCATTGTCACTGGCATGAAGTCTACCAATGAGTCTGTTGCATCCGGTGCCACTGGCGAATCCATTCTTACCATGAGTGCGCTCGAGTATGTGCTTGACCGTAACCCAACACCTCTACAGCAGTTCTCCGCTCTCCGCGACTTTTCTGGTGAGAATATTGCCTTTTTGACAAGTGTGGCGGAATGGAAATCTTCGCTCCCTGTTGCAGCTCGCAACTCAGGCAATCCCACCACTGATCCTCAGGTTCGCGAACTGGTTCGTGAACGCTACAACCGGGCTCTTCGCATCTATGCCGAGTTTGTCAGTGTCCGTGATGCCCAATTCCCCATAAACATCTCCGGTCAAGATCTCAAGGCTCTCGAGGCCGTTTTTGAGGCCTCTGCACGCATTTTGTACGGTGACAAGCGTGAAGTCGATGCGGCAGTTCCCTTTGATAGCTGGAACGAGTCTGGAGAGAAGGGCTCTGTATCGGAGCCTTCATCACCCCACGCTGACAGCTGTGTTGAAGACCGTGTGCAATTCTGGGGCGACATCCCCGAAGCATTCAATGAGACGGTATTTGACAAGGCTGAGGATAGCATCAAGTATCTCGTCTTGACCAACACATGGCCCAAGTTCATCCGGGATCATCGACGGGCCTCTGGAGACTCTGGCGAATTGGAGGCTGGCAACAACCTCGTGAATATGGCTCGAGAGTGAGAGCATTAGAGTGGCGGGTGGTTTATGAGTCTGTATGTTCTATGATGCATTGTTTGTGGGTTTGTTTTCTTTGCTGTTGCTGCTTGCACTGTTCGAATACCAAAAATACCATGGTGGGAATATTCTTTAGTACCTGATTAGCCAGAATAATGGAAAAGGACACGTCGTGTTGACCACGACCTGTTTATTATTATTACCGAAGTCGTCATCATCCAAATATGTATCAACTGTGATGATCTTTACTATTCATGCTTCGGTTCTAATTGTCCTGTTTGCATACGTGGAAGCTCGCCTAGCGAGTCATGTCCATGTCCATGTCAATGTCGAGGCAAAGGGCGCAGGGCGCCAGTGGAATTGACATTTTTGACGGGCCCACCCGCTGTGACAGGTGTTAACTTAACGCTAGAACGCAACGCCTAGGCCATAGCGCGTCTTCTAGCGGGTTCCACGCTTGGCCAATTGGCTGAATCCGGAAATGCGGAACATCGGAATTTGCCTACAAGAAGATTTAAGCGACATACTTTGCTAAAGACGCGCAAAAACCTTTTTATTGACTATATAAAACATCACTCTCCTCCACATAAATCATCAATTCGATTGTTTTTAATATCGCAAAAATAACAACATCAATCTTTACATACTCCTACATCGCCCTCCATTAGCATGCTTTCCCTCACCTTCAGAGAAGCTTCCACAGACGACGCTCCCGAGCTCGTCACTTTTATCAACGCCGCATACCGCGGAGAGACGGCAAAGAAGGGATGGACCACTGAGGCGGACCTACTATCTGGCACACGCATTGATGACGTGGAAATTTGCCATAAAATTGAGGCCCCCAGATCATACCTCATCATGGCGCACGATGCCGAAAACAAGCTGGCGGCATGCTGCGAGGTCTTGTGCCATGAAAGCAACGTTGCCTACTTTGGTCTGTTTGCTGTCGATCCTCAGAGACAGGCTGGGGGCATTGGAAGACAAGTTCTTGAATATGCTGAAGCCTTTTGCAAAGAGAAGTGGCAGTGTCCCAAGATTGAAATGCAAGTCATTTGGACACGAACTGAGCTGATTTCGTGGTACGAGAGACGAGGATACAAGCTCGTGCCTGGAGTAACAAGACCATTCCCTGTACAAAACTTGAAGAACGGACAGCCGCTGAGAGACGATTTACACTTTATTGTATTGGAGAAGACTCTTTAAGAGAAAGATGAGGGCGGACATGCAAGATGCGGAGATATACCAACATAGAACTTTGGAGCATATATTTTAGACATGTATTATTTAATAACAACCACCAGGGTGTGGACGATCATTTTGCTTTCCATCCCTGTCATTCAACCAGTCAATGAAGACAAGGTTCTTCTTTTCGACATAATCCCGTGGGTCGTACCCATCCTGCAATGCATCCACCGTGTTTCCGTTGATACATAGATACGTGTGGTCATCTTCAATAGCAACTCTCCAAATCTTTGTCGTACTTTGACCGTCTGCATTCTGTACACCCTCAACCTTTAGTGTATCAAGGTCCATATCGATAACCTGTCCCTTGCCGGCGAAAATAAACGGCCTGATGGCGCAATTCTTGCAAAAGAAAAAGTGCAATTCTCCACTGTCACAGAGATAGTCCCCCAAGCTGTCGAAAGGGTCAATTGGTGAGAGGAGAATAAAATCATCCACGGCCGATGCAGGTCGAAGATGTAAGTGTCCAATCTTGTGGCAAATGGTGCAGTTGCAACGATATACACGTTCCCCTTTGTACAGCGGCAGATGGGTTGGCGTCATGCGCACGAGATAGCGGACGTTACCACAGTGGCATGAGCCTTTGAAGAAGCGACGCGGATCATCCATATTGTTTATAAGGTATACGTTTTTGAATGTGCATGTATAATATAAAAAGGACAATGGCGATGCGTTACCTTATATATTGCTTCTTAAGGATTGAGGCTGGTTCAGCCGCATGCCCCATACTACAAAAGTGTTTGTGCATTCACGCCCGTGCCTCGAAAGTTTGCGAGCACCCGTTAATGCAGCTGATCGATGCGGGGGAAGCTAATCTCAACCCTTGGCATTTTTTGAACCAATCCAAAAAGATACGATGCAAGTGCCAATGTCTTTGCAATCCTTCGCGTCTATTGGTCGCTTGTTACCAGCGTCTTGTGGCATCCCAATCTTGTTTATTTACGTGTATAAGTTATGTTTTCTGTCTATTTACACCCTATTTAATTTATAGACATATTCTAAGAAATAACAGATACTGGGCAAACATGCAGTGTTGGCCAAACCGACTACCGAGAGCTGTTCCGCGTAGAGCGGAATATCCTGATTGGGGAATCCTCGCCGGGCGCATCCCAATTTTGCCCTCCTCACCAAAACATGGCCACTTAGACGCTCAAGTCTATCAGCACCAAATACACACATAATGGCTTCTAATAAGGCCAATTTATCGACGGAGAAAACGGCAGAGATCAATTCAGAAAAGCAAAAGGCCCCGGCGGTGAAGCTGCCCTGCCTACAGTGCAAAGGTAAGCAAAACTGACTTCCCAGAGATCCGACATAAAGCTGACAATGCAAAGAAAAACATGTCAAATGTAGGGCTCCATACAGACATAAGACATCATTTTGTCATAGATTATCGTCGCTAATTAGAATCAGGCGACGAGCAACGCCCCAAATGCCATCGCTGCGTTGTCAAGAACTTGGCCTGCGATAGGCCTACCAAAAAGACGGTATTTCGACTGGATGCCACCGCCAACAAATTCTCCAACAGTCAAGAATGGGTAAACAGCCAGCCTAAAAAATGTAAGTCGCCTCTCCAAGGCATTCCTTTTCAATTTGACTTCTAACAAAGCCTAGTTCGCTTCCATGCAAGCACACCTGTCGACGACGAAAGCAGTGTTGAGTTTGAACAGCCGACTCAGAGTACCAAAAGGAAACGCAACACAAATGAAGATGCAGAAGCCTTCGATCCAACTATAGGTGGAAGCAGTGCGGGGACGGATCATGCATCTCCCAGTAACCCACCGCTCATGTCAACGGCTGAGCGCACGGTGATGCCGTCTATCCAGTACCTCACCAACCCCGACCCCTACTTTTCCAACTTTAGCGTCCACAGTGACGCTCGAGGTTTACCTCCATCTAAAATAATTGGCATCCATACGCCGCCTTTGGTTGAGCCTGCAGAGGAGTATCGCATATTCCCATTGCAAGACGTCCAAGAAGCCTGCCTTCTCCGCTACTTTGTCGACGAAGTCTCCAGATGGGTGAGCTACTCCTACGTATTTTACAGGATATCCCCCTAATTTGTCTAGTTTGATCTCTGTGATGCGAACCGCCACTTTCAACTTGTGGTCCCACTTCGTGCTCGTCGTCATCCGCATCTACTCAACGCCATCTTTGCCGTTTCGGCACGCCATCTGTCACGCCTTCCCAAGTATAGAACCCCAGAAGGCATAATGTACCATGGCCAGCTGTTGAAAAACCTCACACAAAACGACGCACTCAGCTACATGCTGAAATGTATGCCAGCTCTTCACCAATTCCACAACACAGAGGACGACGACTTTCGAGACAGTGTCGCCGCCACGGCAGTGATCCTTAGGCAGCTGGAAGAAATTGATGACGATGAAGACTACTCTCAAGAACAAGACGGCCCTGGCATCTTCGACGGAAAGCGCCTAAATTTCTTGTCCATTATAAACACGGTGCTGAAAGACAGCGACCTGCAGGCAATGTTTGGGCATAGAAGCCTGACGCAAGCCGCATACTGGATGGCACTTCGTCAGGAAATCTATCACTCGTTTACCCGACGAGAGCCTCCGCAGCTGAATCTTGCACCGGAGCATTGGCAGACGGCATCCAAAGTCAACAAGACGGTGATGCATACCGTTCAGGTAGCCAAATGGCATTGGGGAGGTGGCTCGAGCGAAGAGTGGCGTACGTTGAAATCTTACTGCTAATCTGCAAAGAATACTAACAATTTCCTTTTTAGAACGCCTTATGCAGCGTCAGATTTATATTGAGGAGGAAATCTTGGCAGACCACCGGCCAGTGCTGCATAGACCAGCTGACAAGGCCAAGGGCGAAATCTTTCCAACCATCTGGTACTCATCCCAGTTCGAAGTAACTGCTGTGCAACAAGCCATAATGGCTCGATCGATTCTTGTTGCAGAAAATCCCCATCTCAAGTACGTCTTTTTATTTCTGGCAGCTACCAAACATGCTTGCTAACGTGACCCAGAGCACAGCCTGTCTCTCGCAAAAGCTGGCGGGATGTAGAAAACGAGGTGCGCATGCTGATGCTGGATCTTTGTGGGATTGCCTTGTGTCACTCTGAATGGGCTCCTGCGTTGGTCAATGCAGGAATCGGAATGCAAGTCTACGGCGAGTTTTTCACAGATCACTATGAACGAGCAGCGTTGCGAGGAGTGGCAGAGCGGTATGCTGATGCGAGGGCGTGGCCGGTACAAAAGCTATTGGATATGTTTACGTGAATTTTCTATATACCCAGTCACCAGTTTATATTTTATCAATTTTTTCTACATTTTATCCCGCTATTATTCTTCTGCACGCACGGTTGTCGCGTGAAGTCGCTGTATAAGCGTGCCCACATCTCACCATCCGCCACGACACCGTGAATCTCTCCCTCTGCAACTTCACAACACCAGCTGTACATGTATCGGCGGGCACTTTCTCTCCTTACCATTCATACAATTCCCAAAATGGCTCGTCGGTCATCCAGATTAGCGTCCTCAATACCAGCGCCAACAGCAAGTGCGCCAGATGAAAATGAAAAGCCAGCAAAAACATCACGCCCACCGAAGAAGGCCGTTACCAAATCGACAACAATAAAGGCAACACCAAAGGCGTCGCCCAAAATTGCTACTAAACTCGAGCCTGAAATCATCCCCTTCCCTTCAGAAGAAGCATTCGACGAATTCCTCGCAGAAAAAGGCACAGCCACACCACAGGGCATCTGGCTCAAGATTGCAAAGAAACACACCAAGATTCCCACCATCACATACGACCAGCTCATCGATACGGCCCTTTGCCACGGCTGGATTGACGGGCAGCGCCGCTCGCATTGCGACTCATACTTTCTGCAGCGCGTTACTCCCCGTCGAAAAGGTAGCCTCTGGTCCCAGCGCAACGTAGGCAAGATTGCCGAGCTCACAGCCAAGGGACGCATGCGTGATACTGGGCTGCTCGAGGTCCGCCTGGCAAAGGACGATGGGCGCTGGGATAAAGCATACGCAGGACCAAAGGGTATGAAACCCCCTGCGGATCTTAAAGAACGGCTTACAAATGCGCAGCTGGATGCGCTGGAGGCAATGTCAAGTTCGGCGAGGTATAGTATCCTTTGGGGCATTGAGACGGCAAAGAAGCAGGAAACGAGGCAGAAGCGCATTGATGAGGCGGTTGTGTTGCTTTCAAGTTCGTGACGCATGCAGCGCTGTGTATACTTTTCATTGTAATTAGTAGTCTATGTATATTCTAGTAATATGATTCTTCTTCTTCTTCCTCGTCTTCGTCGCCTTCGCCGTCTGATTCCATAGCGATGCCATCTATTAGCCCATCTTCATCGTCTTCCTCTTCATCGTCTTCCTCATCTTCCTCATCCTCTTCTTCTTCTTCATCGTCCTCCTCATCATCAGATATGACGACAGCCTTTTTCCCTTTGAGTCTTTGCGCGAGAGTCAGCTTCTTTGGCGCCTCTTCTTCACTTGACTCGTCCTGGCTTTCTTCCACAATGGCTCGCCGTTTGCCACGCGCTGGTGGTGGTGGTTCGTCGTCAGAGTCGTCAGATATTATTTGTACGTCGTCAGAGTCCAACACTATCTTGGCTCGCTTGTTGCGTGATGTGGATGCTTCAGCCACCTCGTCCTCGTCTTCATCATCGTCTACGATCCGGCGCTTACGCGGTCGTCGTTGAATCTCAGGACTCTCGGGCTCTGGGCTGGAAAACTGCGCTGTAATATCTGCATCGTCCAGACCGTCGTCAGACTCAAAGACTTCGGGGTTTTCCGTGTCGTCAATGCCATCACTTTCGTACTCGTTTGTTTCGTCAAACCCTTCGTCACTGTCGTCATCGTCGCTATCTCGACGCCACGGGCGATCTGCTTCAAAGTCCACCCTATGTCCAAAGAACATGGCCATGGGCCACCATTCAACGCCTCGCTCTTTCAGCATCTTTAGTGTTCCAGAGCCAACCAATTTGTCTTCCTCCAATTTTGGTACGTGTACTGTGGCAAAAGTTCTGTGTTCTTCGGCATCTGGCCAGCAGTATGTTGTAGAAATATTTTCTCCAATGCCTGGTGACTTTGCCCATGTTTCTGCGACGTATTTATTCGCAAACTCGGACAAGCACCACTCCATATCGGACGAATCTGTGATTTGCGCCTCTCTAAAGACTTTGGGCTCAACACAGACGAAAATATGGCGCAAATTGGGCAGCTTCTTGAGCCAATCCCCAAAGCTTGCGGCGTTTCCAAACTCGAAAATAGTGCGATGCGACACAGCGAGATTCTCTGCTGCGCGCATAAAAGAGCGGATGTGGTCATGTTCTTTCCACTCGCTAACGTCGACGTCTTCCCAGTGGTCGAGAAAAAAGACATCTCGGTCGCGTGAGACACGGATCATAGCCTTGCCGTCGTCGCCTCCGTCAATCTTCACAACATCTGGGTAGAGACGCATGGCAAGGTATCGCGACTCTTTATGAACAGCCATGACATGGCGGAGGTGATAGGACTGGTCCGAGAGCTCACGGCCATCCCAGATGGTGAGAAACTCGTCGTCATGATTCCATGCCTTCGGTCGCAGATGAGCCGAGCCGCCCTTGAGAACGAATTGCAACACTCGGCCTGGCGAGGTCAGGTCAGGGCAATACGTTTCCCAGATCTTCATCCGCAGCTCGATGGGCAGACGCAGAAACGGATGAAATTTGTCGTCTCTGTTGTGAAATGAGAGATAATTGGAGAATGATTCTTCTTCATCCTCTTCATCAGAGCCTTCCTCGGCTTGCGACGAGCCACGGTCCTCATCGTCTTCTTCATCATCGTCTTCTTCATCATCGTCCTCATCATCCTCTGCTTCGTCATCAAAAAAGCCATTTCTTGGTCTTGAGTCGTCTGAATCTTCGTCTGAATCTTCTTCACTGCCGCCTGTTTCCGAATCCGAGTCATGAATTGTCACAGGCTGCTGAATTTCCTGCAAATCATCCTCGTCGTCTGAATCCAAGACCATTTGTCGAGGCATCTTGCCGCCCTGCCAACGATGCGGCGCTAACTTGTGGTATTTTTATGAGCTCAGCCAAGAGATACGATGCTAAATTTTGCTGGTATATTTTTACCAATTTTAGATTTTGCTGGGGAAAAGCAGACGTTGTAAATGAAGTGGTAAAAAGAAGATGAAAAGTCCACACGCGTCAAAGGGAGACGTGACAGCGCTTGGAGTGAGGACCAATCACAGGCCCGCCTGGGTTCTGCACGGCGCCGTGCAAAGTGGTGCGCAGCCGCAAAAACGTAGAAGAAATAGTTAAGAAAAAGAAACAAAATACAGGGTCGACCGAAAGAGTGTCGGGCCATTTTTGCAATAGAAAAAGAAATGGTACCTGCCCCACATCAGCCACACGTGGCGGTGACAGTCTGCCAACTGTGCGCTCGATGTACCTTCAATCATCGATCTTAAAAGAGCCGTTTTTGGCTTAGTCTTACTTATATATTACAGTCTATAGTATAGAATAAGAAGGTAACTCGCCGTGTAGCAAGCCAAAGAGAGTCGCTTTTGCGACATTTATATCAGTATAAGCTATCTATACTCAAGTCCAAGTCTTTTTAATATGTCTTTATTGATGAATGTGGACGGGAACCGAGTCAGGCTCAACGAACGAAAGGCTGGGCGCCAGAAGGAATTATACCAGTTCATTTTGCTGACTTCGTCCGTGAGAGGCGACATCAGTGTATCACAGCATACACGCAAGAAGGCGAAATACTGACGACCATATTTCGTAGGACAACATATAGTATAGTATTCGAAGACTTTATTCGACGGCTGCTGCCCTTCTGTAGATGTTACCCTGAACCAAAATCAATCTTAATTATAGACAATGCACGATTTCATCGACCACGAGCGCTAGAGAAAATCTGCTCCGCTATAGGTGTAAAAATTGTGTTTCCCCCGCCATATTTACCAGGCTTAAACCTAATCGAAGAATATTTTGGTAAAATAAAGGAGTTTATGAAGAAAGAGTGGTGTAAGTCGCATAATCGAGACTGGCTTTTTAGCACGTTCCTGAAGTGGTGTATCAGGCATATTGGGCAGAAGAAGGAGAGTGCAGAATGTCACTTCCGACATTCGGGCATCAAATTAGAGTATTCCAAGAAATGATGACTTCTAAAACATCTACATGGCGATTTATAGTGCATGGCAATTGTGTAAAAGTCGGCTGCATGTTTAACTAATCACGTGTGCTTCGGTAGGCAGCTCAGTATGGCGACTGGCGCTGGCGTGCGGGGTATTCAAGATATCCCTCTTAAGGCTTATTACAAGAACTATTAAACTCCTGCTTGCTCTATCTAGAGACTAGTTACTAGTAAATAGTTATACGTATACGTAAGTAATATAAGTAGTTGTGATATTCCTCCTAACTAGATATTAGTACTTCGGCTGTGGAACCTCTAAAATGTCCGGTGCAGAAGTTCTTGGTATTATTTCTGCTGTGATTTCCATTATCGATGCTACGATCCAGCTGAGTAGTGCTATTAAAGACGAAGCTGGTCTACCATCCAACTTCAAGACGGTAGCAGCAAAACTGCCTCTGATTGCAAAGCTTCTCGATGATGCAGAGCGATATGTTGAAGAGGAAGCAAACGACGATCTCGCATCAACTTTCATGCCCGTCTTAAGAGACTGTAAAGAGAAAGCTACAAAATTACAGGTATTGTTTGAAAAGGTTGTCCCGGCCAACGGTGACTCGAGGGCCGACCGGTATATCAAAGCTGCTCGAACCATCGGCAAGGGTGGTCGTGTGGAGACCCTAATGAAAGAGATTCTTGATGGCCTACAGCTTCTTACGACCACATTCCCGAAGGTTACATCTCGAAGAGGACTGGAAAATTTGACAAAAGCGATTGAGGAAGTAGGAGAGATGGAGCCATCCCTACCTGACGGATTTGAAGACGCAGCGACGTATGCACACTACGGCAGCGGTGCCCAGAATGTCAATACTGGGGTTGGGAGCCAATATAACAACAATAGTACAGGAAATCAGAATAATGGTCCTGGTAATCAGTACATTGGCACCAATCACATCGGTATGCCACCCAACCCTACAGCACCCGACCCGTAGCTTTATGTTATAGCTGAAGGATTCATGTCTCTACCTACTATACCACTCTACTGACTTGTGAAATTGCGATGTAGGCCCAATCCACAACCACTATCTCGCCGAAGGTAAGCTCCAAAAATGCGTTAATTTAATTGCTTATATTGACAAGTGAATAGAGAAACTAGAAACGCCGCCAAATCCTTCGACGAATATGCCATTTCGTCGTGATATAGACTTTGTGAAGCGAGACATGCTTGACCAAGTCGAACACAGATGTAGCATGCCAGGTTCGTGGACTGCGCTCTTTGGTCTAGGCGGTGTTGGGTAAGCTTCAGATACCGTGTTGTGTCTTGAAAATGTCTAATGTTGGAAGAAAATCGCAAATCGCTATCGAATACGCCTATCGCGTCCGAGAGCGATCATCTGATACGTGGGTCTTTTGGATCCATGCAAGCAATAAAACACGGTTCGAAGAAGGTTTCCGAGATATTGCAACATGCGTAAAGCTTGCTGGGCGGCAAGATCCAAAAGCGAATATATTTCAACTGGTGCACGACTGGCTTCGAGACGAAAGAAAAGGGCCCTGGGTTGTTATTCTCGACAACGTAGACGACGCCAGTTTCTTGACTGTATCGAACCCGGAAGCAACGATAGCCACGGCAAAGGGTGCATCTACCAGGCACCTGTTATCATATATCCCATACTGCCAACATGGGTCCGTTCTTATCACTTCACGAAGTAAAGCCGCTGCAATGGAGCTAGTTGATCGCGATGATATCATCCCAATCAACCCAATGAATAAGAAAGACGCAATACAATTATTCCGGAATAAGCTTGGTCACGACGATAACGACGCTTGCGTTGTGGAGCTTGCTGCAGCGCTCGAATATATGCCACTGGCTATTGTTCAGGCAACGGTTTACATTTCCCAGAAGCGTCCACGATCCTCTATTCGGAGTTATATCGATGAGTTTCGCAAAAGTGACAATAGAAAAGCTAAGCTTCTTAGTCATGAAGGGGAAGGGCTTCGCCGAGATAAAGAGGCTCACAACTCCATTTTCATCACATGGCAAATATCATTTGACTACATTCGCGACGTCAGACCGTCCGCAGCGGACTTACTGTCGCTTATCAGCTTCTGTGATCGCCAGGGCATTCCGGAAGTTTTGATGCGAGGCAAATACGGCTGCGCTAACAAAGATGATGCACATAATCTACATCATGCGACGAGTGGTTTAAGGATTAGGGATGCAAGTGACCATGATGCCGACGATAGAAGGAGTATTGGAAGTGACGGCGACAGTGACTGGACACGTGACAACTCCAACTATAGTGACAATGATGAGTTCGAAAGTGATATTATAGCACTACGGAACTTTTCTTTCGTTGTCGCCAATGAGGACGGGACCGCATTTGAAATGCATAGACTAGTGCAGCTCGCCACACTTGCATGGCTCAAGGCGCACAATATCTATGAACAGTGGAATTATCAGTTTCTTCAAGGTCTCTGTGCAGAGATGCCAGGCGGAAACTATGAGAATTGGGCGAAATGTCAGCTGCTATTCCCGCATGTACAGCAAGTGTCAACACAGCGACCAGACAAAAAGGGGGCAATGGAAGAGTGGGCGACCATCTTGTATAGAGCAGCTTGGTATGCGCTTGAAAAGGGGTATGCAGTAGAAGCCGAGAAGCTTTCTACCTGGGCTATGACAGCAAGGAAGAAAATATTTGATAAGGACAATGAGGAAGTGACTTCGTTGAAAGAATTGGTAGCGTTGACATATAGCAACCAAGGGCGGTGGGACGAGGCGGAGAAGCTTCAGTTACAAGTAATGGAGGCTTGCAAGCAGAAGCTTGGAGCGGACCATCCAAACACACTGACCAGTATGGCGAATCTAGCATCGACATACTGGAACCAGGGGCTATGGGACGAGGCGGAGAAGCTTGAGTTACAAGTAGTAGAGACTCGAAAGCAGAAGCTTGGAGCGGACCATCCAGACACGCTGACCAGCATGGGGAATCTGGCATTGACATATTGGAACCAGGGGCGATGGGACGGGGCAGAGAAGCTTCAATTACAAGTAGTAGAGACTCAAAAGCAGAAGCTTGGAGCAAACCATCCATCCACACTGACCAGCATGGATAACTTAGCGTGGACATATAACAAGCAAGGGCGATGGGACGAGGCAGAGAAGCTTCAGTTACAAGTAATGGAGGCTTGCAAGAAGAAGCTTGGAGCGGACCATCCAGACACGCTGACCAGTATGGCGAATCTAGCATCGACATACTGGAACCAAGGGCGGTGGAAAGAAGCGGAGATACTTGATGTACAAGTAATAGAGGCTCACAAGCAGAAGCTTGGACTAGACCATCCAGACACGCTGACCAGTATGGCGAATCTGGCATCGACATACTGGAACCAAGGGCGGTGGAAAGAGGCGGAAAAGCTTCAGTTACAAGTAATGGAGGCTCGCAAGCAGAAGCTTGGACTGGGCCATCCAGACACGCTGACCAGCATGGAGAATCTGGCATTGACATATTGGAACCAGGGGCGATGGGAAGAGGCAGAGACGCTTGAGGTGCAGGTAATGGAGGCTCGAAAGCAGAAGCTTGGACTAGACCATCCAGACACGCTGACCAGTATGGCGAATCTGGCATCGACATACTGGAACCAAGGGCGGTGGAAAGAGGCGGAAAAGCTTCAGTTACAAGTAATGGAGGCTCGCAAGCAGAAGCTTGGACTGGGCCATCCAAACACGCTGACCAGCATGGGGAATCTGGCATTGACATATTGGAACCAGGGGCGATGGGAAGAGGCAGAGACGCTTGAGGTGCAGGTAATGGAGGCTCGAAAGCAGAAGCTTGGACTAGACCATCCAGACACGCTGACCAGTATGGCGAATCTGGCATCGACATACTGGAACCAAGGGCGGTGGAAAGAGGCGGAAAAGCTTCAGTTACAAGTAATGGAGGCTCGCAAGCAGAAGCTTGGACTGGGCCATCCAAACACGCTGACCAGCATGGGGAATCTGGCATTGACATATTGGAACCAGGGGCGATGGGAAGAGGCAGAGACGCTTGAGGTGCAGGTAATGGAGGCTCGAAAGCAGAAGCTTGGACTAGACCATCCAGACACGCTGACCAGTATGGCGAATCTGGCATCGACATACTGGAACCAAGGGCGGTGGAAAGAGGCGGAAAAGCTTCAGTTACAAGTAATGGAGGCTCGCAAGCAGAAGCTTGGACTGGGCCATCCAGACACGCTGACCAGCATGGAGAATCTGGCATTGACATATTGGAACCAGGGGCGATGGGAAGAGGCAGAGACGCTTGAGGTGCAGGTAATGGAGGCTCGAAAGCAGAAGCTTGGACTAGACCATCCAGACACGCTGACCAGCATGAATAACTTAGCATGGATATACTGGAATTCTGGACGCCTCGCTGAAGGAAAGGTGTTAATGAGTCAGTGTGTCCGTCTACGACAAGCTAAACTAGGTTCTAGTCACCCATACTACTTGGCTTCAGTCAACACTCTGTCTGAATGGGAAAGTTGACCTCATTATATCGCAAAATATATTCAACTTACAGTAGTGAGAGCCCTCCAATAATCCCAGTCGTTGCATATCCTTACAGAGTATATATAACACTATTATATTCTCTAATCGAAAGGTGCAAGCATTTCTACGCATGATGGTCATGTTTATCCCCTCTATACATGCAGGTTGTGTTGAAGCTGGATATAAGCGAATTATGCAACTGTAGGTTTGTAAACTTCAGCGAATATTAGCTAGAGATTATAAGATATCTTCTACCTGCTGCTGCTGCTGCTGCTCTTCCAACTCCTTCCGCCAATCATCCACGTCCATCACCCATTGCGTTGCAAGACCTAGCGGAAACTTATTCGAAACGAAGAATTGGACGTGCTTTTTGGTGAAGTTGTTGAGATTGAAGCGTTGTTTACGCGTGAACTCTGCTATGGCATCAATTTCCCGGATCCATTCTGCATCATTCGTCTGTGAAACAAGACGATCCCGATGATTACGAATCACACATTCCAATTTGCCTGGAATCTTAGCCCGCTTCGTAGGAGAGGGCAATCCTCCAGGGAGAACGTTCCTAATATGGATTGCAGGCGCCTCTTTTCTTTTCATCACAGCTTTCGACCCTTTTCGTAACCATTCTACCAAGTGTGGTGGCATATCAGCATAACAGTTAAACAGTCGACCCTTCACAACGATATCGACAAGATCTTCTATGATCGTTCTATCGACGGGGTATCTCTTCTTATCTTCTGGGTCTTCCCAACAATATAGACCAATGTTACACTGCCCTGGGCAGTCAAGGATGCTCACGACGGCCTCCCACGTGCTATACGAAGCAGCCGTTTCCGGATTATTTTGCAAATGTGCACGATCAGCAAAGTGCCTGTTTGTAGCAGGTCCCCCACGTCTTGGTGGCATGCTTTGGGCTTCTAGAGACGTGTTTGCCTTGAAGATAAACAACACTTTTACACTTAACACTCGGCCTCTAGTGGAAACCAAACCAGCCCACTCCCTGATTTGTTTATCAAGTTTATCCCAAGATATATTGTGCTTCGGGAAGTATAGCTCGATTGGCCGTACGCCTCGTTCGGTGATTGTGAAGTTTACTTGGGTTTTACTGGGGACATGTGTCTCGCTCAACGATTCCGCCGCGATGGCTCTGTCAATGAGACTCTTTAATTCCGTCCGCCAAAAGATGCTCGGGTAAAGTTCGATATTCTGTATCGTGTCAGTGGCCAGCGTCTGCAGCTTCTTCTTTATTATACACAAAGCCTATTTAATAGTATAGAGGGGATAATTTGCTCCATTTAGAGGTTAACTAATTATGCTTTACTGGCCTAGGCTGTTTTGTAGAGAGCTATCGCTGCCTTCAACTTCAACAGCTACAGGTGTAGAAAACTTAGGCTCCTTGTAATCATATTGCCACAAAAACTGGCTCTGGCTATCGTCCTCCATGGCTACGAGTTACTGCTGCACTTGGGCACGACACCAAATGGAGAGCCTCAGAGGGCAGCAAAGGAATAAGGAAGTGGGCATGGCGAACTATCCAACGATACCACCAAAGATGGCGGTATTAGGCTAACGGGGCGGAATGGGAAAGGGACGGTTCTAACGACAGAGCGAGTATGATGTAACTCTAGGGGCGTGCAGGGCTAGTACTAAGTGCAAGTAGGGTAGGTTTATCTATACTTTGTCCGAGTTAAAGAAAGATTTCTACGAATGCCTTTCTAAGTAGAAAAGCGAGTATATAAAAATAAAAGTCTTGTTCTTTTGCTGTTAGCATATTAAAAGTGAAGATGTAAATGGGATATGTAAGGAAAAATAGCTTCTGGGTAGTTATATTAGGGTATTGAAAGGCACGGTTGACGCGACGCTGGGGGTGGAACAACACTAGCGCAGGTGAAACTGCCCTGCAGCATGTACTTTGCCCAAGTTGGCTGCTAAATTATTCGCACTGTACCAGCCACATTTCTGCCAAGAGTGGATGTAGCTAATGTTTTGTTGTATTCGGAGAGGGCGGACACTCTTTCGGTCGACCCTGTATCAAAAATATTATTTGCAATGAAAATAGTTGTTAGGTCTGCTATGATAAACATTGGAATTTCTTGGTGCTGAGGTAGTCACTCAATGTAGTGCATTGGTAGATCTCACTTTTGCTTCAACTCACAATGCATTGTTACAAAACAATATTAAGAAAAGAATTCTACAAATTAGACTGCATATATAGATTTTCAATAGTGTTCATGATATTACTATATTTTCGAAATAATTTTATTTAGATTGATTGCTGCGCATTTTTCACCGAAACTCACAGCCTCGCCATTACCCTATATACAAAATTCACTGTCAGCGTGCACAACTTAACAACAATGGTTATCTGTCAAAGTCGCCCAGCAAACCGTTGCAATTGAATCAGGTGCTATCAAACATCCAATCAGCATAATTGCGCAAGTTAAACACTGTGGCTACTACAGATCCAGGCACAATGCAACCCTCCAACATTCCCTCCAGTACTAGTCCCAGGGCTTGGCTTCTAACTCGAATACTACTTCAAGGTGACATGCATCGGTATGTCTCACAATATCATCGCAAATCAACGTGGCACTATCCTACTGCGGCATATTGTAGCCTACATGGCCAACTGAGCTTTGCCATCGCGATGCGCAAACCACCTTCAGCGTTCCGTGCCAACAGCGGTAATGGATATGCAATTCGTCAAACCATGGTACCCTCTGTCAGGCCAATCGTCGCCGTAAAAGGGATGGCTACGGTTACAACATGTACGCAGACGGATTACAAGAGCCGTTCGACATGACGGATATAAGAATTCCGCCATGCCGCACCAACGGAGACGCATAGTCCACCCTGTTTGCATATTGCACTTTGAACATAGCAAACTCTTCAAACGCCAAACATGAAGATCCAGGGCCTTCTCGTTGCCCTTGGGCTTCTCGCCGACCTTGCTGTAGCAGGCTCAGGCAAGGACACTTGTCGCAATGACATGTGTCTCAAGGCCATGACAATACCTACAAAGGTCCGAGAGACACGCCGATTCTGCCGAGCTCTCAACCGCGGCACCAGACGACTGAGAGTCCCCAAGTACATTGACAATGGCTGCGATACTGCAGTGGGACTCTATGAGCGCATGTCTAGTGCTTGTAACTGTCTTCCCAAAGCCACCAAGGCGCCCAAGCCTGGTGACGATTATGGAGACGAGTACTATGACGATGAATATAAGGACGACCACAAGGACGACTACAAGGATGATGAGTACAAAGATAATGAGTACAAGGATGACGAGTACAAGGAGGATAAAGACGAATATGGTCAAGACTACCCTGACGAGGAATATAAGGATGACTATGGCGACTATCCTGATGAGGAGGACTACCGCAAGCCGGCTTCCACCAAGACCAAGCCTGGACCCAAGACCACTGGCGGAGGAAGACCTAAGACTACTGGTGGTGCCCGACCTACTTCCAAGCCAAACAACAGGCCCAGCAGCACTCCCAACGCAAAGCCTTCCAGCAGGCCAAACGGCAGACCTACCAGACCTGGTGGTTCCAAGCCTACCAGCGCCCCTGGAGTGAAGTCTACTCAGGGAGTCAGCCCCAAGCCTGCAAGCTCCAAGCCTACCAGTGCTCCTGGAGCCAAGTCCACTGGAGGAGTTAGCTCCAAGCCTGCTAGCTCGATGCCTGCTAGTTCAAAGCCCGCAAGCTCCAAGCCAGCAAGTTCTGCTCCGGCAAGCTCTTCTCCTGTTAGCTCTTCCCCAGCCAGCTCTACTCCGGCCAGTTCGTCACCTGCAAGCTCTACTCCTGCCAGTTCTTCCCCTGCTAGTTCATCGCCTGCAAGCTCTGTACCGGCGAGCTCTGCCCCAGTCGGCTCCCCCGCAAGCTCTCTTCCCGTAAGCTCTGCTCCTGCAAGCAATGCAGCCAGCTCGATGCCTACTAGTGGCGCTAGCTCGATGCCAGCAGCTTCCAACAGTCTTGCCAACCGCGCCGAACCCAACTCCACTGCAACTCCTCCTCTGTCAGCCTCCAGAGCCTCTAACAGCCCTACGAGAACTCCAGCCCTGACCCGTTCCCGAGACTCTGCTCGACCTTCTGGTACCAAGTCACGCAAGCCTGCTCCTACTCCTACCGAAGATACCGTGGACGCAGCTAACGCTTGCATGCAGGCTAGTGCCACTTGGTCGGAGCAGTACAACATGCCCAGTAGGTCCCGTCCAGACTGTCTCTAATCGACGAGACCCCTTTCGTTAACAGCTGTGCAGAGGCCACGCCGACCATTGCTGCGTCTCTTGCCTTTGAGTGCTTGCAATCAGTCCCGCTAGACAGGATGCGCGCTAGGAGATTGATCAATGCTTTATTACCCATGATTGAGTGGCAGAGTGACCTCGAGTATCTCAAGAATCCCCCTGCCGACTATGCCTACCCGGCCGTGGACGTCATGGGTGCGATTGCGGCTGTTAAGAAGAAGTTGGACTCCAATGGCTACAAGAACCATTATGAGTTTGACAAGGACCTTATGGAGACCGTCTTCTTTGCTGCCCATGATGGTCATTTCAACTATTACCCCTTGATGATGAGTGTTTTCAGTTTTTCATACCCGCGTGCTTTAGTGTCTTTTAGCGAAAACGGTACTTCTGTCCCAGTCATTAAACTGCTTGGTAAGTCTCAGATCTGTCAACATACTAGCGAGATCAGAAGTTAACCGTTTTGGATTAGATGATATTCAAAATTCCCCCGAAACTGCATCTGCTATTGATACTATCAATGGCGTCCCTGCGTCTGAGTTTATCGAGAAGTTGGTTCGTATGGCTTCTCCTTACCAGGATATAGACACGGGTTACAATGCCTTCTTTTATACTGCCAATGTCCATGGTGACGGCGACTTTGGAGAGTTTCACTCCAACGGCCTCTTTAGCCACTTTTATCAGGGTCCCAACACGACCTTTGTCTTCAAGAATGGCACCACTGTTACAGAGGAGAACATGGCGCGAGTCCATTACCCTTTGACCGATGTTGTCAGTGGAAAGACGTATGGCCGTCGTTTCAACAATGGAAAAATTCTGTCTACGGAAACCGGTAGTTCTGATTTTAAGCCTCCTCTCCCCGATGGTATTCCGGGCTACCCCAAAGCTATCCTTGAGACTGGTGAAGGTGTGGTCTCTGGATACTTCCTTGAAGACGAAGAGGTGAACAACGTTGCTGTTCTTGTTGTCAAAGACTTTAGTCCCAACTCCGCCAAGAAATTCCAGGCTGTCATGCACGATTTCCTGATTGAGGCCAAATCCAAGGGCAAGAAAAAGGTTGTTATTGACATGCAGGGCAATACTGGTGGCTCTATCCTTCTCGGCTATGACATGTTCTTCCAATTCTTCCCTGGCCAAAAGATTGATGGATTCAGTAGATGGAGATCGAATGAAGGATTTGACACCATGGCTGAAGTTGTTAGCGACTACGTCAAGGATATGGATCCCTACAATGAGGAAGACGAACTCAATGTCTATCTGACTCGCTCATACTTCAACTACCGATACGATGTCAACATGACCTTTGACGAGTTCCCTTCCTTCGAAGCCAAGTTTGGTCCACCAAAGAGCAGGTATACAGCCAACATGGCCTGGGACTTGAGTGATCCTCTTACTACCACCAACGAGACCTTTGGTATCGGTATTGAGATGAATGGATTTGGCAAATTCTCTGATGCGACACAGCTCTTCGCCGCAGAGGACATTGTTATTCTATATGATGGTAAATGCTCGTCAACCTGCACCATTGCCAGTGACTTTCTTAAGCACCACGGAAACGTCAAGTCTGTTGTCATGGGTGGCCGACCCCAAACAGACCCGATGCAAGGCGTCGGCGGCGTCAAGGGTGTCCAAGTCCTCTCTTCTGAGGTAATTCCTCTCTTTGCACAGGTCCTCGCTGCCGTGACGGATGAAAAACGAAAGCAAAAGGTGTTGCGCCGCTTCAAGTACCTTGATAGTGAGTTTGGTGCGGTGCTCCTTGTCAACACTCGTGACAGCATCCTCAGAGATCATGTGGAAGATGGATTACCTGCTCAGTTTATTACGGAGCATGCTGATTGTCGCCTCTTCTGGACAGAGGATATGCTTGGTGATATCTCAAAGGTTTGGAAGGCTGCCGCCATGGCCGCATTCAAGGGCGCCGAGTGTATCAATGGAGGTATCGAGCTGCCTCAATCGGCCACCTACTATGCCGCAGGTCTCCTTGACGGTCTTCTTGCACCAATTCTTAAGCTGCCCCAGACGTTGCTTGAAGGCCTCGACCTCGGTGGCCGTAGATCTGGTGAAAGCCCTCTTTGGAAATCTCGTCACAACCTGAAGGTCTTTACAAATGGTATCCGAAGTAGGGGCTAATTTCTGGGTGGTAAGGACAGATGTACCGTATTGTCTTTTTCTTCTTTTCCATTCGTTGATTGTATTGCCTTTTTGGAATATTTAGTAGAAATAGTATATAAATGTTTAAAATTTGTTGCATCTATAATCTAGCCGTTGAACAAAGTATAAACTAAATATTAGATACGCAGGTGTCAATTACACTTGAGGATATAACTTTAGACTTTGCAACTATCCTTTGCGGTTCAATACATTCGATGGTCTCACACCAAAGAAGCGTCGCTGGCCACTTTGGTGGCAGAGTCCAAAAGCTTGCACCATACATACGTAAACGACCACAAAACGCATCTTCCTCTGCCTGATCCAGTGCTCTGTTAGCCTCATGAGAAGGATCTATTCCTAATGCCTCCATCTCGATAGACGGAAGTTTCGCAATCCAGACACCGTTATCCTGCCAGCAAGCTACTCTATTTAAACACCCGGTCATATCTCTTGGTAGGCTTTGGGGGCGGTAATCTGGCGTCTTCATATGTATACAATGATATATAGTCATCTGAATATGTGAACAGCTTATTAAGTAAAGCTGGAATCAACGAACCATAAATGTCGCGGGAAAAGACCATGTGAGGTCCATGCATATCGATGCCATCGTACTCCTTGGGAAAATCTGCATTGAATGACGAAGGCCAGGGATTATCGGTCCGCCGTCCTTGTTGAAAATGAGCGCAGAGAGAAGCAGAATTATCAAAGCGTATGTAACAATAAATGCAAACAGGTGTTATAAAGATTACTAAGCTGGAAAATATGAGTCTGCAGTTGTTTGAATGAAGTTGTTGCTTGCTTTCATTTTGGATATCAGGCTGCGGTGTCCTTGTTGACAGTAATTTTTGTCGTAAAACGAGGAATTTGGATGTAAAAGAATAAGAATCTTGAATATCGATGTCATAAAAATACAATTTATCAGGTAGTTGATGGAAAATGATATATCTGGCCAGTTGAGGGAAACATCAATATCGTGTTATGGACCCACGGTGGCGCTCACGAGACATAGTTAGAGAGCGTTCGCCGAGGCTGACAACGCAGTAAGCGCCTTTGTTACTCCAGGTTAGTTTTATTTTCTGAAATAATGTCTGTATTTGTACAGGGGTATGTATCCATACTAAGGCACGTCGTCATCGTCGCTGTAGTCGAACCACTAGTCGAAGAAGCTCATCCAGACAAACGTTGCGGTGCACATGAGAATAAGAATACCCGTAATGATTCCAGCTCCCGCGCGATCCGCTGTTGTAATGGCCCTCTTGTTGCGATACTCGTTGTCGTGGCCAGCATATCCTGCGTTCACATCGCCTTCGGAGATTCCTCCGTCCTCTTTCGTTACTGGACCAGAGACCTGCTCTGTCAAGAGAGTTGAAACAGCGGATAGAACATTCATGACTTCACCCGCTCCACTGGTCTTGTCTACCGCTGGATCTTTGAACTGGCCGCTAGTCCAGTAGAATCCGCACTGACGTTTGGATCCACCCCCAGTGCACTGTTTGACTGCAGCTTCTGTTGACTTGCGTAGTGTCGGAAGAATCTTGGCTTTGGTCTCTGGTACTAGCTGCGTTACCTGGGCTAGCCAGCGATGCATATAGCCCTTGAAAGTCAACATGTCTGCTGTACACGCACCAGTCGTGTACTCGCAGGGAACTTCGTAGGCAACACCGTCGGGGAAGAAGTTCTTCATTGTTGCATCCAAAAGTGTGTTCAAGCGTGTCTTCCACTTCTCCTCCTTGGTCTAGATAGTAAAGTTAGTAAACGCATACTGGCCGAATGAGATATTGGTTGACTTACAAAATCGTACATGAATGCGAGGCCTTGTAAGAGAAGACCGGCATTGTATGAGTACGTCGCCTTGTTGATTTCCTTGCATTTTGTTTGCACAGTAGCTCCATCATACACCAACCAAGACTTGTGATCAATGTATTGCTTATCCCAGAGCCAATCCCATGTTTCGGCCGCATGTTTGGCATATGTGGCATTGCCTGTGTATCGTGCGAGTCGGGCGCCCATATTGAAGAAACAGCCATTGGCCACAGCTGGAATATGTCAGTACTATTACTCGGTGGTTCGGATCCTCTATCAAGCTTACTGTTCTTGTAATCGTACCCGGCATTGAATGGGGGAATTTGCCATCTCAGTCCACCACCGCATTCTGCGTCATGTCTGGAGGGATCCGCTTGCGTATTCCAGACTGCTTGTGCCAACGCGAGCCACTGGGGCTTGTCTTTTGGCGGGTTGGGAAACTTGTATTCTGCTGCCAGCATGGCAGACATACCCCAGAACGCTTGATCGTCATTTCCTAATGAACGAGTGTGGTTTTCCGGCATGTAATTGTTGTGCTCGCCGACTTGGTGAAGCATGCCTTGCATGACAACTTGGTTGTAGCTAGTATCTCCAGTAAGGTGCCAATAATCGATATAAGTACCCATCATGGCGCCGCCTTCCCACCAGTAATAATCGCCTTTATTTTCTGAAGGTGGTCCTGGTAGAATACCAGGGATCTCGCCCGTTTGGTTTCCTTTGTAGTAGAGCATAAGGTCGTAGGCAAGGGTTCGCGCCGAGTTTTTAATATTTTCTATATTGTTAATACCACGATTGATGTGCCACTTCTCAGATAGGAATCAACGAACCTGTAGTGTCTATTTTGTAAACTGCGGCATTGCTAGTGGCGAATAGTAGTGTCGCCGCAGCGCCGAGGCGCATGCTGAGTTGGACCATGGTATTGTGAGATGAGGGGCAGAATGCTGTTCAGCGTGTAGACGTGTGGGATGAATATTCTGTTTGTTTTCAGGACTTTTGGCAATAAACTGTCAATTTGATCCGAGACGGTTGTCAAAAGTGCGGTTTGAGCTTTGTGAGATTTGGTGTAAGTACTGCGCAAGCCGTAGACGAATCGTGTAGAGCAGAGAACCGGCTTGTTAAGAGAAGAAGATATACAAGAAGTCGGGAGCAAGGAAGAAGAAGATGTTAATGAAAAGTTGAAGAAAGAATTTGACCGGAAGAAATGAAGAGCGCCTTTCCAGAGGCTGTCTCGTGGTGTTGTCGGTCTGGGCAAGTGGGCGCAGCTGCCACAGCTGGCGACTGTCAACAATACCAAGACTCAGCGCCGAGAAAAAACACGCGTGCGTTGTTTTGCGACTCGTTTTCCTTTTTTTTCGATCAAGAACGCTCGTTTGATTGGAATTATCTCAACCGAAAGAAAAACGAAAAAAATATGGAAGAGAAAGAGTTCACTTCCCCAAGTTGGAGAAAGGCCAACAGAGGTTGCCATCGAGATGACAGTTGCAGCGTTGCATCTCAAGTCTCAAGCACGATGCTTTGAATGAAACGCCATCAGTCATCGACACCACCTGCTTCCGTGTCACTTGTCACTAGCCGCCCAAGGACACCATAAAGGAATAGAATTTATGTTTCTTGGCCAAGGGGCTGTGGCGGACACCAGTCTTGGCTACCGCAAGCTTGTATTCAGAAGCAAGTCGTCGACAAGCAGCCAGCCCTCCTATTAACGGACGTTTCACAGGCGACCCCGGATTAAATCTTTCTACAATAACGTGTTAAGCGAAAGCTTGTACTATCCAGCTTAAAAGAAATATAAAGATTACCCAGATGACCCCGGGAGACTCTGCTTTACTGCATACGAAGAAGCAGAAACCGTGGCGCTACCTCACCACAGTGCCAAGGCGGTAGCAAACCAAGATGAAAGGGAACTCTCAGGGGTTAAAATCCAAGGGCGATCAAAGACCAAAGAGAAATGCATGTCATGCAGATACTCAACCTGACGCAGCTCATAGTTCATGACGCCTCGTTATTCGCACTACGGTTCGACTGAACACAGTTTACAGCATCGGTGATAACTGGTGCAACGCCTATTTTTAACGGGTCACGAAAATTAAGGTTAAACGTCTTGGCGCCGCCACTCTGGTTAGCGCTGGCTCCCCTCAGGTACACATACGCACGCATACGTGCGTTCAACTGCACGCATTGTTGAACTATGAGATGTTATAAATGGCTGAGAAATTTTGTCTGATTTGTTATGGTTTTCGTTGCGAAAGTCTTATTTTCTCTCTTTAAAGCTGTAATAGGCGACAAACCTCCAGCGTCAGTTGGAATTGTCGGATTCCTCACGAGCTTGGCACAGTCTTGGCTCTGGATGCTGAGGATGCACTGCCTCAAGTTGCACGTGTTCCAGCCGCTAATCGTCGCAAACTTGCTCTTTATCCGGATCGGAAGAAAATTGAATTTCAGCCAATGTCTGCTTGAGATTCTAGCTATCGCATGCGCTGTTCGTTTCCCCTGATTGAATTTCCACGGGCCAAGACAAAGCGGCGATGGCGATGGGTGCAAGTATCCAACTTTGAAATTAGATCTAAAAATATATGCAGGAACAGTAGCACTAGCGCGAGGAACGAACCACTCCTCTGACGTATGCCGCGCTCTGAAATAGTGTACGAGGGGACCTGTGGTGCCAGGATACTGTATGATTGTTTTCCAGTCTATATTGACAACACTATGCAGTTTCAACGCAACGTCTTTCAAGATAGACTAACAAGAACGAGATCAAAAGGAAGCACCGCAGACCAGCATCGGTCCCAGCTCGCCAGCCAAGGATAGAAATGACTATCGATGCAGCGCCAACTGCCGCTATAGCGCCGGCCTTTTCTCCAAGTTGGGTATCATAGTATCGGGAGTCACTCCGACGCTTGAGTGGCTTTTTCAAGGAGCCTGTTTGGGATCCCCATAGTATTGAGCTGGTATTAACCGACAAAATCGCCGTTTGAGGTATGCCACTATGCGTATCGTCGCGTGGTGTCGGGGTCTGCGTAGCGGAAAAGTATTTCGAGAATGATGTTGTTTGAAATGAGCTAAAAACTAGGTCGTTGGCCGATGATAGCTCAATCCATGGCGACAGCGTCGCTTTATAAGAAGGCACTAGAATATTGTCTGTCGACGTCTTCACGGTGTCATGTAAGGCGAACCCAGCGAGACCCCCAAGAACAGCAGTAACAATAGCAGCGTACATGTTGCTGGGATAGGACAAATCTGCGCCGTGGTTCGGTAAGTCGATAATTTTATTAAATGAAAAATAGACCAAAGTGATCTATTATGGCCTTGAAAATGCAGAATATACCAGTTAAGTAGGATAAGTTTGCGCCTCGGTTATACCCGTCGACTAACCGCGCACAGCTGACCACCACGTCAGGCAGGGCTGTTGGCTTATGATATTGTCCGTCTTATACATGCGACAGTTGATATTGGGCTCGTCGGGCAGCAAAAGCAGCCTTTGCTGTATTGCTCGATCATACCCCAGCGCCTGAGGAGGTTTTTGTAAACCTGAATTGTGTTTTTCAACCCTAATTCCCTAGCAATCTCAATTTATCCTCGCCTAGACCCCAACATCCAAACGTCAAATGATTGTTGGTGCTGCACGACGAAAGTAAGCCGCAGTGGATGGGGCAAGTAAGACGGTGTAAGCAGATCAACACCAGCCTACCCGGTGTATATTTCCTTCTCTGGAAATATTTACAATGGGTGAAGCTGGCTCACTTGAGCGCCCTATAAGATTCGGACAGCATATTCTTTTGGTCGTTTGTCAACATGGCGCAAATAATGACAGATCCTAGCGGCGGGAGGGAATGTGACATCGCACATCAATAGAAGCGTCCATCACCAGACAATGCGACTGAATTCCTACTTTCCTTGGTTATCACCTTGTTGACAATATTTGAAGAATCTCACTATCAGCGTTCATCGACAGAAATAAATCCCATGTCCGCCATCTGAAATGATGATCTGGGAAGCGTCTGACGTCATGCGCTGGAATGTTGATGGTATCGCTGGATCTGCGCCGCCCCGGAGAATTTGTTGACGCAGGAACGGACGGTTAGCAGATTGTGCCTGGATTGGATCTACAAAGAAAAATGCAACTAGTTGCGATAAATTAATAAGGGAGTTTCGAATATCACGGCAGGCCTATTTCGAGCATAATTTTAGACTCTCAACGTTGCGTACGGATCGAATTATCGCATTGCCGGACTCTAGGGTTGCTTCAAGGCAACTCTACGCTTTTATTTTGAACGGTAAGGTGGCACACACAGTGGCTAAATCGGATGGTAGAGAGAGAAATAATACATTATTATATTTTGTATAGGTCTATAAACAATCTCCGCCAACCTTCCGACATCATTATGGTATCTTTATTACAGGAATCTTGCAGCGTGCTTAGAAGGTGTAAACCTTGAAGGATTTGTCGGCAACAGTCTTGCCATCCTTGACCTCCTTGTCGGTATAAGCAGGGTAGCTGATGAGCTTCTTGGCGTCGTTCTTGACAGCAAAGGTAGTGAAGCCGTTGTCAGGGCCAAACTGACCGCTCCAGCCAGAGGTGACGGTGTAAGGACCGCAGGTGGAAGGGCCGCCGTTGGCCTGGTCGGCGGGAGTGCTGCCGCTGGAGAAGACAACGTATTTGCAGTCAGTCTTCTCCTTGGTGGTATCGACAGTGAAGTTCCAGGTGCAGGACTTGGTGCCGTCGCAGGCACGCTTCAGGCCCTTGATAGTCCAGTCAGGCTCGGCAGTGGGAGCGGCAGAGACGGCGGTGGCCAGGATGGCGGCAACGATGGTCTTGGTGAACTGCATTGTGAAGGTAAAGTTGTGTTTGTGTGTGGTGAGAGAAGGGTATTGAATAAGATGGTATTGAGATGTGTGGAAGTGTGTGAGGATGATGAGGGAAGGCAAGTCTATGGAACGGTGGCAGACAAGCTCCTACTTATACTCGAGCAGGTTCGAAGCAAACGGCCCAAAATATCGACATGCAAAAGTGACCCTATGACCTCACTCTGGGTCGAATTGCATGGCCTGCTATTCCTTCCATGCCAGCTCCGAGCGGTGTTCGGCACTAGGCTCTTGGCCGGCCATATTGTGTAGTTACCCCGGCGAAGGGGCGAAGCCATACAACAAAGCTTAAAGCGGCAGAGGCGCTGGAGGAGGGAGCCCTGCGGCCTGTCGGGGCTAATGCCGATCGGCAGGCGGCCAAGGTTGCGATGCTCGTAAAGAGTGGATATAGCAGCAGGTTTGCGCTGCTGGCTGGGGCTGGGGGTCTAATACGGGCGGTCTAATTGTGAGAATGCGTCGCCCAAACAAACGCTAGCCGAACTCACAAAGTACCGGTGAGAGCTATGTCTGCAGCATCTACGGCTGCTTGCATGATTCTGCACGCATGTCACCTTGTTGGCGTCGACGGCTTGCGCGGACCAAATAGATTAAGCTTTATTGTGTTCAACCACTGGCATATTGACTTGAGGTAACATGAACGAGGCTGCCACGCAAAATGCTAGACAGTCCTAGCAACCCATGTCCGACATTCGAGTCTCATCTCGCATGCACAGCCAGTCTTGCAACGAACGGGTAGGCAACGGCCTTGTCCACGGCCTAACAGTATTAGACTGCTCCTCTTGCCCATGTCCGCCCCATGATCGCTACCCTTAAAATCCAGCAGGGTCTTGGGGGCTGTGACGTAGTGGTTATGGGGGACGATGGATGGCGCTAACCCGCAACAGGTAGCGGTAACGGGCCGAATCTCGTATTCAAAAATAGCAATCGCACCACTAGCAGCAGCAGCAGCATCAGCATCAGCAGAAGCAGCAGTATGCAGCCTGTGGGCGGATTTTCCGACGATATAGACTGGGCCCAATGTAACCTGGTTGAATACGATAGGTCAGGTGCGCTGTTACCTAGCGCCATAACCAATGGATATTGATGCGCTGAAATGCGATATCCAGTTGCCTTAGCATGGCGCTGCGACAAAAAGCCCATTTTATTGGCTGTGACACCGTACCCGAGGTAAGAGGAAGAGAGAACAGAGCAAGACATGTAAGGTAATTGTGAATATGAGGAAATATTTATTCGAATTATATACGATTAAAGATTAATGTAGGGTCGTAGATTCGTTGCACCAGTTATGCAGCGCAAAAAGGAGGATATCCGAGCACTCTTAGATGCGCTGGACGTGAGCCTGGCGAGCACCAACGTGCTGACCATTGGCAACCTCAGCATCAGTGAAGGAGAAGAAACCGATAACACCACGGTCGTAGTTGTTGGCACCAAAGGTGGTGAAGCCCTTGTCGTCGCCAAACTGGCGGCTCCAGCCGGACTGGATGCCCTTGTAGACGCCGCAGTCGGAGGGGCCGCCGTTGGAGCGAGCAGCACCCTGACCATCGCGGGGGGTAGTGACGAAGCGGCAGTAGGTAGAATCGCCGAGGTTGTTGTCGATGGTGAACTGCCAGGTGCAGCTGGAGTCGTCAGCAGCGCAGTCGCGGCTGGCATCGCGGATGGTCCAATCAGGGTCGTCGCGCTTGACAACAGCAGCGCCGGAGACGGTAGCGGCCATGATGGCAGCAGCGGTGATGGACTTGAAGAGCATTTTGAAGAAGTGAGGAGAAAAGAGTGGTTGGATGGTTGGTTGGTTGTTGGTAGTGAAGATTGGAGTGTTGATTGAGTGTGAGATGATAGGAAAGAGACGAGGATTGAAGGCGAGGATGCTTGAGATTTATACTTTTTGTGAGGCCGTATCTGGTTCTACTAACTCTTACAACCTGTTGATGATGGAATACTATGATATCCAGTATGACGTCGACGGCGTTGCTTCAGCCGACTGATACGATGCTTCCTCTTGGTAGGCATAATCCATCTCCGGCACTTCACTCAGCCACGATGAGGCGACGATCAGTCTAAGGCTGGCTTGAATACGATACAGCTATGGCGTATACTATGGATCGTCCTCTAAAATATCCCCGAGAGCGGTGGCAATAGGCGCCATACGAGTTGCGTGGAGCCGTCAGGTCAGAAGTAGGCTACAGCCTCGTGGGGCTTTCGACGTCACCCGTGTAAGCTGCACTGAAGGGTTTCCTACCGCAGCTGCAATTTCTCCAACAAAGGCTGTAGAAATACGAATGGCAAGCAGGGCTTGTACGACCAACACAAGACTATGCAGCAAATGGTAATGTGCCCGAAGTGGTTCTGCAATGCCTCACCGTCATCAGGTGAGCAATACCCTGGGTAGAAACGCACAATGACCATTACTAACGGCCACTAACTGCAGAAATGCAACAATATGATATTATTCCATGACCTTCTTCCAAACCCACAGGCTCGTGGAGTTCGTATACTGTTTGAATCCTTCCATGCCCCATTCCATACCCCAACCACTCTCCTTGTGACCGCCAAAGGGGACATTGGGAGCCACGTCAAAGTGTGAATTCACCCAGACACTGCCGGCGCTGAGCTGGCGAGCCATCTTTTCAGCACGCGCAAGATCCTTGCCCCATACGGATGCACCCAGGGCCGTAGGCAGGCTGTTGGCGCGGCCAATGACTTCTTGATCGTCTGACCATTTGAGGAGAGGCACTATAGGACCAAAAGGCTCTTCCTTGACAATAATGGAGTCATCAGGAGGGTTGTCCACGATTTGAGGCTCGATAAGGTATCCTTTTCCTTCGACAACCTTGCCGGGTAGCGCAACATTGTAGCCTCGCTGGTCGACGTCGGCATAAATTTGCTTCACCAAGTTGAATCTGAAATATTATTAGCAGGCTACTCAAACGTTGGGGCAAGCGATAACAACATACTGGTTCTCGTTTTGGATAGGAGCAACAGTGACACCCTCCTCAGTACCGGCGCCAGACTTGATGTTATTCTTGGTAAAATCAACCATGGCAGCCTTGAAGTCGTCGTAAATCTTCTCGTGGACATAGATGCGCTTCACACACATGCAAATTTGACCCGAGTTTATAAAGGCAAGTGTTGCAATCTTGGGCATGCTCTTGGAAATGTCGGCATCTTCACAGACAATGGCCGCATCGTTGCCACCAAGCTCCAGAAGCACGCGCTTTAGGGTTTTAGCACAACTTGCGGCAACCTTTTTACCGGTAGCGGTTGAGCCGGTAAAAGTGATCATGTCAATACCCGGGTGTTCTGACATCCATGGACCGAGGCTGTCGTCTCCACTGAGCACTTGGAATACGCCAGGGGGGAAGATGGAAGCACCGATCTCACCGAGTTTGAGGTCGCAGTATGGCGTGAATGGTGACGGCTTCATAATGATGGTATTACCAGTCATTAGGGCGGGGCCAACCTTTCCAAGACCAAGGAGAATGGGCCAGTTCCACGGAACAATGGCACCGCAGACACCGATGGGTGGGAACGTGGCGTAGATTGTCTTTTCGTCGTCATCCTGCAGTACTTCATCCTTGACCTCCATGGTAGCAAATGTCTTGAGCCAAGTGGCAGTCATGCTGAGCTCCATGCCAGAGACAGCATGCGGCTTGCCCTGCTCAGTGGTGAGCAGGTTGATGAGCTCGGGGGTATGCTTCTCAATGGCCTCGGCAAAGGCTACCATCAATTTTGATCGCTCTTCATGACTAGTCTTGGACCAGGCCTTGAATGCTTCACGTGCATGGCCGACAGCATCATCGAGATCTTTTTTTGACGCTACGGGGACTTCCCAGAGAGGCTGGCCCGTTGCTGGATTCTTGGAGTGGCGGGTAGTTGCTGTCGGGACAATCTGGTTGTTGATGACGTTGCCCAGGTACGACTTGATTTCATGTTAGATCTCAGAGCACATTTTCTTGTTTACACCTTTTTACTAACCTCGAAATTTATGGTAGCCATTGTGTTGGTGGTGTAAGTGGGACAGTGTTCTACCTACTAATTGGGATTTCTAGTGTATGTGAACCTGTGTACATGAACAACAAATTGAGCTGTCGCATCCAAGATTTGGCATTTGCCTCTTTTTAATAGGCATTACCTCAGGGATTACCCCGCGTTTTCTTTTTGTTCTCTGCGTCACCCATTCCAAGCAACCGCCAAGGCGCAGTCAGCAAAGCAGCCGATGCACATCCCGATGCGCTTCCCGGCGTCGCAAAGTCTACCCCGCAAAGACAAACGGGAGATCAGACTGTTGCCACACGAATAGAGTGGGCAGTCTCCTGTCAAGAGGGGGCGCTCACCGTAACGTCAATCACGGGGTGAGGCGCTACCGCACTGGATGGGTGGGTAACTGGCGCCGCCTCATAGTTAGCGTGTGTCCTACTTTTTGGAGCGAGCGGCAGACCATCACGGCAAACACTGTCGGCAGCGAAGACTGGCTTTTGCATTGTGAGAAACTGCAGTACCCAAGGCACTCGCCACAGGTTGTGTGTTCCGATGCAGACTATCCCAGCTAGGCTCAGCTTGTGCCGGGAGACTTATGCTGATCTAAGCAACATTTCTTTGAGCTGGCAAGACTCGTCGTTGTGAGCGTCCAATCATTTTCGCTGTATTTTCAACGGCAGTTTGTGACGGGGGATGCTGCAGCATACTCATTGGTTGCATACGGTGGATTTCGTACATGCTGAGCCATCGACCCGCTCCTCTACTTTGACCAAACGGCAACCGCCCAGCTCTGTTTATACATTGCCCAATCTACACAGCAGATCAGCTTTACCGCGATCGGCTGTAGCTTTCGGCGCTTGAGTCCGAAGGCGAGCAACCCCCGCCCCGGAGTTTCGGTCCTTTCATCGGTCTTCGTATTCGATCTATAAGTAACGTGCTTCCATTCTTCGTTATTGAAGCATATTGCCCGATCCATAAATACCTGGCAAAATGTTTTTGATGGTTCTACTGAAAGCCGGTTGTGCGTTGGCTGGGCTATGGGCGCTGTTGTCCGCGACATACAACGTCTTCTTGTCACCACTCCGAAAGATTCCTGGCCCGTTTTGGGCGCGCATTTCGAAGCTATGGTACTTTATTCACGTCTACCGAGGAAAGTTTGAGGCGGAAAATATTGCGCTGCATCGCAAATACGGACCGATCGTGCGCATCGCCCCCAACATGTACAGCATCGACATTCCCGACTCGGTGAATACCGTCTACCACATCTCGTCTAAAATGCCAAAGTCATCTTGGTATGAAGGGTGGAAGCACCCATCTCCGGAACGATGGACGCTCTTCCCTGATCGCGATATGAAACGCCACGCCCTTACCAGACGACGCTTCCAGGGCCTGTATAGCCTGTCTAGTCTCGTCAACTACGAGGGCTACTCACATGAGTGTGCAGACTTGCTTCAAGATCATTTTCATCGCCATGCATCTCAAGGTCAGGCTATAGACCTAGGCCATTGGTTACAGTGCTACGCGTTTGACGTCATCGGCAACATCACCTACTCTCAGCGCTTTGGCTTCCTGGACAACGGCGACGACGTATCCGGTATCATGAAGGCGCTCCATGGCTCGATGATTTACAGCACGATGATTGGTATATTCCCAGCTCTTCACCCGCACATCTTTGGCTTGATGGCGTGGCTAAAGATTGGCGGTGGTGCAGGGCGAACGTTTCTCATGAATTTCGTCCAGGGACGGATTCAGCAGAGAAAAGAGCAACGCAGCACATATACCGAAAAGACGATCTCGGATGATCCCGATGCACCACAGGATTTTCTAGAGAAGCTGATGATTCAGAATGAAGACGACCCGTCCAAAGTGACAGCCTACCACATCTTCATGATGGCCCTGTCGAATATTATTGCTGGTGCCGACACCACTGCTATAAGTCTGTCGGCGGTGTTTTACTACCTGATCCAATCGCCACATGTCATGGAGAAGCTACGGAGTGAAGTTGATGAAGCTTTCAACACGAGCGGTGCTGGCGCCACTGATCACTTATCATTTAAGGACGCCAACACCCTTCCGTATCTGCAAGCCGTGATCAAGGAGGCCCTCCGACTTCATGCTGCCACTGGTCTACCTCTGTGGCGTGTCGTTTCTGAAGACGGTGTACAACTCAATGATACTTTCTTCCCAGCTGGCTGCGAGATTGGACTAAACACATGGGTTGCTCATTACAATACTGATGTCTTTGGGCACGATGCTGGCACTTTTCGACCGGAGCGGTGGATTGATGAGACGGATGAAGGGAAGCTGAAGCTGATGAATTCTTACTATTTACCTGTAAGTTCAATTGCCATCTTCAAAACCTTTGGCTATGCTAATATCCTCTAGTTTGGACTGGGATCGCGCACCTGTTTGGGCCGCCATATTGCCACTCTGGAAATGTCGACTCTGATCCCCTGCCTCGTCAAGAATTTCGACTTTGAGTTGGAAGAAGAATGGGAGACTGTGAACTACTGGTTTGTAAAGCCGGTGAGCTTCAAAGCTAAGGTGAAGAGTCGCCAATAACGATTCACTATATGGACGAGAGCAGCACCGGATGTCTCTATAATAAGTTCATTTTATTATATATGCTATTCGAACTGTTAGCAAATAGATCAAGAGCCAGCAATGTGGCAGATTGATATTAAACGTATAGACTCTTGAGCGATATTTATGATGGATTGGCGCAACGACTAAGCAAACAGATGATAAGACAGTGTAAAAACTGCAGAGCAATTTCGAAAATTATAGCCAAGTTTTATCTGCTACTCTAGATACGGTTTCAATCACCTGTATATGGATATTCTTCTTTTATAACTAATTATACTGATATATCTTGCGCAACCCGTCTCTGCAGCTACAATGCACGTGGTCAGAACAAACGTGTACGACAAGGAACGTAGGGGTACGGTGGCTGTTGTGGCTAGTCTTGGCGATATTAAGGTTGCTCGCTATCACGGCCTAACAGGGAGCCTTGTCTTCATGTAGACACTTTGCAAACGTTGGGAGCGATGCGAGACAATCATGATCAACTTCTCGACTTCCCACTTCTCATATAATTTAGTATCTTAACAAAATGGAATGTATTGCTAATTACGTGGCAAGGTAAAGAGATGGACGACTGTGCAAGTTTTGCAGCGGTCGCTGGCGTTAAAAACAAGGCTGAGACTGTCATATGGCTGACGTATGCCCTCCCAAAAGGTCCCTTGCTAGACATACTTGTAGAGTCTAGCGCTAATCAGCCACGGGGGGGCCTTCAGTGCCTGAAACGCGTTGGGTGGCGCTCACACCTAAGCCCAAATGCCAATTCTTTTTAATAATATCGGCCTCAATTATGTGGCTTCTGGAGTTGTCACTATTAACAGAGTTGTGGCGGAGATCCCCTCTCACCCAGAGCAGCCTGTTGATTTCGCCTTCAACACTAGCAACGGCACTACGATTGTCACTTTCTTTTATAAAAGACAGGCACGATCGTATACAGCAATGAACTCGGAGCAGACCACACGCAGCAGAGAAGATGAACAAACTCCCCTCTTAACAGGATCGCAGCAGGACGATGCCACTCATGGCTATCGCTTTGGTTTGGAGGACCAACGACCACCGAAATACAAGGTTATTCTTCTACTATCCCTCATTCTTACTTGCTACTTCGTCGGCGCCTCTATTTTTGTTGTCCCTCTGAATAGTCTGGCCGATGATTATCTCTGCCGCAAAATGTTCCCGTCCAGCCCAGATGGATGCAAGGGCGACCCTGCAGAGCGAGATGCAGTCTCTGCTGAATTTGCCGACATCGACGCTTGGTCGCTGACGTTTACGCTTCTCCCATCGCTGCTATCATCCATACCATTCGGTGTTCTCGCCGACAAGATTGGTAGGCGGATACCGTTCTTTCTCAACGTGATTGGCCTCACTCTAAGCACTTGGTATTCGGTCTTCATTGGTACGTCGCACGCATGGGCAAGAGAGCCGCCACTCATATTTCGCATGACTCTGCTCGAACTGATTAGTAATATTGACTTAACAGTGTGCAACCTGGACTGCATCGACGTACGCTGGTTGTGGGCATCTGGTTTGTGGCTCGTTATAGGCGGCGGCTTGCCAGTCATGACCGCAACCATCTACGCCTTCGTCAGCGACATTACTGATCCGGAAACAAGGCAAGGCTACCTTATTCTTCCATTTCGTTGATATACCTCAGCTAACGTCTCCTAGGTCGCAGACATTCTTCTTTTTGGGCACCCTGTTTATTAGTGCAAGCATAGCCGGCCCTTTCATTGCATACTTCACCATCCGCGCGGGCCTCTGGTTTTCCATCTGGCTCGGATTGGCATTCATTACCTTGACAATTCCGCTCGCCTGGTTTCTGCCAGAGACACGGGTTCCCTCAAGCAGCAAGACACCAGGTGATGAGACCGGAAAGAGCGCCATCTTGCAGCAGATTCGCACCGTCTGTCGCGAAACTGGCCGCGTCGCGCGATACCAATTCTTGGAGAATACGGCTCTGGGCCTATCCTTGTTTAGTTTGATCTTCACAACACTTGGGAGATCTCTACCCGTGGTTGTCGAAAAATATGCAAATCGCCGCTACGGCCTGTCTTGGGCAGAGGTTGGACTGTTGGGATCCGTGCGAAGCTTTGTTGCTCTGGGCACAACAGCAGTGGTGCTTCCGCTCGTGGATGTTCTGCTCCGTAAGAAGCTCAACATCTCCCTCGCTGCAAAGGATATGTGGCTGGTTCGAGGAAGCATCTTGATCATGCTGCTGGGCTCCATCTGCGTCGGATTGTCCAAGTCGACAGTCATGTTTGTCTCGAGCTTGGCCGTCTTTGGCTTGGGCTCTGGCTACGAGTATGCCATGCGTGGACTGCTTGCGCAGATTGCTGGTGACAGCATTGCTACGGTATACACCACCATGAGCCTTATGGAGACGATAGGCGAGCTGATTGCTGGTCCAATGCTGGCGAGGTTGTACCGCGTCGGTTTAGGCTGGGGAGGGGACTGGATCGGACTGCCGCTGTTTGCAATCGCGGGCTTGTTTACGATTGCTGCTATTATTGTGTGGTTCATCCGTTTGCCAGACAACTCCGAGGAACAAGATGTTGGCCAGGATTCGGATTTGGGGCAAGCATAATCATGTGTGTTCAGAGAGAGAAATACGGATTCGGTTCACGAATTACCCACCAGGATCAGGGTTGGAAATGTAATCAGGTTAAACTTAATATCAGGCTCTACCAACACTCTCTACTTGGATTAGCAATAATATGACACTATATCACCTTGTTTTCCCCGACCCATCACTTAGAGATAAATTTCCCTCAAATGTGCGGCCAGGGGATATTAATAGAGTTGAATATATTTTCAAGTACGTAGCAAGATGAACAAGCTGACAGCTATGTCATGTTTTGCAATCTCTGGCAATAAGACAAGGCTGAGTCTGTTTCTGATGCTTAGGCCTTCTGCAAGTTCGCTTACTATCCATAGAGTGCAGCGCTAGCCAGCCACAAGCATACTTACGTGTACAAAGCCCGGTTGACTTTGATATAAACCCATTTTATTACTCAATAGACTGCTCTAGCGCGTTGCGTCCCGTGTGTGGCGGGCACTTGTTCAGGGTGGTGGCTGACTCAAGGACGAATTACAGTAGACCAACGGCGCTTCACTGACGGGTGGTGGATCGTTGGTGCCAGAGATACAGCTACTATTGGTTTTTGTATGAATTTTCAACACGGGTCACCCGCAAGGATAGCTTCTTGGGTGGCGTGCTGTGAAGTGCGACAAACTTGTTTTGTAGTCGAGCATGGACAATCTTAAACCGTCCAGGAAACGTACCACTCACTGCTATTAGCAAAGACATGTCACATCCTTCAATCTATGTTGACTGCCTGCACTTATTTGCGTGTATTATTCAATTTGTACACTTGCTGAGCCTTTGTCTATCTGTCGCTCAATATAAAATCCATCAGCAGTATAGTATTTCATATTCCATGCTTTCGTCGTAGAAGGCGCATGTCCGCTTTCGAGATGTCGATAAACAGGACAATATTTATACTGTATGTAGTTGCCACCAACGACTGAAGCTCACCATCGCATTCTTCAACAAAACGACCCAATCGAATGATATAATCTGACATGGTCAGTGCGGATACACCAACAAATGCATACCAGGGATCCTCGACAGTCGTAGCCCGTCTATTGTGCCAGTAAATGTCCAAGTCTGGTGGCCCAGAAGTTGCTGGTCCCTTATAGCCACGCACAATCTGCCCGGTTTCACGATCAAGGTAACTATCATCGACAAGGGGATACTGTCGTCCATTATTGTCAGTTGTCCATGACTGGGTAGCAGGTAACAGTACGGGACACTGTTCTGTCGTGGACTCGGCAGCTGAGCCTTTTGGAGGACTATCGTTCAACTTATCCATATTTGAGTTGAGACTTGTCCACGCGTAGAATAATAGGAAGTAAGAAGGAAATTGTTGTATGTGTAGATTTAAATTCGAGTCGATGGTGTTGTACTTCGCTCACACCCAACCGCAGATACAACATGGTTGACGTATTAGGTTGTTAGTAATAAGGAGATACCCCGCTTCCCATCTTGTCCTAGCGTAAGGCTCTAACTACTCTTGATTTGATGCAATGGATTTGCTCAAGACAAACTATCATTGTTTAGTGAACAATGCGTCATATGACTTGCGCCTCAATACAGCTGCTTGCTTTCCAAATACTAGGTAGAAACTGCTAACGATGAAGCAATTAGTAACATATAGACTCGTCCATCGAGATACAGCTACTAATATAAATACCGTCCAGCTCAAACAACATTGCACTCTAACATATACTATCCTTCCCTTTTTCCTCTTCACTAGCAAAAAGACCGGATCAATGATGCAGCGCACTATTACTCTAAGCTTCTCTATGTATCTCATAGTATCAGCTATGGCCAATTCTATGATCAATAATCTACCAGCCACCTCCATTAAGCTGAACAAGAAAGCGTCGCTAGCTGGTCGGATACCGGGCGAATTTTCATGCAGCGATGAATTCGAGACAATGTGTGGCTCTTGGGTCGTGGCATTACCAACATGTACAGGACGATGCCATTGTAACAATAACAATTATGTGACACGTGATGGGATCGATAATGATTGCACAAGCACACAACTCAGAGGCATTTGTATTCAGAGGGGGGAATGCGAATACTCTCCAGCAGGTAGCCCACCAGGAACAAGTTTGGGCAGTTAGATTATTACTTTAGTATAAGATGAACTTTACTAGGACTGTCTACTCAGAGTAGTCATAATATCGAACCAGAGTATCTTATTTCTTTTTCGATATACTTATATACATGTCCTCTTCATATGTGCAGTAGGTTGATTTAACCACCACGGGCAATCTTCTGGAGCTGAGAGTAGGCACCGTTGAAGATCTGAGAGTCACCACCGTAGGCGTACTTGTCGCTGTTCTGCCAGAAGCTCTGGTAAGGCCAGTTGTTGGGGATGGTGCCGGGTGAGCTAGCGTAACGAGCAAGCGACAGAGGGCACTTGTCACCAAAGCCAGCAGCGTTGCCAGTGCAAGTATTCCACCAGTCAGCAGTGGTGTAGAGGATGGGGTACTGCGAGGTAGCAGCCTTGTAGGTCTCGGCAAAGTCGGAGACCCAGGCAACCATCTGGCTGTGGGAGAGGCCGTAGCAGGTGGCGCCGTAGGGGTTGTACTCGATATCAAGCATGCCGGGGAGGGTGATGCCATCACCAGACCATCCACCGCCGTGCTTGAGGAAGAAGTTGGCCTGGACAGCACCAGAGGAAACATCAGGGCGGGCAAAGTGGTAACCACCACGGATGAAGCCAGCGTTGGTGGCACCGGTGTAGTGGTTGCTGAAGGTAGAGTCGATGAAGCCAGTACCCTCGGTAGCCTGTACAGGTGTTCATTGTTAGCCAATGCTCTGTCTTTCTTGGGTATGGTTGGAGAGAGGCTTGTTTACCTTGATCATGACAAAGCGAGCACCGCTGTTGTACGCAGCCGCAAAGTCAACGTTGGGCTGGTATCCAGAGATGTCGAAACCCTGGACGGTGGCCGAGGCGACAGAGGCAAGACCAGCGATGCCGGTGAAAATAGCGCTGAAGGACTTCATAATTGTATTGGGAAGGGATGAGTTGGGATGAGGTCTTCTTTCTCAAAAAGGTTTCATCTCAAAGCAGCAGCGAAGGTCTCATTTATAGTTGTTGATAGCAGGTTCGTTTACTTACATCCCGTATCGGCAACCGCCGCTCCGTCTATCTGTCCAGCCAATCCCCCAACAATTCTCTATTCGGCCCTAGTTCACCACTTATGCCGAAAGCACGAAATCGACTCCGATGGGAATCTGGCCCGGCCAAGTCCGTGGGGTCTAGTGATGCGCTAAGATGGAGCGTGCAGTTCAGCTGCGTGGAGACGCTTCCCCGGAAGCCGCCCATTTAGTGTTCGATGGGCTTTCAAGGTACCTGGCTTGTGTAGTATTTGCCGAGGATGAATAATGGTGGTTTCATAGTTCGGTAGCAAGAAAAGGAAAAAAAGTCCAACTCGGGTCTCCACGCTAGTATTCAAACACTCGTCATCTCTCCTCCCTTACTACTGTTGTTTGATCTTGGCACGTGGAGGTGTATAGTGATACGATCTATACGAATCGGATACCCGGCGCAAGAAGGATTACTTTTTAGGAGCATTACAAGCCTAGAGAACTTGTACAATGACGTTTGCCCAGTCTTTTCATTTTATGAAGCTATTGTCTTTGACGTCAGGATTAGACTTCAGGCTGGAAGAGGGATTCTTGTCATGGAGGTGGCAATTGTGTGTGACGGCGGAGCTGAGGTGGGTTTCTACACGGCTCTGCTCTGCTTATTTCTTTTCTTCCAAACTATTGCCTAACCAGCTCGGTGGCGGGCCTGTTTCAAGTGGGAAGCTCCGTAACGATCGGGCTTTGTTAGCGCCAATACAGGAAGATCAGCGGGCGCTGCTGGGATTGTCCAATTAGGGCCGATGGGCAGGGGCGTGGCGGCCACCTAACTGGGCTCTTTACACGCTGTAGACTATTAGAAGTTTTAGCCGGCGTTGGGGAAGCTGCGCATGGCAATGCTCTTCTTGGTTAGACTGTGACGCAATGACCCCCCAGGGCCTGGATAGGCTTCCCATAGTGCCACACAATAGAGAGGGCGGTGTTTACAAGGGTTTCTCGGCCGAATACAAGCCGGCGGGAGCCCCCTCCTCGGTAGCCTTTGTGTTTGTCTTCGTTTTACTTGGCTAGGTCGCTGGATAGCGTAGTTGAAATTGGGGAGAAACATTGGATTCTGTATTTACTAAGGCTACTTACGTCAGTGGCTACTAAAACCAGTAGAGAATAGAACCACCACTGTCCTACAATCTACTTAGTGCCTCGGCAGGAAATCTGGACGCCGGAGGCTACAAAGGATTCGCCTTGCAGCGAATGCTGGATCACAGCGGGTTTGGCGCTCTAAGCGAGGGGTTTTTAACCCCGGTGCTTTTCCCTTGTGCTGGAGTAACAGCCCTCTCCTCGTCCAATGACGCAATGCTATGCTACGCTGTGCTGCCTCAATCAATACACATTGTTTTTCGTTACCGAGTTGGCTTTTATTGCTGGTGGATGAGACTGCCCAGGACAAGTTCACTATGGCATCCAAAGACGCTTGATTTTGAATTTTGAAATTATGTCTCTACCATCACCAGGATGAAGAGTAAATATGCACAATCCCAAGTCGGCTAACAGAATCCTACTGCCACCGTAGCTTTGCTATCATGGTGGATCAACGCGGGGAATGGGACTCTGCGCCTAATACATTTGGAGGCCGAGAGAATAAAGAATGTAATAAATAACGCTCATCGAAATTCTTGTTCTTCTTTTTCGCTTCTTAGAAACAACAAGTATCAACCTGGCGGTCTCGACACTAACATCACCAAAACATGGCCAGGGAACACAACGCCTATGGGCCAGGATATCGCAAAGGCCAACTCGATCACCATGAATGGCGCACGGCCGAAAACAGCGCAGAGCAACTCTTGCCTACCCTGGTGGCCATGGTAGCCAAGAATCCGGAATTGAAGTTCTTGGACGTCGGCGCTGGCTCTGGCACCTTAACAGCATCCTTCTCCAAGTACCTGCCGCAGGGGCACATTACCGCCGTAGACCTATCGGATGAGATACTCGCCCGCGCCAAAGAATGCAGTGACGAACAGGGAGTCAAGAATGTGACATTCCAACAGGCCAGCGCCTATGAGCTTCCGTTCCCCGACGAGACCTTTGATGTTGTGCACACCTCGCAGATGGTGGTTCACCTCGATGAACCGCAAGAGGCTATCAAAGAGCTTGTTCGCGTCTGCAAAACTGGTGGTGTTATTTCCATTAGAGATGCTGATATGCGGATGTGTCTATTTTGGCCCTCGACGCCTGGTCTAGACTTGTGCCTGGACGTCTGGGACAAATTTCAGACAACAAATGGAGGTTCCAGCATTGGTGGCCGTAGGCTCATATCAGTGGCTCTTGAGACTGGTATCAAGCGCGATCAGATTCAGTTGAGCTTTCACACCTGGTGCTACAGTACGCCGGAAGAACGAAACATGTGGCGTGAGTATAATGGGCCTCTAGTGTGTTTGGGTAGAAGCTGACTATGTACACGGTAGGTAATGTCATGGTGAACCGATTCGCATCCGGGCCGATGATTGATTGCATCCGAAAGCACAAGCTGTTTACCGAGGAGCAGATGGGGGAAGTCTGCAAGGCCATTGAGGAATGGAGGGGTACAGAAGACGGTACATTTTTGTTGCCCAGTGGTGCTATCTTGATCACCAAATAGCGTGCTGCAAATTAATATCAAATCAACGTTTCATGAAATTTCACCTTCTTCTTAATGGATACAGTGTGTCACCCTATGCGCATACGTCTTTCCAAGCTTCCAGATAGCCGCCCATGCACCAAACACCGATGTTATGCCCGTACACAGAATCATAGGGCCGTACTTCGTAGCATATCCAATCTGGCCATGCGATATAAGACCCTCATTTCCTAGTAGAGCACCGCTAATTGGTCCTCCCAGGACGAAGCCAACACCGCGACCACCAAGAAGCAATCCAAATAGCAAGGATGCATCAGGCGACGTGTCTTCCCTTTGAATCTCCTTGACCATGCTGGACCAAGTGGAACTGAAGCCGCCGGCAAAGAATCCGTAGAGCATGACGAAAACGACAAGATTGGCCATGTGTTTGCTGAGTCCCCAGAGGAGAAAGATGGGGACGGCACTTCCAAGCGACGAAATGAGGATCACTCGCGTCGCAGACATTTTGTCGCCAATCATGCCGTGAAAGATTCCACCTGGGACTGAAGCAATAGAAAAGAGAGCGAGTAGAACAGGGCCGCTAATAGACGGTAAGCCAATATCGCTGGCGTAGGTGGCAAGATAGGTTGTAGGCATAAGATAGCCCAACGCCTGAATAATGATGCCAGATTGCATCATCCAAAAGACGGGGTATCGGAGGAATCGGAAGGACATGGTTGGCGAGTCTCGCTGCTGGATGGGCACCCGCGGGTTGAGATAGAAAAGTGTTGGGCATAACATCAGTGCAGAGGCCCCAGCCCATGAGAGAAGAGTAGCTTTCAAGCCAATCTTCTTTAGGAGCACGTCAAACAGAAATGGCAGTACGACGCCTGTTGTCGATTTGCCTGCCCACATGACTCCGTACGCAAAGCCCTTTCTCTGAGAAAACCATTCATCCATGGCGAGAGAGACGGGGCAGAAGATGAGGCCACATCCCAAAGCATAGAGTGCACCCTGTGTAGCGATGAGTCTATCTACAGAAGTCACAAATGCAGAGGACGCGATGCTGATTGTAGTCAGCAAAAGCCCGAGCGGTGCGCAGTATCGGCGAGCAATCGGGTATCTCGTAAGGACGAAGAATGCTGGCGGCATCATGAGGTACATGATACCCATTTGCAGCGCGCCAATTGTGGCAATAGATCCTGGACTCGACCCAAGATGCGACGAGTAGTATTCTTGGAAAATGCCAAACGAGACGGAAAAGCCTGTGTGGTGTAAGTTTGCTGAGCGCAGACATTATGCACTGTGCATCTATGGCATACCCCATATCGGCGCCTGTGCTATAGTTGAGCATGCAAGCGCAGTATATGCGCCTTTGCCTCTGTCCATGGGCGGCAAAACTGGCGCAATGAGTTCGTCTTCATGATCGCTTTGTTGGTGAGAGGTCGCTGAGGGCGTGGTATAGGTTAGCTCGTGCGTCTCTGCCATGATGCATTGACTATATCCACCAGAGAGTGAATTTTGATGTAGTGTATATCATGGAGGTACTGAATAAAGAGAAGTTTCTATCCATTTATATATACAACAAGAATTTACCTCTTTTTTTCGGCACGCTTGTCGATAATGACGAAGGTGTGGTGGGGGTGGAAGGGCCACGGACCACTCACAAGGCGGGATTGTCCCGACATCGCAGGAATTGCGGGAATACAGCACATCATGTGTCTGGCGGGGACTTTTGTAGAATATTTTCCAATTGATATGGTAATGGGGCTGGAAGAGTAGCGGTTTGTCAATGCGCAAATAACAGGACGGCAGTGTTGGTGGCATCTGCCGTGTATTCTTAAGCGACCCAGTGCGCTCAGCTAAACGCTGCTATTAGTTAATGAGACGAGTTACTTTCCTTCACTTACAGGTGCAATACACAAATTATATAAAATCCCAACTGACAAAATCTGTATTCCAATCTTCCACCGGAGCTCACCGACAGCCGTCAACCTCGTCCCCCCCCAATGAGGCAAAGATAGTCCTCCCAGCCTCGTTCGCTGCAGCTCTGATCCCCGCAAGTAAGACGCCAAAAAAGTTTCTGCTTGCTTGTTTGCTTGTCGCAGCGCACAGAAGTTCTGTTAGCAGAACCAGACTAAGACCGAATTGGGAAACTGGTCGTGTGTCCAACCTCGACAGTAACCAACAAGCAGCGGGGGTTCTGTCTTGGCGCTGATGCGCGGGGAAAGATAAAAAAAAAAAAACTACTTAAGGCCGGTCGGCCGTTCTTTGTTGCTATGTGTTGGCCAATTCATCTTTTCCCTTGGGGTGTAGAGCTTGTAATTGACCATGCGCTTCTCCTCTGTCGCCCTTGCGCTGGCTTCGTCCGCCTCTGCGCTGAACATTCTACTTAACAATGACGATGGCTTTGGTTCCAGCAACCTTCGCGAGCTGTACCGCCTGTTGAAGGAAGACGGCCACGATGGTATGTCTATAGGCTTGTGACCCAATTGATAGTTCTGCATACTAACGCGAGGCTATAGCTTGGATTGTCGCTCCCGTGTTCCAACAGAGTGGCATGGGCGGCAAGTCTGACTTTACAACAGAGGCAAACTTGACAGCACCCAGCCAGTACGACCTGATCCCTGCTGGCGCACCTTCTGTACGTTGATTGTCTTATCTTTCGTCTGATTGTATACATACTAACAGACCTGTTAGGTTGGCTCGGATCCCAACGACAGCCATATCTGGTACTACAACGGAACACCTGCAGCGTGTACCTTTGTTGCGCTCGACTATGTGCTGCCCACGCACGCCGACTTCAAGGTGCCCGACCTTGTGCTTACTGGTCCAAACTACGGCACCAACTTGGGCCCCTTTGTCTGGACGCTCTCGGGCACAGCTGGCGCTGCGTATTCCGCCACCGAGCGAGGCATCCCAGCCATTGCCCTTGCCGGCAGCAACGAGAAGGGATCGTACAAGGACGTCAATAATGCCACACACCCAGCTACGCTTGTTGCAAAGGCATCCCTGAAAGTCATCAAGCAGGTCATCAGCAGTGCCCCCAAGGGCGGTCCTCTTCTGCCGCTGGGCTACGGCCTGACTGTCAACATCCCGCCTCTGACACCCGAGAACGCCAGCCCCAAGATTGTCCAGACGCGCATGACGGGCAATGCCCATGTCAACACGGCTGTGCGCAACAAGACTGACGGTACCTTTACCTGGGCCAACATCAAGCCCTACTCGGCGGGCGTGAATGCCTGTAACAGCGGCGACTGCTCGCTTCCCGGCGAGACGTATGTCGTGGAGAATGGCGGTATTTCTGTGTCGGTGTATATCACAGATTACACGGCGCCGGAGGGTGAATACTCGGATTCCATCATGAAGAGGCTGCAGCCGTTGACGGAGTAAATGGTGAAAGGTGGAGGAAACGCAGTGGAGAGAGAGAGAGTAGCCAAATTTATTTCCAACGTAATGCACTGGAGTGCCCTGACAAAGTCCCCTGAAGAGCCCTAAAAGAGATCATGTTATAGTGCAGTTTAGTGCATGCGCTGAGTGCCCTGAAACACCGCCATTGCCCCCTGTAGTTATAGCGCACTTGGCGACGCCCAACACACCCAACCCAGCGGTTGTTTACCCACCCCGCCTTCGCCTGTCCGCCATCTTCGGTTACTTGCACAGTTCTTCCGTAACCAACACAAACAAGACAAAACATGGCGCGCCCATCGATATCACGACTACAATTGCTAGCTTCCCAAGCAGCAAGATGTCACTCGTTCTCAACGACAGCTCGCTGCGCACAGCTCTCTGCCGCCGATGCTGCTGCACGCCTACTCGAAACATCTGCCGATACCGTCTCGGTGCGAAAGCAATTGATTGACGGAAACCAACTGCAAAAGCTCGCCTTGACACTCAATAGACCTACGATTCAAGATGTAGACATTACACAACTGCCTCCACCAGAAGGCACGCCAGTACCGCCGGGCTACCATCTCGTCTACTTTACACCCAATGGCCTCGAGTCGGAACTTGGTCCAGACGGCACAGACAAGACGTTTAACGCGCCGGCGCCGTTTTCCAGAAGAATGTGGGCGGGTGGTAAGATGAGCTGGCAGAAGGAGATTGGAGGCCCTGGGCTGCTGCGCGTAGGTGATGTTGCAGAGGAACGGACGCGACTGAAGAGCGCTATACCGAAGAAGAGCAAGTCGGGTGCAGAGATGGTGCTGGTGGAGGTTGAAAAAGAAGTCTGGGGGCCACGGGGGTTGGCCATGATTGACCAGCGCTCGTGGATCTTTCGGCCTGAAGTAGATGCAAGCGCGGGAGAAAAGAATACTGAGAAGAAGATGCGTGGACCGACGTCTATTGCCGATATCCAAGGTCCAGGTATGGTTCATGGCGCATTCATCTGTGATACAGAAGGCGTAGAGCTAACAGACATACACAGAATTCAAAGAACGCCAGTTTCGCTGGTCACCCGTAGCCCTCTTCCGCTTCTCAGCCCTTACCTTCAATGGCCACAAGATTCACTACAACGAGGACTGGACAGCGTCTGTCGAGGGGCATCCCGGGCTTGTAGTTCACGGACCGCTTAACCTCATTAACATTCTGGATTACTGGAGAGATATGCACGGTGCTGGCAAGTTTCCCAGAAGTGTCGAGTACAGAGCCATGTCTCCCCTCTATGCAGGCGACGAATACCTCATCAAGACAAAGAGTATCAACCAAGAGAACAAAACAAAGGCCTTTGAGGTGGTTGCCGAAAAGGGCGATACTACTTGTATGAGAGCAGTAGTTGTATAGAGATGTTGCATGCCATTACAACGAATCTACATTTAGTGCACTTTTAACACCAATTGAAGCGGTTTTATTATCAAAAAGTCTTTATTGATTAATTTTCCATTTATCCCACAACTAGTCTCTCCTCTGAAGTAAGCTCCAGCGTCAGCCACGGGTATCGCCATGCTCATGACGACATTACCCACCTCCACCAAGTAGCCGGCGTGGGGTCTCGCCCCGGCTATACAACCAAAGGTGACATAACCGGCCAAAAGACAACACCACCGACGAAAATAGTGCCGCGGATGTCCTCTACTATTCAAACCGTACAATTGGGAGACAAAAAACCAACATGTCCTGTAGGAGACCCGTGGCTCAGCTCTTGAGCTCCCGCCTTGCTGCAAGTACTCGCCCAGAGGCTCCAACCAGATCACTACTAACTTGTCCTCGTGCTAGGCGCCGTTTTCCAGGCAGGTTCGCGCGCTGAGCTTACACCAATACCAGTCGCAGAGGCTTCTCCAAGAGGTACATACCTGGCCGCAATTCAGGTGACTGTTCGTCTAACGTGTGCAGGCTGGCGTATCTGTTCCCCGCGGTCGAGTCGCGTCGACCCCAGAGGAGGTTCGCGCTGCTGTGCAAGAGCTCGGTATGCTATTACAGGTCTCCTACGATACGAGAACGGAAGAGTGACAATTCATAGGAAATGAAAGCATAGTAAACGCGCAGGTACTCCAATTACGGAGGCAGGGCCGCCAGGGACTCGCCAAAGACCTGCGCGGTGAAAATGTCGCCGCCCAAAGCCCCCAAGCAGCTGAAGCCCTCGCCGCGAGCATTCTAAACAACAGCGACGCACCCGACGGCGTCAACATCCAACATATTTATGTTGCAGAATCCGCCAAGTACAACGAGCTATGGTACCTCGGCATGACGGTCGATCGTGAAAACTACTGCCCTGCGATTATCCTCTCCAAGAAAGGCGGCGGCAAGAATATCAAGACAATCGCCCAAGAGTCTCCCGAGAGCCTCATGACGTTTCCCTTTGGCCTCACAGCGGGCATCACCGATGAATTAATGTCAAACATTACGCAAAAGGCAGGCTTGTCAGCTGCGCAAACAAAGAACCTCAGGGGCGTCCTTACGGCCATGCACTCCATCTTCAAGGCCAAGGATGCTATGCTGCTCGAGATTCCGTCACTTGGTGTCACTTCATCTGGTGCCATGACGGCCATTGACTCCAATTTTACCTTTGACGATGATGGTGCCAAGCGCCAAAAGGACCTCTTTGCGCTCCGCGACAAGGACCAAGAGGTAAGCGACGAAGTGGCGGCCGAGAAGTTTGGTCTCGTGTACATTCGCATGGACGGCAACATTGGCAACGTGGTCAACGGTGCTGGTCTCGCAATGGCCACAAATGATGCTGTTAGCAATGCAGGCGGCAAGAGCGCCAACTTTCTCGACGCTGGCGGCCAGGCCACAAAGGAGACCATGATGGAGGCGTTTGGCATTATCCTGCGGGATGAGCGTGTCAAAGCCATCCTCGTCAACATCTACGGCGGCATAACAAGGTGCGACATGATTGCCGAGAGCATCATTGGCGCAGCAGACAGCATGGATATTCACGTTCCCGTAGTGGTGCGTCTCCAGGGCACGAATTCGGCCGCCGGCTTGAGGCTTGTCGAGGAGGCCAATCTGGGACTATATGTTGAGGAGGATTTCGGCAAAGCTGCTGCGCGGGCAGTGCAGCTGGCCAATGGTGGTAAATAGAATGCATTAGACGTTTTTTTCTCGTCATGATTGACTAGCATAGCTATATTATTAAGTAGTGGTATCCAATAGTAGCATTACAAATTAAAACTAAATGTCCTCCAACCCTACCGTCTAGTTGGACACGCCAAAGTGCTTGTTGAGCCAGTGGATGCACATGTCCTCAGCAGCAGCAGCCTGCTTGGCGACGTCCTGGTACTTCATATCGGCACGAACGGCAAATCCGTGGCCAGTACCCTTAATAATCTCAACCTCACCCGCTGCATCGCCATCCTTTGCGTCTATAATGCTCTTGAGGCGGATGGCCTGCTCGGGCGAGATCTGTTGGTCAGTTTCGGCAAGGGCAAAGCTGACGGGACGGACAACCTTCTCAATATCTCCAGGGATCGCAAGCATGCTAGGGTGTGCAGTAAAGCCGGCATCGAGAAGAGGCTTGCCATCGGGGCCCTTTTCGCCCTGCGCGAGAAGCACAACATGCTTGCCGCCCCAGCAGTATCCAGTTGCGCCAATGGGCAGCGCCTTGGCTTCGTTTTCACGGAGCGCGGTAAAGAACTTGACTACGCGGGGGTAGCTTGCGCCGGGCCGGTTGACGAATAGGAATGGGATGATGCCGGATGCGACGGAGAAGCCGTGGTAGCTGTGACGTTGTGTGAGTTTAATGTGTGGTTCTTAGCAGCGGCACGGCGTTTGTTTACATTTTGGTAAAGATGCTAGTCTTGGCATCAGTAATAGCCATCATGCCATCAAAGACAGAAAGTGGTGCTGCGTATCCTAATAACAAAAAGCAAAGTCAATTGGTTAGAATTGGTTGGCTGCCACACGTTCCATAACAGGAGACGTACCAATCATGAAATCGGGCATGATGACCTTGTAGCTGCTCTTGGCGGCGAGGTTGTCGCACAGGAGCTGGTTGTTTCCAAACTTCCAGCCAAAGGCATCGGGAATGAAGACTAGGAATCCCCTGACTTCCTTTCCAGCCGCAGGCTCGGCAATGTAGGCGTCGAGGCCGTGGAGTTTTGTGATTTTTCCTTGAGGGGTTCCCTCGTGGATGCTGCCGCGGAAGCAGTCAGGGCAAGACATTGCTGCGAAGAGCTTTTGATTGTACTGAGGTACTGTGTTTTGGTAGTAACTAGCAATGCTTTTGCGACGAAATGGCAGAATAGCAAAAAAGATGCAGATGGTAACGGTGATAAGAGACAAAAATATATTTTGGCTGAGAGCCCTGGAAGACGATCTGGCGCAGCTCACTCAGGGCAGCCAGCTGGTTGCAGCTGTGGCAGCTGGCGACCGGCGACCGGTTGTTAACATGTGCCGGTTGCTGGAATGGAAATTGGGTCGGACATAGTGCCGTAGCTAACTCCGAGGACGAGCAATGGCAACTCCTCCTAGAATAAATACGGGAATTACGGCAAGATATTGGTTTTACGGATGGATCTTTACTTTTTAACCTCCGGGATCACTTACATAGTCATCGTGGCTTTATGCGATGGTGTGCTAGTGCTCGCCTTGTTTGCCCGCTTAACAAATACCATTGCCGAGGGAATGGCCTAATGGAGCAGTTCCACCTCCGCCGCAGCCAACACTAAAAGACGGGGAGAGACAATGCGTGGGAACCCCAGAAAATAAAAATATTAACTAATTAAGCTAAAGCCAGCGGCAGCCGAGCTGGGGGGTCTGGACAAATGGACACAAGGAGACATCACGCGTAAGAGGCGGAGCAAGCCAACCGCGCTGTCGGACCGACGGTTCTTCCTCGGGTAGGGGAGTGTCGGCGTTTGTGATATATAGCTGGCTTCTTGCCCAGAAGTCGGTGGCCAGTAGAAGTTTTCGATTTGTTTCACTGCTTCAAACATCCACTCATAGTATCAATTGTCGGAACTCCATCATGGCTGCCACCGTCAAAGATGAAGAGGCTATTGCCGTGGCCAAGACGCTCAAGAACATTCCATGGTGCGAGGACTATGAGAAGATGATTTCCGGCATGCTGTATGCACCTGACCTCTTTACTTGCATTATGAATCCATCATCTAATCTACAACAGTTACAATGCTTTCGTTCCCGAACTCGTGGACAGCCGATTCAAAGCTCGTCGCTTCATGCACAAGTACAGCAACGCATTCCCTGACGATGCTACCCCAGAGAGCCTGACTGCTCTCCGCACCGACATGCTCCAAGGCATTCTGGGCAAAGCCGGCAAGGATGTCTACATTGAGCCTCCGTTTAGCATTGATTACGGCACAAATATTATCCTAGGCGATAATGTCTACGCCAATTTCAAGTGAGAACTCTCGAATGTGCTGGGAGTGCTACCCCGCATCGACTGTCATTTTCACCGTCCCCAGCTAACACCTTGTACAAGCTTGATTATTCTCGACTGCGCCCTCGTACGCATCGGCAACCGCGTCATGTTTGGCCCATCCGTCTCCATTTTTGCTGCAACTCACGAAACGGAAGTCCAGTCCCGACGGGACAACATCGAGTACGCAAAAGGCGTTGTGATTGGTGATGACTGCTGGATTGGCGGCAATGCAACCATTATGCCCGGCGTGACGATTGGCAAAGGCTGTACGATTGGTGCTGGCAGTGTGGTTACCAAAGATATCCCAGACTTCTCTGTTGCCATAGGAGCTCCCGCAAAGGTTGTTAAGAAGGTGGCACCTCTTCCCGACCTGTAGAGTATGCCATGTTTTACGAAACGATTCTGTAGCAAGAGCATAAAATAATTGTCATTGAAATGATGATCTCTCTTTGTATGATTGTCCATGGCTAGTTGTGTAAACTATGAAATCTCAGCACTGTGCTTGTTAGCATATTACACACAGACAACCGGCTTTGCATGTGCAACTTACATGACCATCGGGCGAGTACCAGCTCAAGCACTTGTGATTGTCATTGTCATATTCGGTGCATGGGCAAAGGCCACGCTCCAGGCATTTACAGTTGCAGGGAAACGGCTCATCGCCCCAGTGGCATGTATCACATTCCGTGGTGCTCTCCTTCAAGCAGCAGCCGTCTCGCTGCGTAGAGCACTGAGCAGCAGCAAGCCCAACAGCGACAGCGAGAAAAGCAACAAAACGCATGGTAAACAATGGATTATGGTTGGGTAGATGCCGTTGGTTTCTGTTCAGTGGGGTTCCATACGGAAGCTTTATATACTCGGGGTTACATGCCTTTTTACACAAGCTGTTATTGGTGGTATAATTGAGTACCATAAGCATGCTTGCAGATGCATCCTACGTGGGGGGAAGTAATACGCGGAGCGGACCCTCGGCCGAGTGCTGATCTTTGACTTTAAAGTAATGCATATTTACTACCTGCGATCCATTCAATAAAGAACAAATATTAAAAAAGCAACAAAATTTAATCGCGGCGTTTGTCAAGTCGAGGGAACAATAACCAAATAACCAACAAAAGAACCAGCAAAGCCAGCACAATTGGCTGCAAGACCTGAATATCAGTGGCTTGAGCCAGCAGGCCAGTAAGGAACGGCAGGACGGCTGCGCCACAGCCTCCAAAAGCAGCAGCGAACCCAATGACAGAGACGTGCTGATGTCGAGGAAGAAGCTTGTTGACCACCAAAACGACGGACGGGAAGAGTGGCCCTAAGAAGAAACCCTGCAGGGCAATCGCCACCGCGGACACAATAAACTGTGGAACTAGCCAAAAGATGAGCTCTAGGCCAACGGCGCAGGCAATGTAGATCGATGTGGCCAGTTTGATGCCGATGCGAGGAGACACAAAACCAAGAACGACACGGCCAACGGTTATTCCAAGCCAAAATCCAGTAGCCGACATACCGCTGGAGAATTTGTCGCCTTGGCGAACATTGATCATGAATTCCACAATCCATCCACCAAGACTGACTTCAGCACCAACATAGCAGAGCAAGAAGGCACACGCAGTCCACCCAACTCGCGCAGAAGGCATAGTGAATAGTACACTGTACAGACTATCTTCATGATTCTCGGACGAATGACTTTGTTGTAGCAGTCGGTAATTTGGTCCGTTTGATGTCCAGAACGCCGCAGTGGTAGCGAGGAGTTCAATCACTGCAAAGCCAATCTGCTTTCTGGTTAGCAATCAACCTCACATTCCGTAGAAAGTTGACAAAAACAATAAAATAAAAAACGGGAAACATACCATGATGAAGTAGAAGCTGTACCATGGGAGATTTCCCTTGGAAATCATCGATGTAGATACCAATGGACTCACCACACCTCCGACACCGTAACAGGCGTGCAAGAGGCCCAGAAGCTCACTAGAGTTGGCGAGATTGCCCATCCACGCATTCCACGCAGCATCGCCGACACCATTGGCAAAACCAGCCAGAATAAATGACAATACGAGAACAGGGTAAGGTGGGTGAGCTGCAATAATGGCATATGCAAGTATGTGACATCCTGATGCAATGACTGCGATTCCGCGCTGGCCATATTTGAGGTGAATAGCGTTGTTCAAGAGAGCCGATGCGACGTAGCCAATAAAAGGGGATAAGAAGACGAGCGAGACAACAGTGTAGGTGAGGTTGTAGTATGTGCCGAGCTGTTTGTGTTAGTTTTCAAGAGATAGTTGCTGTGTCGCGCAAGGTAACTTACAGATGGGAGAATAGCCTAAAAATGTCAACCGTTAGCGTACCGCCTCTAGGGATGTACACGGAAACACACTTACGCCGTAGGCTGCGTCGTTGGCGCCCATAACAAAGAGCGACCAAAACGAAGCAAAGACACGCACTGCATTCCCAGGGTCCGTCCATTTCTGGACAATTGTCGCTGCTGGCGATGCATCCCGGGGCGTCGCGCACTCATCTGCAATTCGGTCGCTCGCTGCCACAGACGCAAATGGATCATCGCCAAGGGTTCGGCCACGATCAAAGGTGTTCTTTTGCACTGGCGAAGGCTCGCGAGGCAGAGCGGTGAGCTCTATGGTACTTGTGCTTGTGTTTGTACTAGTTGACATTTTGCACTTTAAGCAGATTGATACCGCGAGTGCTTGTTCTGGAAAATATGTAAATGATGGCGCAGTACTATTTTGATCGATGAGAGATGATGCACTGAATTTATATATACACAGAAAAATAACAGCTGTTTGTAGAAAACCTTCCTCCTTATCATCTAATACCTTGGCATCTGAATGACTCCAACCTTGAATTATTCAGCTCTATTTGTAAGCATTGGGTTGTTTTCTCGATTTTTGTTCGCGGCGACGATGCTCTCCAGCCTGACTTGCTGAGCATTGCCGTTTTGGGAACTTCCGCGTCTCTCCGCATCCTGGATCGACGGGCCTGCTCTCCGTGGAGCCCTACGCCTACGCCTCACAAGCTGAAAAAGTTTATTCTGGGGAATTCCTGGCTGATCCATGACATTTTCATGCCACGTGCCTTGGATTACATGAGCGGGAAATGTAGGAGACGAAGTATCGCGAAGTTTGGAAGGCCCCCTGTCCAGGGGCTTGAATCTCAGAACAAAGCATAGTCAGATTTACATGAACAAGGAATATCCCCACCATCGTCAGCGAAGACAACTGGTCCCTAGCGTAATGATTCGAGACAGCTGTATATATTCCCCAATCGTTGATTCGCGCCCCAGGCAAAAATATTGTGAACATGTCTTCTCAAGTCGATGACTTGTTCGGGTTCAGTGAAAAGAAAGCCCTTAACCAGACCCGTATAGTACTCCAGTGTAGCAGCTTGCCAGGTGACAAATAGATTAGCACGCTGGTTGGACATTGCTATACTGTATATTGCGTGATCAACACGCTGAGCTATGCGAGGGTCCAGGGACTCGACGTATTCCCTAAATAAAAAAAAATGGCCTTCCTCGGCAAAATTGAATGACTTAACCCGCGTGGTAATATACCCATCCTGGTCGTTCTTGTGGGTAATATGGAGGTTTGCCTTGTCATTTGATATGACAACACTATACAACTCGTCGGAATATGGGTCATGGCACCGTCATTAAATTAGCGAGCGCATTATTTAGTACCTCAATCATCTGCACACGGGACGACGCTGCGCCCACGCACTTGTTCTCTCCGACCCAGAAGTCCCAGCTGGTTCTATTTCCATTGGGAGTATATTCAATTATAATACCTGGCAGAGCTACCCCATCCATATTACTCTACAGGTTCAATGGGAACTGTTCAAGAACTATCTTGTGATGGGGCTCAAACGCCGTCTCCAGGTCATACCCGTATAGCTCATCAGGTTGCGGCTGACTGATTCGATCGATACATCCAGGAGCATGTGGGATCCATCGTTTGTGGACAGTGGTACTCTCAACTTTAGCCAGCTCTGGGTGTCGTGGCGGGTTGAATACCACATGCCGATTAATAAGAGTTTGAATATTTGGTCTAATACGGTCCTGGAATAAAGCATTCAGAGACAATTATTATGGCGGGATGCAATGACTCAATAGAATACTGCACTGAAGCTGTGGGCCCAAAGGCTTGCTGTTGATGGGTTGAAGGCATCTCAAGATCGTGTCTCGTACGTTGGAGGAGTAGAGGTGATTGGAACAATGGGAGAGCAGCGTATCAGCACATTGTTAGCACTTGTACCATAAAGGAAGCGAACAATCAACACATCAAGCGCTCTTTAAAAAAAAGTAACGAAAGGTAAATTACAAAGTTTTATCCATGTTTGCATTTTTATGTGCTTAAAGAGCATTTCCGGTTCAAATATTTTATGAGAATTCTAAAAATCTCAAGCGTTCTCTTATAGTAACAGTTGCACGAAGAACACAAAACAGCTATGGGTTGCTTGGTGGCTTGTGGAGCGGGCGCTGATGCCAGACGTGGAGCGGGCGGTGATATTGCCTTTGTAAGTGGTGGCCAACACAACACATTGTTTGCATTGCCAACAGTTAACCTCCCATAAACCCATCCCCTTCAACACGCTCTGTTCACGACGTTTTAGTCGCTTCATTCAAAGAAATAGTACCGCGATTATTATAATAGACTGTCTTATGGCCAGTTGCTCAATACCTTCCCAGCAGTCCTCTCCCCACACCCTCCAGGATGGCCAGCCAAAGCCCATTGACCAACTGTCAAAAGCCTTCACTCACCAGGATTAACCAAGGCATATTAGTTTCTGTTATTCTATCTTATATATACTCCTCTAACTGCGAAACAGACACAAATGAACACAGGCCGTCAAGTAACATGGTCTCTCAAAGCAACCGGTACAAAATAGCCAAACAGTTTGTATGTCCAAGCAACGATGGCGACATTGTTGTAGCATCTTTTGAGCTAACAATCGCAGTCTGAGGCTATTGCCCAATCTGAGTATATCTTTAATACTCTTGACAACTACATCTTCAACTGGCTTGAAGGCACTAGACCACACCGACGCCAACGCTGCAGCTCACAGCCGCTATCCTGTTCGACCCGTCAGCGCTATACCACCGAACCCTGTTCGAAATCTATACCAAATATGCTGATCGGTATAACCAAAAAGCGAAAGCGTGGTACTCAGCCCTCTACGCCACAGAATTTGTCAAGTTTCCCCGTCGATTCCAACGGATCACCGTCGGCTGCCAGCTCAGGTTCTATACTGCTGCCCTCTTATGACAACTCCAGCATACCCCGAGCCTCATCCTCAAGCTGCAAGGGAAGTTTGGTTGAAAGTCCGCTATATAGGACTTCCAATCTTCGGCAGAATGGAGTTTATATAGAGTACATGGGGAGAAATGCACCCGACGCGATCCATGCTCTTGGGGCTGGTATGGGAAAGCGGAGAATGTCACCCGAACCATCAGACGAACAAGTGGAAGTAAACCTTCTCTACCAACGTATGAGACATGGTTGTGAAGAAGAGCTTGTTCAAGATTACATTGAACAGGAGGTCTTCCCCTCTCTGTCGCATGAGCCACGTGTCGCTCAGTCAAAAAAGGTATCGATGTACAGAGACTTTGTGCCAAGCAGGCCGACCCCTTCGAATGCACATGTTAGTCAACCGAAGCCAGATGCTCTCTATGGCTATAGTGAGGATTGCGCCTTTGAAGAGAAGCACCGTGTTGCGCTCGATGGTCTGCCTGCGCGTCTATCGGGGACCCCCAGTGGCTTGATTTTACCATTTCTTATTATTGAATACAAGGGGGAAGGTCCGTGCAGCAACGGCAATCTTTGGGTAGCGGAAAACCAGTGCATTGGAGCAGCATCAACCTGCGTCAACATTGCCCAGCATTTGAACAAGGCACTCAACGATACATCTTGTCATCCTGGGCCGGTTCAACAGGTCGACCACGCAACATTCAGTGTTGCCATGTCTAACAGGAGTGCGACCCTGTTTATCTCATGGCAGGCTGAGAACCTTGGCTTTTATACGAAGGAGGTTAATAGCTTTGCTCTCTCACGACCGGAGCAATTCCGCGATTTCCGAAGACATATGCGCAATATTGTCGATTGGGGGGCAAATCAGCGGTTATTGGATATCCACAACTGTCTTGAAGTGTTGCTGGAGGGGCAACGGCTCCAAGCAACACTGGCACAGAATTCGTGGTAGATCATACTTGATATACAACCATACTTGAGAGACAACGCAAAACCATAAATTTTCAAATAAAATTATTCATTGTTTGTAACATGTTCTAGCCGAATTCTTATTTTACTAGATTAAGCTGGTCGTTCTCGGACCCGTTGCTACGCTACGCTGACTGCATCTGTGTGTGTGTGTTTTGTTTGCCTTTCTTTGGACAGCAGTTTAGCAAAGTCTACTACAGCGCTACAGTAGGTAAGCAACAGTTACAGGTAGTCTATATTTCAACCAACGCATTCTAAAGATATATTTACACAAACCTTATATGTAATCTCGAAAACGCTGCTTCCGCCTCCGGTTAAGCGGCACCCCAACCAAATAAAGAGCACTGCCGCTTTTAAGCACCAACCCTTGCTCTTCCGCCTCTGCGCGGCGTGCGTTTTGCACTTAAGAGTATGGAAACCTTTATACTTAACCTGGAAGTTTGTCAAGAATCAGGGAGCGTCAATAGTACCGTGGCGTCTGTTCGCATTACGCCCACGCAGCGGAGTAGAGATCGCCTTTTCAACAATTTGTCTGGAAGCAGCCAGTGCACAGGCGACGGCATCACAGCCCATGTTATCTTGCAGATGGGCATGTGCGCCCTGGGAAACAAGCCACTTGATTATGTGTAACTGCTCATGCGCCGCAGCTACCATAAGCGGCGTCCGTCCGTCAGGAGAATCTCTGCAATTGATATCCGCGCCGCCAATCAAAAGATTTCGCGCAATCCCCGAGTTACCCATGCCGGATGCCATGGATAGCAAGGATCTTCCTGTTGTTGTACGTTGATTTACATCCGCCCCACGCTCTACCAGAACACTTACAACGTCACGGTGCTGCCTCTCTACAGCCAGGTACAGCGCAGACTGACCTATGCTGTCCAATGCGTCGATATTAGCATCATGCCAATCCAGACATAGCCCAACAGTTCGTGTGTGACGGTTGCCGCTGCTTGCATCAATGGCGTTGTGCCTTGTAAACTCGATATAGCATTTCCACTGTCGCGTGTGCCCCGACATCTGTCGCATGAAACAGTGCCGTACGGCCAAGCTCATCTCTAGAATTCAGATCCGGCTTTTTATCAAGGACGTAGTCCCACGTTGTTTTGTCGACCACCTGGTTTTGAATCAGGTGCATCACCATTGTTTTCCCACTGTCATCCTTTGCTGCTACATCGGCTCCTTGCTGGATCAAATATTGCAACACATTTATATTGCCTAGGCTAGTTGCGACGGTGAGGAGCTTTTTGCCGGCTTCGTATCTAGCTTCAATATCGCCGCCATTTTCAAGCAGAAGTTGGAGTATGTCGGAGCTTCCCACTTGGCAGGCCTCCATGATTAGCGCTCGGCCTTTGCTGCTGTAGAGCGGCGGGAAATAGCCCTTATGTAGGAGCAAGCTGACTGTGGCAGGAGATAAACCACGCACAGCCTGGAACATGGCATGTTCCAGAGCATTCTCCAAAGCGTCAGCTTCTCCCTGACAACCTGCATTATATGCGTGGTCTGCTAACGTCTGAACCACTGTGGTGTGCCCATTGTAAGCAGCGATAGCAACCGGGGTTTCACCATTAACATTGGTTGCCAAAGGATTGGCTTTATGGTCCAATAGCAATCGAATCATATCCACGCAGCCATCTGCAGCGGTAACGCCGAGGGGTGTCTCGCTTGTAAAATCAGCATGATTGGGGGTTGCGCCGCGTTGCAGCAGGATTCTCGCTGTAGACTCGTGATGAAAGCGCACAGCCTGATTCAGAGGTGGCTGATAATCATAATCATAGCACTCAATACAAGCACCACTATCTAGTAAATAGATGGCCGTGGAATCCTGACCTGAAGTGGCAGCGGCATGTAACGCCGTATGCAGGCTTTTTCCTTGCTGTTTTGATCACCATCCGCATCGCGGTATCTAAGCCACTTGATAATAGTAGAAATCCGACCAGCTCTTGCCGCCTATCGTAGCGTCTCGAGTGATTCAACCTGAGAGTCGGTCTGATACAGGAATGGATTGAGAATATTGCACAGGTGACGGCACGTTGCGCAAAGGAAAGCCACCGCCCGCAAGGATCCACAAGCTTCGGCTATCGATAGGACGATCTCTGCGGGAAGAGTTAAGACCATGATAGAAGTTAACAAGAGCAGTTAGTTTTTCAAGACAATAAACGAACAATGTGTGTTAGATCAACGATGCTATGGCGAGTAAAATGTGTCTCCATGTTGTAGTTATGCCCTGGCGGCCGCCAGACCCCAACCCCCACTACCAGTCTGTGCGTGCTGGAGCTGCCTAAGACGGCGACAAAACTCCACCAAATGCGCGGCCTCAGCAGCGCTTATTGGGTAATATTCATCTAAAAATTCGATGAATATAAGGTATTTATGCCATACATAATATTCTACTCAAAGATTAATTAAAGACATCATGTTAAATTTTTTAAAAGATTATTTGAAAGATTGAATACAAACGAGTCTACCTGTAATTCTTGCCTGTAGAACACCTCTCTCATATTGACAGTGGGCGTCCCGGCTGATTTAATGGATGGTGCGCCCGCTCGCCAGCGCCAAATGTCTGCCAACGTGACTGGCAAACACCACTACGCCGCGCAACTACAAAGGCTAGCAAACAAAAATATTCACTCCCTTTGTCCGCAGGTTTTAGGTCTCTATATCTACAAAGACGATTGTCCTATGGTCACCAAAATACGACCCTCATGATTCCACATTCACGTATTAAAACAGTCCACGTTCGCCTCAACTACCAACATGTCTTCCCTGCTAGATCGCCCAGATCAAAGCACACGGCTCTCAGGTATACACTAAAATTGTTTTCTCTATACATCATACAGAAGACTAAATTGCTTTACAGATAGCTATGAAACAGATAAACTGAGGAAAAGATATCAGTCAGAGGAGAGCCAACCCCGTGACGCCAAGCGACAGAAAGTACAGCAGCAGCCAGTACGATCAGTGACAAGATATGGGCCGGCAGATACAACAATGCTAATTGTTAATAGCCAACCTGTCCTGTTTACAAGCCATTCGAGTCGTTCATCTTCGATTGGCTCAATCAAACTACTTGTCTTCGACGCAGACGTTGTTCAGAATCGACGCTCTACCCTCCGCCCACCACAAGACATTACATAGCTCGGTCATTGCGTTCTATGAATTCTAGTCAGCAGGAATCACAAGCCATAGACCAACCCCCATTGCCACGGTCTATCGCTTCTCTTCAAAGTGCAGGCGGGGGGTTTCTCCAAACTGGGCAATCTAGCCCAAGTCGCTCCCTAGGCAGCAATTCCTCAACCAGTCTAGTGATGCAGAATGGCTACAGAGACAGCAATCTATACCACAATGGTATTTATATGATGTCAACTAATGAGCCTATACCAGACGAAATTGCAGCTCTGACAACGCGCATGGGACATGCACGCCACTCCCCTGAGCCGGATCGAAAACAACTGCTACAGAGCGCTTTCTACACTACAATGGTTGATGGCTGCGCAGAAGCGGATGTAAGCAACTATTTCAAGGGATATATACAACAGAACAATCATTTATCTCATCAAACTGCTGCAGTTTCTGAAAACTTGCCAATGGCAGCAGACTGGCAAGTCAATCGAGAGAACCCTGGTCGATTCAGAACAAGCAAGCCAAAGCCAGACATTCTGTACGGATATAATACTAGACATGGCTTCAAAGACCATCGTGTTCACCTGGCGAGCCTAGGGCGCAATATGTCGAGCGACGGCAGCCAGCTTGTTTTCCCATTCTTGGTTGTCGAGCTCAAAGCCCAAGGGCCCGCTGGTAGCCAAGGAAGTCTCTGGGTGGCAGAGAATCAAGTCCTAGGGGCAGCATCGACATGCACATCCATGGTGTCATATCTCAATGATCAACTTAGATCTCCGAAGTATATTGAGACTGCTACTTTTAGCGTTGCCATGAGTAACACTGAAGCGCGCCTCTACATTTCTTGGGAAAAGGAGAAGTTTGAATACTATACGCATCGCTATCGAAGCTTTGCACTAGCTGATCCACAGCATCTCATTGAATTTCGTCGATATGTCCGCAACATTATCGACTGGGGTTATAATGAGCGCCTAGATACTATTCGACACGCTCTCGATTTGTTCCAGGAGAATACTGTTAACTCTAGAGCCAAAAGCGATTAGTATAATTGTCACGGAGCGTACGCGCGCACATGACGAACACCTTAGTTTAGATATAGAACCCTTTGTTCCACTTGAGTTAGCTAGTTCACCAATCTACATCATTTCGCGCCATAAGCACCCAAATTTCGTCCGTGACCGCCTGATAATACTCTAGTCTAGATTAATAGCTGTCTAAGCACACAGAAACTATCGTACATAAAAAAGCCCTTGCCAACGTAAAAACTTCCCAAATTGAAAACCTTTCCAATAGAAAACTTTCCAACACAAAAATAATACCATACAAAAAAGGCTTCCAACATAAAATCTTTCTAATACAAAACTTTTCTGGTGCAAACGGCTTACTAAATACATGGTTTACTAAATAATTACTATAAGTTAGATCAATTTTATAATATAAAACTATCGAACAAGCGCCATTGCACGCGATAGTCGTAGCAGGATAACGGATATAGGTGTTATCAAGAACAGCACGATAAAACGGGGCCGCTGTATATACAAAATTTTAAAATAGTAAAGATTAGTTTTAGATTTTTATAGTACTATTTATTTCTTTTATTTCTTTATAGATGGCAGTGTGATGGTTATTTGGTGTAACTTACATATTATGTTAATGTGATAGCGATAGCTTGAGAATTTAGTGGTATTAGGGTGGTATTGTTCAATGACGTAAACAGAGCAAAGCAACGCTAATGCAAGTAGCCGACACTGTGTGTATAGCCGGCCAAACGGTGACGATGTCGGCCAGCCTGTGGCATCCGCGGTAATCTTTCGGCGCTGCGGGGAATTTCACGACAGATTGAAAATTCTGAGCAAAGGCTTCTTCTTCTTCAAACTTCTTTCACATCCACGCCTGCTCGTTCAAGATGCTCAGCTCGGCCGCAAGAGCTACCGCTACACGCGCCGTCCCGCGAAGCGCCTCGCTTGTGCGGAGCTACAGCAGCGCCTACGATAGCACCATTCCGAACCTCAAAATTGGCAGCGACACACGTGTCATCTTCCAAGGTACGATTGTCGCCTTTTATCTACTTGTCCATGGCCAATTGAGGACTAACAAGCTCTAGGATTCACCGGTAGAGCTGTACGCTCCTCCTCGATGCAACAATTCTGTCGCGCACAAGCTAACAAGAGCACACACAGGCCACGGCAAACGCCAAAGACACCATAGAGTATGGAACCAAGATTGTCGGTGGTGTATCCCCCGGCAAGGGTGGTCAGACACATCTCGATCTGCCCGTCTTCAACACAGTCCGCGAGGTACCCATCTCTCTTCTCCTTAGCTGTTCTTGGCTGTACCTTTTTAGCTAACCATCGCACGCGGCTAGGCCATGCAAGAGGTAAAGCCTCACGTCAGCGCCGTCTTCGTCCCTGCCCAAGGAGCAGCAGCAGCCATTATCGAGTCGATAGAAGCAGAGGTGCCCTTGGTTGTCTCTGTCGCCGAACACATCCCCGTCCACGACATGCTGCGCGTCCACGAGATCCTGCGCACGCAGACGAAAACGCGTCTTGTCGGGCCTAATTGCCCCGGAATCATTGCCCCCGAACAGTGCCGAGTCGGCATCATGCCGTATAAGCAGTACAAAAAGGGCTGTGTTGGTATCGTCAGCAAGTCAGGCACCCTCAGCTACGAGAGCGTCGGGTCTACAAGCAAGGCTGGTCTCGGACAGAGCATCGTCGTCGGTATGGGCGGTGATTTACTCCCTGGGACGACACTTGTCGATGGCCTTAAGCTCTTTTTTGACCACCCCGAAACAGAAGGCATCATTGTCATTGGTGAGATTGGCGGCGAGGCCGAACTACGAGCGGCCGAGGCAATCAAGGAGTACCGCAAAAAAACGCCGAATCCCAAGCCCATCATTGCCATGGTAGCTGGGCAGACGGCACCAGAAGGCAGAACCATGGGCCACGCTGGCGCTGTCTTGAGTCCACGGGATGCGCCTGCTAGTGTAAAGGTGGCGGCGCTGAGAGATGCCGGTGCTGTCATTGTGCCGCATCCGGGCGTGATGGGAGCTACCATGAAGGAATTGCTGGGAAGGTAATATCATTATCATAGAGAGTATAAACTTTGAGCATAAATGAAGGACAAGCACGTTTGGTGGTCAAGGTTGTTTTACCAACATTCTTCAATCAATTACAGTCATACTATTTTTATACATCTTTACACTAGTAGTGGTCCTCCAGCGTAATCGTGACCGTCTTGGAAATCAAGTACTCGGCCACAGCAACATCCTTACCACTCTCCTTGCCGTATCCCGACTCCTTGATACCGCCAAAGGGGCTCTCAGCAGCCGAGCTGTTGCCCGTGTTGACGCCAATCATGCCCGCCTCCAAGTTCTCAGCCAAGCGGAAGACACGGTCCATGTTCTTGGTAAAGGCGTAACTAGCAAGACCCATGCTTGTATCGTTGGCGAGAGCAACCACCTCGTCTTCTGTCTCGAAGCTGTAGAGGCCGCAGACAGGCGCAAATGTCTCTTCGCGAGTCATCAGCATATCCTTGTTCATACCCGTCAGGATCACCGGCTCCATAAAGTATCCTGATACGCCCTGGCCCTTACCAGCACCCTCTTTGACGTTGCCCTTGCCCGTACCAAGAGCAATCTTGGCACCTTTGGCCACAGCATCGGCCACCTGCGCCTCTGCCTTGACAATACCATTGGGTGTTGTGACGGGGCCCATAGTTGTTCCCTCTTTAGCACCATGGCCGATAACAAGGCCCTTGGTCTTGGCCACAATCATATCGGTAAACTTTTGGTACACACCGGACTGGACATACAATCTGTTGGCAGTGATGCAAGCCTGGCCAGCGTGGCGCCACTTTAGCAGCATAAACTGGTCGACAGCCTGCTCGAGGTTCGCATCGTCAAACACGATAAATGGACAGTTTCCACCTAGCTCTAGAGTGCACTTCTTGAGGTTCTTTGCGCAAATGCCTGCAACAATCTTGCCGACGCGCGTGCTACCAGTAAAGGTCACCTTGTGCACATTTGGATGCAAGCACAGCGCCTCAGACAGGCTAGGCGTGTTGTCTAGTGATGTAGTCAAGACGTTGAGTACACCCTTAGGGAAGCCAGCTCGATCAGCAAGATCTGCTAGCGCCAACACAGTCAGCGGGGTTTCGGGCGACGGCTTAATCACCATGGTACATCCCGCTGCGAGAGCCGCACCAGCCTTGCGCAAAATCATGGCAATGGGGAAGTTCCATGGAACCAGAGCGACAGCCACACCAATGGGCTGCTTGACAACCATGACACGACGGTTCGGCGCAGCAGGGACGCTCACGGAGCCCTGGATGCGCTCGGCCTCGCCTGCAAACCACCATGTGAATCCAAGCGAGTATTCCAGCTCGCCCTGCGCTTCAGCCAGAGGCTTTCCCGTCTCATATGTGACCAGCTTGGCAATGTCGTCGCGGTTGGCCGTAATCAGATTGTGCCATACCATGAGGAGCTGTGCTCGCTTGCGGGGGTTCATCTTGCGATATGTCTGGAAGGTGTCGTCGGCCGCCTTGACAGCCGCATCGACGTCTTCCGCGGCATTGTCCGGGCACGAGGCCCAAATTGTATCGTTTCCGGGGTCAATGACATCGAATCGTTTGCCAGATTTGGCGTCGACCCAGTTGCCGCCAACGTACGACTTGTCGTGTAAGAGCGTCGGGTCGTTGAGTGTGAACGGTAGCTTGGTCGTCATTGTGTTGTGTGGGCTGTGGTTCGGAGGGAATGGAATAGATGGTGCTTATGCTAAAGAAAAGTAGGCGTCAGTCCCTTTTTATGGTGTTTTGGAAAATGAATGACGGCATGCAAGAGGCGAAAGGTGGAGGTGGTAACCATGGTCGGAGGAGAGTCGGCTGCATGGGGACCGACGGACTTGGCCCGCACAATGTGGTTCAGTCCGATGACGTTGCGCGGGGTCGCTAAGGACCACGGACGAAAGTGTCACCACAGCTAATAGCAGTGGCACCATTACTGTGGGATTCGAGTTGCGGGCGAGTAGGGACACGCGAAAAGCGTATTTGTGATTATTGGACGATGATATCAACTCTAGACATGGATATATACCAATAAGGTGAGCATGCAATTCTTTACCTATATATACTTATTCAAAATAGCAGATTCTTCTTCTGAATTGAAGATTTATAGATCTAGTACAAGAGCCAGACCTCGCACCACTCTTGCCCATTATACAACAGCTCATGAAGTTTCGGCCGGACGAAAGAATATCTGCGTGCGAGGCATTGAAGCTTCTGCAATAGAGATTCTCTTCAACAAAGTAGCAAGTTGTATTGAAATAGAATAATATATGTTTGTGGCTCTATATGTACGTTTACAGTATACATATACATGTATACCTATCTGTCTGTCCGTCTGTTGTATATATGTTGCTCTATCTACTTGTACAACAAAATGGCTGCCAAACGACCAATCCAACGCCGTTCTCATAAAGGGGGGGGTATAAAAGGAACATCTTGATGCTTTAAAATACAATCTCAGCAGCTCAACCATCACTCAATGGCTAGCTTCCGGAGAGCACACGTCGTCCAGCCGCTCGTCGGTGAGATGGAAGCCGATGGTGATGCCAGCATCGATAGCCTGTGCCAGTATCGTCGTCTTTTGGATTCCTGCTATGCGGCGAATCACTCGCAGACGCGCAGCGGCCCATCTTCTCACTTCTGGCGGGTTGATGGACAGACTGCCGGCGACATACAGGTGCCAGAAGATAAAATAGCAGCCCATGGCCATGGAGAGCTTGTCGGTGCCTGCGCCGCGAGCCCTGCCGCTAGGGATCTCCAGTGAGGATGTGCTATAGAGCTGTCCATTGCGAACGTAGCCCATCATGAGCGCTGTCGACGCCAGCATGTCGTCACGCATCATGGTCATGTTTTGTGTCGTAGATGCACTGAGTGCACCGTACAGCATGCCGTTGATCTCCTTTTCGGGCTCTCTTATAGCCCATTCACGGTGAATCAATGAGTGTATTGTCAGGCCGATGAACATGCGGCACGAGCGCATGCTGTTGAGGTAGCGGCCAACCCACATGTCGGAAAAGTCGTGCCAACGGCCCTTATATGCGACGTCGGGGTCAGCACTGGCATCAACATGCACCGTATAGTTCCATGTCTCGGAAAGGCTATGAAATAGCGCAACCAGAGCATCGTCCAACTCCATGGCTCGCTTTAGGTAGGCTTCCCAAGTGTCGTCTAAGAATGAGTCGGTGCGTGACACATCAACCTTGTTAAACAGGCCAATAATCTCAATGTAGAGCGTGCTTAGCATCCATGACGGCTCATCCGCACTGAAGTGCTCTGATGCTTGCTTCCGCAGGTTGAGAATGCTTTCGGGGAAGTGCTGCCGCAGACGAGAGCAGCTGGTGAGTAGATAGGAGCACACCTCCTGGAAAATGTGCTGTCCAACCTGAGTTTCGAACTGTGATATTCCACGCTGTAGCAGCAGGCTGGTGGCACCGTCGATATGGCGCGCCCACGCTTGAAACGAGTCACTGCCTATACATGTCATGCTCTCAAAGAAGCCTAACAGCAAAATGGACACAATTGTAGCATCGTCTTTGAACCGTTTAGGATCGCGGAGTGCTTCATTCGTTGTCTGCAGCGCCGTAACGTAGTACGACCGCGCTGACCGCATAATCATCCTGTTCCCCGTGATATTGGCCAGCGCTGCAAGCCCAACAGCGTTTATGGCCGGGGCCATAACAGTGACCCCTCTACTCCGGCTGTGCAGTTCGTCTACGGCGTAGCGCAGATACACCAGCGAAGCGCCAGATTGAGGTCCAATGTACGCAAAGTTGGCGGCAAAGTAGTTTAGGCCAAGATGGGCAAGACCAGCGGGCGGCGCGGCGGGTGAGTATGTGTTGATGTGGTTGGTGGGCATCTGAAAGGGAGTGCTGGTTGGTGGTGAGTGTGAGTTGCGAGTCCACTCAACCTGATGTGTGGGCGGTGACGGCGTCGGGCTGTCATCTCTTGCAGTTGATGTAGAGGTCGGTGGAGTTGTAGGATCGGATGTGCGCACGCGCTGGACAATTCGCGTTGTCTCGTTTCGGAAGAGAAGATCGGTCGGGTTTCGATATCCGGGGCAGACTTGGCCCATGCGAACGCATTGTCCGCACGACGGCACTGCTTTGTCGCACTATACACACAAAGGAAACGCCGCGGGGTTAGTTTTGGCTTTGCTCTTGGGCTATCTTGGTTTGCATCTCATGGGGGAGAGCAGCAGTTAGCCACTTACCCGTCTCTTCCGGGCTCTGCAATTGCCACAGTTTGGCGATGGTTTGCCGCAGTAGACCATCTTGGGCGGTTTTCAGTGCTGCTATCTCGTACCATGCATGGTTGGAAGTGTCGGGAAGAAGAGATCTGAACTGGATGCGCTGTTTCTATTTGCCGTCGCTCGTCGTTGGTGTATTTTTCGTCTATTGATGGTGTAGAGAGAAAAAAGCGCCGTGGTAAGCGACCACTGCAGACAAGCGCTGTAACATCACCACCCCTCACACACCACACACACACACACACACACACAGACCCCACCGGACAGTATCACCCACGCCAAGCCAATCTTTGGGGCGGGCGAGCCACATGACATGGGGGATCCCTTAGAGTTACCACTGGGGCTGCCCCTTCAGCGCACTAGCGGCCTTCTTTCAGGTGATTCTAGTGGGTTTTTGCCATGCGTTTTTAGTGCTTGTGGCGGTCCCTTGCAGCGCCAGCCATCCTGCATGCGCGCCCAACAGAGATCGGCATGGCAGCCCATAATCAAGTCAGAGTACAGAGTTTATGGGGATTACATGCAGTATAGACGAGAGCTTTTATTCCATTCGCTTCCCTTATTTCATGAGTTTTGACATTGTAAAAAAAAAATACAGGGTGAAGCACACACAGCCAGGGTGGAGCAGCATACAGCGCCATCACCAAGGTGCTTCGTAAATCACAGCAGGCGACCCAGGCATCTCGACCGCTGCAGCCGCCGCCATCGCCAGCGGCATACTGGCATGGTACGCCCTATACTTTTCCTCCTCTGCGGCCAAGAAGGCTCTGTCGGCTCGCACTTTTCTCTTTTGGCTCCTCCAAACAAAAAACACAAGAAGAGCAACAATCGCCAGTCCTCCTATAGTACCCCCTACGCTGGCACCTGCAATCACCGCTGTACTCGGAGTTGTAGCTGTTGCTCCTCCTGCTGCTCCGGGGCTAGTTGTAATAGACGCTGTTGCTGATGTCGGCGACCCCGAAGTACCACCCCCCGCTACAGCGGTAATTGTTGTTGGCGTCGATGTCGAGATGGTATGTGCCGCGGTTACGTTGAAATAGTTGGAAACAGCTGCTGTGTTGGTGTCGCCCGTCCTGTACAGTACAAAATACAGCACCGCCATGCCGCCTTGTCGCTCAACGTAGTCTTTGATGGTAGGGAATGCGTCCAAGCGAACCACCCAGCTAGAGTGGTTCACAGCTGCGTGGTCTATAAATCAACAAATGGGTTAGCATTGTCTTTGGAGGGCTGGTCCCTTACGGTCATATGCCGCTGTATAAAGCTATAGCCCATACCTTGGATATAGGCTCGTGCCCATTCGTCCCCAGGAAGCTTTTGTGGCTCTGCTGGTAGTTCAGGAACCACAAGCAAGTCTATTTGCCCTCCCATTGGCTCCCATTGGACGTCAAAGACCTCGCCGACCTTGTACACCCCATTGTTGCGATAGTATCCCTCGAGCCCTCGCTCCGGCGGGTTGACAAAGCTAGCTATCACGGCTGTCGATATGCAGAGGAATGACAAAATCAGTAGCCGGCATGACGGCCACATCATTGTTGTTTGGTATCGCACCGTCGTGATGGTTTTGTTGTATGTAGCATGAAGATGATGTGCGGCGCCAGAAGATGACGATTTTCTCGTGCATAGGAAAACCCGCCCACTATCATACTGATGGCAGCAGATATCCTGCACATCATATTATTTTTGTTCTTGGCTGGCGTAGCCATTCTCTCCAGGGGCTGCAGTTGTCGCGGATCGAGCGTCACGATCGTCTCAGGCTTGTTGCCGGAGACATTTTGGTGGTGCCAGCGACACCTCACGACACCTGCTAGATTCCAACAAGGATGAACCTGTAGCCTTTATACAAAATGATTTTCTTAAAATATGTGAGATTAGCATTTTGAAAAATATAGATGGCGGTTGCAAATCCCATTCACAGAGACAAAGGGTAAAGAACCTGATGAATTGGTGACCACACTGGATGCGTCCCGGCTGAGCCCAAGTCTTATACACGCCTCCACGCACAAGGTCCGGACGAACAATTCTCATTTAAAATACGCCACCGTCTCAACAGTCGTCTACACAGCTGCAGATATAGCACCAAGTCAAACTACTTTGAAAATGACATACATTGTCCATCTGATCTGCATGTACGCAGAATCGGCCTGTGTATGAATAACTAATACACGTTCAAAAGTACAGCGCCGTCACCGGCAGATGAATGGCAAGAAAAGAAAAAGATCAAAAGAAATGCAAAAAAGAAATTCCCGTAAAACGCCTCCCCCCTTTGGTGCGCCATTGAAAAAAATCATTCGAATGTTGTGTCCTCCTAAACGCCGCACGAGTGAATCAAGAAGATGTCCTCCGTCACTGTCCTGTCCCGTCACTGCCTCCGCCTACCACGAGCCTTGGCTTTCCCCCGCGTCCTTTTAGCTGCTTGCTCAGCCCAGTAATCCTTGGAGATTTGCGGCGCAGCTTTCGCAATAACGTGTCTGGGCTCCCACGTGGCTTCCTTGGGGCCGAAACCAACCCACTCAACTAGAACCTTCTTGCGATCAGGCGAGTGCTTCAGTATACCGTGGACGTCATAGAGGAGAGGATCCGCCGGGTTCTTGGGTCGTCCGCCAATCTCTTCATAGTATTCCAGCACGGCTGCTGGCGCATCGCTGTACAGGCTGCTCTCGGGCTCCCACGATACATCTCCAGATGTCCATTCCACATGGAGCTCCAGATCGCGATCGCTCCACCTATAGCCGATGAATCGTTCAAAGGACTCTTCGACGCTTTCCTCGCCGTCATCTGCCGTCGACCTTGACTTTCCATCACCTGTGCTGTTCTTCGTTTGTGGGCTGCGCGTCTTGCGACTCGACTTTGGGCTGGGATCTGGGCTAGGACATGGGCTCGAGCTATGCACCGTATCCAGAGGGTTAACGGATAGCAGTGGACTGGTTTGAAGAATTGTATTCTCTTTGTCTTCGTCGGCTTCGAGTGGCGTGTTGAAATGTGGTGGTAGTTGTGATTGGAATTGTAGTCTAGGAGGGCTCTCCTCGAGAATCTAACTAAGTATGAGCATGGTTGGAAGAAACAGTGCTGCGGCCACCGCTGTCGCAGGGTAGACGCTTCTTACTGGGACCTTGAATGTGACGCTTTTTCGCGTACTGGGCGCCTTGGATACGGTCTGTGAAATGAGATGGCTCTTCAGAGGCGACGCGGACGGCTGAAGATGTTTGCGTCGCGGTGTTGACGAGGGCCGCGCCGGCTCCTTGATGCGCGTCGGCGACGAGAAGATGGTGGCAAAGAAGCTCGTCATAGTGAGAGGTCTTGGTCAGGAGCAACTAGACCTGCAATCATCGAGTATCACAGAAACGAAATATTATGCAAGATGGAGCATTGCGCATGGGGGAGGCGTCAGGCTGGGTTTGGGTTTGGCGTCTGTTTGCAAATAAGAGCAGCGAGCTGAGCGCTTCTTTCGTGGGGAATGCAGAGTGGCTTGCTACCCACGCGTGGTCCCACAACGCCTCAAAAGTAACGTCTAGCCAAAGTGAACCTGGAGGGACAAGCCATTTCAGCGAGAAAGCGCCGAATGGAAATAGGGAAGGGACGTCTCATTCACTGCCGTCGCAAAATGTTTGCTTTGGAATAGTTGTGTCTGATTCACGTGACAGATGGTTATGTTTGTGAGGGACTGTTAGGACGCACCAGTGTATAGGCATGCTTGACAGCTGGTTAGCGCTGGCCGCCAGCTGGTGGCACCTGGCAAGCTACCAGACTTTTGTGAAACCAACAAAAGCATGTGAAATTAGCACCAATTCATATGTTGACCAAGAACGCAGTGGCTAAAGATATTGATTTCAATTGCCAAAAAAAAATGATAATTAAACAGCGATGAGAAAATACCAAAAAGAAAGGGTCTGGCCGGGGATTGAACCCGGGACCTCTCGCAAGCTAAGCTAAGGGTTTTCCCTAAGCGAGAATCATACCACTAGACCACCAGACCGGGTCGTTTGGAAGCCTTGTTCCACGTGATGGTAACGGAACGTTTATTTTTTCTTATGGACCCTTTCCACTGCAGCTAATACCGATTATTGTCTCTTGCGCTGTAGGAAGGTCTTCACATTGACTCGCAAACAGGAGAATTATATTATAGAAAATTGATTGATGCTGAAAATGGGTATAGATGTGTGCAAATGAAGAGATTAGACGTCCTGTAACACCAGGTTGCATCAAGGAGAAAGAAGATACCGCCAGTCACCGTGTTCAAGCGCGTCAGAGTATTCCTTGACCCAGGCACCGTATTCCTTCAGTTCCGGTGGAAGTCGAGCGAGTACGTCTCTTGCCCATCCAATTACAACCCCTTTGCGGCCCGGAGAGTTGTTGGGATGTGTAACGGGCAGACAAAGTGGCCCAAGGACATAATCCAGCAGGAAGCCATGGATGATGAGCAGCTGTGATGGAAAGTTGTTGATATCGATAAAGTCATTGAAAACATCACTGGACCAGCCGGCATAAACGTGGTAGAGAGCAACAAATGCCGACCAAGCTAGAGGCGACAAATAATAAAGGTCAATCTCGGGTTACAGACAGCCATGCGCTTTTACAGGAATGAACGTACCGGCTTCTGGTGATTCATGCATACTGGTGACGCACAATAGCATCCCGTCGAAATAGGCCATCTGTGATGGCGCGACCAAAAGATGCTTCATCTTGAGCAGGCTGCGATGAAAGTTGTGTAGGTTGGTAAAGTCGCCGTGCTCATCCGATATGATGAGTCGAATGCGATTCATGTGCTCTTCGGCGGTAAACATGTTGAAGATAGACTTGTCTTCGTTTTTGACAACAGCTTGCATGAGCAGCATGCATCCGCGGGTCATGACATGATACTCGCACATGCCGTCGGCTAGTAATCCGGTTTGCGCAATGAGACAGAGGACGGCGCCAAATACCGCATCAGCATCGGCAGGGCTTTGCGATGGCGACGAGAGCCGTTCATTTACCATTCGAATCGCCGTCACTCTGTGGCTCAGAGCCTGTTGCGTATAGTCAACGTTACCATGGAGAGAAATATGAGAAGCCCCAAGACCGAGCACTGAGTGAGCCAGCATTTGATACTATGCGTCAAATCGTTAGAGAAGCCTATTTCATTGTAACTCTTCAGAACCTACCTCGTGCGACATTGCGCTTGCGTCTAACCAGACACTATCACCCCGGAAAGGAAGAGTCGGAAAAGCCTTGGTCATGAAGCGATGGAAGAAGCGCAAGTCTTCCATTGCGAGGCCCGACGGGTTGATTTGGACGGTCGTCAGGGCAGCCGTTGCGGAGGGCTTCTTAGGATCTGGGTAAGAGCACGACAAGCCGAGTCGAGTGCAAGGTGCACATGAAGGCCTGGCCTCATTGCATTTCACACGGCGGCGCTTGCAATTGAAGCAGCCAAGCCGTGATTTGAAATGGCCGCGTCTGCTCTGTGACTTGCCGGGCGTCTTGGACTTTGGTGGTGGCGCCTCATCGTCGTTACCGCTGGGCTTTGCGGGTGGCTCCGGTAGGTCATTGGCCGAATTGTCGGTGTCGGCGGTAGCACCAAAAGCTGAGGACTTTGATGATGCACGCCGAGGCGACCCTGATGAAGATCCGGACGACGAGGACGACGACGATGAGTACGGAGGAGGGGACGGCTGGTTGGGGGTCCAGGTCATGACGACGGAGAATATTGCTGGACCATGCTAGACGGATAAAGGTGTTGAAGCAGCAGAAAATCGCTGGGCGTAGAGTAGCTGGTGATTTCTATGAGAGTAACAAGCGGGCCAGCGTTGTAGGTTGTATTAGAGATGCAAGATTTGAGAGGCAAAGACGAAGAAATCGCGTTGTTTGCGATCTGAGCGGGAGGCTACAGGGGGGTCTCGCCGTCATCATAGCCTTCTTTGGTGGGCTGAAACGGGGGCCTGTCGCGAGACTAAATGCTGACGGGTTCGATAGGGTTGCAATGCTGCGCTGTAAATACATACTTGAGATGGTGGAAGGGGAGGGGCTGAGGGGTTAATGGTGTAAAGTGATGACAAGAAAAGAAAAAGTAAGTAAATTAGAAAAGTATTGTGAATATAGTGTGCAATCCTACTAGAAACAACACCTCGCTACCTTTGCCAGCTGTGCCAACCGTGCCAACCGTGCCAGCTGGTGGTTGCAGCTCAGTACAACAGAATTCTTACAGTGGACGTTGTGCGCCGCTAAAAGTGGGCGAGTGCCTTGTTTGGTGGAGGTGACTGCGGGCCTGGGACGGGGCGGCGCCCAACGGGCTGCTAGTGAGAAAAGTTCGGACCAGCCATACTGTGTCACGACCTGCTGGATCGCTCTATAGTCTGTCGGTCACAACACTCACGACAGTTACGATGTCGAAACAGTTGCTACGCGACGTGTTCGCTTGCTAGCTGGCAAATAAAGAAGTTTCAACAACAAGTGTTTGCCAGCTGGCAAAGGAAAGCCGCCAGCTGGCAGGACCACAATAACCTTGTATATAAATAGAGAAGTGAACTGTGGAAGGAGAGGGATTTGTCCTTCTTCAAGTTTGTTGTCTTCTTTCTCTCTCGTATATAGAACAGTCAACAATAGCATTATGTTTGGCGAACTTTTCTCGTAATACCTAGACAGGTACGTGACATACTGCAGCGGCTTACCCTGTAGGAAGACTGAGACTTGCAATGTCGGCTGTGCTTTGTAATTTTGTGTTAATAACTCTGTAGCCTGGGTATTTAATCTGCTTCCTTTGAATAATTCGTATTTTATATTGTGTTGCTGTCGGAATTCTTTTTTGATCGAATCCCTACTCAAAGATAAAGTACATTTTAAGGTGACCGTTTAACGCCAGTTGCTGCAATTTGGCCGGCCACATTTAATCGCTTGCTATAGTCTAAAAATGTACTTAAAAATAATTCACAATATATAAGCAGATTTAGACATATAGATATCAATATGCTGATCAAAAAAGTCATCTTTTTGCCATATAAAAAGGGACATTTAAAGGTTGACCGTTACACAGACAGCACGGTGGCAGCACACGTGAGCTGCCGCCACCTGCGAGGCGGATTGCACCACACTGCGTGTCTCACAGGATTTGCCTTGAGGACCAAACCTCCTCCTCTGCATCTCCAACTTCATCTCTTGCACCAATTCTGACCTTCAACGTACCAGCGCACAACCTTCCAATCGCCATGGACGACCTTCTTTTCCTTAGTGCGCTTGGCCCGCCGCAGCCGCTAGCCTACCACCGCCAACAGCCTTGACCACCAAACTCCGCCAACGCTAGCGGCGACTGACGTGGGGTTATCCGTACAGTTATTAACTGCCTCACTAAAGTTAGTAATCCAGTTCCGGAACGTCGGGGCCTGGCCGAAGCTTGGTTTTCTCGCCTGCCTTTTTTCTTGTATTTTATTGCCGACATCGCCAGTCACCCCGCTGCACGCTACCTCCTCTTTGATCTACACATACTGTCCCTTTCTCAACTTATGCACTTTACACAAATGCGCTGATTGAGTGACGTACACACGCACTCACCATGGCTCGAACAAACACCGCCAGCCAGCAGCAACAGCAGCCTGGCGCGGCTGGTGCCCGATCGACCGACCGGAACCGCTCGAATCCAAACTACAATTCCTTTCCCGTTTACAATACCATTGCCGCCACCTTGGCAAGCACCCAGACCAATGGCGCTCCGGCTGACGCATCCGCCGCAAAGTCGGGCAAGCCAGCGCGCGTGCTGGCTCCAGACCTGCTCCGCGGCCTGCTCATGATTATCATGGCCATGGACCATGTGTCGGTGTCTTTTGGCTTCTGGGAACACGGCACCGGTCGTGTCGGCGAACAAGACGGCGCCGTCGTTGAACGCTGGAACTTTCCTACCGCCTTTGTCGTCCGTACCCTCACCCATCTCTGCGGCCCCGGCTTCACATTTCTGCTAGGCATGGGTATCGTCTATCTCGGCAACGCCCGTGTCAAGATTGGCTGGGGCGCCGGTAAGCTCATCCGTTACTTTGCTGTGCGAATGGTTGTCTTGACGGCGCTCTGTGTTGTCTTTGGCGTCACATTTACGCTAGGAGCCGCGTGGTTTGTCAACCCAGTCGTCTTTGCGCTCGGTGTGGACTACTTTCTTGTCGGCTTGCTCTGGCTGGCCATGAACAAAACTGAGCCTCTTCTCGCCTCTGCAATTACCCTCGCTATCCGAGATGAGCCAGAAGTAACCGATGAGTCTCCTATCGACGAAGAAGCGCCGCTCTTTGACCGCCCACGCACCAAGTCTCGCGCTGGCGCTGAGACCATTTCTTGGCACATCCATAATGTGTTCCTGGCCATTTTGACTGTTGTTACCATCTTTTGGAACATATGGATGTCCGAAAATGGTGGCCACTGCATCTCGTCGTCGTCACCGTCGTCGTCACCCCGTGGCTATGCAGGACTCACCGCTGCTGCGCCATTGGACATTCTCAAAGTCGCCCCCGGTATCCAGCCCCAGAACCAACCGACCCATCCGCTGCTGAAGATTTGGTTCTGGCCAATGATGGGTGCGGACACTCTCAAGTATGGCATGATGTCGGGCTTCCCCCCCATGGCGTGGATCTCGTTTGCTATCCTCGGCCTACTCTACGGCCGACTTGTCTATGGCCGGCCCTGGACAAAGTTGACGACCACGGCACATGCGCTCGCCGGTGCTGGCTTTATGGTCATTTTCGTCATGACACGAGTCTTTCGCTTTGGCAACTTGTCCGAGGGATGCCTCCACACACCAGATCACGACAAGGCCAACCGCCACGCCAACCCGTACTTGGTATCCCCTCAATCGTTTCTTTACATTATCAAATACCCACCCGATGTGGCGTACTGGGCCGCGACGCTGTCTGTCAACTTTTTGCTGCTGGCTTTGTTTGGCGCGCTCCCTCTGCGCCTCGCCAAGCGTATGACGCTTCTGCTCGATCTTGGAGGAGCAGCGCTCTTCTTTTATGTCGCGCACATGTATCTCATTATGGCGCTTGCGGTAGTGATGTTGCCCATCTTCGGCCATAAGCCAGACAAGGGCGTAACAAACCCCATGGGTGGTACCAAGGTAATGACAAACCTGTATGCCTACTTTGTCATTTGGGTCTTTGTTATTGCAGTTATGTGGCCGTCGTGCCGGTGGTATGGGCGGTTCAAGAGCACCAAAGGAGCAGATTCTCTATGGAGATTCTTTTAACAAGTCTTATGCAGTGCATACATGGTGTAAATCTATATTGAGCTACTACATATTTACAGTCCATTATACCTCTACAATACATCTGTTTATTTGTGCTTTGGCCCCTCTCCTTTTATGTTATTTTTTCACCGTGTCTAATATTTATTGCTCCCCATCCCCATACCATATATAACTGAGATCATATAGCTTATGATGGCTGCAAGGCACATAAAAAATGTTACCTTACCCGCGATAACCTTCACAACAAACCCACAGCGTCATAACGGCCCCTGTAACCGCGTGTCCACAGCAAGCGCCACAGCGGTGTCAAAGCTTGTTCGCAGGCGCACCCACAAGGCCCAATGCGGCAAGCGTCGTCAGCCCTTTTCACAGAAACGGACACTCGGCCAAACCATCGGGTTGCGCATCACCACCTTGTGGAGTCAACCCCGCGCCTTCGGCTCTTATTTTCTTAGCCACAGTCACATTCATAGCGATGCTTTTGTTGAGGCCCTCGGGAAGATTCCTAGCTGCTCCACAGTGGCCAATCATATGCCACTCGTTCACACTGTGAATATAATCGCACTAAGAACCACGCTCCATACAAGTTTTCGCCTAAAGCAAACTAGCTTTTTCTTCTTCTTCTTCCCTTTACTCTCTTTGATTTCACTAGAGCAACAATCTCTGGCTATTAAAGACGGAAAGCACAAAAAGAAAATGACCAGCGAAACCGCCACCGAGACCAAGGCGGCTGCTGCTGCGCGCCATCCAAACCCCAAAGACTCCATGAAGTCTACATGGCGAACCGCTGACAAGAAGACATGGACCATTCACCACAAGCTCATCGACTGGATCGACGTCCATCCCACTATCCTGGGCAAGCCGCCTCCTGTCTTTCAAAAGACGGATCCGATTCCCTACTTGCCTCACTGGGAGCAGCATGCCCTCATTCTCTACCACTCCTTCATCGCCCTAGCCTTGCACCAGGCTTTTACTCTTTTGACCGGTATCACCCTGCCGCCCATTGTCGCAGGCATCTACTATACCGTCGCCTTTGACGTTATTGTGATCCGCGAGGCGCATCTCATTCGCCGCCTGGCCTATGTCTACGGATACCTCGATGGTGATGTCCACCCACGCGATGAGATCCCAGATGTCGGCGTCAACAAGATTGCCACTGTGCTTAACAAGGTCACCGGAGCACGCATGGCCATGCACGTCTTCTTCACCTACAACCGCAACCAGCTGCCCTTTGATGTCATGCTTGATGGCAAGTGGTGGCTCTGGCTCATCATCGAGATGTCTCTCTACCCCATTGCTATTGACTTCTGGTTCTACTGGTACCACCGTGCCATGCACGTCATCCCTGGTCTCTGGCAGTTCCACCGCACGCACCACTTGACCAAGCACCCCAACGCTCTCTTCTCTGCTTATGCCGACCACGTCCAGGAGTTCTTTGATATTGTCGGAATCCCCCTGCTCGCCTACGGCACCATGCGCCTATTCGGTATCAACATGGGCTTCTTTGACTGGTGGATTGCACAACAGTACGTTGCCTTTGTCGAGGTTGGTGGCCACAGCGGTCTCCGCGTGCACTTTACGCCTCCCAACCCCCTCGACCCTATCCTCACCTACTTTGGCATGGAGCTGGCACTTGAGGACCACGATCTGCACCACCGCAAGGGCTGGAGAAAGAGCCACAACTACGGCAAGCAGACGCGTGTCTGGGACCGCATCTTTGGCACCTGCACTGACCGTATCGAATCTGTCGCCTCCAACGTCGACTACAAGAACACAGCCACCATGATTTGGCGATGAATGCAGGCAAGTGCTTTACTAGAAGCATATTCTCAGTCGAATACCACATATTGGATCATTTGTTATAGAAAGACCATTGAATTTTTGAATTTTTCACACGATACCCCCAAGAATGGACCCAACTCCTTTCCTGCCTTAGTAGTAGTATACTATTCCATAGAATTAAAATTTATACACAATTTATCGTATTATTATTCTAGATGAATGGTTGTAAATGGTACGTAGAAAGTAGCCCATTACTCAAATGCGATATAGGCCAGTGGCGTAATATACACATCAGCAGTCTGTGTCCATGTCACGTAGATGCCATTGTCTGAGGGACGTAGCAAGTACGGGTGAGCTTGCAATGAATAGCTGAAACTGCTCTTGTTGGGACCCTGGTAGATGAGATAAGGCTTCCCCCATGGCCCCTCTGGACTGGAAGCCGAGGTCATGTAAAAGTCAGCTGCAATAGACACGCCAGCCTGGCCGATCCAGAAAAAGGACGCGTGTTTCTTTGAGTAGTAAAACGTGCCCTGCCCACCATAGCCCGCATTAAGCACGTTGGCAGCGCTGTCGGTGTACTTGGGAATCGTACGCGTCCATTTGCCATTAACAAAGTACTCGTACTTGCTCTTCTGCTCCACGCTGCCCACAGGAACTCTGGCCAGACCAATGATCCAGCTACCATTGGTTTCTGCCTTACCGTAGGCATAGACGTAGCCATTCGACACAATGTTGCCGTATGTGCCGTACCCAATCTCGTGCTGCTTCCAGAATTCATAGCTCACCACCGTCACATTCGGAACAACATTGGTATCAGCAGTAGGCTTGTACGTCATCTTGTACAGACTGGTAGGCTGTTCTTGATTCTGCACAGTAAGTCCTTTGAGATGCGTCTTGGTCAGCCATGAGTACGCGGTAATGGTACCGTCAGCCGCGGTGTGCGTGATCAGAGGCGGCGTATCAGGCCATCCAACCCAGCGAGAGCCGTCATCACACGCCCCCGAGTCTGGGCACATGTCAGGACCGGTCTTGAAAAAGTCGGGAAGCGTCGGATTGGGGCCTTTCATAAGCCAAATATCATTCTTTCCCGTTGACCCAGGCCCAACCTCACCGCCGTGTTGCAATTTGGGCGATCCATCGGCGTTAAACTCGGACCAGCCCACCGAGTTGGAGAAAGGAAAGCTCCATTGGCCATTGGACATTTTGTACATGGTGTCTCGGCACGTCCAGAATGCACGATTTCCAAAGTTGGTAGCGCAGCAGGAGTCCCGGTTCTGCATAGGGTTGGTGACGTTGCCCAGAATGCGAACGCTCTTAGGCTTCGGTGTCGCAGGATTCGCAGATGGCGCCGCCGTTGTGCCAAAGGCAAGGCTTGTAGACAGTATAATGCTGAATTTCATTTTCGTTTTGGTTGATGTTGTTGAAACAATAATACGGTTTGCATTCACCGGCGACTTATATACTTGGAGCCGGAGGGTATTGACACTAGATGCTGACAGAAGGCTGGCTGGGATCGGCTCTTACACGGTAATACTATGTCTCCGAAACTACTTGGTAAGCGATGACAATGTAGATTGATCAAGATTACGTTTGGTTGACAAAGAATCATAAAATATCCATATATTTTGTGCACTCCAAACCCCAATCACGGCATCTTCAATTTCCGTAGCGCCTATTTCCAAGCAGCTTTAATCATGTCAGCTGCCTTTTCTCCAATTCCATAAGCAGGCATCTGGGTATGACCTCCATGCAACACCGGCATGATGCTAGTGTCGGCAACACGGAGGCCCTTGACGCCAAACACGCGGAGTTGGCTATCCACGACGGCTGCAAGGTCGGACTGCTTGCCCATCTTGCAAGTTCCAGATGCGTGGTAGCCTGGCTTAAAGTCAGCGCTTTGTACGGATGGAGCAACTATCTTCCCAAGACAACTTACAAGTAGTCGCATACTTCTTAACATACGGAATCCAGTCCTCTCGTGTCTTAAACTGATGGTGACCCTCGGTAGCAGGCCAAGCTCCCTTGACGATATCCTTGGTGCCCTTGCCTTGCATGATGATTTCGTTTCCGAAACGACATGCCTCTGCCAGTACCTCTAGGTCGAGGGGATCGGTGAGGTAGCCACAGTCAACGACTGGTACTGCCTTTGCATCTGTATCCCGTAGAGTAACGGTTCCTCTGGATCGGGGACGGAAGAGTTCGGCGATGATGCTAAACGCGTGCTTGTTGTCCACGGGAAATTGGTCATATTGCTTGGGTCCTCCATAACACTCGGTCGAGAAAAACTCAATGTTGGGCTGAGAGCTGGTCAATCCCATGGGATCTCGGTTCGGCTCTCGAGGCGACGATTTCCACAGCTCGGAATCAGCCAATCGCTCATCCAGTCGAGCAAAGGCAAATGCTCCAAAGGGAAAGGTGGACAAGAAACCAGTCTTGGAGTCCTTCCAGAGCTGGTACGCATCATTAAAGGCATCGCCATGGTATACCTGATGATCCGTCGTCAAGCCGGGTACTTCAGTCTCGTAAAATATAAAGACAATCTATAGCCCAAATTAGATCATGGTGGCGTGGGACAGCGTCTTGTGCTTACCAAATGGTCCATCAGGTTTTGACCAACACCAGGGAGATCTACCAGCGTCTCGATGCCATGCTTACTTAGGTCGTCTTTGGCCCCGATACCTGAACGGTTGAGGATATTTGGGCTGCAGTATGCTCCTCCCGACACAATAATCTCCTTCTTCGCAGTGGCCGTGAAGACTGTTCCGTCACCAAGAACAGCTGATACGCCGGTAGCTTGCAGCTCACCATTGGTGTCCCTCTTGATGACTACTTTGTCAACATGGCAGTCTGTTACAATCTTGATGTTGTTCTTGGTGTTTTGCTTCGTGATAAAGTCGGCTCCAGTCGTTCGAAGACCCTTGGACACTGTACGCGGAGCATGGCCACAGCCGTGGGGGTTTCGGCCGTGCGAAAACATGTCGTCATCGAGTCCCAATCCTTTATCTTGCATGGATTCCAAGATCCTTTCAGAAATAGGGGCCAAGTCATGGGGCTCGATACCGAGTTCGCCATCGTAGCCATGAGCGTCCTTTTCGGCTTTGAACCACGGTTTGGGTGTGAAGCGTTCGGCCTTTTTCATGTACTTGAATACTTCATCGCCACTCCAGCCTTCTACCTCCCAGTCGTCATAGTCTTGCCTAGATCCCCGAATGCATAGTGTTCCGTTGCACCCTGAAGATCCGCCCAAGAACTTTCCACGGCTAAGTTTTACTTCTCGGTTGTCGATGCCAGCACCCGGCGACGCAATCACGTTCCAATCTGTCTCTTTGTCAAAGTTTTGCGACCAACTGTGCCGTATTAGCATATCAAATCATACCAATTGATAATCATAAAACATACCCTCCCACCATGTGAACAGTCTCGAGGGTATCAGAGTTTGGGCCCGCCTCCAGAACCAGTACGGTGGCGTTGGGATCTTCAGCAAGCCGGCCAGCAATAACACAGCCAGTGGTTCCTCCTCTATTTTTCGAGTCAGTAGAGAAAGTATATATCTTAGCTCGTAGTTGTATTACCCGCAAATAATGTAGTCGAAGCTTTCTTCGGTAATGGAGCCCATTGTGGATGATGTAAGTGGTGATAGCTTTGAGCCGTCTTAATGTTTACAATTGCCACGGAACCAAGACCTGATTTATATTTCCTTACGTATCTCTCGCATTCATTAAAAAGAGTTAGCTCCAAGCTACCCCTCCCTTTCGCCCGCAGCTCGGGTGTTTGTGGCGGCATAGCTTCCTCAAGGCGCGTGCCTGACCTGCAAGACTGCTCCTGATCAACCCCGCACTAGCTGGACGAATCAGATCACTTTTCAAGGCCGGAAAACCTGGAAATGCTTCTTAGGGATTCCGTATCGTAGCTAGCTCAATTACTTTCCGAAAAAAGTTCTCCACAAAGCGGCGGGAGGATCGGAATTTCCGTGCAGCTACACTCATCACCGGGATCGTTCCGCGCACGATTTGCGAAGTCCAATCTGTGAGGAGAAATATTCATTGTTCCAACTAATGAAACCCCCAAAATTACAGCTCGTATTCACCTATATTTACATTTTGAAACTTTGTAATCAGCTCATGTACGTCCTTCATATCGGACTTGTCCACAAAGCTCGTTTCCCACTTGAGCCAACCCGTTGCTTCGAGATTCCTGTACACAATAAGAGCCAAACGCCAGAATTCGAACCCATGCCTAAAAAAGCCAACTCGCTGCCACGAGTTCCCTGCACCGACTTGGTATATGTCATAATCCCCAAGGACTGTCTGACGGCACATCCATGCCCGCTTCCAGTTTCGCAGACCTTGGAGGACCTCTGATTTATCTGAGTGCACAATCGTGGATGGATTTTGTAGGTATGGATGCTGTTGCATCTTTAAAACTGCCGACTGGGGGTTGTGGCAGTGAAAAATCATGTTTTGAAATGCTATACCCCAAGGTTAGATAGAGCATGAATCAAGATGCACTTGTTGCTGATACATACCATTTGCCAGCGTAAAAAAGTTCAACGGGCCCATCTCACATAATATTGTCCACTCTGACAAACTTAAATCGGCTTTGACCACGAATTGAAGAACATCCCGAACTAAAGGTTGGGCTTTGCCAGTTTCGCTTGCCGCCCATACTTCCATATGTTTCCGCCATTCGTCGACGTCAGCCACTTGAAAGCAAATCTCGGGGCAGGTAAGACCCATGTTGAGCTCGTCGGATAGCATGCGAGGCGAGAAGTTGTTGAACATTTTGAAAGCGCAATCGAGAAGAAAGACGTAAAGCAGGGCACGGATACATTCTTCTTTCAAGGTGAAACGCTTCCAGCTCATATATGGCTGCCTGTCTTCAAGGTATACAGACAGCAGGTCATGCTGAATCGGGCCCAACGCCAGTATGCTTCTTGCGGAAGCAATCACCTTGGGATACCTCACTATGCGGGCTCGATTACTTTGTGCCTCGTCGCCTTCCCATTGAAGAAACAACACGACGCAATACGCAGCACGTATGGCATCTACGCGTGGCTCAAGTGTCAACATGATTTTGGCCGCAGTTTTGTTACAGGTTGCAACAGGATCGTCACAAAGGCTTGGGTCTGAAAAGACGTATTCTTCGATGATATCGATCCAGCGCAGCGCCCCGAAATGCTCCACCTCGCTGGAAGTAAGAGTAGCTCCAACGAGAGCCAAAGCAGCCACCAAGGGAGCGGGCTTCTGTGCCGTAATGAAACTCGGTCGGTGGAATACGGGTACGTTTGGATACCAGAGTGCGAAAAACGCCACCACAAGTCGCTCAATTTGCGGAGGAGCAAAGAATTGCCGACATTCGTGCTCCAAAGACGTGGTCCATGACCCAGCATCCAGCGACTCTACTGTTCGGCGAATGCCTTGAACAATCTCCTCTGATTTCAAATACAGTGGATGGCAGCTCCAACAACATGAAATGGAACCAAGGCGATGTGGCTCGTTTGTTTCCGCACAGGAGCCGTTTGCATCTGTCTCGGATAATAGTAGTCCATTCTGATGGGTGCCGTCTGCTCTTTTCGATGTATTTGTCGTCGACAGTGAGCGTTGGCAGGGTTGTGAGGTCAGTTTCTTCATAATCTGGGCGCGCTGGATCGAGTTGCCACAGTCAAACGAGCTAGCAAACCCGGATGTCGCCGTAAAGTGTTCCAAAAAGGACAGCTTCATTGTTGGAAGCCCCGACGGTAGTGAAGGGCGCGGTGCCGGTTGTGCAAATCGACTGTAGGCATCCAGTAGAGCCACATCAAAATGTTCTATAGAAGCCAGCAAGTCTGGACAGATCTGTTGGCCTGCCATGGTGCGAACTGCATCTGTAAACGGCGTCTGTCCATGGTCAAAGGTGGCTAGAGTCAGTGCCTGATCGCTACCAGGACTACTTTGCTCCAGCGAATCTTCTCTGGGGACAGCGGCATCGCTTTCGCACTTGGGAAGGTTACAATCAATGCTGAGTCGGTCACAAGCTTCGCATGGATATTTTCTGCTGCATTTTCGCTTAGCTTTGACGCATGGATCGCACGATAGGCGTTTCCTGCCTCGCCGCTGTCGTTGAAGCTCTGCAGGTGCATCATCTATCAGGGCGCGGTGATGACAGGTTCTCCAATGTCTCAGAAGCGCGTCCCTATACACATTGGTTAGGAAACACTTCAATTTCTACAGCAGTATCGAGTGTACTTGCCTTCGCCCAAACCTTAGCTTACAAAAGGAGCATTCATAAGCTCTAACATCGCTGTCTAGTGAAAGTGTAAGCACATTTGTAACAAGATGAGCTCGAGGACACATACGAGAGACTACATGGCGATGTAGATGGTCTGGTATATGCGGTTAACACACGGCACATAACCCTACGATATAGAAAAAGGGCCATACCGAGTCTTTTGAATGTCTGATTACACTCTGTGCATATATATGTTGCTGGCGGACATCGGTTTCCCATGATGAAGCTTTGTCAATACCAATGTCCCATCTGTGATCTGTCGCCGAGTAGCATATATGCTTTTTTAGTAGGCGCATATGGTTTCAAGCTCGCTTCACAAGCTATCTCCGACAGCGCATCGTAGCCCGATATGACGATAAGTTGATATCGTAGTGCGTCTGGAATTTCTCGGAATGCCCTCTGCGACCAACAAGCACAAGCACACTGCAAAATAGCTGGGACATTCCGCTGCAGGTGTCGTCAGTTCCATGTTGCCGCGCGGAAGTATGGCGCACCGGAGAATCCCCACCCCCGCATTTTGTTGGCGATCATCATCCCTACGCCTCCCAGCTAACCTATAGAGAAACTGATCTCTATAGTAGCCTCGCAGAATGTGGTTTAGGCATGTTTAAAATTATTGTGGGTATAAGATAGCGTTTTAAGATTTGGTGTAGCACGGCATTGCATCTAAACATACTATACCAACTATCACTGAGTTTAGTATATCTGCTTGTAGTTTGTCGTAGCAAATGTAGTGACAAGTAAAAAAGTCAAATTAGCTGTACAATTAAAGCAATAATATTCTATACAAGTATTCTTCCGCTCATATCTACAGCTCCTCCTTGGCAGCATCCTCTTTGCCGTGACCAAAGATATACGGCGATACTGTTTGCCAGAGGGAGCGGCCGCTGTGGACGCGCTTCTGGTCAAAGATGGCCTTCATAATAGGGAACAAATCGGCAGGCATAAGCTTGCGAGTCGATCGCTTCCAGCCAAGCTCCTCAGGCAGACGCTCTTCAGTCAACCAGACGCGGACACGCTCTTTGGGCGCAGTCCAAGTCCTGGAGCTGGGGAAAGAGTAGGCAGACGGGACGGTGTCCTCCTTCATCATCATGAGCACCAAGCTGGACTCGACATAAGCCAGGAGCTGGTCTTGCGCGCTAAGCTTCTTGGGGCTGGAGATGCCTTCAACGCGCAGGCGGCTCTTGGCAATGGACGAGGCGTCGATGTGGTCGCTAGGGCTGTCATCGAGGAGCGCAGCAATGCGGCCCGGAACGGCCTTGATGTTGGCTTCGGTCTCGGTTACGTCGTCGCGGCTAAGGGAGCCAATGTGCTGGAGGATACCAGGCGTGTTGAGGTCGGCCAAGTCGAATCTATCCGAGTGCCAGCCGGCGATAAACATCTTGGCGGGCTTAGTGCCATACGAAGGGTTGGTGTTGAGGGCCTCGACGACGGCGTTTCCAAAGTCTTCGACCGAGAGATTCTTGCCATTGTGAGAACTACGAGATATCCAGTGTTAGTTAATACACCATCAGTCAAAATTATCATTCTCAACGTACAGGTAGCCGTGGTTGGCAAGCGTGTTGAGCATGGGGCATGGGCCGCGAGAGTCATCGGCGCCAGGAGCAACCCAAGGCTTGAGAGCCTCGCCAACAGAGGCGAGGGCCAGAATTGAGGCGAGTGTGATGCTAGAGAGCATGATGGATGCAAGACTGGATCAGCTTTTTGCAATTGATGGTGATGAAACTGAAGTTGACGGGAAAGGAGGCGACGAGAAGGCAGGTTAAAAGCCAAGCGAGGACCCTTGAGGATGGAAAACAAAATTTCTCCAACTGCTTACATGCCGGTCTCTCCGTTTTCGTGCTGTGACCTCTTCCACTTCGTTGACAATAACGCGACTCTGATTGGCTAGCCGGAGTATGCGAACCATTAGACTCCGATCGATGCGCGTCGCAGCACCGCATTGGTGGATAATCACGTTGCAGGGTCTAGAAAAGGTGGGAACAGGCCCAACAAGCTACGCTACCAAGCGTAGGAGGCGCGGCGGCGGCTCTCCTGTAAAAGACTGCGCAGTGGTACGCTGGAGTTGCAACAGAAGCGCGTCTAGCGGTTGCCGTTGGCCTGCTTTTGTGACATGATGAGCGTGGGTGGTGGAGGGATCTACTATGATTTGCGATGATGCGACGAAACCGCTTTTTATCTTCCATTAATTATGGCGACGCAAGATGTTGATCCCTGGCTTTGTGTATTGCATTCTCACAGGGTCTTGGAACTAGGGGACCATGAACTGCGGGAGCTGTAAAGGGGCTCGTCCAATCTATTTCATTTAGAGTTAATATTATACTTGATGATTGGAGGGTCGCGACAGACAACTTGAGAATAGTGTAAAGTAACCAAAGAGGGATTTTAATATTTTTTAAATAGAGCTGTATGGTCAGCAACGACAGTCGGTAGAGTTTCCGCTGCTATCATCAGTCCCGGAACCAAAGAGCGGCAGTACCCCGAGAGCAACTATCCTTCGTCCGAAAAGTGCGGAGCTTCCTTGCGCAAAGCAGACTGTCCAGGACACTGTTGAGAGACGTACCCCGATGGTGGCAATTGTGAAACACGCCATCCACCAACAGGCCCGATTGCTACTGGTCAAGAGCTACACGACTAGCAAGAGGCGGTCCGATGTGAGAGTCAGTGAGCGTTCTCACTGGGCCAACTCGTACATGTGACACCCCGTAGAGGCCAACTAGAATTCTGGGGTTGGCAATTTGACAGCTTGACACGCTATCGCTAGCGTGCAGGGCGTGTGCATGAGGAGCAGATAAGCCGGGTTGGGGGGTTGTCTTCAGGCTGAAAAGAACACACCAAAGTACTTTGAACCAATGGCTTGCTGCTTCCCCCCTTTGGCAAATAGGACAGCTGAGCCTAGAAGAGCACCTGAAAAAAAGGTCTTTTGTTTTCCAAGGCTAATAGTTTGCAAAGACGAAAGATCCTTTGTTATTACCTATACAGGAAGGAGGCCTTGGTGAAGCTAGTGACGATCCCCCAGAACCAAGTTGCACAGAAACCGCTTGAAGAACTCGTACGCCATTGCTGACCGGATGGCATCTTTTGGTTTTAATAATCACACACTATCGGGAGCGGCCGTCGCACTCAGATATCCACCGTCGGCGACCAAAGCAAACAACAACAAGACAAAGGCCCGACACCGACTCCTATCTTGGTCTATTGGACCCTCTACTCGAGGTAGGTATCTTGTATCGCCAACGTCGTGCTCTGCCAAGTGTTTTTCTACGATGTATCGTTAATATACCAACGGCAGCCCAGCCGGCTTGGCAAGCGGGGGAACTAAACCAGAGAGAGGCTTTTGGGCCAAAACCGGAAATATAGCGTGGGCGAGGTGGTAACGCCTTGGGCAGGTTTGGGGGTTTGACAGCTTGGCGTTACCACCTGAGAACCAGTAACAGGCCTCCAAAGCCGATAGCGAGGCCCCATCATCTTCAGCTCGCTAGATCCACTGCTCGGTCCCTTTTTCTATGCTTCATTGTCACCTACCCCATGCGCGGTAGAACTAGATAGTGCATATTGGTCTTGTATTGGCCTGGGCTAGGCTAGATTTGGCCGGTCACCACCGAAGCCGCGCGCTCTCTCTCACACACATCACCGCTCTTATAGAGCCCACCTGAAGCTAGCATACATTAGCGCTTTCGGTGCTATTGGCTCTCTCGATGGACCAGTACGATGGCTTCTAGCATGCTGAAACCGGCATCTCGGCACTCTAGCTCGCCCAACATGCACACCTTGCCTTGCTCTAGCCTCGTGGCGACCATCATGGCTTGCCCCAGATTTATGCACTGGCTCCGGATTTGTTGTCCTAAACAAGAAGCTCGTTTTCACGCTTAATGTCAACCATGATGCGGATGGGGGCAAGTAGTTTGTATCTTCGCGCCGAGACCACGACTACCAATCCGCCCAGCCTCGTCATTGGTTGATCTAGGTGTACTTTTGCTCATCCAGCATCCACGCCGGCGCCTTAGCTTCACAAATCAAAAGTCCATCTTACGTCTTCTCCATACTTTGCGGTCCTTGTCGGTGTTTTCCAGCTTCCCAATCGGGCCGCCATCGTTCCCGAACTCGTGCGCTTGCCACTCCGGTGAGCCATCACAAGGTCCAAAGTAGCGCAAGCCTACTAATGTCAACATTATTATCCCAATTGATGACACAAGAGTGGGCAAGCTACCTTCCTCATTCATCCAATGGCCGCCGAGGACCACCTGATGATAGCCTTGACCGAGTGTTGTTGTGATGGCACTTGGATATACAGTGTGATGATGTTGGGGCAATGATGAAATGATAAATAGACGTCCATGTCTCCCACTGTTTTTCACTTTATATCCCTCTCCTCATCACCCTTTCAGTCTTCCTCCCCCATCCCATCTCAAAACAATCCCAAATTACTAGCATCACGATGCAGACCTTTGGAAGCTTCCTCGTTGCATTCCTGTCGGCCTCCCTGGCTGCTGGAACGCCTGTCCCCAACCCCGAGCCGAGTTCTTTTGAGCTTCACCAGACTCGCAACGCCAACTTCAAGCCCAACGGTGCCGCAGCTCTCGCGAAGGCCTACACCAAGTACGGCAAAGCTGTTCCTGCCAACATCCAGGCTGCTGCGGAGCGTGGCCACGCCAAACAGAAGCGTGTTAGTGGTAGTGCCACCGCCAACTCCATCTCTGGCGACCTGGAGTACACTGTTGCTGTCAAGATTGGCACTCCTGCCCAGACTCTTCAGCTCGACTTTGATACTGGCTCCTCTGACCTCTGGGTCTTCTCCAGCGAGACCCCCAGCTCCCAGTCCAGCGGCCACCACATCTACAGCCCCTCCAAGAGCAGCACCTCCAAGAAGCTGAGTGGTTCTACTTGGTCCATCACCTACGGTGACCAGTCTTCCTCCTCTGGCGACGTCTACACCGATACTGTTACCGTCGGTCCCCTTACTGTCAAGACCCAGGCTGTCGAGTCTGCTCAAAAGGTCTCTGCCCAGTTCGCCTCTGGCAGCAACGACGGTCTCTTGGGTCTTGCTTTCAGCACCCTCAACACTGTCAAGCCTACCAAGCAAAAGACCTGGTTCGACAACATCAAGTCTACTCTTGACTCTGATCTCTTTGTTGCCGATCTCCGCCACAACACTGCTGGCTCCTACACTTTCGGTGCCATTCCCTCTGCCGCTACCAACATTGGCTACACAACCCTTGACAAATCTCAGGGCTTCTGGGGCTTCTCTACCACCACTGACTACGGTGATGCCAGCGGCTCCATTGCCGACACTGGTACCACCCTTCTTCTCGTCCCCGATGAGATCATCAACAACTACTACGGCAACGTTCAGAGCGCTCGCTACGACAACAACGAGGGTGGTGTCGTGTTCGACTGCAGCGAGACCCTCCCCGATTTCCACTTCACCGTTGGGGGCAAGACCATCCGCATCCCCGGTTCCTACATCAACTACGCCCCCGACAACAGCGGTTCTTGCTTCGGTGGTATCCAGTCCTCTAGCGGTATCGGAATCAACATCTTTGGTGACATTGCTCTCAAGGCTGCCTATGTTGTCTTTGATGATGCCAACAACAGACTTGGCTGGGCCCAGAAGGTCTAAAGATGAATAAATCTTGTATATATCATGAAAACCGTCATATAGTATATAAAAAGCCAATACAGTATAATTTTTCACATTGCCCTGTTTCAGCTTTCGGTTGTATTTCTCTATTTGGAACCTTACGTCACCTTGCCAAGGTATATTCATTACACCAGTAGATAAAAAAAGGAGCCAAAACCCCGACGGGGCTTTGTGGGAGGCCGATCAGCGGGCCGTTGCGAACACCCACAGTGCAACGTTTCTTGGTCGTATTTCTAATAAAGCTGGAGTAAGCTGCCTCTAGGACTAGTTAATGATGACGTTCTTTCTTGTTATTACTTGCATGCTTATACTATGCAGGTGCACGTTGCTATCACGGAATCCGGCTGCGTCGGAACAGATAGTCAGGCTCTGGGTTTTCTGCAATCAAAAAAACAAAGAGGCCCCCATCTTATGCGAGCTCGATGGGGGCCGGCAGTTGTAAATCAAACATGTGTTTGTGGATCTCGGCCTCGGCAGCTTTGCTACATCGAACGCCACATTTCAAGAAAGAGTTGACGATGATGCTGATTTGGGACAACCAAGGCTGTATATATAGCCTGAGACAAGGCTACATAAAGAGACGGACCAAACACAGGGAATTTAAGGTAGTATTACGCTAACATAGAACATCACTAGTATAAATAAACGCTTTTTTCTCAAGTTGGCATTGTTCGTATATAGCTACAGGAGTCAGCTGGCGACGATCTCAGTTGTGACGCAAGCCACTGCAACTAAAACCCCCGTCGGTCTTTTAGTGCAACAGTTCCATCCGTATCACCGTTAAACCAATCATTCTTTACCTTAATGTCACTTCCGGTCATCCCGGGGACTAATCTCAAGTTTTTCTTAAAATACCCACGTAACCCCGCGCGACAACAGACGGTTTCTTCACATCAACCATATTGCAAGCAACGACACATCCATCATGATTGACAAAGCGCTTCTCGGCGCCATCGCCGTGGCTTCAACGTCCATCTATCTCCTTCTCATTGTGGTCCAAAAGATTCAGCGGGCGCAAAAGGCCAGCAAGCTAGGATGTCAAGGTCTTCAACCCGCTTTAGTGAATGACCCTAGCGGTGTCGCAACAGTGCGCAAGTTCCAAGCGGCCTCAAGCGAGAAAAGAGTGCCAGCTATGCTTGCCGAGGACTTTGACAAGCTCTCCAAGGAGCACGGTCGCGTTGTCAGCACGGCAAAAATGCCTGGGCTTTTCTTCAACGACAACATCATGACGATTGAACCTAAAAATATTCAGACTGTCCTTGCTGGAAGCTTCAAAGATTTCGAGATTGGTCCTACCCGTGTCGATAACCTGCGACCTGTCCTCGGTGAAGGCATTGTAAGAAGCTCCGTCGCCAAAGTTTGTATAATATTATGCTAAAGACTGAAACAGTTTGCATCCAACGGCAAGATTTGGGAACACTCACGCGCACTCCTTCGCCCCCAGTTTGTCCGCAGCCAAATCAGCGATATTAGTCTTGAAGAACGCCATGTGCAGTCGCTCATGACTGTTATTGATCGAGAAGTAACACCGACAGGGTGGACGAATTTCCTCGACGTCCAGCCTCTATTCTTCCGCCTAACCCTTGACTCGGCCACAGAATTCCTCTTTGGTGAATCCGTAAACAGCCAGCTCAACAATGCTGATACCTTTGCCGCCGACTTTGACCTTGCTCAGCAACTTCTCTCCGATGCCGGTCGCCTAGGACCTGCTCACTGGATCAAACACGACAAGAATTTCCATGCGACCGCCAAACGAGTACACGACTACATTGATTACTTTGTTCAAAAGGCCATCAAGAAGGCCCGGGACGGAAAGGTAGACCCCGAACGCTATGTCTTCCTCGATGCTCTCGCTCAGTCTACTACGGACCCTGTTGAGCTTCGCTCACAACTGCTCAATATCTTGCTTGCTGGTCGTGACACGACTGCGTCGACACTATCTTGGTTTATTCACACCATGTCAAATGCCAAGCATTCTGCAACATATCAAAAGCTGCGAGCTCATGTTCTCGAAGAGTTTGGCACGTATACGAATCCCAATGACATCACCTTTGAAAGACTCAAGAGATCGCAATATTTGCAATGGTGCATCTCTGAGATTCTCCGCATATACCCTATTGTTCCTGTTAACGGCAGAGCTGCTGTAAGAGACACAGTCTTGCCATCTGGCGGTGGCAGTGACGGACAATCGCCTCTCTTCATTAAAAAGGGTGTTATTGTAAACTACTCAGTTCATGCCATGCACCGTCGAAAAGATCTATGGGGCCCTGATGCTGATGAATTTATTCCTGAGCGTTGGGAGGCCCGTCGCCCTGGTTGGGAGTACCTCCCATTCAACGGCGGCCCTCGCATCTGCATCGGCCAGCAGTTTGCCCTAACAGAAATCGCTTACGTACTCGTTCGTTTCATCCAGAGGGTCGATGCTCTTGACGGCAGTCAAGCTGGTGCCGTCAAGCACGGCCTGAGCCTAACCAACGCACCAGGTGAGGGTGTAAGAGTCAGATTGCACCTGGACCAATAAGCATCCCCATGGGGACACAAGACCCAAACTATTATGTACAATATATAACAATTTGACAATGGCAAACCATTCCACTATGCAAACCCTCTCTGCAAAGTCCTTGTTGTTTACGCTATTGAAATGCCCTTAGCTCAGCGACACCCCGCATCAGCGTTGCAGCGAACAACCACCATCGCCCCGCTGATGGCCTCTAGAAAAGTAACTTTGCGGGGAGATTATAGCGTCGCGGCGCACCACTGCAAGAAGAAGCGTCTGCTTTAGGAAGGCTATTAGTCACTAGCTGGATTTAGCTACGAACGGTTCCCGAGGGTGATCACCGCCAAGTCGATAATCGAGTTGATTTGCCGTGATGGCACCCCTAGATTCTGTGACACATCGCTCCTACAGAAGCAAGATGTGGCAGCGATTTGCTGCACGCTAACGAGGACTCTGCAGATGCTGAGCTGTCAGCTGAGACTCTTCTGGCTTGTATTCTAGTCAAATGCTCATGATACCTTCTGTTTCGGGAAGCACTGGGTAACTAACACAAATGTTTGCTATCCGTTTCCCTTGTCTCTGCCGTGAATACTACAATAAGTGGACGGCAGTGGCGGGCTCTCGGACGCTCGATAGCCATGTAAGCCAAGACATATATAAACTGCTTATTGTCCCCGCTATTGTATTGGTTCACTATAGTATTAGACATTACAACTCCGACCTAGACCAAAACAATAGTACATACAAAACCGAGTACAACAATGCTTGTGACTCTTCTCCCCCTTCTTGCCGGCTTGGCGGCCGCTTCTCCTCTGCAGCAGGACATGGTCGTCAAGCATGCCTTGCCCGCCGTGCCCAGCGGGTACGAGGTCAAGTCTGCCGCGCCAGCCAACCTCAAGATCAACATGCAGATTGGTCTCAAGGAGCAGAACTTGGACAAGCTTCAGGAGCGTCTCCTCGCGATGAGCAACCCCGACCATGCCGACTATGGCAAGCACATGTCTCGTGATGAAGTGGAGGCCCTCACTGCTCCTTCGGCGACGACTGTCTCTGCTGTCAACGATTGGCTTGCCTCTCATGGAGTTACTGCCGGCAAAATCTCCAACGGCTTCATGAACATTCAAGTCACTACCTCACAAGCTCAAAAGATGCTCGCCGCTGAGTACAAGGTTTACCACAGCGTCGAACGTAACCACACAACAGTTCGTACCACCGAATACAGCTTACCAAAGAACATTCATGGAGAAATCTCCACTATCCAGCCCACGACGCTCTTCAGCAACATGGGTCTCATTCGTCCCATGGTGACTCCTCTTTCAAAGGAAGCCTCTCAGATCAATGCGCGCGCTTCTTGTGGCAGCACCATCACGCCATCCTGCCTTCGATCACTCTACAACATAAACTACACGCCTCGCAATGGCCAGACCGCCATCGGTATTGCCGGCTACCTCGGAGAGATTGCCAGCCAGAGTGATTTGAGCACCTTCCTCGGCGAATACACCAGCATTCCTCAATCGACTGCTTTCTCTGTTGAACTGGTTAACGGTGGCTCCAACAGCGGCTATGGCACCACCGAGGCCAACCTCGATACCCAGTACGCTATGGCACTATCCTACCCCATTAGCAACGTCTTCTACGAGACTGGTGGAAGCCCTCCCTTCAACCCCGACGACAGCACCCAGTCAAACACCAACGAGCCATACCTTGAGTGGCTCAACTACCTCGCTGGAAAGAACAGCGTTCCTCAGACTATGAGCTCGTCTTACGGTGACAATGAGCAAACTGTCCCTCGCGACTATGCTGACACTGTCTGCAACCAGTTTATGAAACTTGGTGCTCGTGGTGTTAGTGTGCTCGTCAGCTCTGGTGACGGTGGTGTCGGCGGTGGCCAGCCTTCTCAGTGCTACAGCAACGACGGCTCCCATCGCTACATGTTCCTTCCTACCTGTAAGAACTAGAATTCTAACAACATCTGCGTGTTAGTATACTAATCTTTTATAGTCCCTGCCTCTTGCCCATGGGTTACCGCTGTTGGTGGCACCACTGGCACCAACCCTGAGCGTGCTGCTTCTCTCTCTAGCGGAGGTTTCTCCAACTACTACTCGGCTCCTGACTATCAGAGCAACCAGACTGCCGCCTACGTCAAGAACCTCGGCAACACCTACAACGGATACTACAACCCCAAGGGTCGCGGTATTCCTGATGTTGCTGCCCAGGCTATCAACTACGGCATTGTCATCAACAACTTCAATAGTGGTGTATCTGGTACTAGCTGCTCTGCTCCGGCTTTCGCCAGCATCATTGCCCTGCTCAACGACTACCGCATGTCCAAGGGCGGTGCTCCTCTGGGCTTCCTCAACCCCTTCCTCTACGGCAAGGGTGTTTCTGGCCTTGTTGACATTACCTCTGGAAACAACCCTGGCTGCCAGACCAACGGCTTTTCCGCCGCGCGTGGTTGGGACCCCGTCACTGGCATGGGAAGCCCCAACTTTGGTACTCTCAAGACCCTTGTTTAAAAGCATTGAAGTGTAAAGCAGTTGGCTGCTACAAGGACAAATATGGAAGAGAAAATATCCGACGACCTCTGATGGAATTTGCAGCTTATCAAGTACATAGTATAGCACAGTAAAATAAGAACAATCTTTCAGAATATCAGGATGACAGCATTGGTAATGGATGGCTTCTCCCAAGACGCGCTGATCGGCTCTCTGCAATCAGCACCACAAAGGCTTTACGAATAAGAAATGCGACCATGTATTATGCGACGAACCGCGTGTCGGTCCGGCATAAAAAATTACCCTAGGCAGCCCGCATAGGGGCATGGCGCAGTTACAAACAGGTGGAGATCATCCACAAACTAAATGGACACAAATGCCGGACAAAGCAAGCCATCCACCAATGGACAGGATTATCCACGCCATTTCCAGCTAAGGAATCGGGCCGTTCCCCACGGGGTCGCCCACTTCCACGACTCTGCATTGGCTTGGTTTGAGGTGACCAAGGCCGACGGAGTATAGCGTTGTCTTATCCATAAAAATATATATATGCTTAGGGCCATCACCAAACAGTAGGTGTATTTCGCTGTATACTCGATTGATTTCCCCCCATTTCAGCTGCGAGGATGAAGCTCATGTATCAACCCTTACTTGCCCTCCTTGGCCTTGCCGGGACAGTGACATCCGCGGATACCAATGCGTGGAAATCACGAACAATTTACTTTGCCTTGACCGACCGTATTGCCAGAAATGCAAACGATGGCGGTGGTGGCTCTTGTGGGAACTTGGGCAACTACTGCGGCGGCACATTCAAAGGACTAGAGTCGAAGCTTGACTACATCAAGGGCATGGGATTTGATGCCATCTGGATTACTCCTGTTGTGCAAAGTAGGCTACCAAATCTCAGTTATAGGTAGCAATACTAACTGTCGTTTAGACAGCCCGGGAGGCTACCACGGATATTGGGCTCAAGACCTCTACAAGGTGAACTCCAACTATGGTTCTGCTGATGACCTCAAAAGCCTCGTCAACACTGCTCACAGCAAGGTAAGTTTCTTCTAAAAAAAAAATAACGTCTTATTATATGTACTAACTAGCACAGAGCATGTTTGTCATGGTGGATGTTGTTGCCAATCATGTTGGCCCCAGCTCCATCGCAGATGACCGTCCAGACCCCATGAATCAAGACAGCTCCTACCATCCGGCTTGCGATATTGACTACAATAACCAAAGCAGCATTGAAAACTGCCGCATTGCTGGACTTCCAGACGTGGACACACAAGACCCAAAGATTCGCAAGGTTTACCAAGATTGGGTCAAATGGCTTGTCAATGAGTACAAGTTTGATGGTGTTCGCATCGACACGGTTAAACACGTCGAGAAGGATTTCTGGCCACCCTTTGCACTTTCTGCCGCCGTTTACACAATTGGCGAAGTCTTCAGCGGAGACCCCAACTACCTTAAGGGCTATGCGGACAAGATGGCTGGTCTGTTAAACTACGCCATTTACTATCCACTCAACAGATTCTATCAACAGAAGGGCTCCAGCCAAGATCTCGTCGACATGCACAATCAATTTGGTTCATTGGTCCCTGATCCGACAACAATGGGCACCTTTTTGGACAACCATGACAACGAGCGCTTTCTGAACCAACACAATGACATCTCATCTCTCAAGAATGCATTGACCTACGTCATGCTTGCGCGAGGAATCCCCATTGTGTACTATGGAATAGAACAGGCATTCTCAGGCGGTGGTGATCCGCAGAACCGTGAGGACCTCTGGCGCAGCAACTACAACACTCAAAGTGACATGTACAAATTCTTAGCCAAGCTCGGCGACGTCCGACGTCGCTTCGGTGGGCTGCCAAACAATGATCATAACCACATTTTTGTCGAGGATACCGGTTACGCTTGGGAGCGTGCTGACGGCAAACTCCTTGCGCTGACGAGTAACATTGGACGCGGCAACTCGCGCCAGTACTGCATGTATACACAAAAGAACAATTGGACATGGCATGATGTCTTCACAGGCCAGGCATACACCTCCGATGGAAACGGTCGACTGTGTGTAACGAACAGCAACGGCGAGCCTATCATCATGTCAACGCAATAGATGTACGTGTTAGAATTAGACAAGTATATAGGGGCTGTACTATGTAACTTAGAAATATCACACTCATATTCATCATGGGCATCGCCTATGCAGTTGGAACAGACGATAAAATGCTCCACAAGTGATCGCGCGTTCCGTTGTCTTCAAACTGAACAACATTGGCTGAGTTGGCCGTGCTCTCGCCATCAACGCCGAGAACAAGGCCACTGTTCTTGTTCTTGATCAAGAACAATCCATCTCCTTTTGACACAACCCTCCACAATTGATCCTCGCTTCCGTTGTCTTCGTATTGTTGAACATGTGCGCTGTTTGCACCAGACATGTGTTCAACCGCAAGAAGCAAGCCGCTATTCATATTCATAATCTTGAACCACCCTCCTGCTGCGGGAAAAAACTTCCACAGATGGTCTCTTGTGCCATTGTCGTCATACTGCTGGATATTGGCACTATTGGCGTGCGACATGTTCTCAACACCCATCAGCTTGCCGCTGTTCTCATTGCGAAACTGGAAAATGGGGTCAGCCCAAACTTCCAATTCGGAGAGTCCCCATCCTCCTCCATTACCGCGATTAGGCGCAACAACGCGTAGCTGTGAGGTGACAATGGTGGAGAACGTAATGCGTGTTTCAGTGTTTGATGCAGTAGGGGCGCTGGATCGCTGTTGACCCGGGATCGTCTTCCAGTTGTTTCCATCTAAATATTGCACATCGTAGCTTGTGGGCAATCTGACACCTGCTTGGTCATCATAGAAGAAGAGTCTAACATCTTCAATTGCCTGTAGACGCTGAAAGTCGACTCCAAAGTAATCCGATGCATTCGGACTCTTGTACGAGGTCCATCTGGTATTCTCGGGGATTCCAGTTCGCCAGACGATTCCATCAATTGCGCGCCAAGCGTCATCATACGGAGAGGTATATGACGCAAATGCCTTGGTTCCTTGACGATACTTCTGGCCATTAGCTGCGATGTTCACCTTGGTGGCAGCACTATTGACTGTGCCTGACCCAACGTTGATTTTGAGTCGTCCCAGATCATCACGATGGGCTGCAGCTTTACCGTCGAGGTACACCGTTAATCCTTTTCCCTGGCCAAAATGAGTACCATCTTTATCCCAGATCACACCAATATCTCGACCGTGATATTGTACGTTTTCGACAGCAAAGTAATCATAATTCGCAAGCGGATTGACTACAAGCGAATCTTCTGCCTGGCCACGGAGACCGAGCAGCCCGGCAAGGACATTGTCAACAAAAGTCGAGTGATTGTAATCCTCGGAGTGATTGTTGCCATCATAAATCCACACGTCATTGTCAGGATGATGGGCTTCGGCCACGTACGGCTTACCGCCTTTGTGCTGCGTTAACGCGTAGGCTCGAAGCATAGAAACGTAGTCGTCGTTGTTGAGGTAGGTCTGGGCCGGATAGTCATTCAGAAGATTTTCTACGGCAGTCAGTGTTTGAGATGTTGCATACGGCCAGCTAGGACCATCCCAACGGCAACAATTCTCAGCTTCGTGCATGAACCACTTGCTGCGCCGTTCCGCCGTTGTTGGGCCAAACTGCGCTGCGAAGCCTTGGCTATCTTTGAGCTGAAGCAAGGCTTCTGCATTAGAGGCATTAGCCAAACCAAACATCCAAGGAATATAACCCATGATTTCTCGTGTCGTTAAGAGAGATCCATTCGGGTTATTGTCTGTTGCGCGATGCATAAAAAATTTCTTCTCATCATCCCATAAATGAGCCTGCGTCGCCGCCTGCAGAGCATCGGCGCGTTTGCTATATTCATCCGCCAGCTTGTTGTCGCCTTTGAGCTTTGCGAGGGCAGCAATGGCTCGGGCGTCACCGTATTGGTACGCGTTGATTGTCGGTCGAAAGCCAGCACCGCCGTGGTATGGGTCGCTCGACTCGTATGAGGCCGCCGTGAATTCCGTCGCATCCCAGACCGGAACCTGCCAGTACAGACCGAGGTCGCTATTGAAATGGTTGTCCCATCCCCGGTACTGCTTCACCAGATTATCCAACTGACCAATGGCAAAGTCGCGATCACCAGTTATAGTGCATCGCCTCCACACAGAACTTGCCGCCCAAAAGCTGTATTCATGGGCCCAGTCGTTGGTGTCTTTATTGACTCCGTCATCCGCAGGTTTGTTGAACTGCCCAGGTCCAGCAAGCCAGTAATTAATAAGATCATTGCCATAAATTTGATCTCTTAGCCACCGTCCCTCGTTGATATGATGGCCTGCAGCAGCAACAATGCCACCATAGGGCGCCCCATAGCCCACTGGGTAGAGAAACTCGCTTAGCAGATAGCCGTATTGGGGTCCAGTATACACAATGTGCTCCTTGTACGTTTGCCACCGATAGTAGTAAACCTCTTGAACCTGCTTGTCGGGGATTTGTAGAATTGGAATATTTTTTTCGAACCACACGGGGTCTTCCAATCCAGCAAGCAGTGCTGTATGGTTTAGGAAGCTGGCCTCAGCAACAAAGCTGAACGAGCTTCCAATACCTACTAGCACAAGAATTCTCATATTAATCACGATGTCGTTAGTAAAACGAGTAAATAGTAAATGGACGCGTCTATAGATATTATAAAGAGTTTTTTGGGGGTTTAGTAAGCTTTGATTCGGGCCGAAGTCTAGCTCTGGCAATTCATGTTACCCCTGCGGAAGTGCTCGGGGCAGCGTTACATTGCAGACCGGAGACTATTCGGGCAAGCCAGGGTATTAACAGCGCCGTATTCAATAAATGCGGAGCAGAAGCTGTATATGTTGAATTATACTTCCTCTAGCCTAATAATTAAGAGCCTCAATGAGTCAAGATAGTTGAAAATTGATAAGGAGATGATTTCTACGGTTGGAATACACGACACCACTCGATTTAGGGTAGCAGGGCATGGCTTGTCACGTAGCTGTCCAGGTATTATGAGAAAAGTTCGCTAAACATAATGCTATTGTTGACTATTCTATATATAAGATAGAAAAAAGACAACAAACTTGAAGAAAGACAAATCCCTCTCCTCCTTCCACAGTTTACTTCCAGGATTGTTGTGGTCCTGCCAGCTGGCGGCTTTCCTTTGCCAGCTGGCAAACACTTGTTGTTGAAACTTCTTTATTTGCCAGCTAGCAAGCGTACACGTCGCGTAGCAACTGTTTCGACATCGTAACTGTTGTGAGTGTTGTGACCGACAGACTAAAGAGCGATCCAGCAGGTCGTGACATGGCTTCGCGATTTGGCCACTATCCGCGTAGGATTCTTGCTATATGTACCAAATATAGGTATATCATATGAATGAGTGATATTTTAACATGATTAACATATGAATAACGGTACTGATCTCTAACTTAGTTGAAATATTTTTTCATCTAGACAGGGACTACAGTATCATCGTCGTCAGGATAGGGTGGTACTGGAATGGAAATGAGTAAACACTCGATGCCTAATTTTAACTGACAGGACGGAGCTAATTCCACATAGAAGACGACGAACTGTTTCTACCCGAGCCAGAAAGCAAGTAGTAGAGGTGGGATGCTATGTTGCCATGCCACTTGATGTTCGTGATCGGACTTCATTGCAAGATCGCCCGGGCTTTGGCTCTCTGAATCACTATCTATTACCACGCCGTACAACTTGCGGTGGGAAAGCTGATGATTGGAATCTATGGTGATCGGAATTAGCATCTAAGCTATGCCTCCGGCGAGTAGAAAGAACAAAAGTGTGCACAGACATGCATCGACAGGACGATAGGCGGTTGGTTACGGCACAGCAACGTGTGGCATCACACATGGCCAGACTCCCAAAGTGTCCAGCAGTGGGACAAAATTGGGAGACAGATGGAGAAATGGAAGTATCTCGGAATGTTAGTATGATTACTCGCTAGGAGAATAGTCTCTCTATTTTTTGCGAATAGTGATGGACCTCTGTGGAGCTGGGCTCTGGTGTGAAACATTATTGCGCCATTGCATTCTTTATAAGAAGGATGATATATGCAAGAGAGCCACACTTGCATTCCAAGCGCTTATCATGTTACCCTCCATTTGAGGATTCTAGTCTCCAGTGAAGCGCATGTATGCGGAGGGCTGCAGCCCTGTGTCGAAAGAGCAGGCGCTTGCCCGAGACACGTTACCAATCTTACCGCATTGGATAGAACGTGGTGAGCAGTCCACACACATTTGGAAAGATGGCTGGGCAACCATCGATAATTTTTGTACAAGCTTTTACAGATCTGCGGCACAGAGATATGCGGACCTCGACGTTGCCACGTAGATACATCCATGACGTTGAGACTGTTAGTGCCAGTGTGCTCACCTGGAGCGACAGACAGTGCATGACATCGAGAGTGTCGTTTGTGACTTCTGAGTATAAAGAAGCGACGGTTTCGCCAAGAATTAGTGACTTTTCTTCCCCATTCAGATCATTCACAACTCATCTAGACAAGAACCTCTACAAGCTTCACTCCAAACCAACTCACAACCAACAATCACTCAAGATGAAGTTCGCCGCCGTCATCATCGCAGTTACTGCCACCATCGTTGCAGCTGCCCCCCCTATCGCTCCTCACCAGGCCAAGCTCACCATCTACTCTGGTTCCAACTCAACTAGCAACGGAACAGTCCCTGTTGCCAGCAGCAATGCTGCCGCTGGCGCCGCTATGCGCAGAGCTGTCAAGGCTGCCGCTGGCACTCGCATTTACACGAGCTCCAGCAACTCGACCACATCTAACTCCACTTCTAACGGAACAGGTAGCAAGCAGGCGTCTAAGAAGACCAAGCGCACACACAAGGAAGGATCCACGTTGTCTGACATTATCGACCGTATGGGTGCTCAATAATGAGACTGATTGAACAAAAGAAAATCAACAAAACCAAACAACAACAACAATAATAGCAAACACGCACTGACGAACATATTCGACAAATTTTATTATTCGGGAAGACATGGAGTGGTGGAAGGACGCTGTGTGAGCAGCATGGCATTATTTGGATTTGCTCTAGTGGGTATGAGAGCATTGTTAATACTTTGATGTATCGACCTACATGGTCATTTAATGAATACAAATACCCCTTTCTTCTTCAAACATTCAATCTAATCGCTATTTTGTGATGTAACCCACTCGCCATGATTCATGTCTTCGCTTGGTACGTCTCCCTTTTGATTATTGAATTTGAACGCAGCAGGTGGCCGGCTTGTCACAACCGTATAGTTGCAAGTAGGACAGTACGTCTTATCATTGGGAGTGGCTGGGTAGTTGTCTTGGCCGTATGTGGCATTGAGACTTACGCTGCCAACTACTCCGCCGCTCTCCAAGCGAATCCACGTATCAGCCTCCCACTTATCCTTTAAGATATTGCGCGAAACGCGAATCTGACGAGCACCACGAATCCAGTTGCCGTATCCGCCGTAGCCCGTATGTTGTCCGAAGCACAGATTAATACCATTTCCTTTGACTGTCATACTCGTGACCAGGCGGTCCCATTTATAGCACCATGTGGCGCCGTGGTCATGGCCAGAAAAGAGACCGATTAAGCCTGGGGTAGTGGTGATGGCTCGCATGAATGGAATGTCTTGCCCACCATAGGTGCATGTACCATCATTGCGTCCGTCTGCGCACCATCCTTGAGCTTGTGGCGCAAGCGGGTAGTCATCGTTAATTCCAGGTTCCTTGTTTGGGTCGATGCTAGTTGTGCCATGCTCCATCTGTATGGCCATTGATGCATATGTTGGAATATGAACAAAGGCCAAGGATGGAATCACACTGCCGAAACGGGCAGTGATACGGGCGTTTGTTTTCTGGAACCAGTCCACGACACTTGAATCGACCCAATCAGGCTGTCCATTGCGGCTACCATCTGCCTTGCGCTCCTGGTAGAAAAAGCCGCCCCGACTGTCAAAGAACCAAAGCAGAAGCTCTGGCTTGCAGCCACATGTGTTGCAATCTGGTGAGTAGACCGGGAGATAGTAGTTTGAAACGCCCGCGTTTCTTCCGGTAACCATATTCCGAGAGCGACAATTAGGCCAACGCTGCTCTCGAGCCAGGATATCGTACCGAGAAATGTTGAAGTCACTGTCATGGTTGCCGTAGGTTGACGCCCAGGTTAGGCCGCGCTTTACAATGGGCTCAACAATCTTGTCAATATAGACAGTGCTGTTCTCTTTGAAGGCATTTTCGCCGGTAATGAGATCTCCGTTTAACACGATGAGCCCTGGCTTTTCGCTATCGAGTAGCTTGTTAATGACTTTGACGCTGTTGATGTCTTGCTGGGGCCCCCAAGAGTCCCATGCGTCTACAGTATAACCGTTAGCGCTACAATTCACGAGATAGTCTCACGTTCGAAAGCATACTTTCTCCAAAATGCAGGTCTTCAAAAATCGAAACCTGAAATGTTCCGTCATCGTTGAATGTCAGAGGTTTACGACGAAACTCGGCTGGGTTGTCCAGTAAAGGATCTTTCACCGCGGGGGCTTGCAGAGACGACCCTACTAGTGCTAGGAGCGTACATTTATTCACAAGTCGCTGCATTGTCGCAATGCGTGTAGAGAAAGCGGACTAGATTGCGCAAATGACTGTAGTTGTACAACCTTTTAGAGCTATGGGAAAGGACAATAGATATACGTTCCATGCCGCTATATTTAAAATTATTATAGTCTGCTGCATTTTGGCAAGTGACGGAACCCCTTGTAGAGGGTTGTCGGCCGTGAGGTCGACGATGCGACCGAGGAGGAGCCACTGGGGACGAAGCTTTTGGCAACGTGCTTGTGGACGAGAAGACGGCAAAACGCTCTCAAATCTGGGTTGAGGTAGTGGGTAACGGCAGCGAACGGCCATATGTATGAACAAATGAAAAGGGGCGATGTAATATAAAAAAAATGTACAAGAAACACTATATTTACGGCCACTACAGTCTTGTTTTGGCTAACGAAGCGTCCCGGGGAAGTATTGGACGATGTCTAATGGAAGCCTATGCCTTCAAGGACACTCTCCTGTGCGGGTGGAAAAGGTGTTCGATAAAGGAGGACGGACGAACGTCTGGTTCTGGCATCGTGCGTGTCCGCGTGGTGCAAATAAACTCTTCCCAACTTTGGCCACAGCGCACAAACAGTATGCAATCAACAACAATAAAAGGCACATGAGCCGTTACACCAATCAGCAGGCGATGAGCGGCCCCTCCATAACGAGCTCATCTTGCAAGGAGCTAAGTTAGTTCATGTGCAGCGCCGACGTAGCGCCGACTCGGCGCGATTGTAACCATCCTTGCCAGTGGTTCGGTGGCGCTCAGGCCCCGACGGCGGTCGAGAGCAGTTCTTGCAATACTATTGGCTATCGATGCTACGATCGCATGGCAACGCCGCCGCCTTCATCAGTCTGCCATGTACGACTTGGCTGTACCTCACAGAAGTTGGTCCAAAAGACAAGACCGCCTTCAGCTCTCTTGTGTCTATAGTAGACAACTCCAAAGTATATTTTGCTCGTCCGATAGCTATTCAAAGGTATAAGCACCAGCGCTGTCTGTGTGAGTGCCCCATTCTTCAATGCCCATTCTTCGAAGCCTAGCCTGTTCTGCAGAGTAAGCACCAGCTGACGGATTCGGCGGAGAGTATCGATTCATTGGCCTATTGTGGTAAAAGGCCCTCAGATGTGCCTCGAGGTGGGGTGAGTCCGCCAACGCTGCCTATTGTGTTACTAGGAGCCTTGTTCGGCCCTTCCCCAATCACAGCCTGCGCTCTGACTATGGCCCCTATCCCACCGCGTGGCTTGCTCCGTCTGACAAGGCCCCCCAGAATTGGTTTTAACACCGAGAAACTGCTCTTGTGTGTCGTCTGTCACGGCTCTACAGTCTTTTTTCCCTTTCAACTTGCTCTTCAAACAACCAAATCTACAAACGAATACCCAGCTCTATTACCATGAAGTTTGCTGTTGTTATTGCCGCCACCACCCTGGCTGCTGCACTACCAGCTGCGCAAGACGCTGCATCGCCTGTTCACGACCTCACCAATCTGCGATATGAGAACGAACTCCCTGTCGCGAAGACGCCTCAGACAAAGCGGGACGCCGCCGTTGCGGCCGCCCAATCTCCCGTCCACGACCTCACCAATCTGCGTTATGTGAACCAGGAACCCGTCACAGTCGACAGCAAGCGTGCTGAGAAACGCGCTGCCAACGCTATTCCCATCAAGGATAACCGCAACCTCCACTACGTTAATGAGGTGCCCGTTGGTGCTGTTACTAAGGCCAAGCGCTCGACTGATCACCCCGTCAGGGACAACCGAAACCTGCGCTACATCAACCAGATCCCTGTGGGAACTGTTGTCTAGATATCATCTGAATCTGTGTGCCCGCTGAGTGTTGGAGGTGGAAATGTACATACACCCGAAGCTTTAAATTGTACATAGCATGTATATTTTCCATTCAATTTTCAACGTTTACTTTACTCATCTGTCTCACTCATAATCTTTTACATCCTGATCCTATTTGGCAGGTGGGAGTTGTAAGTACATGGCAATGATGTGCTCGCTTTTGCTAGCGAGCGCGCCAACTTTTCCATTGAATGTTCCAATTTCCGCAAAGTTAAGCCACAAAAACAAACAAGAACGGCATATGCTCGCAAGTGGAAGCGAAGGTCAGCAAATTTAATCTAATTATTAAGATATGGCTGCGATCGACATGGTTCTGTTCTATCCGAGGGCGCCAGCGACTGGGCATTCGTGGCGTTGATTTTATCGGAGAATTCCGACATTCTTTCCCCGCGCTACTTATTACATCTATTCATGCCACTCCATCTCTAATGTAATCATATACTTACAGTGTTTTAACTATACTTTTGAACAATGCGGTCTGCCCTCTCCACTCTTCTCTCGCTTGGAACTCTGCTGCCAGTTATTCGTGCGGAGTCACCATGCTCTCCTCCAATTGCTGTTCCGAAGACTGGCGCAGTCGCGTCAGAAAGCAGTGTCTGCAGCAAAATCGGGATTGATTTGTTGGCGAGTGGCGGAAATGCCGTTGATGCAGTCGTCGGGACCATATTTTGCGTTGGTGTTATTGGCATGTACCATTCAGGCATTGGCGGTGGCGGCTTCATGCTATTGCGGGACAAGCATGGAGAGTACGAGTTTATTGACTTTCGCGAGACAGCCCCAGCAGCAGCATTCGAGAACATGTTCAAAGATAATGAAGCACTTAGTCTTACCGGAGGCCTTGCAAGGTATGTATAGAACAAGGTTAAAAAGAGGCCAGAGCTAATAGAGGCGCAGTGGTGTTCCCGGTGAGCTGCGTGCCACCGAATACGTCCACAAGAAGTATGGCAGTCTTCCATGGGCGTCAGTTATTGAACCTGCGATAAAAGTTGCGCGAGACGGTTTCCGTGTTACAGAAGACCTCGTGCGGTACATGGATTCTACCTCACCAAACAACTTTCTCGTGGATGATCCGTCCTGGGCTATCGACTTTGCGCCAGATGGCCGCAGGGTTCAACTGGGCGACACAATGACTCGCAAACGCTACGCAGCAACACTTGAATCAATTGCTCAGCGTGGAGCTGATGCCTTTTACAAAGGGCCCATCGCTAATGCCACCATTGCTGCTTTACAGAGGGTAAACGGCACCATGACGCTTGATGATCTTCGCAACTATACTATCGCTTTGCGCCAACCAGTGCACATCAGCTACCGTGGCAACAAGCTCACCAGCACTAATGCTCCATCATCCGGTGTCGTCGCACTATCCGCGCTCAACACAGTAGCGGGCTATGAAGACTTTGGTCTTCCGGCTAGTCTCAATCTGTCTACCCACAGGCTCGACGAGGCAATCAAATTCGCATACGGTCAACGTACAAAGCTCGGCGATCCGTTCTTCGTGAAAGGTCTCGACAAGTATACAAATCAAATGGTTTCGGAAGAAACGGGGAGAGAGCTCCGATCCAAAATTTCAGACATAACGACGTACAATGTTAGCCACTACGACCCAGACGGGCTGGAATCTATCGAGACTCCTGGTACGTCTCACATTGTGGCCGCTGACAAGAGCGGCATGGCTATCTCCGTAACAACAACAATCAACACGCTTTTTGGTTCACGTTTGATGATCCCAGAAACTGGTGTCATCATGAACAACGAGATGAACGACTTTTCTATCCCTGGCAGCAGCAACAACTATGGCTACATTCCTAGCGAAGCAAACTTTATCCGCCCTGGTAAGCGGCCACTCTCTTCAATCTCGCCAATAATTGGGGAGACACCCGATGGGCGCTTGCACTTCGCAGTTGGATCCGCTGGTGGTAGCCGCATTACGACAGCGACAATTCAACTCGTTGTGCATATGCTAGATCAGCAAATGTCGGCACCCGAAGCGCTTGAACAACCACGCTTCCACGACCAACTGGTTCCTGCGCAAATCACATTTGAGTATCCTTACAACAATGCTACCGTTGCCTATCTGAAATCGTTAGGCAACAATGTGACTTGGCTAGCGCCTGGCCAGAGTACCGCCCAAGCCCTGCGCTTGCTCCCAAATGGCACTTTTGAGGCAGGTGGCGAACCCAGACAGAAGAACTCTGGCGGATTTGCTATTTAAGCATGTAACATAGGGTAGACTTAGATATAATGCATGATGTAAAGCCACAGTATTTATACTACTGTACTACTTTGTAATGTGTTTGAGTCGGATGGTCCCAGAGACATAAATTGTATCGTACGAGCTGCTATTTTTTAAACCTCAACTACGCTTTGATAGTTGGATCAATCTTTATGCTGCACGTAAGGCACATATTTGGTATTGATAGTAAAATTATGCATTGGTAAAGCTAGACTTTGCAAATAAAGCGAATGAAGAACGAAAACGCATCTGTTCAACCGAAGAACAAGCCAATAAATAATAACCAAAGTAAGCCTCCGACAACTGTACGGCTTGATCCATTCTTGGCCGGGCAACTAATAGTAGGCGTAGCGAAGGTGCATGCATGTTCGGTAAATGCTGCGTCATGTGTCTTGGTAATGTTGGCGATTGTGGTTTCGTTAACCTTTAGTCCGCAGAGGTCGGCCCGAGGGAACGGGTCAATCTTGTCCAGCACGGCGCACTGTTTATGAAAAACCTATTTGTCATCCTCAAGGGAGGCCACACCAACCGCAGTACCTCGTCGTCCAGTGCAATTTCGAGCAGCGTCGAGGAGATTTGGTACTGGCGTGTCCTTGTGGACGGTGAAATGTTTGAGCTGCCTCATACGGATCGGCCCATCATCAGTGCTATTTGCAAGCCTCTTACTGTCGCAATCGGTTCCATAGATATCCCAGGCCAAAAAGTACTCGCCCTCTTTCGTAATATCAGTCCTTTCGTAATACCGATACTGAGTGTGATCCGTCGCATTGGGAAACGCAAGGCGATCATCCCCCTGGCTTGCAGTCCCGTCTTTGTCGTAGGTCTCTCAGTGCCCAAATCGGAAGGTGAGCAGCACATTAAGCACTGGCGATAGTTCAGCATTTCGAACTGCCCATACCAAAGGGAAACGATCCCTAGACTATAAACTATAAGAAGCGTTTTGAGGAAATAGTCAGTGGTGGTATGCATGATGTTGAGAACATGAGGTGTGATCTCGTTGCAGACTCATCATGCTCTGCCCCTATCTTGTGTGATGGGTTTCAAAACAAGCCCGACACAGGCCCAGCAGCGTTCTTAATTCACAATTCTTTCGTAAATATACACAATGTAAATGTCTTCAATATCGTTTGAAATTTATGCTAATTATATCCCTGCAGATATTTGCGCGCTTCAACGATGACTTGAAGACGGCCGCGTCGCTGAAGGTGATTCCAGCCCTCGATCACTTCATTGACGTCTTCGCACCTATTCCCCCAAAAGATTCCAATGATAAATGGACGCAAATATTTATCGACATGATTCTTCTAGGCGCCACGGCTGGCTTTGGTAGAACAATTACCGGTGGTATGTCTCTAGAAGCAGTTGTATGCTACATTCTGCGCACTGGACTAACAACGCCTTATAGCGCTGTCAGCATTGCCCGAATTCTCAAAATCAAACTCGTACGTTACAGAAGCTGCGGTCAAAACTCTTGTGGGAGGCGCAACCGATAAGATCAAAGAACTCCGAGATAAGAAGGGACTGTAAGTGGCCGGAACAGGCGCAAGCCTAGTGCCTGTTTTGCTTCGACTGACAACCAACAGGCCCGATTGGAACGTGAAAAAGCAACATGATCTAAAGGCCAGCATCAGTGCAGGCTTTTTGACGTGGTGGCAAATGGCAGCACAGTCTCTCGCGAGACTGTTTGATGGTACACCAGAGAGCATTGACGTTCTCTCCAACCTAGTTGACAAGGGCCAAATGCTCTCTGGCCGCTCTGCCAATGCTCTTCAAAAGAATAAAGGGGATGCGGAATGGGTCAATGACTTTATTGGCGCCATTTTTGCCTTCGCAGTCCCCCAAGCTTGGCGAGCGTCTGGGAGGCAGGCCTTTGTGCTTGATTCTGGGGCTGCATGTGATAAAGAGCTTCCAAGCAACACCTTTATTACTCCCCACACAGCGAAAAGAAGTCGAGCGTGTATCGATGGTAAGTTCTACTTCCTGGTCATGCCACCAAGTGAGCCTAGTGAAAAGTGTGTGCAACGCGGAGGAGGTTGCAAAAAGACTGGCTGTCTACCAGACGTATGCCACGCAAACCAGTTCGTCACGCCGCCCGGTATCGACGCATTGACAGGGAAGGATGCAGATTTTGGCAATGTCACAGTTGCAATGATTGTCTCTGGGTATGTACTACCGCATAGCAAAAGATTGCAGATCGCTAATAGTTTCTAGTTCGTTGAAGACTTTTAAAGCGAATGGAAATAAAAATGGGGGCGGTTTGTTGAAGGTAGACGACGTCGGCAGCGTTACAGATCTTTTCCTCCGCGTTTTTGTCAGGCTGTGCCTAGAGCGCTCTCCATGTGGTTGATTCGTTGCCCCTTCACCCTCTCTCAATACAGCAATTCTGTCATCTATTCCAGTTGTCTTTCACGCCCGCCCAATGGCATAATTGCAAGAGAAATAGAAAAAACGCGAGACGTCTACCTGTGTCAACTGCACAACATCGGCACGCTTTAAGCCTCTTTCAGCATGGCTTCGACGTCGACAACTCAACGCGTTTTACTGCCGAGCATGGTGGACAATATGCGACACAAAAGCCAAGGTGGGAGTGTTACTCTGCCCGCCATGCTTGCTATAGCAGTGCCGATTCTCTTTTCGCTCGCTGCTCCTTGGAGACTTACAGTGCTCTGATTTAAGTCTCCCTCAACACGCGCCTGCCCATGGCTTCTTGACGAGCAGCTTCTGATTCTATCCGTTTTCAGCTTGCAAATATATCTAGTCGCTGCACACTATGCAATTGGCTCTAAAATGACAGAAAATCTTTCTGTTTCGATTGCATCCATCGTTGCCACAGGTCTTCTCGCGCCATTGTCTTTTCTCGAGCACCAGCAAAGTATCGCTCCGTCCATTCTAATCGGAGTCTTTCTGTGGACCTCCGTCATCCAGAGCGTCGCAGAGGCTACGCAAATTATTGATTGGTCTCACGGTGTTTATGGGCTGAGATCACTAGATTTCGTCTGGCTAGTTTCAAAATTCCTTCAATTTACCCTGGCTGTTATTGAGGAGCTGCCAAAGCGTGGCATCATTTCTAAAAGGGCATATCCTATTCCAACCGAATCTACCGCTGGGCTTCTCAGCTGGCTATCTTTTTCTTGGCTCAATCGCCTGCTCCTCAAAGGGTACCATGGTGAGCTAACACTAAATAGCCTCGGGGCTATAGACTATGCGTTGATTCGAGAGAACTTTTGCGTCAATTACAGCAGCAAAAACAACAGACTAAGGGATTGTCGCTTCTCCTTGCGCTTTGGTCTGCATTCAAGATTCCATTGCTATGGACCATGGTACCACGTATATTCCTCACGATCTTTAGCTTTTCTCAGCCGCTATTGATCAGAACGCTCATCGCCTTTATCGATCCGAATGGTGAAACAAACATTTCCGGTACGCAACTTATTTGCTTCGCGGGTGTTACCTATTTCGGCATCGCCATCTCAAGCGCCATGTACAATCATCTGCGCAATAGGCTCCTGGTTATACTTCGTGGCAGTCTTGTTGCGGCTCTCATGGACAAATCATTTAAGCAAAATAGTTGTACAATGTCCAAAAACGCTGTGGTGACGCTGATGAGCGGCGATGTGGAGTGTCTCACGTCTGGTGTGCGAGAAATCCACCAAGTCTGGGGCTGTATTGTAGATCTTGTCATATCCATGTACTTGCTATACCAGGAGATCGGATTAGCGAGTCTTCTTGTCGTTGTTCCAGCTCTTGTGTGCTTTTTCCTATCCGAAAAGGTCAGCGATGGGATTGGCCCTGCGCGCGGCGGTTGGGCTCAAGCCTCACAGGATCGAGTCGCCCAAACTTCGACCTTTCTATCACAGATTAAAAGTCTCAAAATGATGGGACTCACAGATCTGGTTAAAAAGATTCTTCAAACTCTCCGTATCCACGAAGTCGACAAGTCTAGGCTATTCCGCATGTTTATTGTGTGGATTATTGGTGTTGCCAACGTCTCAAACCTTCTCACCCCTGCCATTATAATTGTTGGTTCAAGGGTAAATAACACGTGTTATTAAAAGGTAAAAGGTTGTGGTAGAAAATCGTTGTTCTCTTCTAGTTCCATGGTCGGAACTGCTCTAGTTAAATACAGCGAATACATCCTGTATTCACTTCCTTTTCCTGTGTTTTCCTTAGCCACTTCCAGTGACTTAACTATTCCTTCACTTCTCCAGCAAACACACGTCTAATGTCACAATAGTCACAACAATAATCATTACTGCAATCTTTTGGACTCGCACAGGTGGGCAGGGGCTGACTCTTTCTCAAGCATTCACCTCTCTATCTATTGTGAATCTGGTATCGGTGCCCATATCCGAACTGTCCACTATCCACCCAACTCTTGTTGCATCCACGGCATGCTTGGAACATATCCAAGCATTTCTTCATTCACCCGCAAAACAAGATGACAGAATACACAGCAACACAGTATCGCCTCTCATTCAACTTCAAGATGTTAGTACAGCCCTGATCGGAAAGAATAAAGCAATGCTCAAAAATGTCTCACTGGATATCCACGAGTCAACTGTTAATATGGTTATTGGGCCAGTTGGCAGCGGCAAATCGATGTTTCTAAAGATGTTGTTGGGAGAAACCTCAGTCTCAAGCGGCATACTGTCCATTGGTCATAAAAGCTTACCTGTTGCATTTTGTGACCAGTCACCATGGCTTCGCAACGTTTCCATTCGACAGAATATTTTGGTTTCAATGCAGTTTGATGAACCATTCTATGCCAGGGTGTTGAGCATCTGCTCATTGGAGACAGATCTTGCGGCATTGCCACAAGGCGATCTAACCTTGGTTGGCAGCGGCGGCGTTTCTCTCAGTGGTGGCCAGCGGCATCGCGTGGCTTTGGCTAGAGCACTCTATTCGCGCAAGGACATTCTTATTCTTGATGATGTGTTCAGCGCATTGGATGTTGCCACGTCGGCGAAAATCGCCAGGACGCTACTTGGGCCGGGCGGCTACCTTCGAGAAACCCGTCAAACCGCCATCTTGGCCACATCTTCAAAACAGCACTTATCACTTGCTGATAACGTTATTGTTTTAGACCAAGAGCATAAAGTGAAGCTTACAGGAAAATATGCCACCATAATGGCCGATTATTCTTTACAGAAGCTACAGACTGACGAATCTCAAGAAGAGAGTAGTCAGGATGTGAACAATGATGTGGCACAGGAGCGCGATGAGGATATAAAGTCTGATTCTATTGCTGATTAGGACACCTACAGCTTTTATATGTTATCTGTTGAACCATTTTATCTCATTATTTTTATACTGTTTGCTATTGGTTTTTGCTGGATTGGCAAACTACCGCAAATGGGTGGGAATCTGGGCTGACCATGGCACAACCACGGAGAGCGTTTTATACGTTTCAGTCTATTGTGCACTATGTGTCCTCACTATTGCATTTTCAGCTTTGGTCTTCTGGTGGTTTGGACTATATGTTGTTCCACGTTCCGGCTTGAATATTCACCGAGTATTACTGGACAGCTACCTCCATGCACCTCTCTGGTTCTTAGCTGGTGTTGACAATGGCTCAGTTCTAAATCGCTTCAGTCAATATCTGAGCCTCATTGATCAAGAAATGCCATTCGCTGTCTTCGAGACTGTTCTCGGGGTGTTGGAGCGTGTTGCTGCTGCGGCCATTATCTGCTATAGCGCCCAATTCCTCAGTGTCATTCTTGCCATGAGTTTCATTGTTATTAGTATTATCCAGAGATTCTACATTATAACCTCCATGATAATTCGACGGCTTGATATTGAAACAAAGGCACCTCTATATGCGCTCCTCACAGATATAAGCAGCGGCTTGACTGCGGTTCGAGCCTTTGGTTGGCAAGATGCACTTCTGAGCGGCGGTATTGACTTGCAGGATTTTTCTCAGAAGCCATATTATCTTATGATGGCTATTCAGCAATGGCTTTCGCTGGTTATTGGACTGTTTATCGCTCTAATTGCTATAATTCTAGTCTGGTTTGCTGTCGTCTACTCCAGCGTCACAAGCGGCGTGAGCATGGGCCTCGCAATGGTCAACTTGATGAACTTCAACGGTAGTCTCTGGTTTCTGGTTATTGCTTGGACTAAAATGGAGACTTCTCTTGGGGCGGCGAACCAGATTCGTACATTTGCGAGAGATACCCCAAACGAAGATAAACGTAGGCAACAACGTTGCGATCTGCCTACTGGCTGGCCACTCCGAGGAGAAATCGCTATTGATAACATCGCCTCGTCATACAAGGCAAGGGAGCGCGCCATCGTTCAAGATATTAGTCTCCACATCAAAGCTGGACAGCGTGTAGGGATCTGTGGAGGTACTGGAAGCGGAAAAACGTCGCTGCTAATGACAATACTCGGACTCCTAGAACAAAGCTCGGGCAGCATCAAGATTGATCATCTTGACTTGCAAAACATTTCGCTTCTAGATATTCGCTCTCGACTGGCTATCCTACCACAAGACGCAGTGCAATTTCCTGGTTCCATTCGAGACAATCTGCAGCTGGACTGGCGATACCAAGATAATGAGACATGTTCGGTCGCTTCCGACGCGGATATGAGAGCCTCGTTGGACAAGGTTGGTCTCTGGCCTGGCACGTTATTACACAAGTGGAGAACAATAGCGGCCTTGACACCGACTTTGCAAGTTTAAATCTCTCACACGGTCAGAGGCAATTATTTGCAATCGCACGCACACTGCTTCGTAGAAGCCAAGTCATACTCTTGGACGAGGCAACTAGTAGCATCGACGAGGATACAGACTTGCGTATACAAAACGTCATGCGTGAAGCCTTTAAAGGGTGTACCATTCTATCTGTGACCCATCACCTAGAGAGCATCGCCGATTTCGATACTGTAGTAGTTATGGACAGGGGTAAAGCTATCGAGGTTGACAACCCAGCAGATCTAATGAAACAGACCACCTCATTATTCAAGAAACTTAGAGAACATTTGCACAGCTTATAATATATTTATTAAATATTTCAAAATGAATGGTTAAATTTTAATGGGTTTAGAATACAAATAATTATTTTAAGACGCACTATTTGCGAATAATAATGTCGTGAGGCTGGCGTTTCGGACTTGTGCGTGTTAGCATGCAGCCTCCCGCCCAGGAGGCGTCCGGCGAAGCGACGTAGGTTATGTCAAAAATTTGGCATGCTTATATTCATTATTGTGAGTAGGGCTAAGCGCAGTAGCATTAGTCTAATATTTAGGCTTGAATTATCCATGTATTGTGTAGGATCGGTGAGCAGAAATTTAGCAGCCGTGGTAGCACTTCATCGAATTGCCACCCTTGAAGCTGTAGCATCCACCGCTAACATTGCCAGTGTCACCAATCTTGTTTTGGCCTATTTGTCTACTTGTTAGCATATGCGATCGCAAAGTTATCAACATTCTTTCCGCAAACATACAGTTGGTGTCAGAGTAGGCGACACAGTCAACATTTTTGAAGGCGCTGCCGGCGAGCTGGAGAGAGTCGAACTGGACTAAGGGTCAGTATTAAATACGCATGAAATATACGTGTTGAAAAGCTTACGGGGTAGACATAGCAGTTTCCTTCGCAAGTGGGACGGTAGGACGTCTCCTTGTTGAACGATTGGCAGCCAGTTCCCTTGTAGACGCTGACACACTCGGGGTAGACGCCGTTGCCACAGTTGGCAGCGACGGCAGCGAGAGCGAGGGTAGCAGTGACGGCGAGCTGAGAAAGCATGTTGAAGACCAGTATAATGTGTATGCGTAGGGCTGGGCTAACTCGAGGAGACGAGCGGCGAGGGTTACGAATGGTATTTGAGTCGGAACCAGCACAATGAGCTCTCGGCACTTACCTACTACCCCGTCGGTCCCTCTGCGCAATCACTTCAAAGAGGCAAAGCTAATCAACGATAACATGTTGCCTACCCTGATCGGCATCACCATGACGCAGCTCAAGATGAAGCCCGCAGAAACCGGGGGGCGCTAGCTGCGGTTCTCTCCACAGGGGGACACCCTGGTGGCCGACGAGAGCTAATGATTTGACCATGCGGCTGGACATGACTCCGCCCTATGGCTTGTTCGATCGTGGAAGCCTTACAGAAGTAGTTTTATTGTGGGGAGGTGTGCTACACATCTCCTACTCAGCGACCATCCGAGAATCAAACTAAACGAGCAAGTTCCACAGGAGGTAAGCCGGAGAAAATATGCCCGGAAGCTAGCGTTGTAACTATCCACCAATTCTCTTGTAGGATTCTGCGTCTCGGCTGGTGAATTGTCGCAGGACACCCACGCTTCAAGACACTAGGGGCAAACATTGATGTTCCAGCGACCCACTAGTACTGAATTTTTTCCGGTAGCTTGCTTTGGGGTGTAGCGTCTTGACTGGAAGAGCCTCTAGTAATGTATTGCTCGTCATCCATCTAACAAGCCCGCCATTTGACTTCCGTACAACGCAGGTAGTCTTGCTATTGGATTCGAACTTTTATTGCGTAGTAATTGGTAGAGTGATCAGTCTCATTCCCCTTCCGTTAAGACTCGTCCGTAAATGCACGATACAGCCTCGGTAGATTGCCGATGTTTTTAAGTTGGTCGTGTGGATCTTGTGTGGAGTAAGTAAGGTTCTAAATGTGTAAGCGGTAACCCTAGTTCTTGCTGTATACGTATGACTCGCACTTTCGATCTTTGATTAATGCCTCAGCAGTTTCTAACAAACATAGAGACTTGGCCCTGCACATTGCCGACACTGTTGCCTACAGATCCAATTGTAATCAGCAGATCATTGCCGTGGGCAGCAATCTCTCCCCCATGACGTTGCGCTCCCACAGAGGCGGGTCAGGTACTGTGCAATGCCCCCAGCTTCGCCAACCTACTTGGGGCAGATGGGGCTAGCCTAGCCAGGAATGGGCAACTCTTTGCCGAGACCATATATAGTCCATTGTGCCAGCATTCTGGCATGAAAGGATTCAGTCGTCAAATTCTCAACCCACGAATATCTACCCACCATGTCTTTCAAATCTATTGTCATTACTCTTGCTTGCGCCACCGCTGTCATTGCCGGCGATTGCAACCCTAATGATCCCTACGGACAAGAATGTGTCAATGTCTACGGCAATGCCAACTGCGACGCCGGCAGCCAGAAGACTAGCTACAAGGTACTTTGATGAATCGAATTTATACTTAGCTAGCATCACTAACTACGTGAAAAGCCTACCTGCAAAGGAAACTGCTATGTGTATGTTGACAATTTATACAAGAACGCTACTCTCTTTCCAAATACTAACAGCTAACAGCTACCCCTTCAACTCCTTGAACGTTCAAGGCTCTTACCTCTACGGCACCAACTGCGTCGCTTACTCCGATAAAGAGTGCAAGAACAAGATTGGCGAGAGTGGTAACATCGTCGGTCAAGGTAATGGCAAGTGCGCCAACTTTTCTGGTGGCCAGTCTATGAAGTGCTACTACAAGTGTTAAGTAATAATAGATATAGAAATCTACAATAATATTCAACACTATTTATAAAATTAAATCTTTCATTTACATAGCGCAACATCCTTACAGATCAACCTAACCTATTACATAGTTTAACAAAGACTAGCTTACCGTATCAATACTTGCTTCTCCCCCTTAGTAGGATGGAAGTTCCGCCGATAGACAGACACCCAAAGATGAAGCTTGTCAGTCGCCTCGTGAGGCAGATTACTGCGAGGCTCCAATAGCCTCGGCGTCCATGTCACTATGTCGGGCGCCCATCAGGCGGAGGTTAGCTAAACCTGGACAATGCCCGACAACATGGTGTGGGACGTACGGCCATTGTCCTACTTGGTAGTAATTCCCTGTGTATTTATCGTGTGCGAACCATTTATGTATTCCGGTGGCCTTTGCTTCCCCTTCTTGTCCTATATACATGACAAGGCTTAGCAGCGCAAAAGCTCGACATCTCAATAACTGGCTAGCTATAAATACGGCTCTCTCGACTCACTCTCAGTCTCACCATCATCATCATCAGTCATTATTCATTAATTCCATTAACTTAAACCCCCATTATCATTATACATTGCAGTCAATATGAAGTTTTCTATTCCTCTTTCCTCGGCTATGGCTATGGCTATGGCTATGGCTATGGCTACTCTTGGGATTTCAGCGGCAACCCCAGAAGCCAACCCGTCGCGCGTCTGTGGTCGTCTTGGCGTCACCATGGATGTTATTGAGACCAAAAATATGACTAGGGAGGAGCTCTCCAATCTGCGCATGTGCGCTGAACACCCTCTCGGCAATATCCGCCCTACCGAGGGCGAGTCGCTTGCTCCTATGCCCGACCAGCCTATCCCGAAGCCGGAGCTGAGTGTTCGTAAGGCTGACAAGTGCGAGTGGACGGCGCCCTACGGCTGCTCTGGGTATTATTGCTGGAAGTCTTGCGGAGCGCCTGGGGATGGCCAGTGGTGCTGGACTGCCAACAACGGCGGAAAAGGCGCTTGGAACAAGTGTGTAACATATGCTGATTGCGGTACCGATGATGTTACCTTTGGCTGCGGCGTCAACTGTTGGAATGGTGGAAGCTGCGGCTGTAGCTGCTAAACATCTTTAGTACTCTCTAAATTTGAGAGGATGAGTATAGAGTCGAGTAATAAAAGTCTCTAGCTTCTATATATGTCGGAATTATATAAGATTTCCGCTACAAGCTGTATTTTAATTAATGCTATAGTTTGTCTACTTGGTGATCCACTGACCTTCGGTGTAAAGGAATCGTATAAGGGGAGCGCCAAGCCGAGAGCCGAAGCTGGTGGGGAAAATATCACGGCGGTCGTCGTAAACCAACTATAGAAAGCGACAACCACCCACACTACTACCACCATCGCCATCAAGACTCTCGCAAAAAGTCTCTGAGTTACTCCAAACCAGTCTAAAAAATGGAGGAGATAGTTACTGTTGCTGGCACCCGCGCGCCCATCAAAGACAGCCAGTGGATGCCGCCGCAGTCGATGTCCAAGCCGGCCAACGCCATGGACATCGAGGAGCAGGACAACGACCTTCCGGAACGGAGCACGTTGCGTCTCATAGCTATTTTCAGCGCTTTGGCAGTGCGTATAACCAAGATTTGTGAACCGCCCCAACGGCCGAATAGCAAACCACTAACAGGGTCCTAGCTCGCCCTCTTCACAGCGGCGCTCGACGTCACTATCGTCGCCACTGTGCTCCCTACCATCTCTTCTGACCTGGAGTCTGCGGCTGGCTACGTCTGGATCGGCGGTGCCTACTTGTTGGGTAACTCAGCGGCCGTCAATATATGGGCTAATCTGTCGGATATCTGGGGCCGTAAGCCCATCTTGCTGGCGGCTGTTCTTGTATTCTGTGTGAGCTCTATCATCTGTGCCACAGCACACAATATTGGGGCCCTCATCGTGGGGCGAGCTGTGCAGGGCATTGCTAGCGGTGGGCTCATGCAGCTCGTTATGATAGTCATCTCGGATCTCTTTAGTATTCGGTATGTTTTGTCTCTCTTCCCTTCTCTCCCTCTCGCTTTCTCGTTGTCCCAACTTTCCCTCATACTACCAGAAGCGTATTTCAAGATGGGTTACTACTCCTTTACCTGTTTACTAAAACCAACGAAAATAGTCGCCGCAGCCTCTTCATGGGTCTCATCGAAATCGTCTGGGTCGTCGCTGCTGCTGTCGGCCCCGTCCTCGGCGGCGCCCTCACCGAGAAGCTGGGGTGGCGCTGGATCTTCTGGATCAACCTGCCGATCTCTAGCGTTGCTTTCCTAGTGCTGTTGTTGTGTCTCAACGTGCATAACCCCAAAACGCAGCTACGTGACGGACTTCGCGCTGTCGACTGGTCGGGTAGCGTTGCCCTCATCGGCCTGTCCGTCATGTTGCTCCTAGGTCTCAACTTTGGCGGTATCACCTTCTCGTGGTCGTCGTCACAGGTTATCTGCCTTATTGTATTCGGCGGCGTGATGCTGCCTGTCTTTATCCTCTGCGAGCGGCACATTGCAAAGATGCCACTGATGCCACTGCACCTATTTTCCAACCCGACCAATGTCGCTTGCTTCGTGGTAACGTTTTGCCACGGCGCAGTAAGTCATTTCTGTTTCATATTATTACTCAGTGTTTGATGAGCATTCCGTCCTAATCAAGTCGCTTTAGGTTGTCCTAGGCACCGAGTGGTACTTGCCGCTTTTCTTCCAATCGACACGCCTAGCCACGCCGCTCGAGTCTGGCTTGCTAATCCTGCCCGTCGTCGTATTGGAGTCCATCATGAGCTTCACCGTCGGCATTATTATTCACAAAATGGGCCGTTACCGTGAGATTATCTGGCTTGGCAACGTACTGACGCTGCTGGGTATGGGGCTTTATATCGACCTCAATACAGACTCATCACTTGGCAAACTCATTGCGTACCAGGTCGTCTCAGGTTCTGGTACGGGCATGCTCTTTTTCGCACCACTGTTGGCCTTGCATACCAACGTGTCACAGGCCGATACAGCCACTGCCACGGCCACATTCGGCTTCATTCGCAACATCGCTACCTCAGCCTCGGTCGTCATCGGCGGCGCCATTTTCCAGAACAGCATGACAAGCCAGCAGGCGGCGCTAGTCATCGCCGGACTACCTAGGGAGCTAACTGACGAGTTCACGGGTACTAGTGCTGCAGCCAACGTTTTGCGTATTGCCCGTATCGAAAACCCCGACCACCGGCGAGCGATACAGGATGCTTTCTCTAATAGTATGAGGAATATCTGGTGCTTGTATACAGCCATAGCGGCCATCGGGGTTATCTCGTGCCTCTTTATCCGCAAGAACGTTATGAGCAAGCAACACACGGAACACAAGACAGGTCTACGCGGAACAAAAGCATAAAGCAGAGATAGTTATTTTCTCTATTCTAGTATTAAATTAAAGGATTGAGAAGAGATTTTAATAGTAAAGAATATATAACGTGGCTCAGGGCGAGCGGCCCACACGGGCGAGTGGCCCGTCTTCCTCTAGCTTCGTGTATAAAAATATATAACTTAACATTAAATTTGGGTAAATATTTATTACCCAGCACTAAATCCATAATATAGCTAACAACTAAAATACCAAGAGTTATATAAGTCTTTTTCATGGGCTTATATAACCGTAGAAGCTAGTAGCAGGTGCATAAACGCCGAAGATTCTCACGGCGATTAAAGAGTGATGTGTGATCCCAGCTGTATGGATATATATCACCCCCGGCGTTTTAGACGGACTCAAAATTAGTAATAGATTACAAAAGCCAGTTTTATATATTTGTTTCTTGTGGTTTATTATTTGCCCCTAATAGTATTGTCTCTATTTACCCTCTTAGCGGTGTTCCCTTGCTGTAGTCTATGCCCATGGCTTTGAGATACTCTACCACACGCCCCTGTGCAGGATATTCTGACGCCGCGGTGGAAAGAAAGGCCAGAGGATCATAAGTGTAACCCAAGAGTGTTTCGAGGGCACCTACGTTATCGGCTGTGCACGCTTGTCGCATGGCGGCGCCGATCAACCCTCGATCCTTCTGCGATTTAGGATTCTCAGCCATATATCTTTGCACGAGCTTCCGAGCCTCCGGTTTCTCTGATCTACAAATTGCCATGAGCCACGCAATTGGCCGATCAATAACGGCCACGACGCTCTTCGTTACGTCGAGAAGATACCGGCTTCTGGCGTTCAAGTCCAAGTTGGCGGGGAGAGTAAAGCTCATGTCCCGTTCCAATTTCTTAACATCAGCCCCGTGACTAATGAGACAGGATATCATGGCTTCTGCGTGGCTGTGGCTCCTTACGAGATTCATACAGGAGTACTGAAGCAGCGAGCTGTTGTACTTTTCGGCATTCACACGTACCGGTTGTGTCAAGAGAGCTTGTAGAATCTTGACATCATCAGCGGCGTACTCGGGGTTGTAAAATAAGTTTTGACAAAATCGATGCAGGATAGTCTGACGCACGCTATGCCCCTTCGGTTCCCTGTAGGAGTTGCTACTCCGAGGTAGCAGACCGGTAGTATGCGCTTCCTGGAGAAAGTCTGGCCGCAGCACTCTATCGTTTAGGAGGCGCTGTACAAGCGGATAGTTGTGCTGTTGACATGCGTTTAAAAGGTACAGCTCATGCGGCCGGTATACGCATATACCGTATTGCTCGAGCAGCTCCATACAGCCAGGCTGGCAGAGTGTGCGCCAGCGCTGCCCTCAAATCAAACAAATCAAATCCGGGCCTGTATTTGTTTGTTTGATATATTTTGAAGCCATATTTGTTTGTTTGAAATATTTGATCAAATATTTGAAATGCTGACTACTCGTTCATGCTACCAAC